GGACATCTCCATATTGCTAAACAAGTAAATATATCACCAATGAGAAGCGAATACTTCAAAAAATTCTAAAAACTAGGAATCTGTGACCAGAAACACACCTCAAAAAGGACTCTCAGCTCGTAATCGTCAATGATGCTATCCATATTCCTAACAAAAAGTATCCTGGACAAAACTTCTCCTCGCGGAGGCTCACCAACAACCGAAACATTGCTGCCTCTCTTGCCGTCTCTTTGACCCACAGACGAAAAAACATCCCCATCTAGTTCCATGCCACCAACGCTGCTGAAGAGGTCACAATCATCCAACTCATCTCCTGCATTGGCACGAGACTTATAGCCAACCTCACCAACCACTTCTGCAAAAAGATCATCCTCATCTGGAAGAAGATTCCCAATAGTTTGTGCCTCCATCTCTTCTAAAGACTCAGAAGGTTCTTCCTCGCGGTTTGCAGACATAAACGCCAACTTATCACTTCTTGGTAGCCGTACTGCAAAACCAGCAATTCATATAAACATAAGAAATTTACTTAGAAAACCAACATAACAGCTAAAATGGTTTGTAAAACTGAATCAGATGCTTACATTGTCTACTAAATAACTCAGACAGAGAGCTGGAAAACAGACTGCTCTCCCAGTGAGAATCACTTGCAGCTGTTCTTCCGTTAGGGATAACAGAGGGAAGCGCCCCAGACAAGCTTGGTTGTTGCGTCAGCTGGTAACTGTCAGATGTCCAAGAACTGGAACATCTGTCCCCGCCACTCTCTGCCATTGGGTTGGTTTTCATGAACCCAAATTGCTTCTGCCAAAGGCAAACATTAAAGTGTCTTGAGAAAAACCAAGAAAACACCGCTGTGCATAAATGTCTATGCATATAAAAAAAACTTGAAAGCAGAGAAACCAAGAGTTTACACCTCTGGAGTGATGCGAATATCTTCATGAAAATGGGAAGGTGTCGGTACACCTCTAGATTCCAATATATCAGACGGCATTGTACAGCTGAATACAAAATCATAAAGAAGGAGAAGAGATCAGACTCTGTATTTACTTTCTAATTATTCCATAATCTACAGAAACAAAACCTGCACAATCTCTACAGAATGGAAAACATAAGGGCACCAACCTTTAATTCCCAAAATAAAAGATCAAGCTTACAATTGTTATGGATAAAACAGGATAATTCTAGTACAGCTCAAATCCCAGAATTCACAAAACTTAGCAATGCGTAAAAGAAAAAGTTTGACTAGAGGAAATAATTTTGAACGAAATAAAATCTAAATCGTAGTTTCAGACACAATTCGGTATTGAAAACGCCATAAAACTACCATTCACCTAAATTTGGGATCTTTGAGCAGACGATCATTATTCAAGCAGAGAACCAACTCCAACCAAATTACAAAAACCCTATCCAACAACTAACATAAATTCCAGGAAAAAAAAACTTACCAAATTACAAAATTCTGCTTCTTCTTCTATTGAATTCCTCCAAAGCACCAAATTTTCCAATAGAAGCTACAATTACTGAACGGATCTCGTAAACTCTTCTCTCAAGGCTTCACGTTCCCGAGGAAAACAAAAGAGCAGAGAGATGTAGACAGAGAGAGAGAAACAGATAGAAAGCAGGGAAATTCTTCTTCTCTTTTATCTTCCTTTCCTTTTTGTTTCTATCTATCCAATCATAACCAGCAGAGAATATATAATTCTCAAGAGAGAATAAAAAACAAAAAAAAAGCAAACAAAAAGTGAATCGGTGGTGTTCAAATTCTCCTTCCTCTCGTGAATTCAACCAGCAAGTAACTCGAACGGAAGCAACCGTAATTGTATAATTCCGGCGAGACTCCGATCCCCTGAGGCTTGATTCCGGCACTCCCTCCAAGAGAGAGAGAAAGAGAGGGGAGAGAGAGTTTGGTTTTCGGTTAGTTGGATTAGGAAAAATTGAAAAAAAAAAATGAATGGAAGAAGACAAAAGACGAGAGAAAGGATTTTGCTACGCTGTTTCTGCCATGGATCTAGCGCTATGGTGTGAGCTTTTATCTCAACCGTTGGATTAGGGTTGGGAACTTGGGATAGTTTTCCTTTTTTATTCTCTCTTTAAATTTTTTAATTTTACGGATATATTTACGGACTCGCGACGGCAGTCGTTGGATCCGGCTAATATATTTGCTCCTCGATCGGCGTTAAGGTTTTTTTATTAATTTTAATTTTAAAATAAGATATTCAATTGACTAAAGTTTCCGTTTTTTCTCCTCTCAAATATCTTTTAGTTATTTGTTCTATTCCGGAGTGGGTACCACTCCAACTCAAGCTTGAGCAATAGAAGAACTGTTTGTTGACAAAAAAAAATATATATCTTTTAGTTATTTTGTACAGAAATAAAATGGATTACATGCCAAATGTTTTGAGGATAAAACTTTTGTGTGAGTACAGATGTTGAAACCAAAATCTTTTGCGTGAGAAAAAGGAAAGGAAACGATAAAAACGCATTAACAACAGATAAAAAAGGATAAACATTAAAGATAACGTTTTTGTTTTTTTGTTTACAAATATATTAAAATAAAATCTTATCTTTCTTTTTTTCGCTTGTTGAAATCTTCACGTTCTTTCTCATTCTTGTTTTTTTTCACGTTTGATAGACAGAATCAGCAAATCTACTTATTACCTAAAAATTATGGATTTTCTAGATGACTAATTTCTATTTTTATATATACTGAAAATGGGAGGATATAAGGGAAGAATATACACCTAACCAAAACTTCATATATATACTCTTATTTTATCAGATTTTTAAAAAATTAAAGCATATTTTTTTACCATTTATTTAATAATCTCTCGAATTTTTTTGATTAAATTCGGAGTATAGTTAATGACCAGTTCTTAAATTAAACATTAAGTAACATAGTTTAGCGTGGTATATAATTTGCTTGGTAATTAATTTACAAACATGTGTGATTAGTGTAAACTTTAATGTACATCTAGTAGTAATTGTATACGAAGCCGAGCCAAGCTGATAAAGATTAAAGCCAGGTTTGAGTTGCTTAGCTGAGAGAGATAGAGAAAGCGAAGTTGTTGTCCGAAAATTTTTAATGGCTAGACGCGGCGTGAAGGATTAGACAAGGAATTTTAATTTTCTTTAGCAAGAAAAGCATTTACCGTTTTTAATAAACAAGAAAAGCATTTATTCTTAAGACGCTCCTCTCAATGTATCCACATGTCGTCTTTCCAATGGTTAACCTCAACAAAAATAGCATCAAACGAATAATCCTACGACTGCTCCGATCCTCTACTCTTTAATCTCTCTATGCAACTCTTCAAGACAACCAAATGGTATTGAACTAAACATAACCTAATCAAGCTATCACCTATACTTCAGATTGCAAATCCATTCGTTAACGTTCTACATTTGAACATCGATACACCTGTTTTATTCTAATGTTGACGCATGTGAAGACTCAACAGATTTCAAAATACTCAAGTCGTGTCAATTCTTATGTACTTGAGTTTATAGCAATCATAGCAATATGTACGATATCCTTCCATTGATCACATGCCAAATTTACCCAAAACTATTTATTACTTTTGTATTTTTCTGCAGAAAAATAAGTCTAGAACATGAACATTTTCCTTGCACGCCTTATGGACTTATGGTACATGTGGCTGTAGGATAAGTTCGTATGAGACTCGTATCTATGACGCATCAAACACGACGATATATCATACGCATGAATACGACAAATTTAGTTATGAATTAAGAAAATTTTGAATTTACTGTTTTCATTTAATCTACTGAAAGTTGGACGAACAAGGTTGGAGAGAAGAGAAGAGCAGGAGAAAATCAATTTGTAACCAACCCAAATTATTTAGAACGAAACAAACTAATTTAATATCATTAAATAATATGGTAATCATTAGATAGTGATACAATAATGCATTAATTATTGGTTTATTCACATGGTCCATGCGGTCTCCTCTATACAGGTCGTTTTCTCTGTAGAGATTTTCGTCGGTCTACTGACTCTACTTATACACTAATGACTAATCCCATAATGACTAATCCATTAGACCATTACGCCTTTGTATTTCAGCAAATACACTCTTTTTATTTTGGACAACAATACATACACTATATTTAGTTTTAAACTGTTAGTAACTTAATCGCAAAATTGAACGTAAGTACTAATAGCCTGGCCCATATATCACAATATATTGGCCTGGCCCATACAACACATTAACAGCCGTTTATCTGACTGATGTTACAATGAGTTGATAAGGCATAACATACTGTACTTAGGCCAGTGGCCAGTGCAATAAGTGCTTAACCGTGAAAGATTACCTAAATGTGGCGTATCTGGACAAAGTCTATAGCGCACTGACATATCAAGTTCATGTTTTATCAGCATTGAAGTTAATTGGAATTTGGAGGAAACAAACCTTTTCACCATGTTCAATTTTTTTTTAGACAAGCAAGTTTTACAAATTTAAAGAAAACAAAACTTTTGTCGGGCATATAACTAAATAATAGTAAAAGAAGTAGGAGTGGCTATAAATATAAAGGCCAGAAGTTTGGGTTAAAGATCTTTCCTCTGTTTTCAATAATATTATCTACTGACCACTGACCAGACTGTTTTCGTGATATTGACTTGACATCAAACCGCTACATTCCAATTTTTTTTTTTTTTTTTTTTTCATTCTCTTACAATTTGATTTTCTTTGTCTCTCACATAAATGTGGTTTTCAATATGATTTTCTCATGTATTCAACATAACTGTAACTTCGCTTTGATTTTCTATCATTTATAAAATCTTCGGTTCGAATTCGTTGAAGATTAAAAAACTGATAACATTCATCAATACAAAGTTCAATTATTTGGAAACTGGATAACCAAGATTAACTTCAGAAAAAAGTTACGCCAACATTGGCATTACAAACCCTACACTCCCTCCTTTGGTTAGCAATTACTTCAACAACAAGAAATACATCAAACAACAACATTAAGGGGGTTTTAGCTTAAATCTCCTTGAGATCCTTCAAGACGTCGAGCATGTTTGGTCGACTAGCTGGCGAATCAGCGATACAAAGGACAGCAATCCGAAGCAGACGAAGCATGGAGTGTTTGCAAGCCACTGACAGAACCAGAGGATCAAGAACATCCACAGCCTTCCCTTTGTTAATCTTCTGAATCACCCAACCAACCAAATTCCCTCCTTCGCTCTCTTTGAAGTCTGGACCAGTCGGCTCTTTCCCCGTCACCAGCTCCAACAAAATCACACCGAAGCTGTACACATCTCCCTTGGTCGTGGCTCGTGCGCTCTGACCATACTCCGGTGGAATATAACCAAACGTCCCTGCAATCACTGTGCTCACATGAGTCTCACAGGCACTGATCAGTCTGGCTAACCCAAAATCCGCAACCTTTGGCTCAAAGTCGCTGTCCAGAAGAATGTTGCTTGCTTTGATGTCTCTGTGTATGATGTGAGGAATGAAACCGTGATGCAGGAAAGCTAGTCCTCTTGCAGCTCCCACTGCGATCTTGAGGCGTTTAGACCAGTCTAGTACCTCAAGCATCCCGGTTTGGTTCCTTAACCAATGGTCTAAGCTTCCATTCACCATGTACTCATACACAAGAAGCTTCTCTTCACTCAAAGAGCAATATCCAAGCAACGACACCAGATTCTGATGCTTCACTTTCCCTAGAGTCTCCATCTCTGCCATGAATTCTCGGGTCCCTTGTGTTTTGGCTTCGCTAAGCTTCTTAACCGCTACTGTCTTCCCATCGGCTAAACAAGCTTTGTACACCGTCCCAAACCCACCGTCTCCGATGATGTTCTTCTTACAGAAATGATCAGTTGCCTCCACAATGTCTGCTAAGCTCACCTTGAGAAGAGGCTGCTGGAACATGGCCACATTGATGCTTAATGGCTCCTTTGATCTGCTTCCACTTAAGAAATAGAGTTTCTGATCAATGAACTCTTTGAATCTGCTCTCCTCAGTTCCCTCTGGATCATCTCTCTGCTTCACTCTATGTTTCATAAGCACCCATCTACGCAGAGAGAAAGCAGAGGCACAAACGATGATCATAATAACAACCGAGACTCCTGCAAGTCTCCAAGAACTCATCAAACTCAACCTCTTGCAATCCGATCCAACTAAGCTTCCACACAAAGCTTTGTTCCCAGAAAGCAACGCCTTGGACTTATCTTTGCAAACTCCATCGCTCGGCACATCTCCTTGCAGATTGTTCTTGGCTAAGTTCAAGAACTGTAGATTGAGAAGTCCACAGATCTTTGCTGGTATACCTCCTGACAAACTGTTGTCAGAAACATCTAAAAACTCGAGCTGCATAAGATTACCCAAATCAGAAGGTATCTCTCCGGTGAAGTGATTCCTGTGCAAATCCAAGTTAGTCAAGTATGACAAATTCCCCAATGATCTTGGCAAGCTTCCCGTGAAGAAGTTATCACTGAAGTTCACAGTCTCAACTTTCCACGCCAACGAGCTGAAGAACAGATTCTCTATACCACCTGAGAACATGTTCTGTTGAACGTAGAGGCCTACTAGGTTTTGCATCTGAGACAGTTCCGCTGGAAGCTCGCCGGTCAGCTTGTTAACACTCAAGTCCATGTGTGTCATCTCTTTCAAGTTCCCAAGAGAAGTAGGAACTGATCCATCAATCTTGTTCTTGGTCAGGTTTAGCTTCACCAAGCTAACCAAAAGCCCAAAGCTTTCAGGTATCTGTCCATCAAGCTGATTGTTCGCCAAGTTCAGTCCCTGCAGCTTAGGAGAGTGTCCAATCTCCTCTGGAATGGAGCCAGTGATGACATTTCCAGAAAGATCCAGTTTCGTCAGGTTGGTTAAGCGGGAGAGTGAAGCTGGGATCTCTCCAGAGAGATGATTGTTGCTCAGCAGAATCTCAACCACTACCACACAGTCGCCGAGCTCTTCAGGTATGGAACCACTCAGTCTGTTGTAGGAGAGATCAAATATCCCATGGTGCTGAAGAAAGCTCAGATCAGGCATATCAGTCTGATGGAAATAAGCAGACGGTTTCGATGGAATCTTCCCCGAGAGATTGTTGTGAGAGAGAACCAAGCATTGAAGCTGAGCAAGAGCAGTGATTCTATCCGGAATCTGTCCTTGGAGATTGTTGCTTCCCAAGTCCAATGTAGTCAAAGAAGAACAGTCTCCAAGCTCGTTTGGTATATTCCCTTGAAACTTGTTCGAATTCAGATTCAAGACAGAGAGAGAAGTAAGCTTCCCAATCTCTCTTGGTATCTCACCTTGAAGCTGGTTATCACTCAGAACAAGACGCTTCAACGAAGCCGCATTGCCAATCTCTGCAGGCAGATAACCTCCAAGACGGTTACAAGAAGCAGAAAACTCCATCAAGTAGGTTGAATTCCAGAGACTCACAGGGATCTCTCCAGTGAAGTTGTTGGAATCCAAGTCAAGCGCCATCAACGGAAGCTTGGAGAGATACTCAGGTATAGAGCCATTGATCTGATTGTTCGTAAGAGCCAGCTGTTGAAGATTCGTACATCCAACGAACACTTCCTCAATGTTACCTGTGAGGAAGTTCCCTGAGAGATCAATATCTTCCAATGCACCTGAACCACAAAGCTCACGAGGAATCGAACCGGTTAGCAAGTTGCTAGCGAGGCTTAGCTGCTTCAACGTTGGACAGTTTTCAATCTCACGAGGGATCTCTCCTGAGAACCGGTTGCTTGCGAGGAGAAGCGAGTCTAGCTCCTTCCATTTGCCGATCCAAGACGGTAACGGACCGGAGAGCTGGTTCTTGTCAGCGGAAAACGCAAGCAGAGGAATCTCTGATAGCTGAAACGGTAGAGATCCGGAGAGAGCGTTGAAGGAAAGCATCAAAGTTTTGAGCTTTCTACAGTTACCGATCTCCGGAGGGATCATTCCGGTGATTTCGGCGGAGACGAGATTCAGAATGCTTAAATTCTGCAACTTTCCGATTGATTTGGGGATGGAGGACTTGAGTGGGTTGTACGAAAGGTCGAGCTTTGCTAAGTTGCTGAGCTTCGATATCTCGTGTGGTAACGGTCCCTTGAAGAAGCAGTACGGTGCAACAAAGTTCTTGAGCAACGAGATGTTGCCGATCTCCGGCGGGATTAGACCGGAAAGCTTGTTCATTCCCATGTAGAGATCGGAGAGATTGCTAAGTTTCCCGATTTCTGGGGGGATTTTGCCGGAGAGGGAGTTGTTGGAGACGTCGAGTGAAGACAATGCCGGGAAGCTGAGGAAGAGTGACGGAGGGAGAGAGCCTGAGAGATGGTTGTCGCTTAGGTCAAGGTAGAGAAGCTGAGGCAACTCGCTGAGTCGACTCGGTAAATGTCCGGTTAGTGAATTCCCGGAGAGATCGAGGGTTTGGAGCTGTTTCAGGCTCCCGAGCTGCGGAGGGATTTCGCCGGAGAGATGGTTGAGGCCGAGACGGAGAGATTTGAGATTCTTTAGCTTCGAAACCCCCTTCGGAATCTGGCCGGAGAGAGAGTTCTCGGAGAGGTCGAGGTCGGAGAGAAACCGAAGGGAGAAGAGAGAAGGAGGGAGATGGCCTTTGAGAGACATGGAAGGTAGAGAGAGAGAGACGACTCGCCCCAATTGGCATGTTACACCGACCCAATCGCAGTGATGAGACGCCGAGGAAGAAGACGAAAGGTTCCACGCAGAAAGGACTGATGGGTTTTCGAGGGAGAGCTTGAAGGAAAGCAGTGAATCCATTTCGGAGCTAACGTCGCCATTAATGGCACCGGAAACAGAGAAGATGAAGAGAAACAGGCACCGGAAAAGCCTAAACGGAAAGGCCATGGCCGGAGAAGGAAGGAATGAATGGAAGGAAAGCCTGAGTGAGATTGTAAAGAGAGCTCCTTTAGAGAGAAAGACACATTTTTAAGAAGAGAGAAGTAGAGAGAAAAAGGAAGAAACATAAATAAAAGAGAGAGAAACTTTTTAGTTTTAGGCGCGATAATGATGAAGATGAAGATGAAGATGAACAAAGAGAGAGAGAAGCACGCAACTCACGTGACGTAGACCATTGTTTTAACTTTTTAGTTCGTAACGACAATTTAATCTTTGTTAATTTTTAACACTTCTTATTTTCAGTGAACAAAAGATATTAAACGGCAATTTAATCTTTGTTAAATTTTAACAGTTCTTATTTTCAGTGAACAAAGATAAATTATGTGAACTGATAATTTAATAGTTCTGAGTTTGTCCAAAAAATAGATAGAATCTGAAAGTAATAGTAGAGGCTTTTGATGATGTGTTTGATGAAAGCATGGGTCATAGTCTCGTAGAGTACGGCTAGAATCTTCAGAAATCATAACAACTGTACCAGGAAAAAGCTGTAGGGGTTTGAATACAAATAAATCAAAAGTTTTGCGGTGCAATTGTAAGCCTCAAATTTTTGATGTTTTAAGCTGGTGAATTAATGTGATGTCAATTAATGTGATATCCCATAAGGATTTATGATGATAAATATGTCTAGCAATTGTTGCACTAAGTTTATAGTGGTTATTCATAATTGATAGAGTATACTTACACTGATTGTTTTTAATCCTTGTTTACATTAGTTTGAAAATGTACTTTTGATTAGTTTCATTACAAAACAAAAAGAAAGATTATGGTATGGTCCCCTGTATGAGTTCCAAACAAAATATCAAAAGGGGCAGAAGAAAGAGGAGAGCTCCCACATGTCTTCTTTCCCTTTTGGGAATGTTAGTGAGCTTTTCCCTTAGGGATCTGTTTCCATTTTCTAAACACATTAATACTTGCCTGATCTATATTCAAATCATGTCTATTTCTATGATGCAGCATAACACATTTATATTATCTTTTGAATCTCTTAATAGTATTTTGTTTAAATCATGTCATATAGTATATTCATTACTGGTTAAAGACGGTTATTTGCTACTTAGTGACACAGATCATACGGTCAGAACAATTTCTTTTACTACCTAATTATATATGGAACCTGGCTGTCATAATAATGTAATAAGTTTGAAAAAAGTAAAACTATTATTGAAATTTTGAAATCATGCAGATGAAAGCATGAAAGCAGCCAAGCAGGGGAGATGAAGATGTCGATGTTGCAAAGCCCAAAATGGGAATGTTTTTGAAATTGGCGCATCACAAAGAACCAAACCACTTTGAGTCCAGTTAATTGAGTGATAGTTATCATTTGATCCTTTCTACTTTTTACGTTTTGATCCAAGAAATAATTATTTTCTTTAGTATCAACACATCAGAACCGAGGATGAAAATGATGTTGTCGTCAGATTTTTTCTCAGAGCAACAGAAGAGCTATAAAGAGAACATAATTTTTGGAAAATATTAATACCAGAAAAATATTAACACATGTATATTATCTTTTGAATCTCTTAATAGTATTTTGTTTAAATCATGTCATATAGTATATTTATTGCTGGTTAAAGAGACGGTTATTTACTTAGTGACACAAATCAGATTCATACGGTCAGAAGAATTTATTACATTTTCATGCTCTTTGGCCTTTAAAGATCAACAAAGAGTATTATTTCATTGTGACTGTGTCCCACTTTATATCAAAATTTCCCTTGTCACACACAATTTTTACTAAAACAAACAAAGAAATTTACCAAAAACATAAAAGACGTCTTCTAAACAAGTCTCATCCTCGATTTTTCTTCACAATAGTCTCCAAATCTGTAGCCCTCCTGCATAACGAAACAACACCTGACATGTTTTCATTACATCTCACTATACATGCGCTTTTATCTAATTCCGTCTTACGAGTTGGTTCGCCATATGCAGCAACTTCACTCTTCCTCTTATGACTTTTCATCATCTTCTTCAGTTTGTCCTAGAGATCATGTTTAATGTTAGTTATGATACACATGTAACACAAGGTACAAAAGTGAAAACACTAAAACACATCCACAAACATGTAAGAACAACGACGGAAGGATGACTAAGTGATATTCAACTGCTTATAGTTTTGGGAATAAATCTACTAAATATTGCGCATATATTCACTCGGCAATACCAGAAAAAAAAAACAATAATAATGATTTGAAATAGTTATTACCGTTAGATTTGTTTTACTTTATCCTGAATTGAAAACTACTTTAAAAAAGTGCCCATATATTAACTTATTCTTAATGAATAATCTCAAAATTGTACCAAAGACATTATAATATGTATTGAAAGGGAACAAAGGTCGTGTAATAACAAGAACTTTTTGTTATGTCCCATTTTTGTGAAACTTATCCCCCTTAGGTATCACATGCTCATAAGTTGCACTCGAATTAAAAGTCCTTACCGTACTCCCCTATTTCATCAAGCAAAAACACTCTACTTCATACAAAAGTCTCATACAGAAGCACATTAGTTTATAGAATATTTGTTATGTAGTTGCAATATTTAGTTTAATATTTTTTTTTTAAATAGATATATTTGAATACTCTTGAATCGAAAACTACTTAGAAAAAGTGTCAATGTATTATCAATCATATGCTACAAAGTACAAACAAATAAGAGATCCATTAAATAAAAATACAAAGATTTTGCAAAACGACCTCATCATGAGGATGATAATTACAAATCTTCCACAATGATTTATATCTAAAGAAGCCTCTCAAAAGTCAAATACAAACCTAAGACGACTCTGTGTGGCTCGGCTCATCTCGTTTAAAAAGAAAGAAATGACGGAGACATAGATTCTCAACTCTCTCTCTTTCTGTCTCTCTGTACATAGAAATGTTTTGTGATCATCAAGCATTGATCTCTGAGTTGCATTGGTTCTCTCTGCTGCAGCTTCTTCTTCCCCAAAACATGCTCGAGCAAGTTGTTGTTTTCCCAAGCCTTTGCCCTTCCTCTACCTTCTCCTGCTCAGTCGTTGCTCTAGTAGGAGAAGACTCATCATCTTCTCCGCTATGTCTCTCTGTCCCATGAGTCTCAAAGTTTGGACACGTCCCTTCGTTGCAGGTGCACATTGGAATGTTAACAGAAGGGAACGGACTACATGTTACAGGACAGAACATGTCAGACGAAACCGAGGCTGCCCTGGTCTTGCTTCTCTGTTGCTGCTGTTCAGTCGCCGGTGACGCTTGATCCGTTGCGTCTCCCGTGTGTAGCATACACGGCGCACAGAAACCAAGCGACATAGGTAACTTCATTTCTCTAGTCAGAGAGCTCGGGAGTCGTTTGAAAGAGACAATGCCGTGTCTGCAAAGAGGACAAGGAATCGACCCTGGAGGCTCAACTGTCACCGAGGGAACATTGCTCGTTGAGCAAAGATATAACGCGCATCTCACACATAGCTGATGCTCACAACCTTCAGCAGCAACAGTGCATGTTCTCTCCAAGCAAACCGCGCAGATATCGACCTCATCTGTCATGGTTGCGGACTGCAAACCGAACTCTCTGCAAGCAAGAAAGTAAACCTTGAGGCCATAGTTTTAGTCTCAAAACACTTGATGAAGGTTTCGTCTTTACCTTGCAATGTTGAGTATACTTAAAAGGGGTAATGATAAGTAGTTGGACTGAGGAAACCCTGGAATGACGACATCCGAATTCGGCGAAAGCAACGGTTCTAACCAATGACGACTCCACATCCGTGCTATGTCAATAGGTAGCCACCTACAAACAATTTTCTAACAAGGTCAGATATTTCACCGAAACTGGTCTCTTGACCCTTGAACATGACACAAAAGCTTGTGATGGAGTCATTTACCCATTGCAGTTCAATGTCATCCTTCTTGCACCTCTTGCAAGGAGAATCTGAACACAGAAAACAGAGATTCTCACAACTCTTCGTCTCCAAAACACAAACAACGAGACAAAAGAAACTAAATTTAGTAGTGTTCTTACCTGACAACATTTCAGATTCCCACCACAAGCGGCATAGTGCAAAGGCGTGCTTCCTGCTCCTGAAATAGTGATTAAGACCAAGATTATCATTATCCTCTCAGGAGCAGAACAAAGATAATGTTGGGAACGGATAGAGATGATACCAATCATATCCATTGATGTTCCATAATGAAATGTCACAGCGGAAACATTGGCTTCAAGATCAAGCAAAAGCTGGACACAGTCAAATAATCCATTCAATGCAGCCATGTGAAGAGCTGTGATTCCACCATCAGCCGCCTTATTAACAAATTTAGACAACGCGCTGCACCATAAAGACAAAATCTTTTTGTTAATAATCAATCAAAACCTCTTGTAGACATAGAAGATGGTTTTAAGACACGAACCTTTGCTCGGATTTGCTCCTCGCTGCGACAACCACACCAGTCTCAGAGAGAGAGTTTAGTTTCTCACTAGGCACAAAATCAGCCAGCACCAGTCTAATACACCTGGCGTGACCATTCACAGCAGCGAAATGTAGCGCTGTTCTTCCAGCTAAATAATCAGCTCTTGTAACCTTGAGAAAGATCATAAGACCATATCAAGAAACAGAAATGAATCAAACTGTATAGGTTTCTTTCAAACTAGTGATGAAAAACAACTCACATTGCATCGAAAGAGCAGAAGAGTTTGCACAACTTCCCAATGTCCGTATCTACAGGCTTGCATCAAAGCCGTCTGAAACAAGATTTTAAACATTCCACCTCATAATTCGAATTGTTAACCACGGACTTTGTAGTCTAGTCGTCACGCATGGATTTAATACTATTAGCTCTAACTTAGCCAATGATTTCGAGTGTTTACCACACTATAAATACAAAATCTTTCTTCAAATTAAGATATGTCTAATCGAAAGAATTGAGCTTGAATACGTTAATCAGCTCAAAATTAGGCAAAGGCTAAACATTTTTCAAAATCACAAAATCGACTAGAGAAAGCTGAATCTCGAATACCTGGCCGCAATAATTTCTCGAATTCACATCAGCTCCGTTCTCGAGCAACAATCCAACGATCTAATACGATAGACAAAGAGAGATAAAAATCAATTTTGAAATTTTTAGAAAATAGGAAGATTTTTGAAAAACGGGAATTAAGAAAAGAAAGGGAAACCTCGTTATGGCCTTTAGCGGCGGCGAAATGCAACGGAGAATTGAGACCACCGAAGGTGGAATACTTGGCGAGGCAAGGATTGCAATCGAGAAGCATCTTCGCCTCCACGAAATCACCATCTCTCGCTGCCGACACCAATCTCTCGCCGGACGCCGAACATCCAAACGAATTCCCCATTTTCTCTCTCTTTCTCTCTCTCTCTCTCTTCTTCAGATGAGAATCAGAATCCTCTCTTTCTCTTGTCTCTCTCAATCTCAAATTCAATTGGATGTGACGAAAATTAGGTCAACCGTCGTGGAAAAGATACAGAGAGGAAAGAATCCGGGATTAGATATGATACTGAAACAGCACGCGAACTCTCTCTCTCTCTCTCTCTCTCTCTCTCTTCTCTCCTTTTCTTCTTTCTCTAGTTTTGTCCGTATGAGACAAAAAGAAAGACAAGGAAGATGCAGCCGGAACATAACTTGAATTTCCTATTTTGTCCCTAAATCTCTGCTTCGTCGACTTCCACTTTCACTTGTCCCACTCAGCTACGCCTAGGTGGCGTCTTTTAACACATCTTCCAGTTTGCTTCTTCTTCTTTTATTTTTTTTCCGACAAGGATATTCTTGTTTAGACGTTTAGTTGATACACATGATTTAAATCGTAGCTATTTTTTTTTTTTTCGTTTTTATGCTCTTTAAATCGTAAATTGTTACTTTTACTTGTCATTTTTATTTTAGTTTCATATAATTATCCTATAACATAAAAAAGATCATTAACAACATCAAATCTTAAGATAAAAGCATAAATGAATAATTATTGATTACCTCTCAATGATAGATATATTATGATTTAGCTTCTCAAAAAGTTTTCAAATCCAAACAAGAAAAAAAAAGTTTTCAAGAAACCAAAAAAAGTTCTCAATTCCAAAGAAAAACAACAACACATCAATGACAAAAAGTTATCCCAAAAGCCACAAAACATTAATAGAGTTACGAAGGCAATGAAAGAGAATGTCGCATCCTGACATTTCTTAAAGTATTATCGATCAATTTCTGTAAACTAGTCACCATCTCAACTGAGCTCGCGGCTGCAGGTTGGTTTGTGATCACCTGGTAATTGGCGCACAAGAGATGTCCTTGTGCTTCATTGCCTCGCGTGATAGTGATTCCGCATGGCAAAAGATGGGCGTTGGAAATATCTCCACTGATGAATACAGCCGCAAGAGACGACGCTTCCAGGCAAGAGTGGATTATCATTGCTGACGAAGAATCATAATAAGTTTCTTGAATGAAAACCGACTCTTTAGAACCAGTGCGCTACCATGATAAAATAATTAAATTAATCTCTCTATTTATAAAATGCTATGTTATCATTATAAATACTTAACCAAATAATGATACACGTACCTCCTTGATGCTGAAAAGAGAAACAATATTCCCAGGACTACGGCCTCTAATGAGACGAACCAACTCCTTAACCTCGCCGTAGGGCTCAAGGTACTCCCAGATTTCTTTCTTTTCCAATGTCTCATTGTTGATTAGATCAAATATTGTCTCCATTCTAACTAGCATTCTACCCATACCGGTAGCGCTGACCAAAATGCAAGGGACCCCATTCATGTCCCGGCTCTCTTGAGTGCACATTCTGAACCGGTTAATCGGATTTTGAACCGTACGGACCCACCTCCACCCTTGTCTTGTCATCCCGAAAACCCCGGTCCAAAATAAGTAAACCATACGCCTAGCTAGATTAAGCAAGTTGGTATGGCAGACCGGGTCGAACACTGCACAAGTACCCGAGTTAAAAACAGGGCTAATCTAAAACCAAACCAAATTCAACAAATAAACAAAAATAACATCATACTTTGGATATGGTGACCCATTGAAAGACTCAGATTGAAGCAGTCGCTGCTGTAATGCCTATGGAGAGCAGCGAGCCATCTGTGAGCACCAAATCCTGAGTTAGGATCAAAAAAGTGTATGCCTTCTTCTTCCTTATAAACCCAATGGTCAATAACGGTTACCTACATTTATTAACCGAATCAGATCAAAGCTATCATCATATCTATAATTAAGCTCGACTGAAGCTGAAACTTACCCTCGATCGACCATTGGCTATACGCTCCACAAGATATCCAGAAGGAAATCTCATAAATTTAGGACGTAAATGTTGCTCATAAGATGTGAAATAGACTGATATATCCGCGATAACCCACATATTGTTCTCTATAAGCTTGGAGCATCTAAGAAGTTTCACATTCCGGGTTTCAGTTGATGGGGAGATTAGTGGCATAAAATCCATATTAATCTACATATAGGATAAATATTAATATACTACCATTAATCATATCTATATATCAAAAGTAACACTCATCTGAAAAAAATAAAATAAAAAACTTTGATATATTTGTACCGTTTGGAATCTCCGATGATGTAATTCCGTAGCCGCGCCTGCGACAATCGATGGGAAGATTTCTGGCCAACGTTCCTAAACAAACATGACAATAAAGACAAACCCACATTTAGTATATAATAATAAAAAGAAACTATTTATTGTTATGAATCGTATGGTTTGTTACACTTACAATATCCATAAGAGTTGTGACAAGTGTTGAAGCTTCAACGTGAACTAGATCAGAAGAAGCTCTTGAAGCCTCATGTACAAACCCAGGGGCATTTCTTGCGTACCAAGGAAAGAAATTAGAGTAGTATCCACTCAGATTCAGCTTATTGCTGTTTGTCCACATGTTGTTCGTCTGCATCGGAATCTCATGCCTCGCAAGAGAAAGAACTTCTCTTACCGCAAGTTCAATCATAACCGCCGCTTGGAAAAGCCAAGTCGAAGTTGAGGCAGTGGGGGCAAAAATACTCCTGCACAAAATCACTCTTGCAATGAAACAAACGAGTGTGTCGCGCTCTGATCTGAGAAGAGCGTTCTCCAATTGTAGGTCATTGACATTCTCTGGAGACATGATGGCTCTATTGTTAGATCTGCTGGCCATGGCTTGCATCATGGCTCTGTTCTGTGCTCTCAACAAGCTATTTTGCGCTCGAAGATGATCGTTCATACTTGATCTTTTAGTCAAAAGAAAAAAAAATAGTTAAATAGCATTTTGTTACAACTACATCCTTATCTGAAACCAAACATAATCTCGCAACAAGTAAAAATCAGAGTTAGTGCCATTTAAAAGTAATATTGGTGAGATTCAATATCCGACTTCTACTATGAAGAATACTTAAGCACTAGATCACACTAATTGATTAGGAGATTTTTTAAAGTCGTAAAACCAAAACAAAACAAAAATTTGAAACTAATTTGAGAATTATGCTCACCTTGATGATTCCACAGAAAATACTCTCGGACCTAGTGTAATGATGAGGAATCTGTAAATTTAAAAATATTATGAATTTGTGAGTAATTCGAGCATTTTATAAATGTAACAAGCGATAATTTCGAGTTTGATTTATATGTATAGATGAAATTTACAAAATCACAGATTCTCGTCTATTCTTCTTAAATCTGAGTTAAATTGATTCAACAAAACTGAATTTATTCTTAATAGAGAGAAAATCAATTAAAAGGAAAAAAAAATTTCAGCTAACCCTCTGTTAACTAGGATAAATTATAAAAGATGTGCTTTTTCGAACGAGTTTCAAACTTAAATACCCGATAGATGGATTCCGATCTTTGAAGTCGACCGAGGAAAAATAGTTGAAGATTTGAGAATGATTCCGCCGGAGTTACAGACTCTCTGAACGATAACCGGTGAGTGTTAATCTTGAGATTATGTGAGTAATAGAAATATCATTAGCTTTTGAAGATTTTAAAGAGAGAAACAAAGATAAGATAATCGTCTTTTCGAGATTTTGAAGATAAAAAGATAAGATTTTAATGAATTGTGTGGATACAAATGAAAAATGAAAACTTCTTTTTGAATTTGGATTAAACCGGTTAAAGACTCTGTAAAAATTTAAAACCCAATTAAAAAGAAATATAAAAGTAACCACGAACCCGAGTTCTTTTAAAGAGGAAAAAAGGCTCATATGAATGGTGGAGTCGAACTCCACATGAGATGACACTGAAAGTAGAGGCAACCACTGATCCGGTTACTCCTCTCAAAACAGACTTATTATCATAATTTATTTGTTTTTAAAATGTACTTATTTGTTTTTTCTTAATTAAAGGCTGTCAACAACCATATACCATATTATGTATATTTGTATTATTAAATTACTAAACTGTAATATATTTGCATTTATTATCTTTGGATTCACTTTTGTCAAAGGAAAAAAAAACTTTACTTAAACAACACTTTTTTCTTCTTCTTCTTTATTACAACCAAGCTAGAAAAAAACAAACACATGAGTGAATGAATAACTCGGTTTTAAAATCCACCCAAACGATCTAGTGAACCTTTCTTTAGTACTCCAAAAAGAGTTTCATGTCACATTAGAAACATAAGCGTGAAAGGCAGGCAAATCCCAGCGCATGTAAACTCCGTTGTGACGCAGTATGCAATACACCACGCAACTCAGTTACTCTTTTACTGTCATGCTCATGCCAACCATACGCGTCCCATAAAACTAGTGTACCGTATTACACGTGTAATTATTTCATTGGTTTGTAGAAACCCATTACACGTGTAATTATTTCATTGGTTTATAGAAACCCACTTTCTCACCCACTCTCAAATAAGGTTTTAATCGTTTCTTACCGCCTTGCAATCGCAAAACCCAAAAACAAAAAAAACAATAAACAATTACAGAGAGAGAGATCAGTAATGGCGGTTGGAGATGATCTGGAGAACAGAATGTCGGTGAAGGATCGTGGGATCGGAAGCGGAGGCGGCGACCAGAGCCGAATCGGACCGCCGCCTATGCCGATTGCGTTGTCGTACTCTGAATTTGGCGATAACGCCTTGTCTTCGCCGTGGACGTCGTGGCTGGTTCCGTTGTTCGTCGTGGCCAACGTGGTGCTCTTCGCCGTCGCGATGTTCGTCAACAACTGTCCGAGCCATGCCGAGTCTCATCGTTTCAACAGGCACTGTGTCGCCGACTTCCTCGGGAGACTCTCGTTCGAGCCTCTCCGCACCAATCCTCTCTTCGGTCCGTCTTCTCACACGTACGTTTCATCCGAATTGGTATCGATGTTCTTATTGCTTGTAAAATCACGTTTTGGTTCCGTTTCAGATTTTTTTTGGATCCTCGTTTTGTCGGTTACATGATTAATTGTTTCTATTTGATAATTTAGAGGTCGGATTCGAAGTATTTGGATGAGTTTTAGGTGAATTTGTATCTGACATGATTGATGTTTTGGTTGAAACTTGAAGATTGGAGAAGTTAGGAGCACTAGAATGGAACAGAGTTGTGGAGGAGCATGAAGCTTGGCGTCTCTTGACATGTATATGGTTACACGCCGGTGTGATTCATCTTGCAGCCAATATGCTAAGCCTCGTCTTCATCGGAATTCGACTTGAGCAGCAATTTGGTTTCGGTAAGATTTTGTGAAACTGTCAACATGTTCTGTAATTTACATTGCTGGTTCGTAGTATCATAGAAATCTGAAATCTCTGTTCTTAAAAATTTGCAGTTAGGATCGGAGTTATATACCTGTTATCAGGACTTGGAGGAAGCATATTGTCTTCTCTGTTTATCAGAAACAGTATCTCTGTTGGAGCTTCTGGTGCTCTTTTTGGCCTCCTTGGCTCAATGCTATCAGAGCTTTTAACAAACTGGACAATCTACTCTAACAAGGTCAATCTCTCTCTTAATACTAAGAACTTGGTTAGTGAGACTTTGTGATTTCTGGTTAATGATTTTGTTGGCTCATATGTATAGATTGCGGCACTCTTGACGCTGTTGTTTGTCATCTTGATAAACCTGGCGATTGGGATTCTGCCTCACGTTGATAACTTTGCTCACGTGGGAGGATTTCTAACGGGGTTTTTCCTCGGTTTTGTCCTGTTGGCTCGTCCTCAGTTCAAGTGGTTAGCTAGACAGAATCTGCCTCTGAGATCTAAGTACAAGCCTTACCAATACCTATTGTGGCTCCTATCTCTGGCTCTCTTGATTGCCGGGTAAAGAAAGAAGAAGAATCACTCTCTCATTGCAGTGTTTGTTAGATTGAATCCTAATGTGAGAAATGATGCTAATGTTTTGGTGGTTTGTGCAGGTTCGTGGTGGCGCTGCTAATGCTATTCCGAGGAGAAGATGGGAATGATCATTGCCACTGGTGTCGCTACCTGCGTTGTATTCCCACCTCAAGTTGGAGTTGTGACGGTGTCTGATTTCCTAAGCGACATGTAAATGCATATAAATGTGATATATAGGTACGTGTATCATATTATTTGGTAGGATCTCAGGATATTATTGTGTGATTCCTTCTGCGTGTTCGTGTGACTGTTTACCTTTTCTACCAGAAAAAAAAAATAGAGAGAAATCAATCAATTCCTTTGTGATTCCCACGTCTTGAGACTTGACATCACTACAAATTATTGAAGTTTTTTAAATCAGACAAATGTGGACCCCTGTCCATAGACGTAACCTGTTGGTACGAGATCTGTACCGTAGGATCTCGTCAAATGAAAATACAGAACAGAGACTGATCGATCATTCTTGTCTGTACTTGTGTGTCGAAAATCTAAATTTACATATTCCACTCACTTTCTTTCTGTTTTTTTAAATCTTTTAGACTATTAAAACAAAATACTAGGATCGGAACTGAGAAACGAAGAATACATCTTCGATTTCTCACTCTGGTTATGAACTAACCGGTCAGAAACTCCTCTGTAACCGGCGACCCCATTATCAGAACGATGATCAAATGATCGCTCTGCAGCTGCTGTGTAGTAGTAATACTGTCCCTGCACTGACCTCTTGTAGCCACTCTCTGAAGACAGCTCTTCTAGCCTCTGTCTTGGCGCGCTTTGTGACCTCACTTTCGCTCTGTAGGACTCAGTGTTAGCCATGTAGTTAGGGTGATACCCGGAGTAGTACTCGTACTCGCTTCTTGTTGGCGTGAAAGGCGTTCTCCTCCTTGAACCACCACTGCTGCTTCCTGGTCTAGACATTACTTGTGGACTGTTATCCACACTTGTCGGAACCACATGAGATCCTCCTCTCTTCCTCGGTGACTCCTTGCGGTAGCGAGGCTTCCAAGTGTCCACTTCTAGGATCTTGTCATTGTCTTCGTTGTAGTGCGACGGTGCGTTCCATAGACTTTCCTCTGTCCTCCATTGGTCTAACAATAACCGGCTAGAACCCATCTGTGAACGGTGGTTGTGGTTGTGGTGGTGGTGGTCCATGGCGATGACTTTGCTGTATTCAGCCTCCGAAACGCGTCTTGCGTGGAAAGATTGTGGGGAAGAAGGAACCATTAACGTTGTAGAGTGGGATGAGTCAGGAGTGTGAGAAGAACGCGATGCTCGGGCTCGAGCCTGGAGCCGAACCAGCGTTTGCATCCGACGCAGCATATCAGCCGTTTGTTTCCTTACTATGTGCCCCTTCACTAACGCTTGAAGCTTCACTAGCGCCTTCAGTGCTCTCAGTGCCCTCCTCGCCTGAATTTTAAAAACATTTTTATTATACTAATCACAATTCACACACCTAATTCAAACCATAAAGAGATGCAAGGAAAAACGACAAAAGGAATAATAATTCTACGTTTAGTTTCCCAACCACTTCATTTCTTCTATATGGATACACACCTAATTCGTTTATTCGAAGCAATATGATCAGATAATCTCTAAATTATGTGCGTTGGAACACATAACCACCTATTAGATTATCATTTGAAGAGTAAAACTAATTAACAATTGTTAAAAAGAAAGGTTTCAACTTTGATGGAAAAAGGTGAGGAAAAGGATGCAACTTAAAGCTCATAAAGCTTGAAATCCCATCTGTAGAAACTAAAGTGAAAAGTGAAAAAAGAAAGGACTTGACTTCTTATTGGTTTATCGTAAAAAATCGAATTTTGAAGTTCTCAATTCTCGCACTCGTAGATTAAAGTACAACCGACCTCAAGCTAAATCTGGTTGGTCAGATTTTGTTTGAGATAATATTTTGGGACCAAATTGAGCATATTCATCTACAAAACCATTAAATAGTGTCGGTAGAGGGAATCGTATCGGCTTCTATCAAGTTTATTGGTTTCATATTGATTTGTCTGTTTTCTTAGTCTTTTTCAGGGACCAGTACAAAAATACAAACTATGCTCATCCTTTATAGTTTTCAGTAATTATTCAAATTTGGGGTTAACTAGAAAAATCAACATCAGACAGCTATTCCACACAGTCCAAAACAATATTTGGGGATTTTTTTTTGTTTCTACTGAAAACATAAGTAAATATTCAAATTTCGAATTTCAGCTTAACGATTAATTTAAGGAAGTAAAGTACTAACCAAGTAGCCACGGAAAGCGGATTGAATCTTCGTCGCTGCTACATACTCTTGAGCCAACCGGCGATTATTCCGATTGTTTTGGGTTACCGACGAAGTTCTACCACCGCCTCTTCCGGTGAGTCTCACGACCTCTGCCGCCGCATGAGCAGCCGCTAGTGCTGCCTCAGCCACCGCGGCGGTGGCAGACGCGACGGCTATCGCATGCTTGTCGGCGTCGAAGCTGTCTTCATCTCCACGTCTCTTGCTTGGATGAGAAGACGGCGCCGATGGAGCCGTCGCCGCATTTGAGGATCTTGTGGTGGTGGAGAAGCTCCATTTTCGTCTGTTGTTCTTCGTCGGTGCTGGTTTCTCCTGCTTCTTACTCCCGAACAGTCTTCCGAAAAAACCCATTCCTACTTCATCGCCGGAAAACCATCGTTCTTCTTGTCGGAATTTTCTCCGGTCGAGGATTTTTGGTTTTTTGACAAGTACAGAAAAAAGAAGAAGCAAAGACAATTGAGATTGGAGAAGCTAAAGTGAGTGTGTGATGCGATATATAGAGTAAGCTAGAACGCGCCTAGGTCATGCGCGTTGGTTACACGCGTCACTAAAAGGCGTTTGTTGACCCAAGCGTCAATCGAAAGTCAATGGGTTTTACGGCTCCGGTCCACTCCAAAGCAAATCTCTGGTTCGGTTCAAACCAATGACATTTTAACTAATCCTTTTGACAACATTTGATTTTTGTCAATTTGATTTATGAATCTCTCTGGTAGAGTGGTAGTTTTTGTACTTTTGAAATTTGAAACCAAATTTTTGAATTGAGTTTTGCCTCGAGTCGGATATGTAACACTACCACGCCTATTATAAAAGCAGGTCTATAATGATGCCAATTATAGAAAATATTCCATAATAAATAGTAATAATGGCGAAAACGATATTCTGTTTTCTGTAGATCTGTCATAAGTATTGAACAAACCGAACAACAGGCCAGATTAAAAAAAAAGAGCACCAAATATCATTATAATTATTTTTAATATATTTATTTTTATTCGTGATGTCTTTTTTGCAGACCAAACTCCCCAATTCCTTGGAAACGACCGTTGCTAAGCACGTATACCTGCACAGTTCACAAAAACACCGTCCACAACAAAAAACATTGACAAAAAGCAAACACTATTGACTAATTAATTTGGAACTATTTTTTACCAAAAAAAAAAATTTAATTGGAACTACAATCAGAAATAACGAATATTTTTTTATTTTCTAATAAACTTACCACAATCGAAAGCGGGGAGGTTACAAAGAGAGGTGAGTGTGGTGGCTGCTCGAAGAGCGTTACATAGACAACTTTTGTTAGTTGATTGGAGGGCAACGCAGCAATCGGAGTTCGGGGCCGGATTGACTGCACCAGGCAGAACCAGCGGCGCACACACTTGCATATTGCTCAGATCGTCTCTGCACTCTTGGGCTCGAACCGTAGGTCCGGTCTCCAGAGCACTCATGGCTAGAAACATCACAAAAAGAATAGCTAGGGACTTGAGAGATTCCATTATATTGTTTTTTAGTATGTTTTTAACTTTTGGATTGGTTGATTTCATCTATATTTATAGAAGATAAACATGTGCATATGAGAGGAAGTGATTCTTTCTATGATCTTGGTCTAGTTAGTTCATCGGTTTTGCATGATATCAACTTGAAGCTAGGAGAAAATAAGAAAGGGTGTGATTTGTGAGTTTCTTTTATAACTGAATGAAGATATACATGCAATTGATTTATTATTTATTTAAAATAAAATTTAAAAAATTTAAACAAAATAGCTAGTGTGTGGCTTGTGAATTTCTAATCCATATCTATACCAATATTTAATCGCTTGCTTTCTAACACTATATCTCATGACATTTAACTATCTTCTTTTTGGCATCCGTCTTAAAGATTCTTACATGCTCTAATTAAGAACTAATCACGACATCAAACAATCCCCTTCAATTAAAGCTTTCAAAACATATAAAAACTCATGCCACACAACAAAAATAATTGAAAACCTCTTCCAAAAATATAGTAACTTTCAAATACATAAATTGAAAGATGGACGACGATTTCCAAAATTCTGGTGCATACCAATACTTCTTCGGCGAAGCTGTTGAAATCACCAAGAGAATCGAGGAATATCGCAGAGAACATGGTAGAATCGATGATTATCCAGTGCCCGTATGCACAGAGCATTCATCAGAAAACATTTCACATATGATCAATTATCAACGCCAAAACCAACCTAGCATGTCCATACCTTTTAATCCCGTTTCATTGGAACATCATTATCCACAAGACAATTCTCATATGATTTATCATCATCAGTTGCAAAACCAGCCTACCGTATTTAACACTCCCCGTAGGCCGTGCTTGAGATGTTTGCTATCGATGAAAATATCGTGGTTCCTAGGGCTATTCACATCAAGACAGAGCTGGAGACCAATACACACTCCAATGCCGTTTCACACGCTTCCTCATTCAATCTCAGGTCTATTACGTGATACGTTTCTTTCAAATGTTTTTGGATTGATTGATTATTCGTGATCATTAGCAACTCTGCTAAGTCTAGCAACGGTTAATTAACCTTTAATATACGTTTGCAGAACAATTTGGACATGGACCAAGCCAACATTCAGTCGATGTAAGAATATCCCAAAAAAAATATTATATTTGTTAATATATCAAGGAAATATGTACTGTTCACGATTTTGTATACAGGAAACACTCCAACGAATACAAGAGCGTGAAAGAGTAAACATAGGTGGAGGAGAACCAGTCAATGCAGGTAGAGGATTAACAGCGATACAAATTTCTCAGTTACCTACTATCAGATTTCAACCTTCTATAGAAGACAAAAAGTATGTTACTATCTCACTTTCCTCACTTTTTCCCCCTTGAACTTAAATACATATGCATGTTTTCTTATTTTAAAATTAAAAGTATTTTTTTTATCTTCTATTATAAATTCACCCACATTAAATAAAAAAAAATTAGCTTTTCCATTTTAAAACAAAACGCATGTAAAAGTTGGAAAAAAGAGCCATACATTAGGGTAAAATAAAATGACCATTTGATTACATCAATGCTGTTAAGAATTGATTACAACTAATTACAATGCGAGTGGGGAAACAGGTGTATGATATGCCAGTCAGATTATGCTCGGGGAGATAAAATGACCATTTTACCATGTACTCACAAATACCACGAAGAATGCATTCGTCCATGGCTCCAAAACAACAAAGTTAGTACCGACTTTTTCTCTCTTTTTCTTCTATTACCAAGATGAAGATTTGCTAATAGATATGCTCACTCCTAGATAGTAGATCCAATCATATCTACAAAGCTTTTCTATTATAAAGTTAAAGTATAACTAGCTTTGGTATTACACTTTTTGTTTTTATTGTTGTTTTTCTTGAAGTTCTTTATATGTATTTAGTGTAGAAAAGAAAAACAAAGAAATTCTGATATGAAGACATGTGATTGAAACAATCATCAGCATTTTTGTGAAATGTTAATGTTTCTTTACTAATGTTTTTCAATGATACTAACATGCACTTCCCTTTTATCTCTCTCACTGTTGCAGCTTTGTTGCGTTTGCCAAAGGGAAGTGGTTGTATGACATTAACTTACCTAATTTGATCAACAGAGGAGCCGACATAATATTGACATTGACTTACTTCACTTTATCTTTGTTTTCCATATATTATAAAATTTTCAGCTCAATTTTATAAATATATAAAGACCCATTTTAGATATGTACTTGTAAAGTAAAGCTAAATAAAATTGACTACACACTGTCGGTTTTGTGGTATTGGATATGCACTACTAGTCCGTCAGTATTAGGCAACAAAAAAAAGAGAGAAATTGGGCCGGGCCTGCGTTTGAAAGGGTTGCTGGGTGTCTTTGTCCGTAAGCTGTTGTTCTGAGTCAGAGACACTGAAACTCATGTGGTCACCTGAAAGCGAGTGTTGTTACCAGTTACCACTACAGGTGGTTTTGTTCGCTCCACAGTTTTTTTCCACAAAATAAAAGGAAGATAAATGTTACTAGACTAATTTTATCACAGTTAAACAATATGTTTGATTTTTCCCAATCGACATTGACGAAGATGGATTATCTGTATTTAGAACATAGACAACCAAACTGATACAGAACATAGAAAAATAAACAAAATACAAAAAAAAAATGTGGGAATCATATAAATAATATCATATAGATGTGTGATTACTGATGATGAGACATAACAACAATACCATTAGCTGTCACTCTTTTATTTATTTATTATATAGTATTTATTTAAATTAGATTTGCAAAAACAAAAATAAAAATGTATTTACTTCCCTTTGTTCAGACGTTTCTTTATTCTTCTTCCTTCTTCTTCTTGATCGTGTTCAGAAATCATATTCATCGCAACCTCTCTCTCTCTCTCTCCAAACTGGATTCTTTATAACATGTGAGATCTCTGATAGACCAGAGACGAGTCTAAGCAAAGCAAAGAATATTGAAGAATGATGAAAATGAAAACAGGAACTTCGCCGCCAGTCATCAGCGGCGGCGGAGGAGCCGGAAGTAGCGGCAATGAATGGGAGTCCCGACCTGGAGGAATGGTTGTACAGAGGCGGACCGATCAGAGCTCCGATGTTCCACGTGTCATTCGTGTCCGGGTCAAATACGGTTCGGTTTACCACGAGATCCCCATAAATTCCCAATCTAGCTTCGGTAACCAAAACCAAACCAATATGAAATTTTCAAATTTTATTTTTCTTTTTGATTTCAGAACTCTGTTTTTGAATTCGTTGAATTGATTATGGTAACAGGAGAGTTGAAGAAGATGCTGTCTGATCAGACCGGACTTCACCACGAAGACATGAAGATTTTGTACAAAGACAAAGAGAGAGATTCAAAGATGTTTCTAGATCTTTGCGGAGTGAAAGATCGGTCAAAGCTTGTTCTCAAAGAAGATCCAATTTCTCAGGAGAAACGTCTCCTCGAAAAAAGGAAAAACGCCGCCATTGAAAAAGCTTCTAAATCAATCTCCGACATTAGTCTCGAAGTCGACAGACTCGCCGGACAGGTTTAATAAACAAAAACAAAACAGAGCTTTCCCGGCGACTCTGTTTTCAGAATTCCGCCGTTTCTATTTCGAATCTGAGATTCTGATTTCCGATTTATAGGTGTCGGCGTTCGAGACAGTGATTAATAAAGGAGGAAAGATTGAAGAGAAGAGTCTGGTGAATCTGATTGAGATGTTGATGAATCAATTGTTGAGACTCGACGCGATAATTGCCGATGGAGATGTGAAATTGAAGAGGAAGTTGCAGGTAAAATTCACATAAAGTTTGATTACGAAATATTTGATTTCGATTATGTTTGATTGATTCGAATTGGATTTTGGTAGGTGAAAAGAATTCAGAAGTACGTGGAAGCACTCGATGTCTTGAAGGTCAAAAACGCAGCCAAGAAAGTTGAAATTAGCAAATCGGTCCGTCACAAACCGCAAACGCAAACGCAATATCAACAACGCGATTTGTTATCGTTTGTAGAGGAAGAGGAGGAGGAGCCGAGGAATTCCGGCGCCTCTTCTTCGGGTACTCCGGCGGCGACTGTAACTAATCCATGGGAGATATTTGATTCCACATCGGCGGCAAAGCCGGTCGAAACGGTTAAACCGGTCCCTCCAAGATTCAAATGGGAATTCTTCGACTAAGCTAAACGCCATATACATACACGATAAATATGTTTTTTTTTTTTTTTTGTTCTTCGATTTCATATGCGATTTGTATTTGTATGATTTGTGATTTAATCTGGCAAATTTTTTTGGGGTTTGTTTAGATTTTTTTGTTGGTCTCTCTCCCCTTTAAGTCAATTCACAAATAAGAGGGGGGGTTTCAACAAACAGAGTTTGATCATCATCATCATCTCATCATTGTAATACCTAAAGATTTGGATTTTCTTTACTATTACAATAAAAGTTTTACCAAAATGTTGTGGTAGTTTTATAAGACTGGTATCTGAATGTTTTTTTTTAGGTTGATCACTCTTGTGGATTAGCATTCATACAAGTTGCGAGATTTCTAATCGCTATGTGAACTTCAAAATACTCCAAATAGCTAGTATCAAATTATTCCGTTTGGTTCATCTTTTTAAGTTGATATGAGAGAGAGAGAGAGAAAAGGAACAAGAAAACAAAGCATGCATGTTGGTAACACATGCCAATCGTATCATTGATATGTTTCTTGTGGAATTGGTAACTTCTGGTGACCAGAATTATATTCATTGCTTCCTGCTAAGGCTACAAAGTCAATCGAAAGAGAGAGAGAAAGAGGAATCTTTGGGATAATCAAATACCTAATCCAATAGTCTATTGACATGAGAAAAGGCAAAGTACAATAAAGTTCATTAAGGAAATGATTTAGGACTTAGTTAATCACTTAATCATAGTATTATTCTTTTACAAAAACAATTTGATCTTTTGATATGATTAAGCCTTTATGGTAACCAATAAGAATGAATGGATTAGTTTTAGGATACATCAAATCATTTATTATGACATGATTGGTATCCAATAAGAAAAACTTTCTTGCGTTTTATCACAAAGATTTGGTATGGCTCTAAAATGTTTCCTTGACAAAAACGGGAAATATTACTTTTAGATTTGTGGCTCTTCAGGAACAGTACTTGGAGTGAAAAATAAGGACTCGAATATAGATTTTGTTCGAGATTTGTTATCTAAGGCTTATGGTATATGAATTTCGTCTAGTGTTAGCAAGTTTAACAAGATGTTGTTTGTTTTCAACATACTGCACCATTTTGTTTGTTTTTTTTTTGATAAAAAGATGTATTTAAAATTTATATTCAGAGTTAGATATGTTTTTTTCGGTAAAATATCTTACAAATATTAAATCTAGATTATTCATGTCTCTTTAAATAAATAAATTTCAAAACTATTTACAGATTTTTATTACTTAAAAACAAATATTTTTATACTACTATTTATGGAAATAACTACTATTTATGGTAACCAATAAGAATGAATGGATTAGTTTTAGGATACATCAAATCATTTATTATGACATGATTGGTATCCAATAAGAAAAACTTTCTTGCGTTTTATCACAAAGATTTGGTATGGCTCTAAAATGTTTCCTTGACAAAAACGGGAAATATTACTTTTAGATTTGTGGCTCTTCAGGAACAGTACTTGGAGTGAAAAAATAAGGACTCGAATATAGATTTTGTTCGAGATTTGTTATCTAAGGCTTATGGTATATGAATTTCGTCTAGTGTTAGCAAGTTTAACAAGATGTTGTTTGTTTTCAACATACTGCACCATTTTGTTTGTTTTTTTTTTGATAAAAAGATGTATTTAAAATTTATATTCAGAGTTAGATATGTTTTTTTCGGTAAAATATCTTACAAATATTAAATCTAGATTATTCATGTCTCTTTAAATAAATAAATTTCAAAACTATTTACAGATTTTTATTACTTAAAAACAAATATTTTTATACTACTATTTATGGAAATAACTGGAAATATATTTTCATTTCTGACAGATTCTAAAATTTAGTCAACAAAAAAATCAAAAACTATATTTTGATAAAATTGACACTGGTAAGATTAATTAACAGCCGTAAAAAAAAGACTAATTAGTAATATGATCACATTTATATATATACATAACATAAACACATGACATTTATAACCATAGATATACTATATATTGAAAAGTTCTCAGACATAACATAATATGCAACACTTGCTGAAAAAAAGAAAGACATAATATCCAACACTTTGAAACTTATTACACAACGAAAACCATACTTCTAAAATATTTGTATATATTATATATATGTATTTGCTTAAATATGAGTTGCTGATTTGAAGTCTTCACCTCGCTTTGATAACATCTTGGAGAACCCTTTTCAGTTCATGTCATTGTCGAACAGAGAGTTCGTGAAGTCGAATTCATTAACCAAATCCTATATAAGAAAAAGTTATACAGAACACATTTAATATGCGCGCGGACTCATAGACTTCAATTAATTATAGACAAATAATTTCTTTTTGATTTTGTTAACGTTATTGTTTTACCTGCTGGTCCAATAACGCCCAGTCGATAAACTCCGGATCAACTTGTTCCTAAAAATCGATTCCAGGTTTCAGCGTATGTTTAGAAAACCATTCGTTGATATTAAGTACTGAATCTAATTAAATGGATATATTTTAGAATTGTATGAATTAGAGGTACCTGAGCATGTTTAGGGTTCATGTTGGGAACTGAAGAAGTCATCTCTGGAGCAGCGAAAGTGTTCGATGTTTCAACATTAGAATGACCCTTCACAACAAAGTCAAAGTTATAACTCAGCAAGACCTAATTCGAAAGTATTCACTCTATTTGTTAGACTAGCCTAAAAATCTTCTAAAAATATGTAAGTACCTGGTTGACGTTAACAAAGGTCCAGTCACCATCTTCTTCAAGAGAGAAATTCTGATTCAGTTCAGTCGAAAAGTTTGCAGGGAGGTCAGAGTTGGTGGTGGGAGCCGCTTCTCCTTGTTGCTGCTAGCATCACATTTCCGACAAACAGAAGTCACAACATAACCTTCATGTAGATATGTTACTGAAAAGATAGTACTGAAGATATATGTATACATACCTTGTTGTGGTCAAACAGAAAGTTACTTATATCCCAAGGAAGCTCGTTAGTACTGCCGAGGTTTTCATCATATAAGTTGAGGTTTTCTAGCTGAGGAACTTCAGGAGGTGGCTGAGTAGTTGCATTGGCAGGTGGTTGAGGCTGATATGAAGTATTCTCATTGTTTAAGAAGGATTGCACCCCGTACGAGAACTGGCTAGGTCCTGGTTGATTGGGAGTCAAACTTCCATAGCTGCTGAGTCCTGGCTGATTAGGAGCTAAACTTCCATGGCTGCTCAATCCTGGATTAGGAGTTAAATTTCCAAAACTTCCGAGTTGATTAGAAGTTAAACCATGGTTAGTCTGTCTTGGTTGACTAGAGTTTAAAATTTCAAAGCTGCTCATTCCTGGTTGATTAGGAGTAAGCAAACTTCCATAGCTGCTCGTTCCTGGTTGATTAGGAGTGACTAAACTTCCATAGCTGCTCATTCCTGGTTGATTAGGAGTAATCAAACTTCCATGGCTGCTGAGTCCTGGTTGATTAGGAGTTAAACTTCCATAGCTGTTTGTTCCTAGTTGATTAGGAACCAAACTTCCATAGCTGTTCGTTCCTAGTTGATTAGGAACCAAACTTCCATAGCTGCTTATCATGTTGTTGTTGAAGTTATTACCATTAGTAGCCGACACTCCCTGTTGTCCAAACTCAAGAACTTGAGATGACTGGCCGGTTTTGTTAGCCATCAAAGCTGGTTCGAAAAAGCTTCTTCCTTCGTTTTGAGATGGTTGTTGGTATGAGAAGTTGAGGTTGCTTATGATGGGCAGGGACGAGCTTGATCCAATACGGCGTGGTTCGTAGGTGGATGACCGGTTCATGTAGTTGTAAGGGCTTTGGTTGAAGCGGACCGGCTCACGTGTGTTGGATAAGAGTCTAGACTGTCCAAGAGCTTGTCTAGGTTTAGAGAAAATTGATCTATTGTTGAGACTTGTTTCGTACCAAGAAGCAGATGGTGGGTAATAGCTGCAGTACGGAGCTCTGATGTGAGCTTGGGAAAACATCGAGTCTATGCCCCCATTCGGCAAAACGCTCAAACCTTGATTCGCAACTTTCCTCAAGAATTGTCGATATTTCTGCGCACCAAACGATTTTGAGTTATTATTCAAGAGTTGTCGATAATCTATGACTCTATGTGATTTGATGATTTTTTTCAAGTAGACACATTCGTAAATATAAAAAGAAAAAAAAGGTTCAAAAAAAAAAAAAAAAATCCAAAAACAACTTTGAAAAGAGATATGCTCAAACCTGTAAATGGCTGGCGACGTTCTCTCTTGTCAAGTATGGTACGTCCGGTGTGGTGTTCATGAACTCTAAGATTTTCTTTGGCACAGCCTCTTTGGAAGATTCAAGTTTAATAAAAAACATAAGACATTAGTTAATTAGCATATATATGTAAATACATATTAACTTGAAAATGTAAGAAAATAATTTGTATATCATGTCTTATATATATATAAAATCAAACACTTACTGTCAAGACCGTGATGGTTGATAGCTTGTAAGAACTTGAAGTGAAGATCATCCGACCACTGGATCTTACTCTTCTTCTTGGTGGGCTGTGGCGGAGACTCAACATCATCACCAGAACTACCGTTTGAATTTCTTTTTCGATCTTTTCCTGAACCATCGGTACTATGACAACTTCCATTTGTACTGGTAACGGATCTTGGATCTGATCTTGATGAGCACTTCTTCTTCTTGGTCTTCAAGACATTAGCTTGTGCAGGAAGCAACTGGATTTGCTGAGGGACACTAACATCTTTGTCCTTCTGGATATTCTCGGTATATAATATGGACTTACCATTCCTCTTATAGGTTAAAGCAAGTTGGTATATCTTGGATAAGTCATCATTTTCGATGGGTTTTGGAATGAAACACATCGCTCCACAAGTTAAACTCTCCTGTTCTTTGTTGGTGTCCGATGACATCACTTCAATATTTACAAAAAAAAAAATGTAAGGAAAAAATATATGATTATATATAGCTTATAATTGTAAAAACATATATAATACAAATTTGGTTTAAGTTGTAAGTAAAAAAAAGTTACCTATGACCGGTAAATTTCCAAATTCTTGATCAATTTGTCTTTTGAGTTGTAGACCGTTCATGCCAGGCATGTAGTAATCTGTGAGTATGAGATCGATATTGTTTCTTTCAGTTTTAAGAGTAGACAATGCTTCACTCGGGTCTTTTACAGCTATAACTGTGATCTCCATAATCGATGGATCTAAAACCATTTAAGCAGACAAAAAAATTCATCAACTAAAATAAGATAATGAAATATTGCAAGTACTAAAAAAGAGAGAAGAAACTCTTCGAATGGAGGGCTTATATACGTAACATAAATTTACTACTTTAGTTATGAGATGTTTCACAAATTTTGACAAGATCATTTGGTTAATTACTTATGAGAAAACATCGATTTGAAGAAAATCAATTAAACTTCGGAAAAACACGTTGTACGCAAACGCGATGTACGGTCATATCATTTTTTTGTGTTAACCACATTTATATTATGCACAATTATAAAGTTATGTTTTTTCACATATTTTTTTCTTTTGTAAAAGTTAGTTTAGATTGACTGCTGAAAAAAACAAAAGAAAAAGACGATAATGGAAGTTCTTTTTTTTTTTTGTCATTTAACAGTGAGATACTAGTATTTTATAAATACACTATTATTCAATAAATTTTTGAAAATTTTACATATTATATTGGTTGGAAGTTTTTGTTAACCAAACTTGGAAAAAAAAATTCAAAATAAGAATAGCCCAATGGAAATTTTAGATGGATGCATGTAACTGGAATTCAACTCCGGATCAGATTATTTAGAAAGATATTTGATAAATTTCAACAAAATACAACTTTCGAAGACACTGAAAAAATTTTACAGTGTTTGTAAGGGTTAGTTAGCTATTCTTTCTCCTGCTCAAAAGTAGTATATATATAGACAACAAAATATTACGAAGAAATATGTTGTTTTTGATTGTAGCATTTACCTCGGTATCTAGATTTTTCAAGCCTGCGTGATATAACTTGACGGAAAACAGTATCATCGTCCACAACCATAAGATTAATTTTCAAGACAGAGCTTTGGTTGTCCGAAGATTGAGCATAAGCCATATTTCTAGTCTTTGTTCACAGTTTTTTTTTTCAAGTCTGTATAAATTATTTAGGCTGCAGAAAGTTCAATATATATAGGTGTGTAAAGTAAACACGCAAATGTAACATTTGGCAATGTTGTAGTGGTGCATATGTAAGCACTATTTGTAGAAAGAAATAATAAAAATATAAGATAAATACAACTTAATTTTATTTATTATTTTAATGATAATATTGAAAAGTAAATAAAGCTGAGAAAATTTGGAAAAAAGAGATACAAGAAAAAAAATACCATTGCTCGGAAATACCGTGTGCCAGTTTATGTAAAATATCTAGACTAGAGTAAGAAAACATTAATGCTATTTACCAATAAAAAAAATCAATCTACTATATATACAATTTTTTGTTTCTAGTTTAGGATTGATTTCAAATAGATTTTGTACATCTTTGATGGATTTGTGCTATAAAGGAAAAATATGAGAATATTGTATGTGAACAAAAAAAACAAAATTTTAGTTTTACAATATTCTAATGTTTTCTTAATACAACTGTAAAAATAATTAACATACTTTTTGTTTTATCAAACTTCAAAATTTACGCTTTCAGAACGCTGGGGAATTTTTAAATATATGATTAAAAAATGTTGCAATTATTTATATAACATTTTGAATTATGTTAGTTTATCTAATTTTTAATCATTAAATCTTATCATATAACATGAAATTACGCGTGTCAAAATCAATTAATATTGTAGATTAAACTTTGGATGTTTTGATCTTTAGAAGCAAAAAAAAATCATATCTTTAAAACTTTTGTGGTGTTTGACATGTTTGGTATCGTTTTGTCAGTATATTATCTACAAATTATTTCCGTACATATTATTAACAATTTTACCGGTAATTTTGTCGTTAGGGTAACGACCAAAACTAAACTATTTCAAAATCAAATTTTATTATTTATAATTTAACATGTCTTTCTAAATAAAGTAGATGGATGTTTAGTCTAAGATTTATTGCTATCAAATAGTCACATCGATATAAAATATAAAAAATCGATAGTGATTTAAATACAATGGATCAATTTATTTTAGTATTCAAAATTTTATTAGTAATATTTGTTATCTGAGTGATATCTCTTTTTTTGGTTAAACCGATATCTGTTTAGTTTTTTGTTTGTAATCAAAAAGTCAAAATCTAGTCAGTTTTCTTTCTTAACCTGAAAATGTGAAAGGGTAGTCCGTTTAGTGTGAACGTTTATGTGAGAAAAGTGTCTTTTAAGTAAACCACTTCACTAAGGTACGAGAATCTGATACTACATTAACACGTGTGTAACAAAAAGTAAGCTGCATGCAATACAATAGATTTGCTGTTAAATGGCTATTAATGTTTTTTCTTTCAGTTTAATTAGACAATAGACAATAAGACACTAGTGCTTTTGTAATTAATTAAGGGAAACTAAAGTGGTTTGTAATTAAGAGTAACTGAAGCATATAAAATCTAAATGTTTTTTTTAATTATGGGATAATTAAAGTAAATTAAGTATGTAGACATTTTTATTATTTAAGCGAGAATTTTAGTTTTTAAAGTATAAAAAAGAAAGTATTTATAATAGCAATTAATTAATATGGTTATCAATCAGCTTCAACTGCCATCAAACACACACACCAAAATCAGCTGTGTTGAATATATTTGTTTTTTTTACAATAAACCGATGTGATATATATTAACTTGTGAAATATTGGTTTCGATCCATAGTTTTGTGACTATTGTGGACTTAATGATATTTTAAAAAACTTACTGTAATAGTAGAATTTATAGAAGTAGATAAAGCAATATATCTACTTCCAACTTCATAGATAAAATGAGGCCTTGTATGAAATTATTTCATATTTTAATTTGGCGTATGTAATTCCTATTCTTAGAAGATTTTTGGATGCTAGAATAGGAAAATGGAGTTTTTAAAAACATTGCACAGGATAAGGAAAACGGTAAATTAAGATTTTATGACATAAATAATGATGTCCCCTTTTCTGCAGTAGTATAATCATAATTCCACCATTATATATATATATATATATATATATATATATATATATATATATCTCATGTTACTACATCATTAGCTAAATAAATATAATTTACTTTGACAGAAAAGAAACAAAATCTAGATGTATATATGTATAAACTAATATGTGGCATTCGTTAATTAAAAACATGTAGATATGTGCAAGTGCATCTAATGGTATTTGGGATATGGTTAACAATTTGTATTCTGTCAACCAAACAAACTCATTAATAATTTTTTTGTATTTCCAAAGCCATAAGCTACTTACGGTTAAACCATACCTTTTAAAAAACACGAATTTACCAAAGAAAAACAGATTTCTGGTCGTGTACTCGCTTGCGTGAGCTCGTGGATACAAACAATACTATCACATATTTGTTGGCGATCCACGACCACGAGGTACTTGCAACAAACACACGATGTTTTTTAACTATGGTTAAAAATAAACACTACATTGATCATGTTATGTTTTCTTTCAGAATCTCTTTTTAACACTAAAAGTTACCGTTGGAGATAAAAACCTTCGGTCAGGCACCGACTGCTATCGTAGCATTACAATTTTAGCAACTCATTTGTTAATTTGGAGATAAATACCTTTGATGTTTCGAAAGGACTTAACTGGATTATCTACTCTACCATTCGTATTGTGATTATTATACAAAAATATGTATTTGATACGATACCTTTTGGCATAGTCAAGTATATCGTGGGCCTAATATATAACATAGGTCCATAAAATATATAAATTGAAGCCCAAACGGTTAGCTTGTACCGAATGATGAATCACTAATTCAAATTGCAGTGCACGTTATGATATACATGCTGCTGTCCTGTGCATATGCAACAATAAAAAAACTAGTAGAGCAGCGATTCAATATAATTGTTCTTATTACTATCCTTTAGACAATGAAACTCACCAGTTTAAAAGCTAGGGTCCATCAATATCACTATCATTCTTTCCAACCAAAATCTGCGTCGGATTTTTGGGTCAACAACAATTTCACTAAAAGAACCAAACATCACTAGTGGGATTAGACGTTGACAAGAAAGACAGATTGTGGACGGTATCAAATTTAGGGTTATAAAATCCCTCAATAATGTCACTTTCCTTTAAAAGAAGCGCAATCCATTTGTCAAATACGACATTATACACTATCTTGTATAGATGGACAGTTTTGTTATCAAGTGTCAAAGTGGATCAAAAAGGAGTTGTAAAGACTACTTGTTGTAGTGCTAACTAAAGGAAGGTGAAGATACTCCATCATTTTTAGATACCCAAAGTGACTTGCACACACATTATCCAATTATACTCCCGCCAAAAGTTGTTAGTTAGAATATTTTATTATTGTTTTGTTGGGTTAAATGTAGGCAAATTGGCGTCGCTGTCCTTTCAGAAATGGAGTGAATAGTGATGCAGTGAGAAGATTGGATATGGTTCACCTTTTCGGTGTCTCAACATGCATATCAAGATGCCTTTTTAGTTTTTTTTTATTAAATTAATCTTTTGGTAGAGTGCGTTCAATTTCCTGCATATTGAACGCTAGCTAGGTCGCCAAAGCCTCTTAAGCCAGTGGCTTTTAGTAGAGTAGCGTTCAATTTATCGAATGAATTTGCTTCACTTCGTGCAATTTTTTTTGTAGTAATTGGTATTTACTTAAATAGACCTTAAAAATGAGTGATAGACAACTATGTTATTCACATCAGATGGTCAGTTTTTATTTAAAGTGGGCTAGGATGGTCTAATGATTTTTTATATGCTATTAACTCATATAGTGAAATCTTAACCTGGAAAATACCTTTCCTTCAAACTCACCAAGTCGGCCTTTCTTTATTAGGGTTTGCAGTTGTTCTATTCACCATTTCTTTATCTGTAAGTTTACGCCATGGGAATCTTCTACTTTAAATTAAATATGCAGTGATAAAAGTTAAAACTAATAACTAATGTAATAAAATAACATTGGTTTTATCAAAAATCAAGAAAATCAAAAGTTTATATTTTCACACTTGGACTAGTTAACTCATGCATGATTTCGTATCAGTTACACGGGGAAGGCTTTTTCTTTCTTTTTCTTTTTTCAGTTACGGGGTAACAAGAATAAAATTGCATGTTTTAGGTGTTTGGCAATTGGCACACAAAGAGCACCACCAATAACTCACAACAGACCAAATCGATATGCTCGAGGATAGAATCGTGTAGACTAAAGAAAACGTTACGTTAAATTGGTAATGTCCGTTTCTATACATCCAAAAAATTTAATTTTATGTAGAAGACAATATAGACGAATACGTTACTCCTCTCCAAAAACGACCAAAACCAATAAACACGAGAGAAGACATATGCATCTCCATGCGCCTTGAAGCTGTGTGTCACTCACAGACATCATTGAAAATGTTGTACTGCCACACTATACACAAGAAGACAACCGTAACCGTTTCAAATTTGTGTTTTGGGTCAAACAACTCAACTCTCTTTAAAATTTTATAATTAATTAGCCCTTCTCTTCATTTAAAATGTTTACTATTCCAATCATAGAGGTCCAATGTTTTCTCTTTCATCGATAAGTATGAAATTCCCTCAATCATATCACCAGTAAAATTGTGATCTACATAATATTTTAAATTTAAACTTTCGCAATTTTAGTAGTTTATCACTTGTCTTGTAAACTAATTAATCTATGGTCATCATAAAGTTGTATATTATGTGGCCTATTGTAAACTAATTAATCTATGGTCTATTCGTACATCGACTAGCAGATATTTATTGAAAAGTTATAGACTTTTGTACTTGTATGTGTCAAATAATAACGTGTTAGATTTGCCAATGCCATAATTTCTTTTATCAAGCGTTAGGGCGATATGTTCGAACCTAAAATCTCTTCGATTTTTTGTCATCCAGGTAAAATTTAAAATTTTCTGATGTTTTTACAATTTTTGTTTCCTTCTAAAATTCCACGTAGCTTTTTTGTTGTGTTCTTTCATTTTTTTATACATAGAAAAATCAAACCACCAATAAGCAATTTATATATTTAACTCAGCTTTAATATGATGAAACGTTCGGTTCTTTAACGCCAAGAGCTGTTGTTTTATACCACATCTTTATTTATTTATCGTTTCTTTTTGCCCTTTTACCTTTTTGAACCTTTTGAATACCACAAAGTACTTATTTTTATATTACTTTTCAGTTTTAAGCTTTTTAACCAATCAACTCAAACGTTTTTCGTGGGATACCACTTGGCGGCATTCACTGACCAGAAGCTGTGAGAGGGTTATTAACGTCTAAATGGGCCTCGTCAGGCCCAAAATTTGCTCGTGTAACCGTTTCACTATAATGATGAAACGGTCGGTTCTTCGATGAAGTTTTGAAACGGACGCTTCTTTGTTTAAATCTTTCTAGAAGCTACTAAACTGCCATCTGTTTAAGGTTTGTCCGTATATTGAAGTTAGCAGAAATTGCGGTGATAATTAAAACAAGTAAAAAAATGGTGATTTTTTACACGAAATTGTTGTAAACTAGTAACAAAAAGGAATAAACAAAAGTTACAAAACGAAGGTTTTGATTGATCCACAAATAAAGACAAAAGATTTTAAAATGAAAATGAAATAAACACTGACGTCACTATTCCCCTACGTCTAAGTTTCCCTCTCCTACCTATAAATATAACTATTTTCTTCTCCACTTACATGCCACTAAACTAAAAACATAAGCCACTTTCAAGCTTACAAGCATACTTATAAAGATAAATGGCAACGGAATGCATCGCAACGCTTCCTCAACGATTCAGTGAAAACAAAACCAAAGAGGATCCTTCCATCTTTGATGCAAATCTCCTGAATCAGCAATCAAACCACATACCTCAACAGTTCGTATGGCCCGACCACGAGAAACCTTCCACAGATGTTCCACTTCTCCAAGTCCCTCTCATAGACCTCGCCGGATTCCTCTCCGGCGACTCCTTCTTGGTCTCCGAGGCTACTAGACTCGTCTCGGAGGCTTCCAAGAAACATGGTTTCTTCCTAGTCACTAACCATGGCCTCGATGAGGCGCTCTTGTCTCGTGCATATCTGTTTATGGACACTTTCTTTAAGGCTCCGGCTTGTGAGAGAAAGAAGGCTCAGAGGACGTGGGGTGAGAGCTCAGGTTACGCTAGTAGCTTCGTCGGAAGATACTCCTCCAGGCTCCCGTGGAAGGAAACGCTGTCGTTTAAGTTCTCTCCCGAGGAGAATTGTCATTCCCAAACCATTAAAGACTTTGTTTCTAAGAAAATGGGAGATGGATACGAAGATTTCGGGTAATCAAATTAATTAGCAAATATTTTTTGGAACTTTCTTTTGTATGTTTTTCCTTCGACAATGACGCCTTAAGCAGAAAAATTATAATATCCGACAAAATGATTATTTTTTTTTTAAGAAAAAAAAAACTGAAATTTGGTTGATTTTATCCATGCAGAACGGTTTATCAAGAATACGCGGAGGCCATGAACACACTCTCACTAAAGATCATGGAGCTTCTTGGAGTGAGTCTCGGAGTCGAGAGGAAACATTTTAGAGATTTTTTTGAAGACAGTGAGTCGATATTACGATTGAACTACTACCCACCGTGCAAGCAACCGGAGCTTGCATTAGGGACAGGACCTCACTGCGACCCAACGTCTCTAACCATACTTCACCAAGACCAAGTCGATGGTCTTCAAGTTTTCGTGGACAACCAATGGCAATCCATTCCTCCTAACCCTCGAGCACTCGTGGTGAACATAGGCGACACCTTCATGGTACTTATAGCATCCCTTATTATATGATCAATGCATGCATTACTTAGTAGATCGAATTTGAACAAATTTTGTTTTTTTTTCTTTCTTAAATCATATTCAGGCTCTGACAAATGGAATATACAAGAGTTGCTTGCACCGGGCGGTGGTGAATAGTGAGAGAGAAAGGAAGACATTTGCATTCTTCCTATGTCCGAAAGGAGACAAAGTGGTGAAGCCACCAGAAGAAGTAGTAGGAGGTGGTGAAAGAGAGTATCCTGATTTTACATGGTCTATGTTTCTTGAGTTCACACAGAAGCATTATAGATCAGACATGAATACTCTTGACGAGTTCTCAAATTGGCTTAAGAACAGAAAAAGTTTCTAAATTGAGGAGACAATGTTGTGGCCCAGAAGGTGACGTGTAGCTATGTAAAGAGCTTTCATGGGTTTTCTTAAGGGACAAGAGAGATAAGATGTTCAAGACTAGTTTAATCAGCCTTTTGTTTTTTGTTTGTTTTTAACATCTTATGTTGTTTTGGTGTAAACAAAATTAGCAAATAAATAATATTATGTACTCCATTGGTTCGAATTATATGATCTGGGTTCGTAAATAATGTGTTTTATATATATATATTCTTTAATTACTGTCAAAATCTTAAACGAAACGAAGGAGGAGTATATTTTGAAAGTTAAAAGACATAGCTAATGTATGAATTATCGAATGAGTTTTTTCAAAGTCTGCAAACGTTCATAAATTTTTAAGAGGACAGCTAAGAAAATCAAGTCCGAGAAAGAGAGAATTGCCATGTGGAACAAATTATAATATGCCTGAGCAGAAAAACATTTAAATATTTGTTTTTCATATTTGTATTTGGAGACATTTTCTTAATAAGTTTAGTGGTCCATTTGTCGAATCTGATGTCCACTTGGTCTTGTTGACAACCTTAATATTGACACTTTGGAATAATGTGTTTTCTATTATCTGGCTAAAACCCTATGATGCCAATCATTCAATCCGAAGCTACAAATTTATCATAAATTGATGTTTTTGTCAAAGTTTTAAATAGGGTTGTTATGAAGACGTAAGTATATACTCAAACTGATGTTTTATTTTATGATAGAAGTAATTAATAGTGAATAATTAAAGAATATATAAAAACACATTCTTTACGAACCCAAATCATAATTCGATCCAATGAATCATTTTGAACAGATCAAGGGACAAGAGAGATGGTTATTGGAAACTATATTTACAAATCATAATATATAGTTTACTTTAAAAAGGAAAAAAAAAAATCATATGAAACACCAATGTAATGGAAACGTAGAATAACAAAACAGCAGAAGACCGTGCGTCGTTGCTCTGTGAGGCTGCGATCGAACAATGTATCAAAGGCTAAAGACAAAGAAAAATAAAAAAATTCAAAACCTGGTCCCAGCAAAAAAATCAAATAAAACAAAAGTTGAATGATTCATAATTTCATTTTCATATGAATAGTATTTGCTGGTTCATTTTTGACTCGACACTCGAATTCAGATTCCATCAAGTGAGAGAATTGAATTACGCAGTGAAAAAAAATCAAATTTCGATTCGACCGCAAGAAGAAGAAAAAGGAAAATCAAAACAAATCGATCCCACTGGCTAATTTGTGTGTGTGTATCGATAAATGTATGAATGTATCTGAAGTTTTGGATGGTTGTACTTGTGCCATGTAAGATGACAATGTACTTGCTTTTGTCGTCTTCTTTTATTTTCTTCGAAATATAATCTACGAGATGATAAGGAATATATATGTAACGATAACATAGGTTAAAAGTTTCCTTTTTTACGCCGTGGTGAAATACGGATTCTCTCATACGGATTAATCCGAGGTATGAGAGACTAACAAACTAGCATATGTAAACAGAAAATAAGTATTGATTAGACTTTTGTGACAAAAAAAAAAATATAATATTAGACTTATATAGGAAAGGACAAAACCACACAAACGTGAAATTTGTTTTGATTGCAACTTGCAAGTATAGAAAATAAATAGATAAATGAAAAATAAAAGTATATGAAAAGGCCCAATGGGCCATCCCCTACCTCTCATATGGTAAAAGAGGCCCTCTCCACGTGCTTCACGTGCATCTCTTTTGTCTCCTTTCTGCCGTCTCATTTACACGCTTCACGACAGCGATCTTTTATCCACTCCAGCTATACGACACCGTATTAAGTATTTCTTATTTAATGTTTTTCATTTTCTCTCTGTTTTTATCTTTTGGATTGGCCGATTGGGTATTCTAGTTTTTTTTTTTTTTTAAATGTATATGAAACCGGATTCTAGTTCATAATACAAAAAATAATACATTCGTACGCTTGCAAATAAAAGAAATGGTCCAACAAGTGAAGAAAGAACAAGCACCAATAGTCAATAGATAACTTGTTGCTCTCTCGCTATCACAATGTTGTTAGATCTTCAATATCTCACAGTTAGGTATCGTTTCAATCAGCTCTCTCGGTCCTACTAATATACAAGGATAAGTAAATCTATTTGCTCTTCATCAGTTCAATTTTCTCATTATCTTTTGGGTTTCAAATAACACCATCTTATGATTTTTATGTAAATCATTATAACTTTTAACCAGGATCGACTTTCGACTTCAAGTATATATATATATTATTTTTTTTTTTTTTTTTCTGATCCTCGTATCATATGCTATTAGAATTAACAAAATTCTATAGACTACAATTAGCCGTATTTGTAGATTTGTTTGCTTTGCTACCTTTAACAATTCGATTTGATCAATATGGAGAAAAGGAAAGAAAATGGGGATAAATTGGATTTAAAAAAAAATGATGCTGTGTACTGTGTAGAGATGAAAAATAAATAATAATTGGTTTTGATATTTGTTTTTGCCAGAAAAAAATAAATATCTCTTTGTCATATGTACATGCTACATGTCAGAATTTATTACATCATATATCATTTGAGATACTTTCATAAAAAAATGTCTTTTGTACGTTTCCGAATAAGATGATACAAAAACCGGAAACTTAAAAGCTACATTAATTCCAAAACACATTTTTTCAGTATTTTTCTATATACCAAGCATACATTGTTGTCGTACATTGATGCACAGACAATTAGCAATTCTAGTAGTATAATCGAAAAAAATGGTCTTTTGTCTTCAACGAAAAACTAAAATTGCAATGGCCAGAGATTACGTCGAGGAAAGGGTTCTTATATATTTGTTTAAAGTGATTTCTTGAATCTCGATCCATTGGATCTTATAGATACGTGCGATTTGGATTGTTGTGATTCACATTTTTTTTTTATAGTATTGATACTTTTGTGACTAAATTCATCAGCTATTAGTTTGGATCGTTGTAGAAAAGTAGTCGTCGGTCTAATATGAAGTATTACCATTTTGTTTCTTATGGGCCTTGAAACTTAGCTTTTGTATAAGTGGATCGAAAATTAGGCCTTGTCGTCTCCTGATTGGCCTCAAGTATTAGAGAATAATGGAAGTTTCAAAAACTCCATGGATCTTTTTTCTTATGACCTATGGTATACACTGGTGGATGAAAGAGAAGTTATACAGGATTGAGTAAGCTCAATCAAAAGTTCCAAATATTTGAATGTAAATAGTGTTTTATAGCGAGTTTGTAGCTTGATCATGTGCAGTGGTAAAGATAATAGTTGCAAGCCGAATCATGTGAAGTAAACCAATCCATACGTATGCAAAACCAAATCAAATAAGATGATACATTATTACATACCAAGATTCCAATGTGCAAAGAGCGATTCATCACTCACAAAGTAGACATACTCCACATTTATTAGACAGAGATAGGGAGCAATAGAGACTTACAAAAGCAATGTAGCGCAAGCCATACCAAATGCTTAGGATGTACGATACCGTTGGCACTGATTGAAACCATACCAAATGCTTTCAGGGACAAACGTGTTGTAATAGAAAGTGACTGCCCTGGAGCCATAGCTGAATATCTTAACGCTCCCTGGAACCCAACCATCTGGACCAGACCTGTAGAGATAGACATAGCATATCTGGTGTGCACATGGTCCGTTTATCTCATATGTGTCTGATGAACACTGCTCAAATGCTCTTCTCCCTGGGTCGTCAAGCCTCGGTGCGTATACCTGACTCAGCAAAACACAGCAAAGATGCATTCAAAGTTACAACACTAGGCCTGACCGATCAAACCGGTCTTGATATCAGAGTATTTAACCGGACTGTCATAAATCTGACCTGATTTCCGTAGGCATCGCCGAAGGAGAGGCTGATCTGGTCTCGAGTGTACCTTGGTGAGGAACAGCTAGTAGAGATGATCACTGTGTAACTACAGCTTCCGAAATTCTGCATCTTCCGTCAATAAATCAGAAGGGGGAAATGGTATACAGAGCAAGAGAGGAGTAAGAAAACAGAACCTGAATGAGGCTGGGTTTGAAGGATTCGGCGGCATGAGGCCTCGAGGCAATGGATCCAGAAACAGAGAAGACGAAACAGAGGAGGGTGAGAAGTTGCAAGGACGCCATTCTTGACATTGCTGCGGAGAGGAAGGAAGAGAAAATATCAGAGTTGTGTTAAACACTTTTACACCTTTTTGCTCCGAAAGAAATTACACACGTGTCACTAAACATTAATGTTTTACAACAACTAAAGAAGACTTTGGTTTTCCTTTTTCTTCAGTCAAATGATTGCCTGTGTTTTGTAGCTCGTTTGGTTCGGGAAATCTGTAATGGCAAAGAGAAAAAAAGATGAAGAAAGACAGTAAAAGACCTAATTTTTGTAAGCAAGAAAATCAAATTACAACTGAGCATTACTAAATCAAAACAAAACAGTTCACAGTTAGTCCCGATTTTAGTTGAAGGACACGTTCAAGCAGAGGGTCCAAAAAAAGCAAATTTGTCGAAAGGTAAGAGTAAACAAGTGAAAGCAGAGCAAAAAGATGAAACGGTTGCGTGGCGCCACTTCTCCCATATGAACTCCACCTGCTACTACCAGACAAATTCCATGCATTCTAGTTTTCAACAACAGTTCAATGATATGTCAAACAAATAATATCAAAATTTAAGGTCGATTTATGTCTTGTATGAAACTGAAATCAAATAAGCCTTGTTGTCCTCATCATCAAAATTTGATTCATGTTTATTGTCTCAATTAAATATATATTTTGGTAGTTCAATTGTTATATAACACTTCTCAGTTTATGAGTAAATGCTCAACTCAATCGGTAAGCATTGAGCGATGTTAATGATCACAAATTAGCATATATCTTTCTAATGCTCGATAATTTTATATTATCAAAACGTTGGTCCCAGTGATCATCATAGCTAAATAGAAACTCATGCATACGCACTTCATAAGTAATTATGTTTTCAACAACGTTGAGGCTTAACAAAACATATAAAAAGGAAAATAACAAGTCGTCTCAGGCTACCCAACATGGATATTGAGCAACCCTAACGCACCATTGCGGCGGCCATCGCAGTTGCAATGACAAACACAAGGAAAACACTCTCACTATCGCCACGCCGGGAAGCAGCAGACGGCCGTGGTGGAGACGGTGGTGGGATGTCAGGTGTTTCCGGTGGGAATTCCGGAGGAGGAAAATCGGGAGACGATGGCCGGCCTGTGGTGTTGCAGTTGTTTTGGCCGTACCAAGTGTTTTGAGGAGCGCTCTTGCTGAAATCGAATTTTACAGCCTTTGAACCTTCTGCGTAGATCTCGATGGACTCCGGGACCCAACCGTCGGGTCCAGTCCGGTTGATAGAGATGGAGCATACAGGACTATCCAAACATTGACCTCTAACTTGGAATGTGTCCGTCGAACACTTCCCCAAACCCCCTGATTCTCTTACCGATCCGCCAAGTCTCGGTGCATACACCTAACAACTCGGTGTTACATGCAAATAGAGTTTGTATAGTTAGAGTGATAGACAGACAAATTATGGTGAGATGAGACATTTATCTAAAAATTGTTGCTAAAAATGAGCCATTTTAAGCTAAATGGAATAAACATTTCAGTTTTTCAATTAAAATCAAATAAAGGGAAAGATCCTTTAGTTTTTTTTTTTTCTCTCTGTCACATGCATTGACCTATATACTTATCTCATTTGGCTTTAATTCAGTTGATTATTTTCATGTTAACCATTTAGCACAATAAACTTTAAACCGGAGTTTCCTTGTAACTAACCTGGTTACCATCGGCGTCGCCAAAAGCGATATTGATCTGATCCCTAGTTGACTTCGGAGAGCGACAGCTCGTCATGACAACCACCGTATACGGACATGTTCCGGCTTCCATCTACATGATTCCCCCGAAAAATAACAATATTCAGGAAACGACAAAACCGGTTCTGGTTTGTTGCTAGCCCAAAAAAAATTAAAGAGAAAAAGCAAGAAGAACCTGGATGAGGCTGATGTCGAAGGCATGCGTGACGAAGAAGAAGGCGAATGAGAGAACGGAGAAACAGAGAGAAGGGAACGTCATTTTAGGTCAGAGATTTTGTGTGTGTAGTGATGTTCTCAAGAGAAGAGAGAGAGAGGCTCTCGAGAGGGTTTATGTAAATGCCTGATGTTCGTCGTCATCAGCTGCCACTAATTTCCTCATGGACACTTGGCACAAGGAATCAATCCTTTGTGATGCCAAGAGTTATGTTAAAAATAATGCTTAAAATCTGCAAAACCTTGAAAATAAGATTGGGTAAAAAACAATTTGGGCCTGGCTGGGCTTTGTATTTTTCTGTTTTCTCATGCTTTAGATTTGAAAATTAAATCAGTTATTAAAAAAAAAAAAAGGGAAATTAACGACAACCACACCCACCAACCGGATCAATACAACCAACGCCACACCTCATTTATCGTTTCGGAAAAAATGACAATAAAAAGTAAAAACAGTGAAAGAACTCATAATAATAATATAATTGAACTGGTCTAGTTTGGGCTAAGTCTAGAAGACGTGCAAAGTGGTCTTATTACAAATTAGAACCATGCACCGTTCGAGTCTAAAAGCGTAGAGTTGCGTATATAGCTGAACCTCCACCTCTACTTACTTAGATCATGTGGATATACGAGCCCCATCTCTCCTTTTACCTTCACGTGTATTTCGTATTTACTTCTTCTTTTTTTGCCCTACCGCTATATAAAATGGTCACCAAGTTTACTGTTTTTACTTTTTACTATAGCAATTGAAAAATTGGTCATGGCATTGACCAAGTAAATCTAAAATTAGGCTAATTCAACATCGCTCATATTTATGAGTTTCGCATGTGCATGCTTTTATAGTGTGGTCCGAAATTGAACTCCATCGAAGCAAGTGGCCGAGAAGCTACATCTTTTTTCACCGAATATTACTTATACTGGCAACAAGGGAGGGTGATACAAAAGTTCAAAATGATCCCAACAAATCACTACATAGAGCATTTTCTCATAACTGAATTTCCTGAAAAGGAATCGTGTTTAATAAAAAAAAAGTGTTTAGGCCTGTTTCAAAAATAAAAAATAATGTGCTCCTTAAAGATTGATGACTAAACAAGTTGCTGAAGGAACGAACCATAATAATTATTTTAATTACACAAAAAAGTAGTCGTAAGGCATTGTTTGTTTTAAATAGTTTGTTTCTTTTTGAACTTTCATTGTTTGAAATAGTTGGGACTTGAGAGACCATATAGACACTTATACGTGTCTTACACCAATGAGGACAAAATAAAATCAAAGTAGAGTCCTTGTCTTAGTGTACGTATAAGAAAACTGCCAACAGGAAAATTGAAAGGTACAGTTCGAAAGTAATTTACAAATATTTGCTAATATCTTCGTTTCATTATACATATGTTTTTTAGCAAATTCCATCTCTTACATTACTACATTTTCAGTTTCAAAGAAAAAATACTATATTTTAAATGGCATAATTCGTCCAAGTCGGTCAATTTGGAGCAGAGTTTCTTACAACGAAAATGAGCTAGGGATAAACATATAGTTAAGATTTAAGAATGAGAACATGTGATTAGTCCTTTATAAAGCACATGTAACTAACTATGCTATGGTGTAAGTATGATCTGCTAATTTTCACTATTGCTTTGGTTTGCCCTTTAGAATATACACAGATCTCTAAAAGGTTTGACCAGTAATAGGTCGTACTAACCAAGATCGGAACCAGCGAGAGGAAGAAGATACGGTCGGTCCATATTAAGCTAAGAAGACCAATTTTTCTCACGTTACCATATAAATGATATATATAAGTTTGTAAAATTCATCTTTATTTTTTTTCTGATGTCCGAAACTTGGAAGGGAGAATAGAGATGAGATTTTGACCAAGAAAACAAAGAAACAAGAAACGAGATTCGGCACAGTGGAAGATGCCAAAGCATTAGGGCAAATGAGAACCAACGAGATCAAAAGATCGGTTTGATCGGACGGTTGGGGCTTAACCAATCTTTTTGAGATATCTTATGGGTCCTACGGTCTGATTTGAATTCCGACCCGTCAATTCTATAACCTTTTGAATGTGATAATTAATGAGAAATTCGCATGATAGTCCCTAACAAGAAAACTAATGTTCATTTCGATTGTGATTATAATACTAAGATTACTAGATAGTTGTCTATTTTGTAACAACAAAAAATAATCACATCAGACATAGTAACACAAAATTCTAATACAGTACTGAATAAAATTTTAGGAAACACTTTGGATGAGATAGTAGAAAATTCAAAACCTATAAGAAAACGAAGACAGTTTCGATAGAGAAAGAGTAACAGCTTTATACGAGCTATCCTATTATAGCTTTAGACACGATCTCTGCTCTTATTTTGTTTGAACATTGATGCCACAGTGTAATTACTGTTCACGTTTCGTTTCTTAATTGTTACATATCACTTTAATTTATTGCAATCTACAGTTCTACCAACTTATTCGACCTAGCGGTTTAATGTAGACGGCTAGACGCCAAGATTAATCAAAAAGGTTATACTCCAAAGGAGACAAATCTTATCGATGTTTATAAAAGAATCATCAAAAACTGTAAAAATTACTGCAAAGCTGAAAATTTTAATCTTACAACGAAAGGTCAGTAAAAGGATAGCGCTAAACCAAACCGGTCCTAACCGGTTTCTGGCTTCTTTTAATCAATCGCTATCAAGCATTAACTAATTTTCACAAGGAAGAGCATGGTCTAATTCTCTACGACGCAGTACACGAGACATTTCTTGTAGGTAATATATGCACCGTTGGATTAATATATTTTTGGATGCACGCGCGCGTAAACGGGATTTTTCCCACAGAGGAATGTCTTTTCACCGGGGTCTTAAAAAGACGTTCTCACTGCATTGGAAAACGGCGTTTTTTTCTTGTACAACCGTCGCCGTCAAATCATGCGGACAGATCTCCGTTTTCTGTATTCTTAACGCCGTTACTATACCGTTAAACCAAAATCATCTACCGTGTGTGCTGACTAAACTAGAAACAAAATTAAATCATTTAGATCAGTGTGTCATTAAAGATGATCGAAGATGTTTTAGCAGAGTTAAGTAAAAGAAGTGTGATACACAGCAAAATGAGGAAATGCGTATCGGTGTATGTATATGCCCTGACATTATTTGTCGTTGTCTCAAAATACTAAAGTTTCTCTCTCATGACGTCGGAGCTCACCCCTCTAGTTATGTAGACTGTCCTCTCTCTCTCTCTCTTCTTTAAACATCACTGCTCTGCATTCCTTCCAGTTCACGCTAATCGCCTGTGTCGGTCCCCTCTCACTTTTCTCCAACAATGGCAGAACGACTCTCTACCCTTTTCGCTTCTTGCTAGAAACTTCAAAGGATCTGGCTTTCCCTAAACAGAAACTAAAAAAATCTCTTTTTTCTTCTTATTTTTCTGGGTTTGTTGTTGTGAAGAAGAGGAGGAAGATGAAAGGCTTGGTTTTGTGTTTGGGGTTGTTGGTTTTCATGCTTACCGGTTTTGTTTCTCCTATGAACAATGAAGGTTATATACTCTCTCGAGCTTCTTTCGTTTGTCTGTTTCTCGTGATTTTCCGAAAAAAGTTTCGATTTTGGGTTGTTTAAAGTTGAAAAAGCTATGGTTTTTGTCACTGACGAAGAAGTAACTAGAGAGCTTTCACTAATTTTGACTGGGTTTTTCCAGAAATTAGGGTTTAACGGTTCCTTCTTTGAATGTGTAAATGCGTCTTCTTTGTAAGAGATCACATCTACACTGCCTGTTCCCGAGAAAGCTAAATTTGAAAACTTTTTTCTTACCCAATAACCATTTGCTTCGTGCTTCAAAAAAATCCTACTTTTAATTTCCCAGAAATGCGATGATGATGAGTTCGGGGTTCTGTTTGGGATGTGGGGTTTTTGGCATGTGGCTGCTGCATATTTTAACCATTTGGACTATCATCAATGTCAAATGATTAAATTAATCCCTTTGATTTGTTTAATAATTTGTAAAGTTTTGATTTTACACAGGGAAAGCGTTGATGGAGATAAAAGCCTCATTCAGTAACGTGGCGAATATGCTTCTGGACTGGGATGATGTTCACAACAATGACTTTTGTTCTTGGAAAGGTGTCTTGTGCGATAACGTTAGCCTCTCCGTCGTCTCTCTGTAAGGATCTTTTGATTTTATTCCTTTATGTTTTTGTCTCATTTGATTCAGATTTTTCTGATTTGACCTTCTTTATTGTTTTTATTTGCTGGAAGTAATCTGTCCTCACTGAATCTTGGAGGGGAGATTTCACCAGCGCTTGGAGATCTCAGGAACTTGCAATCAATGTCTGTCTTCTTGTCTTTCATTAATCTTTCAAGTTTGTGACCAAAATTTGAAGAAGTCTAGAGAGTTTGGTTCCTTATGAAGCTCTTGTTTTTGCCTATAACAGAGACTTGCAAGGAAATAACTTGGGTGGTCAAATTCCAGATGAGATTGGAAACTGTGCTTCTCTTGCTTATGTGTAAGTTTTTGTTGAATGTTTATCTTCTCAAGTTTAATGAAACTATTTGATCTCTCCTTATTATGCAATCAATTTTTATTTTATTTTTGTTCAGGGATTTCTCCACTAATTCCTTGTTTGGAGACATACCGTTTTCAATCTCTAAACTCAAACAGCTGGAGTTTTTGTAAGTCTTCGTTATCTTTCTCTCACACATGTACCCTTTGCCCGTTTTGGCGTTTTTTTGTTAACTTGTTCATATTCTGGCTAATGCAGGAACCTAAAGAACAATAATCTTACAGGCCCAATACCAGCAACCTTAACCCAGATTCCTAATCTTAAGACACTGTGAGTTTCCATTATCCTGCCATCTATTTATAAGTCAATGGTATTAAAAAAAAGTGAACATTTCAATGCTAATAGATTCTTTGCATATGATTCTGCAGCGACCTTGCAAAAAACCAGCTCACTGGTGAGATTCCGAGGTTACTCTACTGGAATGAGGTTCTACAGTATCTGTAAGTTCATCTACTTTATCTCAAGTTCTTAAGGCAGTCGGAGATTTACCTTCTGACTGTGATGTATGATCCTATTTGCAGCGGTTTACGTGGGAATATGCTGACTGGGACATTGTCTCCTGATATGTGTCAGCTCACGGGGTTGTGGTACTTGTAAGTGAATCCGGTTCTCTCATTTGTGCTTTGCATTAGTCTTTAAACCCCTCCCGTTTTTGAGTAAGTTGTAAGTTACTCTTTGCTGTTGTTAGTGACGTGAGAGGCAACAACCTAACTGGAACTATCCCGGATAGCATTGGCAATTGCACAAGCTTTGAGATCCTGTACGTGTCTTCTCCTTATGTTACATTCTGAATATTTAGCATAGAACTCAGGTGGACTTATTTGTCTTTTGCATAATCAGGGATGTGTCTTACAATCAGCTAACTGGAGTAATACCCTACAATATCGGTTTCCTCCAAGTAGCTACTCTGTAAGTATTGTTAAGACTCTCTAAACCTCTTGTTCGGTTGTTAAACTATTTCATATGGTAAAGAGGTGATGGGTTCTCTTGCAGGTCACTTCAAGGAAACAGGTTGACTGGTAAAATTCCGGAAGTGATTGGTCTGATGCAGGCTCTTGCTGTTTTGTAAGTTCTGTTTATATAGAAAAACTTTGGTGTCGTTTCTTGGCTTCTTCCTCTTCCGACTCTGTGAACAAATTATATATGATGCCTAGGGATTTGAGTGACAATGAACTAATTGGGCCTATCCCACCAATACTTGGCAATCTCTCATTTACCGGAAAACTGTGAGTCTCTTTCTTTCTTCTCACTATGTGTCATGCAATTGTTCTGATCTTCGCAGTTATGTAACAAAGTTTCTCTCTTGAAATTAGGTATCTCCATGGCAACAAGCTCACAGGACCAATCCCACCCGAGCTTGGCAACATGTCACGTCTCAGCTATTTGTAAGATTCATTTCAGACTCCAATATCTGTCTTAAAGTAAATACTTAAGCTTATCTTTTTGAGGGTTTGCGGTTATACAGGCAACTCAATGATAATGAACTAGTGGGAACCATCCCACCTGAGCTTGGGAAATTGTTGCAGTTGTTCGAACTGTGAGTTTTCATCCACCAGAATTTCAGTTTTTGTGCTTCAAGATATCATTTTTATCCTATTAAGCTGATTGGTGGAACTTTTTACCATTTAGGAATCTCGCAGACAACCATCTTGAAGGGCCGATTCCATCTAACATTAGTTTATGTGCTGCTTTGAATCAGTTGTAAGATATGCAGTAACCCTTTCATAATTCATGCTTCTCCCTTATCATTACCTGTTCTCTTTACTGAAAGGTTATTGTGCCTTTCTTGCTCTCAGCAATGTGCATGGGAACTTCCTAAGTGGATCGATACCACATGATTTCAGGAATCTTGGAAGCTTGACCTATTTGTAAGTTTCAAAAGTTGCACAAGCAGCATGAATCTCTGGACTATTAGCAGGCCTTTGTTGATCTTGATTCATTGCTTTTAATTGCAGAAATCTTTCATCAAACAGTTTCAAGGACAAGATACCTGCTGAGCTAGGCCATATAATCAATCTTGATACCTTGTATGTTACTTTCTACTATAATACATACTCGGTTGCCTATTAACCTATTGATATGTGGACTAACTCGCACAAACCTTGGTTTCAGGGATCTGTCTGGCAACAATTTTTCAGGGTCGATACCATTGACACTTGGTGATCTTGAGCATCTCCTCATCTTGTAAGTCTTCATCAACCCCACCCCTGAAGCTGCATTGCTGTTGCATAAATTCTTCCGGATTTGTTGACTTGAGATATGCTTTAATTTTCAGAAACTTGAGCGGAAACCATCTCAGTGGGCCATTGCCTGCAGAGTTTGGGAACCTCCGAAGCATTCAGATCATGTAAAGTTTTTCTTCTTTATGCCCAAAGCTTCTTCCTTTTTGATAAAAACATTCTCTTTACTAACTCTCTCCTTCCTTCTCAGCGATGTATCCTACAATTTTCTCGCTGGTGTTATTCCAACAGAACTTGGCCAGTTGCAGAACATAAACTCTATGTAAGTAAATCCATAACTTCTCCTCTGCATATTACCGTATAAAACATTAAACTCACATTTTGTTATCCCTTTTCTTACAGAATACTGAACAACAACAAGATTCATGGAAAAATTCCGGATCAGCTTACGAATTGCTTCAGTCTTGTCAATCTGTAAGTGTTGTTTTGTTACAACTGTGTACTCTCAGAAAGTGTTATAATCGTTTCTGTATTCATTATTCACATATTTGTTCCTGCTCTAACACCTTAGGAACATCTCCTTCAACAATCTATCTGGAATAATCCCACCTATGAAGAACTTTACACGTTTTGCCCCGGCCAGGTATAAGCTTTTGCACTAGTTCCACTTCTCTTAACCTGTCATATGATCAGCATACCAAATCTAACATTTCGTTTATAGTTTCTTTGGAAATCCATATCTCTGCGGAGACTGGGTTGGATCGATCTGTGGGCCTTCTTTGCCAAAGCCACGAGGTATATGAACTTACATTTGATCCTATGGCATGGTCTTTTATTGACAGTTTTCTGAACTTTTCATTGGATGTTTCTTTCCCTTGACAGTATTCAACAGAAGTTCTGTGATATGTATGGTTCTCGGTTTCATTACTCTCATATGCATGATACTCATTGCGGTCTACAAGTCAAAACAGCAGAAACAAGTCTTGAAAGGTTCTCCAAAACAGTCTGAAGGTACTTTATTGGTCTCACAGTTTTCTCTTTTCTTCTCTTGTCAATTAGAGTTCACAACAGTATCATGATAAGACTTCTATGGAACCTTCAGGGTCAACGAAGCTGGTGATTCTTCACATGGACATGGCTATTCACACGTTTGATGATATCATGAGAGTTACTGAGAACCTCAGTGAGAAGTATATCATTGGATACGGCGCTTCTAGCACGGTTTACAAGTGCACCTCCAAAAGTTCCCGACCTATTGCCATTAAGCGAATCTACAATCAGCATCCTCACAACGTGCGCGAGTTTGAGACAGAACTAGAAACCATTGGAAGCATCAGACACAGAAACATTGTGAGCTTGCACGGCTACGCCTTGTCTCCCTTTGGCAACCTCCTCTTCTACGACTACATGGAAAACGGCTCTCTTTGGGACCTTCTCCACGGTTAGCTATTCTTCTTCTCTTGTGTCAATTATTTACTTTTCAAATTTTGTTTTAGTCTTGGAAGACTTAAAAGTAGTGATTGTGTGTATATTAGGGCCTGGGAAAAAAGTGAAGCTTGACTGGGAAACAAGGCTGAAGATAGCGGTTGGAGCTGCGCAAGGACTTGCATACCTTCACCATGACTGCACTCCAAGGATCATCCACCGAGACATCAAGTCCTCGAACATACTTCTTGATGGAAATTTTGAAGCACGTTTGTCAGATTTTGGGATTGCCAAGAGCATACCAGCCACCAAAACTTACGCTTCAACCTATGTTCTTGGAACCATCGGCTATATCGACCCAGAGTATGCTCGTACTTCGCGTCTGAACGAGAAGTCTGATATCTACAGCTTCGGTATCGTCCTTCTTGAGCTTCTGACTGGGAAGAAGGCTGTGGATAACGAGGCTAACTTGCACCAAATGGTATGAATTCTCATGGAACATAGTTTCATCGCTTTAGTACTGTTACACAATCCTGTTCTTGGAATCAATGAGATCTCATTTTGGTTTCTGTTGCAGATACTGTCCAAGGCTGATGATAACACGGTGATGGAAGCTGTTGATGCAGAGGTGTCAGTGACGTGCGTGGACTCCGGGCACATCAGGAAGACATTTCAGCTGGCTCTCATGTGCACCAAGCGAAACCCTTTGGAGAGACCCACAATGCAGGAGGTCTCTAGAGTTCTGCTCTCTCTCCTCCCATCTCCACCGCCAAAGAAGTTGCCTTCTCCACTGAAACTGCAAGAAGTTGAAGATCGGCGTGAGAGCCACTCTTCGGACACAACATCCCCAGAGTGGTTTGTTCAGTTCCGTGAAGCAATCTCCAAAAGTAGCGTATAAGATAGTAGTAGTAGTATTTCCTTTTAAAAGTTTTCTTGTGCGGAAAGGATGATGAGAGGGAGGTTTTTTATGTGGTTTAGTACCAGTATGAGGGGTATTTTGGGAAAAGGAGGAAAATTTGAAGGCATTGAAGACAAGAACATGGTATAGGTGAAAGAGTAGGTGAAGTTAATTTTGGTATCGAAAGGACATGTTCACGAGTTCGATAAAAGTCTTTCAGTCCTCTTTAATGCATACATTCCATTAATGCCTACGTATTCTGTCACACTAGGTATATACAGTTTTCTACATTACTCATCGACGACCAAACACAAGCTTTTGCACATTTATGAAACTTGCTATCATCTAATTAAGAGACGTATATATGCTTTCTGACAAATGTGAATTAAAAAGTCCTGCCTGTGTACTTACTGGTAAAATGTCCTGCCACACAAATCGAAGATCCTGTTAAAATGTAATTGATGGCGATGTGTTGTTAGGTTCAAATTCTATAAGTGTTTGGACAGATCAAAGCAGTGGGTTTCAATACCTGTTAACATGAAAGATCCTTTTGCCATTGAAGCTCTCAGGTTTCTTCACAGTCAAGTCAATGTTGTACAAGTCAATGTTGTACAAGCACGATATATGTCTAAAAATCTCGGTTGTTGAGTTACAAGAGAGTAAAAAGAAGCAGCTAATCTAAAAGTGCCGCGACTGAATCAGTATCTTAAGTGAGACATAGCTGTGACAAAATGGTAACATTGTTAATATTGGTGACAAAAGACGAACTAAATGCAATTTGATGATGAGGAAACGCTTACTTTGCTGAGAGATTCAATAAAGGGTTCTTCTCGAAAGTTTGTGTCCTTAGGAACTTCAAATTCCTTCGATGAGCTAAAAAAAGGGTATTAGTCAGGGTAATAAATTGTTATACATCTAGAGATACGGATGAACCAAGAACCAACCTGCAGCATGAATGACTTACCCTCGGAACAATGTTTTCATGTTTGATTTCGATTGTTTCGCAGCATTTACTTGATCTCTATATATCAATGTAAGTGAAGATTTAGTGAGTTTTCTGTTTTTATGTTAACTAACGACCTTTCATGGATTCTAGTGGAAACCTGCATCACCTTTGAGTCTAGAGGGCTAATCTTAGATTCATAAACTTGACAAATTGTCTTTGAGCTGCTAGGTTCCTTGACTTTCCTGCCTTTTATTGAACCAGCACAAATGGTTTGTGAATCGAGTTTTAGTCTTACACTAGAAGAGCGTTCCCTCGCTCTAAGAGATGTCCTTAGATGAAATGCCTAGAAAACAAAAATAAACAGAATGCTGGTAAAAAACTATAGTACTGTATGATATGATGTATAGAGTTTCAAAATGTAATTTTAGAAGATTTAGACCTGGATATCTTGAGAGCGAGACGTATTCTTTTTAGGCAAAGATGTTGCAGAACTTTCTTGGACCTGCAAACGCACTGTTTTATTCATAGTAGAGCTGAATTTGGCGATCTGTTCAGGTGCTGAACTAGCCTTAAACCTGAAAGAGTTTAATAGCAGAGAATTTGTAAACATTGCCATTAAAAGGAGCCAAGACATGATGTCAGTGAGTCCTTACCGGTGTCTTGAAGCTCTCTGAGCAGTCTTGAGGTTTGGCTCTTTTGGAACAGTGACTTTGGATGCCTGTAAACACAACAGATACAAATATAAGATACAAGAAGATGACTCAATAAATGTTTAGTCTTAACTCTTAAGTGCATTACCTTCCTTGGAACCTTATGTACAAAAGAAGTTTGTTCCGACCGCGATATCTAAATTGACAAAGCTAAATAAGATTAGTCCCAAAAAAATTTAGGTTCAAAATTAGAGAGCAATGAGTGTAGTAGACCTTGCGTATGAAGCCGGATTCAAGTTTTTGCCTTTTGGTATCTTGGGTTTGAGGCATAGAGTTTAAGAGAGAAGAGATCTTGTCATCGAATTTCCCCAATGATCTCTGACATCTACAAAACATTTGAAATCAGTTGAAGCTAAGAAGAAAAAAAGTCTGATGGAAGAGGAAATATGCTAGTTACCTTGAGAGAAGTTGAACAGAGTAAATGTCAAGAGGTTTGTTCTGTCTTGCCAACAAAGAAGCAGTGGGTCTCGTCAAAGTTGAGTTCTTTCGTATAAAAGGTTTTGTTTTTGACTTTGGTATTGTATTGGGAACATCTTTAGCTGTTTGGTTATAATATATGAACCCTGATGACCATGAACAAAACCTTGAGTTGCAAGAAAACAGAACGAAAACAGAGCAAAAACAGAGAATTGTATATGATAATACCGTTGTATTTATCTGAGATGGGTTTGGGGATGTTGAGATGTTTGTCGTCGAAACTCCAGCTCAAACTTAGGCTAAATGCTGATAGAAAAAGACATAATAATTATTAGGAAACCAAAACAAAAAACGCAGATAAAAAGATGCAGATTATCTTACGCGAAGGAGGATAGTTTCCAGCTAATTCAAACCAGAGCTCTGTTTCCTCTGTTTCTGAATCGAGTTCCGGTTTGGAGAAATCATAGAATCGAGGTGCGTCGAATTCGAAATCGATGTCGAATTCCTCAATGGAGAGATCTCCCGCAAATATATCCGTTGATTCCTGGTCCATTGTCTCGGGAATTCGCAGGAGTTTTCAGATTCGCATCAAACAGAATGAAACCATGATCAACATTTTGTTCAAGGAAAAGGCAACGGCGCAAATTAGATGGCGCAGTTACAAAACGACGGTGTTTAACCAACCCGGCCGTTGGCTAATTACGGGTAAACAGTAAACTAACTTGGTTCGTATTAACTAAAATGTACATATTGATTTTACCTTGAAAAATTATGTTACAAAGTTACACACATAGGTAAAGAAGTATGTCCAAATCCATAAAAACGGTTACAAATTAATCAATTTGTTTGTTTGATCAAGTCAATAAACTAAATTCAAGGCCCTAAGCTTCTCGTGCCTCCATTCATTGTTAATTTTTGCTATAAAATCTTCTACCCTCTTTCTCAAATCATCGTCTCCTTCTTCCTCTTCAACTTCAGCCTCATTGCTCTCATCATCATCTTTGTCCTCATCAAAACAATGGCTGCTTTCTTTGTCCTCGTCTTCATCAGAACTGCTCGATACATCAATTACCGACTCATTTTGTGTAGATGAAACATCAACGACCATCTCTTCATCATCATTATCATCACCAGAAGCGATGTTACACTCATTGAAGCTCACAGGGGTAGTAAATGTTGAATCGTCCGTGGAACCGGGTTTTGATGATCCAGTGAGGATCATGACTATAATGAGGTTGCAGAAACAGAACATGAGAAGCGAATTCGACGTGGCTTCTCCGATCAGTTCAAACGCTATGTTCAACATCTTGCGGCCTAAGAAAGGAAAATAATGAGTAATGAGAGAAGAAAGGAAGATAGTTCGGTAGTTAAATTAGCTTTTGTGATGGAAAGTGAGGCTTGGCGCGCTTTATATAGAGACGAAAGTGTGCGAGGGAAGCTTCTTATAAGAAGTTTTGTGGCAATGAGGTGTGGGTTGAAAGCTTTGTGGAATTAAAATATAAATTTATTGAGACTTGGGCTTGTTTGGATTTTATTATATATTCTTTAAAGACCCAAAAGTAGAAATGAATCTTGGGTCTTTGGACTTTGGATTATATGTATTTTTTTTAATAATGTTTGCATAGTGAAGTTACTTGGAAACTATTCATTTTAAGGAATTAAAATAAACAAAAATGCTTCCTAAGTTACCATAAGTGTCACTTGGAGCTTATCATGTTCCATGTCATCCATTACGTTCCATCATCATCGTAGACTTTCGAATAAGTCAGCTACTAAGTATAAGGTTATCTGAAATTGGATAATTCATCCTTCTAAGAAACATCATGCTCTTTTAACTTTCCCGGTACCATCGATGAAAAGTTGTTGAAACTACTTACTGATTTTTTAAGTATACTATTGCTATTTATGTTTTTCTTTTGTAGCATACATGAACATAATCCAAGCCATTTAAAATTTTGTACAAATTTAGAAATAAAATACCATATTCTGCAACATACAAAACTTAATTTAAAAAAAAAAAATTAGAGTAAATTAAAAACCTATAAAAAGATCATGACTAATCTATGGAAGAAGTGCAGTCCACGTATATATACATATGATCAAGTGAAAATCGAACACAAAACTTAGCTTTTAACTTTTTGTGGAAAATATCCGTTTCACCAATCATTTTATGGAAAATACCACGTCAAAGTTTACAAAATCAATTATAGTAATGTGCAGCTGGAATAATTTATTAACATTCAACTGATTTTGTTATGCTAGCTTTGCAGTTGTGTTTATTTCCCTTATTTCGCATATTATTTTACAGAAAATGCCACATTAACGTTCACAAAATCAACTATAACAATATACAGCTAGTAATTATTAACATTCAGCTGATTTTGTTATGCTAACCTAGCAATTATATTTGTTTCTTTCTATTTTTGCTAAATACATTTTACTAAATAGATTTACTGTCCATATAAACATTTGCAATTTTAGAAGGGGCAAATAGGGTAAATAACATATATTTTCACGCTATAAATAGATAATTCGACTGCACTAGTCAGTACTCACATTAACATCATTACAACGACAAAAACTATGACTACGCCGAACTTCCCTGTGCCGACATCGTTTCCAGTGTCCAAGAGTGGTAGCCAAGAGGAAGAGAAGAAAGCATGCTTCAACTACAAAGTAGAGCTTGGCTTGATGCTTCAGGATCTTGACCCTGCCATGGACCCTAAGGAGATCAAACGGTTCGGTTAAATTATTATTTTAATTACCTTGCGATAGTATATAAATATCAACCTCTTCCGTTAATTTTGTTTCCATATGCAATATTGCAGCATTGTTTCGAACCGTGTTTCGGGTCAGAAGTCAAGGTGGAAGAAACGTCAGTATATTGATGATTTAGAGAAGCGATCAAGGGAGCTTCATGTATATATGTTATATAATTTCATATATTTTGTCTTATTTCATTTTTTCTTAAGTATGTATGTTTATATAATTTTATAATATTAAATGTGAATATACAGCTGCAGGTGAGTGATTTGCGTACCCAAGTAACAATAACAAGTGAGTGGAAGCGACGTTCAGAGGTGGAACAAATGGAGCTTAAGGAGTATTTGGCTGTTTGGAATCAACATAAAATCTACCAAGAAGGTATATAACTAGTTAATTAGATATTATATTTAGAATTTGATATAATATCATTATAATGTTAATTAACAGGTGTGACTCAGGCGCGTAATGCAGAGATAGAGAGTTTGAAGAGACAATTGACGCATAAAGCAGAGATGAAGAGTTTGAAGAAGCAATTGGCTCCATCAAATTGACTGCACGCGCCATGCATCTCCTTATTTTAAAATCCCGGCCCAATATTAGGTGTTTTATTTTTACATTTTTATACTAATTTCAAAGTGGTTGTAGTTTCTTTTTGGATTGCAATAATTTGTTTTCAAGAAGAATATTAATAAGAAATGGGCTTGAGTTTTGGGAAAGAAAATCTTGACAGAATCGATGTGTACAATACACATTTTTTTCTGGTTTGATTGGATTTACGCGGACTGAACAACTTTATCAAACTATAAATTATTAAATGAAATTATAATAGATTAAGAAAGGACAGAAAAGGGAAATGAAATTGAGCAAGTATTATATTATAATATTGTTTTCTCTATAATACTTTTTTGCTGTTTTTTCATCGTTTTCGATATTACATAGAAAATACCAATTGATTCTTCAACGTTGTTTTAGATATGGAGATTTTTTTTCAAGTATATTATTAGCTAGGCACACATACAAACACCACAAGAAACTAATTAGATAGTTGGATCTTAATCTCACAATTCAAATTAAGTTGTTCTAATTAGAAATTTCTTGATAGTTGGTTCTTGATAGTTTTTGGACATTTTTTCTGTAACTATACATGATGAACGTGGACATATCTATTATTTGGATAGAATTTAAAAATTTATATGTTTTGATGTCGATGTTTCTAATGTTTTGTAAGTTTTTGGTAATCAAAAAGTGTTTTACGAATAAGTTGTATACGAATAATTGAGATTGCTATATGAGCCTATAAATGTGCGGGCCCAGATCAAGGTTAGGTGAGGCATTACATGCTTGTCGTTTGTATAAGTCATAGCTCAACTTCATGTCGTTTAAGACGTGGCCGTGTGAAAGTCTGAACTCTGAACCGTTTCTCCGACTGTTATTCTCAATTCACCCATTTTTGGCTATTATCTCCAAATTGGCCAAAAATCAACCCGAAAAAGAAAGAAATCATCTTTAGCAGCTGATACCCAATCAGGAAAGATGAAAAAACAAAATGTTGACACACAGAAAAGAGATGAACATTACGTTACTGTGCAAATTGCAATTGATGTGTATACATACATATATACTAAATCAACACACTTTTAGGTTCCTTCGGTGGATAAGATCTCCAATTCCGCCCACCACGCCGGAGATAGTCTCGGCAACACTGCTTCCGCCGTTAATCCGGTGATCTCTGTTAGCTTAGCCACCACTTCCCTCATTTCCGGCCTCTGTTTCAAGCACTCGATAACCACTTCCCACAACTTCTCCAGGACATTCTCGTCGAAGCTTCTCAGGGTCGGATCCACTAGTTCTCTCGCAGGATTGGTTTCGCGGGGTAGAGAATCCGGATCCGGGATCTTTCCGGTTAAGATCTCGTGCAGAATGGCGCCAAAGCTGAAGACGTAGTTGGTCTGAGGATCAATCGGTGTGGAGCTGAGGAAAGTAAAGTCAGCGACTTTAGCGGCGTAATCAGTTGTCAAGTAGACGGAAGAAGAGTTTAGGTTTGTGTGGGAGATGGGTTTAGGGTTGAGATATTGGATGTGTTCTACACAGTAGGCAATTCCCATTGCGATTCTCAGTCTCTTTCGCCAGTCCAAGTGCTCTACGTCTTGCTCTTCGTCTTGCTCTGTAAAATTTAGTTTTTTTTAAAAAAGGGATGGTTTTTGCGTCTATGGAAGAACATTCTCATGATGAGATGGAAGTTACTTACCGTGCAGATTGTCGAAGAGTGATCCGTAAGGAGCGTATTCGAAAACCAGCATCCGGTTGAAGGGATCGTCTTCATGGCAATATCCGATTAGTTTTAGAAAGTTCTTGTGGTCCACTTGAGATAGCCTGTGTATCTGCATTGCAGGATTGTATTTGTGAATTGTGAGTGGCTTTAAGAAGAGGAGAAAGTAAAGAGGTACTGTGTTGATGTTACCTTTTCTTGGAACTGTGTTTCGAGATCCTCTGACCAGTCCTGGAGGGATCCAGATGCGACTGATAGAACGGCAATTTCAGAGCCTGCGGAGAGAGTTCCTTTGTAAATGGTGGCGTTTGAGGATGTGGAGCCTATGATGTTACTGAAATCTTCGCAGGCAGTTTCTAGTTCTGATAGCTTCAGCTTAGGAACACCTTCATGAGTCAGACGTAGTGTTAAAACTCAGTCACCAATGTGCTATGTTATTGAATATAGAGTTAACATAACACAGAGACTGAAGAAACCGTGATACCTTTTATAACAACATCTTGGAGCTGGCCACTGCTCCTAGCTGCCCATGGCTTTATCATTATTGCCTTTTGCTTCCGGAGAAGAAAGAAGACCACCAATGCGGCCATGGCCATAACGCCTAATACACCAATGAGCACTCCAACTATTATGAGAATCTTGTGCGATTTCTCTTTCTTAACTGACGGAGGCTGAGCTGGAGGCAGAGCTAGAGAGGTAACTGGCGGAGGCTGAGCTGGTGGAGAAGGAATTGGTGGAGGGCTTGCTGGAGGCGGGTTTGGGATCTCGGCTTGGAATTCACTGGGAGGGAAAAGTGTATCTACAGGGGCCTTTTCTGTAGGCGACGGAGGAGGAGCCTCAAATTCTTCTACCGACGACGGAGGGGGGGAATTCTGAAGCAGCCTGCGACCGAAGGTGAAAGGTTGGCCAAAGTGGTTGTCACACAAATCCAAGATCTCAAGCTCTTGCAATTCTGTTACCTCTTCAGGTACTTTCCCGGAAAATGAATTGTTTCTTAGAATACTGCAAAACCCCCCCACCACAAGAACAAGTAGTTGTAGATATATGTATAGTTTTGAGGGAGTGTTGGCCAAAACAGTTTTACTTACAGAGATTTCAAGTGAGTTAGGTTTCCGAGTTCAGGTGCAAGTGTTCCTTGCAGGGAGAGATCTCTTAGATTTCTACGGTGTCATCCAATTAAACAACAAGACATCAAATCATAGGGTTGAGAAAGAGGAAGTACATTTTATAAGGATTTGGCTGACTTACAAGATGACAACTCTTCCATCATCCGAGCAGACAACACCTGACCAAGAACAATGAGGAAGCTCTCCCCAATTCGTCAAGGATCCAAATGGGTCTCTCTCTATCCTCTCTTTGAATTTCATCAGCGCCAATGCTGAAACACCATCCAATATTCCATCCATCAACAGTTGAATAGACTCAGAGAAAGATGAGACAGACGTACCTTCGGTGCTGAAACAGAGTCCAAACGTGAGATTGTGAGGAAGAAAGAAAAGGAGGAAGAAGATGGAGAATGGTGCTCGGAGCAATCTCCACCGTTGATCGGAACTCATCGTTTATGTCGTTGGAGTAGTTCAAGTCGTCGTTCAGAGACGAAGACAAATCTATGTCTGCTCCTTTTTATATCCCATCCCACCTTCTTCATTTTCTTTTCTTCTTTTGACTTGTAACAATTTTTACAAGTTGCTCAAAAATAAACTGAAGGAAATTGTTATAGCTTTATGACGTTTATCCTTTTCTTATATATATACAAATGTTAACCATGGAAAGTTGGAAAATGTAATTGCAAATTCAATTTTAATATAAACACCATTTGCAATGCACGATACGGTCTTTCCCTCCCTAGAAATTGACCTAGTAAACTTTGACTTAGTTCTTGTTTTTTTTCTGTCGTTACCAACAATAAAAATTGAAATGAACATCGTTTTATATCTGAAGGAGTCCTATAATCCACAATTAATCCTTATTTTATGCCATTTTGAACAGTTCCAATTTGAAATCGTACTTGTGTTTTTCTTGTATCAGAAAACAAACTCATTTCGGCCCATTGACAATGTAAACTAAAGTGTAAAGCCTCGAAAGTGGGGTTGCAAAAAAGCTCATATAATGAATCTGTTGCACTATGTTTCGGTCCACAACATCACCCAAATGGGTCCTCAAGGTTAGCTAATCTAACCAAATATACACCAACCCCTTCTGCTTTAAACTTAATCATTGATATGAAACTATGCTCTTACCCACAAAAACTAGCTATGTGCTACAGATTTCTTCAAAAAATTCCACAGTCCAGTTCGTGGAAGCAGTGGAGATGGGAAAGTGAATTGGTCTAATTACCGTGAGATGGCACGGAGCAAGGTGCAGTGGATATGAGAGAAGTCAGGGCGTGTGGAGGGACAAGTGTTCCAGCATTTGGTCATGAGATATCTCAAGACTTGAGGGCACTCCTTTGGGATCTCTGGTCTTAGCCCGCACGCTGCAATCCCGACCGCTGCCTGCACCGGCGAGCATGAGCCGTATGCCTCCTCCCCTGTCACCATCTCCCAAAGCACCATCCCAAAGCTATACGCATTGCTCATCCAAGTCTCTCTCGTCTTCTCCGGATCTCCTGCGATTATCTGATTTCAACCATTTCACAGTCACAGTAGTGATTAGTGAACAACTGCTTTTCCAACATAATCTACTTTAGGCATGAAAAGCTAGAAGCCTACAACTATAAATTTACTCATCTAATCACCAGGCAATGTTTTCTGTATCTTTGGCTTGCAAATCAGAATATGATATGAGGTAATGGCAAGCATTAATCCTGAAGCAAATCACTTAACTACGGTTATGCAAGAAAAGCTTCACAGAAATACAGACCTCAGGTGCAAGCCATCGATAGCCATCTGTTTCATACTCCGTGGCCTCGTTGACACTCTTGCATGCGGTGACTATTCCCATATCACCCAAACAGGCGTTGCCTTGCTTATCTAATAGTATTCTCTGTGTGTTAAGGTCTCTAAATGCAACACCGTGATCATTTAGGAACTTCATCCCTTCTGCTATGTCAACAGCAATTCGAAATATATCCTTAGTCTGAAGTTTCTTTTTCTTCAACACCAGCTCACGGAGTGATCCACCTTGCATCAGTTTCGTAACCACGCATAATCCATGATTTTCATCGACGCAGACACCATGAAACTGCAGAATGCTCTTCTGTCCACAAGTCATCAGCTCCAAGAAATCTTTTCGGATCTCAAACTCATATGAATTGCCCTTGTCGCAGCCTTTTAGTTTCTCAATGGCCACCCTTTTCCCTCTGTAAACTCCTTTGAAGCAATTTGGTCCTAACTGATCACCAAACTCGAGACTATCTGAATTCAGTATCCATTTCTCGATATCATCGCCTCCTGATTGTATCGTCTGCCACTCATCCACTGATACAGAAAACGAAGACCTTGGGGCTGGCATTTGAAGCTGGAACCTAGTACTATTCTGATTTTCCAACTCTTGTCTATAGCATTGATCAGTGGACTCTTCATCAACATCTCCGAATTCTCCTAAACCAGCGTTCTGTTCTTGACAGCCACAGAGGCCAAAAGGGAGCTTCACAGAGGTCGACTTGGGCTTCCTTACTGCAGTTTTAAGGGCATTCTCTACTATGGTTTTGAAAAAAAATTCTTGCCCGGACTCAACCAGAAGATGAACAACTCCGAGAGTCAACCCTTTCTTCTCAAAGATTTGTACCTTCTTGCAACAAATTGAAGCACTGTCAAGAGATCCTGAAATGGTTGACCATGAAAGGGAAGAAGTGCAAGCGAATGTGAGCTTGAAGACTGAGCCCTGAGCTTCCTCGTCACACATCTCTTGAATCACAAACACAGGATTGTCATCTCCACAAGTTTGCTCAATCAGCTTTATGTGTGCAAATACATCTTTCATATCGAAACCAGCCTGACTGTAACTGTTACAACGAAAGCATAATTTTCAAGGTTACTGCATGATCTACCAAATGTAACAACAATATCTAGATCTAAGCTGTGTATCTTCCAGAAAACACTAAATTGCTGTTGATTCTCTTGGAATTGATCAATTACTGAATTTAAGAAACCGAGAAGAAGAAGAAACATTGCTTAAGCGGCTTATCTAATGAGTAAAAATGAAGCAATATCTTAAGCGTTAATCTAATCGACGAATGTGGAAGAAATGAAGCGTTTGGGATAATCTAGTTTACCTGAGAGGCAGAGAATCGTAATGTTTCCGGAGATTAGAGACGAGCTTCTCCGGCAACTGGCTTCCAGGATACATTTTGGCAAGGTTTCTCACAACAGAGGCCCACACGAGCTTCCTGCCTCCGGCGGCTACATTCTGAGTTTCCCGTCCTGAATCGAGGCTGAGAGAGTTTTTGAGTGACGCGATCGCATCGGAGACGTTGCGGCCGAGACGCTGAAACCGCTTCTGCATAGCGGAGGAGGTCTGATCGAAACGCGGAGCAGCGGTAAGGGACTCAGACCTGTCGTCGGAGCACATCAGGACTTGGTCTACGAAATCGTCGTCGGTGCAGCCGCCGGCACCACGGTTGGACCAGCACTCGAGCGCGGAAGCCATGGTGGCGAAGGTAACGAAGTTTGGGTCTCTCTACTTGAAAATGCTGAAGTGAAGTGAGTGAGCAAAAAAAAATTATTGTTTCTGGTCTAATGTTATATAATATATAATTAGAGTGAACGTTCCTACCTGTTGAACATAGAAGCACCAGTGGTCTAGTGGTAGAATAGTACCCTGCCACGGTACAGACCCGGGTTCGATTCCCGGCTGGTGCATTGTTTTTGTATTTTCTTAATTTTTTGAGCAAAATTGAGATACTTTTTAGTCCCTTGGTTGGTATGTTGGAGAAGATCTTTGATAAATAAAGAGTATGAGTATGCTTTGTGAAACAAAAATCGCATCATACTAAACAAATCAAGAAGAAGCAAGAAGTTAAACAAGTGTACGTATGTGTATACAATCTTAACATCGGGGCAAGTCTAATGGTGGAGATTGTACAGACTGCAAATGACCTTCACCGTTCTCCACCAAGAAGACCATAGCCAAACCCCAGAATATATGAGCATCGATGTGACAGTGCATGAGCCACACTCCTGGATTATCAGCCACGAATCTGATAGCTACCCATCCACCTGGAGGAGTTCCAATTGTGTTTCTCCGTGGAGGATCAACGAGGTTGAAGCTAGCAGTGTCTTTGCTTGGGTTGAAGTTACCAACACCTGTCCCAACTACATAGAACTCATACCCGTGGAGATGCATCGGGTGATTCTCAGTAGTCACGATGCTTGTGTCTTGCAATATAATCTGTACCTTCGACTTGTACTTTAGTTTGTAGGCCTTGGTTCCACGTGTAGGCTGCCACAGCCCTCTGCTCACGTTTCCTGTGTAGTCAAATGGAGTAGGAGGAACAGGAGGGAAGTCTGTGGTGAAAACACCGGCGGGAGTGCCTTGGTAATAGGCTTGCATGATGGAGTTTATTCTAGGGAAGACGAAAGAGACGTTGTTGATGCTCGCGGTGAAGCGTGTTCCGTTAGGGCCCTGACACCTTTGCGTGTTGGGAGTTGGACAGTTGAACAGACCTAACCCTACCGTGAAAAACAAGTCCTCGTCAAGCTCGACTGGCACTTCAACTTTCGAAGGACTTCTCATTTGCGCTGTGAACGCTGCTGCTGTCGCTGTGTCGTTGAATCCTGGAAGCTGCGCGGGTATTGCCCGTTGTGTCTGTGATTTACCTTGAAGAGTAGTAACACAGGGTGCGCCTTTGTACTGGAGGATTGCAGTGGTGGTGGTGTTGTCGAAGGGAGCGTTGGCGCTGTTGTAGGCGTGTGCGGCCATGTAGTAATGTGCTGGAGGTTGGTCAGCGGTTAGAAGCACATCAGTCGTTTGGCCTGGACCTAACATAATGACGTTGGTGGAGAAAGGTTTGGTGTAGGAAGCATCCGCAGCAACCACTGTGAGTTTGTGATTGGCGACACCAAAGAAGAGTTCTTGGTTTAATCCAGAGTTGATGACCCTGAGGAGGACAATCTCTCCAGCCCCCACAAGAAACCTCAAAGTTTCTGCATCGTGACGAAAAAACACAAATATCAACTAAGCTGATGTAAACTGCTTTTTGGGATATGGGAAGTATAAACTAAAATGTACCTTGGCTGGAGCATCTGTAGAGATCACCAGGCTGACCATTGATGGTGAAAGCATCGGAGACGTTTGGTGCAGCTCCAGTGAACTGAGCCAAGGCAAGGACATCCATGGGGTTTCTGTCCCACCACTCTCCTAAGAGGAGGGTAATCTCTCTCTTGGGAAGAACTGGGAAAGGGTAGTGAGGAGAAGAGAGCGGAGGGCGGATGATGAGAGCTCCATACACGGTGGCTCGCAGCCATCTGCTGTGAGCATGCCACCACAAGGTACCTTCTTGTTCTTCGATGTTGAACCTGTAGGTGTAACTCCCTCCTGGTTGGATTGGGCATTGTGTTATGTATTCTGGTCCATCAGCCCATGGATTCCGCATCTGCTTTATCCCATGCCTGCATGTGCTCTCATTACTATATAGTGTTCTTGATTAATCAAATATTGATTTTGATACAGAGGAGAGTGAGTGAGATACCAGTGGAGGCTGATGTTGTACTGAGCTTTGTTTATGGCGGTGATGACAAGAGAATCACCGTTTCTCACTTCCAAGGTTGGTCCTGGAAACTGTCCATTCACAGTGATCGAGTTATGAACTCTGCACAGCCTCTTCACCGGCGTCTCTTGGATCTTAACCAAAACACAAACTAAGTTTAGCATCAATGTGAGTAACAACAATGGAAGCAACAAAAAAAGGAAGTAGTAAACAAACACACAATGAACTCGTGAAAGTGAACTTCTGCATTGACAAGTGAAGAAGCTACAAACAAGGCTAGAAACACAAAGAGCCACAACAATTGATCCATTGGCTTAGAATCTGACTTGTGAAGAGCAAAGAGAAAGCTGATACCTTTTTATAGGCAGTTGTGTTGAAGGTCAAGAGAGTCTAACCCGCACACATGATTTGGTGTAACCACTAAACAACAAACAAATCAAATCAGGATTCTGCTTTTTAATATGATTCTTGTTCCTCAACATGTAGGTAAACTCCTGCCGGCCCACTTTTAGTCCTTTCTTTGGTTTTTTCTCATCCTCGTACACCAAATCTCAAGTTTTGGATCCTCTCCTTAAACCAGAATTAGTTACTATTTGAGTATTTTCCAATTAAACAGCATTTCATCATTCATCAACTTGCTTAAAGCGGATGGAGAATTTATCAACTCAAAACCAAAACTACGTCATCATCATCGCCGGTTGAATTTTTCAATGTTTTTAATCAAAAATAAATGAGCAGAAGCAGGAAAGCAGAGACCTTCCTTAAATCAAACATGAGAAATCTGCTGCATCGGCTTCTCCGCTAGCTTTATCTTAGATTCCCAGTTCTGGAGAAACTCCCCAATAAAATTACATGACTTCCCTGATGACTTCAGAGCTTCATATATGCGATTTCTAACTTCTGCTTCATTACTGGGAGCGATAAAATTCTCTAAAATCTTAAGAGACGTTCTCGTTTCCGAAGAATAAAGAAGAGCATAAGGTGAAGATGTGTACTTTGAGAGAAAACCAATGACCAGGATCGATGGCATCCCAAATTGATCGGACCCGGCAAACCCAATTTCTCATTCATCGAAAACCTTTTCAACTCTTTTAGTTGACTTCTCAGTAATGAAACACAGATTGGACACACGTTTGGGTGTGAAGATATGTTTATCACGTTTAAGAATAAGACTTGAGTTGCTTGTTGCCTATTGGGCCGTTTAAGTCCGGGCCGGATCAAAACCCATCCAAAGTCCTTAACGTGACCCGAAAGATACTCTTTGTCATCTCATCTTCCCCAATTGGTCGTCCATTGACGACGAGACTTAACGCTACTTGTCACCTCCGTGAGCCCCACCGCCGCGACTTATAGCCACTCCGGCTTTTAATTCCACGACCACAGTTTCAGCTTCACATTTGCATCCTCGCAAACTCCGATTTGCTCTCGAATCGAAAAGAGCTCTAATTTTCCGCTGATTTCTTTCTAAAATTAGCTCACTTTATAGATTTATCGAGTGTTTAAATCGGAAATGATGGGCTCAGAGAATGACGAAGAGTCCCATCTCCATGCTTCCAAGGAGGACATGGAGAATCTCTTCCTCCGCGACGATGGCGATCCCTTGACCAAAACCGATGTCAACGGCGACAAATCCAACTCTAATTATCGCAGCGCCATGTCAACTCTCTCTGACTCGCGTAACCCGCTCTCGCCGCCGCCGATTGTCGTGACTCCGGCCGATTCCGATCCGCTTTTCGCGCCGCCTTCGTACAGCGATTTTCGGAGCCCCCGCTCTACTAAGCCTAAACCAATCAACGGCGACAACAGCTCTTACATCGACCCTCCGTCTTACGCCGACGTTCTCTTCAGCCCATTCGATGAGACCTCCGTCAGCGAGATCAACGGCTCAGATGATGGAAGCCGTCATAGTCAGTCCTCAGATTCACTATCTAGATCTCCTTCTTCTCTGAGCTCCGATTATACCAAGATCACTGTTTCCAGCCCTCAGAAAGACCAGGACACAGCAAGCTCCATGATTTCTGGAGGAAGCACTTACATCACCTACCAGATTACAACCAGAACGAATCTCCCTGAGTACGGCGGATCGGAATTTAGCGTGCGGAGAAGATTCAGAGATGTTGTTACATTGGCGGATCGGTTAGCTGAGTCGTACAGAGGGTTCTGCATCCCACCGAGGCCAGACAAGAGCGTGGTGGAGAGCCAAGTGATGCAAAAGCAAGAGTTCGTCGAGCAGAGGAGAGTCGCTCTGGAGAAGTACTTGCGGAGGCTCGCTGCACATCCTGTGATCAGGAACAGCGACGAATTGAAGGTTTTTCTTCAGGTGGAAGGGAAGCTACCATTGCCTACGAGCACAGATGTGGCCTCTAGGATGTTGGATGGTGCGGTGAAGCTGCCGAAACAGTTGTTTGGTGAAGGCGGAGGAGCCTCTGCGGTTGAGGTGGCTCAGCCGGCTAGAGGAGGTAGAGATCTGCTGAGGTTGTTCAAAGAGCTTAGACAGTCAGTGTCTAATGACTGGGGTGGATCAAAACCAGCCGTTGTGGAAGAAGATAAAGAGTTCTTGGAGAAGAAGGAGAAAATGCATGATCTTGAGCAACAGATCATTAATGCTTCACAACAGGTAAAGATTCATACTTGGTAACTTCAGTTTTCATGCATCACTTAGCTCAGAATTTTCTTGTTTTGTTAGGCTGAGTCTCTTGTGAAGTCACAGCAAGACATGGGGGAGACAATGGGGGAAATGGGATTAGCATTCATTAAGCTGACGAAATTCGAGAACGAAGAAGCTGTCTTCAATTCTCAGAGAGCTCGTGCCAATGATATGAAGAATTTAGCCACTGCTGCTGTAAAAGCAAGCAGGTTTTACAGAGAGCTGAATTCTCAGACGGTCAAGCATTTGGTAAAATTTCTATTTGATGCAGATACTAGTAGATATGAAGTGAAGTCTCTTCACTAAAAGCTTATTCTTTTGATGGCAGGACACACTTCATGATTACCTTGGCCTAATGATGGCGGTTCAGGGAGCGTTTGCAGATAGATCTAGTGCTTTACTGACAGTGCAGACGCTTCTGTCTGAGATTTCTTCATTGGAAGGAAGAGCGGAGAAGCTAGAAGCTGCATCATCCAAGATATTTGGCGGTGACAAATCAAGAATTAAGAAAATAGAAGAGATAAAAGAAACCATCAAGGGCACTGAAGACGCCAAGCATGTTGCAATCAGGGAGTACGAGCGCATCAAGGTGGTTTAGTCACGCCCTTGTACAAAACAAATCTTAAGCTGATTTGAAAGTCTGTCTTATGCAAATGTGTAATTTGTCATGGCAGGAAAATAACTGGTCCGAAGTTGAAAGGCTTGACAGAGAAAGGAGTGCAGACTTCTTGAATATGATGAAAGGGTTTGTTGTTAATCAGGTACATTGTTATTAGGAGTTAAGTGGCTTTCTTATGGACTGTGGAGTAAATACGGGATGTTATGTGTTGAAAAAAATGGATTCTCGAACGGAATATGATTAGAGGTATTGGTATTTGGATGTGCAGGTTGGATATGCAGAGAAGATCGCTAATGTGTGGACAAAGGTGGCAGAGGAGACGAGTCAATACGCTAGAGAGAGCTCTTAACAAGAGCAGCCTGTAATTTTATTCTTTTTCTTCTCATTCATGGTTTTGGTATTAAACCAATTTTACTTTGGTGTCAACAAGAAACAACAATAGTTAATACTTCGCTTTCATAGATTTACGTTACTCTATTGGTGTATATAAATCTGAATTGTGTTTTAAAAGTCGAGCAAGGAGTGACAAAATAATGGTTACAAGAATTCAAATGTATACAATATGAAGGAAATGTATATGAATAAATATGCTATGTTGACTAATCTCAGGCTCGAACGCGCGACATTGTAGAGTTTGTTATGGCAGCTGCAGCTGCGTTTGAGGCGGTTTGGTTGAAGAAAGTGAAAAGACCAGATCCAATGGCTTCCTGTTCCTCAAGAAAGAGATCTTCAGGAGCACGAAACGCGCCGTGGATGGCTACAGCCATCATCCCAAGTGCCAGCGTCGACATCAAGAGCGATCCAACGCTGGTCATGAACATGACCACCACAGTACAAAGACAGAGCATCCCTAGCGTCTCAAGGTCGGAGAAAGTGCGTCCACCGATGACCAGCGGCTGATCTGACGGACGGAAAACGTAGAGGAAAAGCCAAGAAGCGGCGAGCGATGCGAGGAGGAAGAGAGCGAAAGGGTGCGAGAGGAGAGACGCTGCGAGCAAGATTGCCACTAAGGTTATGTAGTTTGCTCTGAAGTAGGAAAAGTTCTTCCTCACTCGCGACGCCGCCTCAGAGAGCGATGGCGGCCGGGAAAACGCTGACCGGTCAACGAGCTCCATCCAGGGGCGAGCATCGGCGGAAGCGTGACGAACGGTGGCTAGAACGCGAGAAACAAGGACGCGTAGAGTGCTCAGCAACTGTGGATCGCCGCCGGGAAGATGTTGATCAGGAGTTGGAGTTGAAGTTGGGAGAAGAGGAGAGGCCATTGCAGCAGATCTACAAAGTCAGAGTGACGGAAATGGCAGAGAAAGAGAGAGAGAGATCTGAAGAAAAAAGTGAATGGCGTTCACGTTCGCTGGCTTTGCTTCAAAGTGTCGGTTAAGAGCATGTGCTTTTACATGTTTCTTCCCTTTTAAAAAGAAAAACAGAATTATTGCTCTGCTTTCATATATGCCTTTGTGTGTTTGTTACATCATTTAGCCACAAAACGTCTGAAATCTAGTAAAACCAGTTTAATTTCATCATTAACTAGATCAGTTAGAGTTTGTGTACTATGTGTACTTTCTCTGTTTTTACTAGTAACCTTGATATTAACAAAATATCTCATGTGGAGGTGTGAAGTGACATCATCTTCTTTGGGTAGGGATGTGGTGGTTGTGCTTTCCCTCGTAAGTGGTGATGACTGATTTGGCGTCTTGGAATGCTCTCTCCACTTGCTTCCTTACACAACATCCTGCAAATGTGCACTTGTAATAGCTCCTGCACCATCACATTTTCACATATAGCTTATTATTAGCTCAAAGGGACTATTGTAACTCAGAATTGAGAAGAAAACAGACCTTGGATTGGGATTTCCCTTGACGACTTTCTGACCATATTTTCTCCATCTGTAGCCATCGTCAAGAATGTCGATATCACTTGTTGTCTGAACCACCACTCTCGGCTCCTTCACATTCTCTTCTCTTTTCCTGCATATTCACAAACAATCCAAATCACATCTCTTTGTTTCTCTCACTCTTATTTGATTTTTTGAATCGGTTATGCCTTACCATCTCTTGGCATCTGCTTCATCTTCACCAAACTCTTGATTCTCTCCATGACTACTGCTACTCTGCTGGGACTCAATGTTATGTGTAGCTGCAGTGGAAGCAGATGATCTCTTCGTGGATTGGGGCTTGGGATGATTGTGGCTTCCTTTATAGATAATCTCAGTGATATGACCCTTCACAAGAGACGTCTCTACTTTCTTCTTTGTGAGGCAATCTGGATAAGTGCATTTGAAGTAACTCCTTGGATTTTCGCTTCCTTTGACTTGCTTCTGCCCGTATTTGCGCCAATTGTAGCCATCGTCTGAGGCTTTGTTACTCGTATGCGATGGTTTGGATACATCAAGTTGGGTTAGAGGCTGAGGTACCATCAGAAAATAAGATAATTAGAACCAGAAATGTCTTAACTCTCAAGAGTTAAAGCAGAAGCTAACAATGCAAAAGTGGTTCTTACAGATGATGGGAACAGGGGAGGAGAAGTCTGGTTTTTAGCGGTCTGAGTAATAATAGTACTAGAGAAGACAAAATCAAAATGTTCCTTTCCATCTTCAGGTTTGATTTCATTCTTGTTGATGAGCAAACCATTGTTCTTCCAGTTAAGAGTTTGCGCCGGAAACGTTCCTGTGGTTGGAGATGGCAAAATCTGTTGATTTCAGGATAAAATAACAGATTTAGATATTTGTAAGGAAACCGATAGAAAACAATCCTTAGGACTAAGAGTAAGAGAAGAACATACGTTAGAGGAAGTGAAGAGAAGAGGAGAGTCGAGAAGGTCGTTGGGAGAAAGACCAGGGGGCATAGAGAAGTAGTAAGGTGATGGAGATAGAGGGAGTGGAGATGGAGTTGCTGATTTGAATTTCGGAACAGATCTTTGGTGGTCGAATGAGCCCATCAATGGTTACGTATGGAGTACACTTCTTGTTCTTCTTCTTGCTGTTTTTAACTATGGATTGCAAGAAAGTAAGGGGAATGAATTTGGACTAGATAAGAGAGGAAAAAGGCAGCGAGCAATTATAAAGGATAATACATGTGACCAAGTGTGAAACGTGTTTCGTTAAAACACCCAATTGTTTGACTTTTACAAGGCGGCTGACAATGACATCTCTGTTCTGTAGCTCGACATAACATCCAACCTAAGTCCATTTAATCACTGAATGTCAAAAACAAATAAAATATGTATTTCATTAATGAACAAACACAAGAATGCAAACCAAAGGAGGAGTGGTTCATACTTTAACTAGAGGTGATTTGACAAAAAACTTGATCCATTCTTCTTCCCACCTGAACAGAGCTGACTTTTCTTAGTCCATGAGAACACTACTTCTGCCTCATTTTAAGACTTTTAGACAGTGTACAAAGAAGCGCAAAACAGTTTCATGTCTTTAAAATTACCTTATCGATTAGTTCACTTTGCTAAAAAGTTTATGATTTATCAAGAGTCAACTGATTTAAAGAGTAAATTACTAAAATTATCCATACAAACATTTCAAAACGCTACTGGAATTTTAAGCTGTTTTCAAAATAGGTTTCGCAAGCCAAAAAACATCATAAAGGAAACAAAATCTCTTAAAACGGAGACAAGAAGCAAGTCTATACGACACAAAAGAGTAAAACGGAAACAGCCTCAGATAATGAATTCTTAAGCAGCTTGCTGAGAAAGCCTCTTCCTTGCTTCCTCAATGATGGTGAGCTTAATACCTCTGCCCTTGGGAAGAGACACCCATGGCTTCGTTCCTTTGCCGAGGGTGAACACATTGCCCAACCTTGTAGCAAACTCATGTCCGGTCGAGTCTTGGATGTGGATCGTCTCAAAGCTTCCCTTATGCTTTTCACGGTTCTTGATCACACCCACACGCCCTCTGTTTCTACCACCAGTCACCATCACAACGTTACCAACGTCAAACTTGATGAACTCGACAATCTTGTTCTCCTCAAGGTCCAGCTTGATGGTGTCGTTTGGCTTGATGAGCGGGTCGGGGTAACGGATGGTGCGACCATCGTAAGTGTTGAGGTATGGAATCCCCTTCTGCCCAAACTGGATTGACCTAACCTTGCAAAGCTTGAACTACAACACAACGCAACAAACCAGTCAACACATTATTCTTCTCATTCCAAATCACTACACTCATATAGTAAACATCTGTATACCTTCGCTTCCTCATCCTTGACGGAGTGGAGACGGAAACGTCCCTTGGTGTCGTAGAGAAGACGGAAGTTCTCATTCGTCTTGGGGATCGACACAACATCTATCCAAATCAAAATGCAACTTCAATCAGAGATCACACACATGCAACAAAAAGGACTTCAAACATAAACGGAAAAAACAAAGAAACGTACCCATGAAGCCGGCAGGGTAAGTCTTGTCAGTCCTCACTTTTCCATCGACTTGGATATGCCTTTGCATGAGGATGGAGATGACTTCACGGTAGGTCAAAGCATACTTCAATCTGTTCCTGAGGATCAGAACAAGAGGAAGACACTCCCTCGACTTGTGAGGTCCAGATGAGGGCTTGGGGGCCTGCGAGAAACATCAAGCTGAAAACTTTCAACACATCCGAGCTACAGGAAAATGTAAATCAATGGTCTTGAGAGAGAGAAAAAGAGGAAAACGTACGAAAGCACCACCAAGTTTCTCAAGCATCCAATGCTTTGGGGCATTGAGCCTCTTCAAATGCTTCTTCAATCCCCTCGCCTGCAAAATTATAACACATTTTGATAAGCGCCTCGTAAAATGAACATTCCCCAATAGCTCAAATTGTCAGAGATCACAGAACATTGCAGTCAGATTTCGATTATGTACCATTATCCTGTAATCGAAACCCCACAAAATAGAACATATGGTATACAGAGCTAATCGAGCTAACTAAAGTATCCATTACACTAACAAATGTCTATGTAGAAATGAGCAATCAGTGAACGAACAAGAGATACAGAAATCGTTGAGCAAAGCAAAGAGAAATTGGGGACGAACCATGTTTGCAGATGTTCCGGACGGGACGACTTCTGATTCTTCTGCGGCGGCACTTCACGGCTCCCTCTTCGATTATATATCAAATAGACGAAACTAAAACCCTAGCGTTGCTCGCGTATATAATAAGTGGTGGGCTTATTTAGTTGACATAGGCCCATTTAGATTCTGAATTTAACCAATGGTCTACATTGACATTCCAATACAGTAGATCCATCTGGTCTTTTAAATTATTTTTTAATGTGAAATGTTGGTTAATTTTTTTTTTTTTTTTTGACAAACGTGAAATGTTGGTTAATTAAAAATTTCGGAAATGTAGTTTCAAATCGTATTGGTACCTGAATTGTCGGGAATTATCAAGAAATTAGAGACATTTATTGAGGTTTGCGGTGTAGTAATCTCGTTAATCGTTGATTTTGTAATGGGGGTTAGGTCTCTTTTATGTTTATACTTTATAGGAAGCATATGTGATAATGTGATATATATGTCCTCGAGACGAATTTTTAGCCTTTTAGAAATTAGTCAATTACACGTGAGCTAGGCTCCGGTCTTCAGAACATAAATAGTTGCTGAGGTGGCGTTAAATCATTGGTCGGTAAAAGAATTCGTTTTGATAATGCAAGCAGCAAACAAAGGAAAATATTACACAAAGCAAGCATGAGGTCCCTTTTCATATTCAAATTAAATAAAGTCATAATATTGGATAATACTCACACCCACTTATTATTATTTTCATGTGTTTTAAATGCTTAGGGGATTCATGTGTTCCTTGAAGTTGTCCATTGCAGGTTTGGGAAGCGTGACAAGCACCCTAACGCCACCGTGCTTCCTTGGCAAGAAAATACAAATATCCGGCAGATATTTAGGCACAATCGGTATTATATTCACCGTTCCTCCATACCCAAAATCAACTTCGTCTAGCAATCCAAGTTGCCTCCAATCAGTGAGCAGCATAAACGCTCCGTTCCCTCCTCCACACGTTACCTTCATCTTCAGACTTTTCTCTGTCTCTTTTAGCTGCTCACTCAGGTACCTCTTCTCCATCGCCGCTCTCTTAGCCTCTTTGATGAGCTTCACCACATGAGACAACGTTGAGTTGCTCAACTCTCCAGCCTTCATCGCTACGTTGGCTTTGACGAATGCGTTTCCGTAGTAGCCTTTACGCAACGGTGGCTCCACTATGCGGCGTATACCTACCGCCATTCCAAATAGCGTAGTTCCGTCTGGACTCAGCTTCAAGGCCTTGCACCTTGCTCTCCATACGTGTCCCGCAAGAACCTCCAGAGTTGTGACTTCCTCAGCAACCTTGTCCTTGAGCTGAGTTATGTCTTGAGATGTGAAGTTGATGATCTCGCAGACCATGTTGTTGGTTGGTGTGTAAGGAGAAGTTGCCGCAGAAGAACAAGCCTCCTTGAAATCAACCAGCTTGGGAGCTCCTTCCTCCTCCACTTGTCCTATTTAATACAAATATTGTTAGGATGGAATAAAAAGAACCTAATAACAAAGATATTTGTAATTAATATGTATATACCATTAAAGTTGAAGTTGTTAGAGGTGAGGCAGTGTCGATCCCAAACGGGGAGGACGCTAGGCTGTGTCTTTCCGGCGAAGAACTCAGTTAAGGTTTTGTAAAACTGAGACGCCCCAAAACCATCACAGAGGGAATGAGAGAGAGCCGTTCCAATAGTGATCCCTCCACACGCAAACAGAGTGATCTGCAAAGCAAGAGCGTTGTAGCCACCAGAGGGAACAGCTTCGTCACAAGGCACGAGTTGGTATAAGTCTGCATCCATGTCGTCCAAATAGTTGAGGGAAGAGAGAGTGCACTCTGCGGTTGACTTTACAAAGGGGACTCCTCCGTCTGCGTGAGTGCACTTCAGCTCTAGTCTATGGTCGTCGGATCTCCGGTGAAGTTTTCCGGCGAGAGGGTAGTAATAGACAAGAGCATGAGAGAGAGCATCTTGAAGACGAGAAGCAGGGTCGTCGTGAACGTCGTCTGTGGAGGGTGCGGCGTAGACATAGATGGTTTTGGCGAGGGTTTCGAGGTAAGGATCGTTGTCGAGAGTTGAGAGAGAAAGAGAGACTTCAGGTGTTTCCTTTGATGGCTTCACTATGACCACTGGTGATCTTTTCACCACCAAGGGACTTGATGAACTCATCGTTCCTTGGCTTCCCATCTATGCTCTAATTATATGTATATCACAGGCGTATTTGTGTATGGTTATATATATAGAACTTGTAGAAAAGTATGTAGTTGACGTTTTATATGAAAAATAAGGGAGTTAGTTGGTAAGAATGTGACTTTGAAGATTGGAAATGGAAACTGCAAAGTCAAGTCTTATCTTTATATGCATACAGAGTGTGTGGGTTTATCCTAATCCTTTTCAACACTTTGAAATTCATATTAAAAATAAAATGTATGGGAACTTATCCTTGAATTATTGGAGCTATGTTTTTTATAAAAAAAAAGGGTTTAGGAACGTGCAAGTCAAATGCATTTAAGAGTTGCTAGTGTCGCGAGAAGATTCGCCGAGGGAGAGAAAATGAGCGAAACGCGTTTTTATTTGTGGTGGTAGCCAAGTCCTGATCACATACATATTCATCACTCTTCATCATGTTCTCTACATATATGTTTCATAGTGGGTTTAATTTATAATATCCGATAAAATATGGTCTATGATCTGGAGAGATCATCAACATCTCGTTTTTGAATTCGCAAATTCAATATGAGATTAGTAAGTTTGGCTTGTCGGAGCAGTCACGAAGAGACACGTACATACGATCACATGTAGACAGTAGACTCTAGAGAATGATCATCAGTGTCCAGTACTCCAGTGATCAGTCAGTGGTTGGGCCACGGAAATTCAATGATGTATTGTAGGCGAGGCGTAATCATATCTTCTTTACACAACTTCGCTTCACTTTGTTTTATGTGATACACACCTCTTCTCTCCATATGCAATCAAGTGTTTGAAGTAATATTTTTAAGGTTAATATTTCTTTGTGAATTCCAGGCTTCCAGCTTATCCTTATCAGTGTAACAGTGTAAAGCTTGCCCATATACATAATTGCATATAGCCACATGTATGTGACCAGAAATTCCAAAATATGATGAAATTGATCATCTACGGCTCTACGCCTATACGTGACATCGATGTTGCACAAGCCTTTTATTTTTGTTTTAACTTCAATCATCAGATGCCTTGACGATTTATAACTTCTACAAAGAATTACGAATAATGTTGAGCAAACAAAGGTATGTTCATTTTGTAAAGTCAATGAAAGAATTAGGGATTAAAATATTTACTTAAAAAAATGCGTTGGTTACTTATACGATTTGACAAATTTAGCAATTGATTAAGCCTTTTTCTTAATCTAATTAGAAAAGTAGCGCTTAAACCTGAAACCACACTGATCGATGAGAAGAAAATGAAGAGAAAATGAACGATCGATCAAAGGCGCATAGTAAGCGCATCAGGTGGACGAGCCCACAGGGAAACAGATGCCCCTATCGATTCACTGCCACGCATTAACCAACGCAGCCATTTAAAAATCTTATTTTGAATAAAATAAAAAAGCTCAAACAGCAAAAATATAAATGAAAAAAAAAAATCAAGACAGAGGAGCAGAGAGCTAAATGCGTGCGCTAGTCAAGGCGGAGATCCATACATAACTTTATTCATCGAATCGGCTCCATTATAGGTACCGTAATTCGTGATTGCTTCTTCTTCCTCTCTATCGGTCTATTCTCTGAATCGGAGTTTGCTCCCGAATTTCTCGTCACCGGTGCTACGACGGAGAGATCGAAGTTTTGTAGACTAGTAGAATGGAGAACAAACCAACTGTATTGACTGATAGATACGAAGTCGGGAGGTTACTAGGTCAAGGCACTTTCGCCAAAGTGTACTACGCAAGGAGTGTTCACACTAACGAGAGTGTAGCCATCAAGATGATCGACAAGGACAAGGTCATGAGAGTCGGGCTCAGCGAGCAGATCAAGCGAGAGATCTCCGTGATGAGGATCGCGAAACACCCAAACGTCGTGGAGCTGTACGAGGTCATGGCGACGAAATCGAGGATCTACTTTGTGATCGAGTACTGTAAAGGCGGAGAGCTTTTCAACAGAGTCGCAAAGGGGAAATTGAAAGAGGATGTCGCTTGGAAGTACTTTTATCAGCTCATCAACGCCGTTGATTTCTGCCATAGCCGTGGAGTGTATCACCGTGATATTAAACCGGAGAATCTGTTGTTGGATGATAATGATAATCTCAAAGTTTCTGATTTTGGGTTAAGCGCGCTTGCGGATTGCAAGCGTCATGATGGTCTATTGCACACGACTTGTGGCACGCCTGCTTATGTTGCTCCTGAGGTGATTAACCGGAAAGGATATGACGGCGCAAAGGCGGATATTTGGTCTTGTGGGGTTGTTTTGTTTGTGCTTTTGGCTGGTTATCTTCCTTTCCATGACTCTAATTTAATGGAGATGTACAGGAAGATTGGGAAAGCGGATTTCAAGTGTCCGAGTTGGTTTGCTCCTGAGGTGAAGAGACTTTTGTGTAAGATGTTGGATCCTAACCATGAGACGAGGATCACTATATCAAGAATCAAGGAGAGTTCTTGGTTCAAGAAAGGTTTACAGTTGAAGCAGAAGAAGATGGGGAAACAAGTCAGAGAGGCTAATTCTGTGGAAGATGGAGATTTAGTTGAAAATGGAGTGAGCCACGAGGAGCCTCAGCTTGCAAACTTTAATGCTTTTGACATTATTGCGTTGACTGCTGGGTTTGATCTGGCAGGGCTGTTTGGGGATGGTTATGACAAGCGAGAGTCTAGATTCGCATCTCGGAAACCTGCTAAGGAGATTATCTCGAAGCTAGAGGAGGCTGCGAAACGCCTGAAGCTGAAGATAAGAAAGCAAGACGCTGGTTTGTTTAAGCTGGAAGGATCAAAGGAGGGGAGGAAAGGGGTTTTGTCGATGGATGCGGAGATATTCCAAGTGACGGAGACTTTTCACCTGGTTGAAGTTAAGAAATGTAATGGAGATACTATTGAGTATCAGAAGTTAGTGGAAGAGGATCTTAGGCCTGCTCTTGGGGAGATCGTCTGGGTTTGGCAGGGTGAGAAGGAGAAAGATGAGCAAGAAGTAGATCAACAACGTGAACCAATGTAGCGAGTTAAAGATTATGGAGAAGAGAAACTCACTAACTGCTTCAAGTGAAACAGGAGCATCAAGGACAATCTTTGTAGCTAACTAGGCTGTGACAAGCAAAAGCAGAGGATACAGGAAAATAGGCACAATTCATCAACTTGATTCTTTACATAGCCTGCAAAAATTGTACATTGTGTTGTTTCATGAGCACTGTATATGATCAAGTTTCTTAAGGTTTGATCGATACAATAGCAGGGGGCAGAGAATGTGGTGTGAATAAGAAAATCGTGGGAAAGTGAATAAAACAAGCAAATCTTATATTGTCATAGTTTCCATTACAGGACTTGAGAAGCTGTTTTTACAAGAGCCATTTTACTTTTTCAAAAAACATTGCAGAATTGGTCTTTGTTTTCTTTTTCTTTTCTCCAATAGGAACGCAATAGAAAAATAAAAAATTGATGAAGACAGAGAGGAGCAGAGTTGGTGCACTAGTCAAAGCCAGAGATCGCACGTCCTTCATTGTGTTTGCTCTTCATCACAGGTAATTTGATCCTTCTTCCTTCTTCTCCATTTCTTGTTAACTTGTATTCTGGAAAGAGAGATAGAAATCTGTTTGCTTTGTTGGTCTAAGGAGTTTTGAGTTCATATCTATCATTTGTTTGTAGCTCTGTGGTTATGTGCGGTTAAAGTCTGTAGATTATAATGGAAAAGAGACCAAAAGTACTAACTGATAGATATGAGGTTGGGAGATTACTTGGTCAAGGTCATTTTGCCAAGGTTTATTTTGGAAGGAGTGTTCATACTAATCAGAGCGTAGCTATCAAGGTGATAGACAAGGAGAAAGTCATGAGAACTGGGAGTAGCAATCAGATCGAGAGAGAGCTAAATCAGATCAAGAGAGAGATCTCTGCGATGAGTGTTGCTAAACACCCTAATATCGTGGAGCTATACGAGGTCATGGCAACGAAAACGAAGATTTACCTTGTTCTAGAGTACTGTAAAGGAGGAGAGCTCTTCGACAAGATCGCAAAAGGCAAGCTCACTGAGGATGTTGCCTGGAAGTACTTTCATCAGCTTATCAACGCCGTTGATTTCTGCCACAGCCGGGGAGTGTACCACCGCGACATCAAGCCGGAGAACCTGTTGCTGGACGACAACGATAATCTCAAGGTTGCTGACTTTGGTTTGAGCGCGCTTGCGGACTGCAAGCGACGAGACGGTCTCCTCCACACCTCTTGTGGCACACGTGCCTATGTTTGCCCTGAGATCATCGACCATAGAGGATATGATGGCACGAAGTCAGACATATGGTCTTGCGGGATTGTCTTGTTTGTGCTTTTGGCTGGTTATCTTCCTTTCCATGACACCAATATAATGGAGATGTTCAGGAAGATAGTCAAAGCAAAGTTTAAGTGCCCTAACTGGTTCTCCATTGAAGCCAAGAGACTACTGTTTAAGATGTTGGACCCTAACCAGGAGACTAGAATCACCATCTCGAAAATCAAGGAGAGTTCTTGGTTCAGGAAAGGTCTACACTTGAGGCAAAAAGCGATGGTGAAACAAGCCAGTGAGGCTAGTTTCTTGGAAGCTGGAGGCCAGCTTGCAAGCTTGAACGCTTTTGATATCATCGCCTGGCTTCCGGTGTTTGATCTGGCGAGATTTTTTGGAGATGTGTGTAACAAGCAAGAATCTAGTTTTTTGTCTAAAAAGCCTGCTGGAGAGATCATCTCTAAGCTAGAGGAGGTCGCCAAACGGCTGAAGCTGAAGATAAGAAAGCAAGGCGCAGGAGGATTGTTCAGACTGGAACGAGCAAAGGAGGGAAGGAAAGGGATTTTGTCGATGAATGCGGAGATATTCCAAGTGGCGGAGACGTTTCACCTGGTTCAAGTGAAGAAATGTAGTGGGGACAGAATGGAGTATCACAAGGTAGTGGAGGAGGGTCTTAGGCCTGCTCTTGCGGAAATCGTCTGGGTTTGGCAAGGCGACAAGGAGAAATATGAGTGAGTTACTGCATTGAATGTGAAGAATGAAAAAAAAAAAATCTAAAACAGAAGCAGCAAGAAGAACGATCCTAGCTGTGACGAACAAAAGCAGAGGAAAAAACAGAGCATAACTTGATTCTTACTTAACATAGCCTGCAAAAATTGTAGATAGTTGATTGATGTAACAAACTACGAGCCCTTTTAAATTTTTTCTTATTCCGTGAGGACCATACATGTATATTCATTTCTTAAGGCAGAGGAATGTCTGATTAACTGAATACACTCCATGAAATTGACAGAATTTTGAGAAGTTGGTTTACAAAAATTACAACTTTCCAAAGTGTTTTGCTTCATAAACTCTGTTTCAATAGTCATTACTCATATTACTCATGTATAGAAATTGTGCTTCTTAAGTCTCAACCCCACTTCCAAATTTTTCTTTTGCTTTCTCTTCCAAGAACACTAGCTTGTGTCTGGTTTTTACTTACATAAACGCATGTTGGAGGGGTATTGTCGTCATTCTGTTAAAGTTTGCAAGAGAGAAAAAAAAAAAGGCAAATTGACTGACTCGTGAAAATAATAAATATATTTCCTTTATTTTATCGTTTTGACGAATTCTTATTGATATTTTATTTATTTTTATTTTTTTAATTGTGGAGATATCGTACGGACGAACATTTCGGAGAAGAGAAGGAAATCGTCGTTGGATCTGGTTTTTGTGGGCATCCACGAACTACAACCAAAAATTTTGCTTGTTAAAAAAGGAATTCTCTACAGATGATTTGCCTTGAATCTCGAATCTGAAGGATTTCGTTTTCGTTTTCACCTGAATCGCCCAGAAATTTCTTCCACGGCTCTTATCCCTCATCTTCGTTCGAACGGTTTCTGGATTTGCCCCACCGCGATCCGAAAATCATGAGGAAGAAGCTCGATACTCGTTTCCCAGCTGTAAGTTTTTCGCGTTTCCAGTTTCATCTCTCCAGGCTTGATTAATTTTGGTTGTGTTAAAGTTTAATCATTTATTACGATTTGAAATCAAATTTTCCGTTAACAACTTGATCTCTTGGTCCTGGATCACTGCTGGTTAAAAATTCGTATTTTGATGGCGAATTGTAGACTTATCTGTCTCTGTTTCGATGTCCTGTTATTTGACCAAGGATGCTGAATTAGTAAATTTCATTCATGACCTTAAATTATAAAACTTTCAGTAAGCTTTAATGATTCTGTGATCACTGAGTTGATTTTTTTTTTTCAATTTGCCTTTGTTATTGTTTCGTGACTGTATGGAATGGATTTGGGTTTCTCTATAAAATTTTGATTGTATTGTTTGTGTGCATCCAAAATTTCAGGCGCGCATAAAAAAAATAATGCAAGCTGACGAGGATGTTGGCAAGATCGCTTTGGCAGTGCCTGTCTTAGTTTGTGAGTCATATAATTTTTAACCTGCAATTGGAATTAAACTAGGCTTGTTTTTTTAACCAATTTTTCCATTTACGATGATGACAGCAAAAGCTTTGGAATTATTCTTACAAGACCTTTGTGATCATACATATGAGATTACACTTCAGAGAGGAGCCAAGACTGTGAACTCGTTGCACCTGTAAGTCTATTATTGGTTTTCTCCAGCCTTAGCACTTACTTTTTCATAATAATAATGAATCCAAATTCACCAACTTGTCTATTTTTCCAGGAAAAACTGTGTGGAAAGGTACAATGTGTTTGATTTTCTGAGGGAAGTTGTGAGTAAGGTGCCTGACTATGGCCATGGACACGGTAACGGTCATGGACAGGGTGATGTAACCATGGACGAACGCGGTGTCTCCAAGAGAAGGTTGGTTGGATCTATGTCAACACTTCTTAGCTCTATGTTCTTAATTTGTTTCTAAGCTGATCTGCTTCTCTGATTGACCAGGAAGCCTGCGACTGAAGAAGTTAATGACAGCGATGAGGAAGTAAAGAAAACCAAAGTGGTGAGCGAGTGTTCTTCTGCTTACTATTGTCTCTCTCTCACTTTTAGGACACCATCATGTTTATGAATGTGTCTTGATGTATATTGTGTGATCGCTGCAGGTGGAGACGGGGCAAGCAGGACCCAGTGGAAGAGGTAGAGGCAGAGGGCGTGGGAGGGGACGTGGAAGAAGTGCTAAAACAGTGGAAAGAGAGCTTCTTCATCGCGAGATGGATATAGAGCCAGCCATGTTGTTAGCACCACTATCGCAAGACAACGAGAAGAAGGACGTGGATGACAGGTCTGACCACCCAAAGCAAGAGCTGCAAAGTCCAAAAGAAGGTAATAATGAGACAAACTCAGGGTTGTTGGGTCGGGGTTTTGATCTGAACGCACAGTCGGTCGACATGGAGATAAAGCCGCTGGAAGCCACAGCCTCAGGAGGAACGAAACCAGAGGAATATCCGGGTTGGTCAATCTCGGATATGAGCAATATGGATCCACTGCAGCTTGCAAGTATGGGTAAGAGGTTAGACGAGGATGAGGAAGATTATGACGAGGAGGAAGCTTAGGGCTGAGACCGCAAGGCTCATTATAGGTATTGATGGTGTTGAGTTTAGTAGGAAACATGATCGTAGGATTGGATAGAGTAGCAGCATTAACATTTAACAGTTTGTTTTATGTAGAAAAAAAAATGTATAATTTGGCTCTTGCTCTTCTTTTCCTGCATTTGTATGGAGAAGATAGTCCTACTGATTATTTATTATTTCCAAAAGTTCGAAACTTGATTACTGACACCGTTTACATAAAACAAGTTCGATTTGGCGTAAAGTGAGAAGAAAAGATCCAACCACTCTCTAGGCACTTACAAGAAAGCAGAGCAGCAACTGCAAGAGACCAGAGCCACACTACTTCCTTTATAACTTTTTTGTCGGTCCATCTTAAACCGGAATTTGTAATTGGATTGTGATATCATAACAATGTTCATGTGTTTCCATCTCAAAATTAGTTAAGCTACTATTAGTATACTACCAAGTAATTACGTCTCTCTTATATCTTTGTGAAATTTGAAATTTCTAAGATTATGTAGTTAGATTGTTGATGAATTCAGTTCACTCCAAATATGTTCCTGATCCTATTCTCTTCCCGTGTCACTCAAAATTGACACATCGTCTCTCAATTTCATTCGAGGTTTAATTATAGCCGCATGATTAGAAAGAGTTACTTGCTTCTGTGAAGAGGTAACATAGCTTTTCGATGATTTTATAATGTGAAAAGGTCTAAGTTCGAAGATTTAACTTTCATGTCATGCCTTAATGCCTTCTGTGTCATTTGTTTGCTTACCTCAGATTCACTACATCCATGATTTAGATGCTCCTTGTAAACCCCGTTACCTGACACGTGCCCCCTACCGTTTCTTTCCCCCCGTTTTTCAATAAACAACTTCTTTTTTCTTCTCGAATCATGCAAAATTACATTATTTTAGTCGTCAAGGCATCTTTTTAGTAGTTACGAAATGTAAAAGTGCGTTTCTGATCATTGTTGGCTCAAGCCTATAATGTTGTGGTGTGGGTTGAAATCTAATTATTTTCAAATAGATGTAGATTTGTGTCAAATAGAAGATTAGAAAGGAATAAACAAACTCGAATTTCCTTTGTTTCAAATTTAGATTAGAGCATTATGGTTTCCAATAGGGTAATTAGAGTGTCATAATCCAATCCAAATTCGAACAATTTTACTGCCATTTGTAAATAAATTTCCCAACACATATACATTAGCGTTCCGTAACTCACTTTTAGTTGCTATGGATTGAGATTGACAGATTTGTTTCACAATATAATATCATAATTTATGTCTTGCAAGTGCATGTATCATGTATGTAGAACATCTGGTTATTTATGAATTAAAAGGCGATTGGAAAGGAAAAAAGGGGGATTCGATCTGTATATTTGAGCTCCAATAACTGTAAAAGGGAGGTGAGATAGAGATGTCAGCCAAGAAACCTAGAAACATTAAACAAATACAAAAGTGTATTGTAACTCATGCATCTTACATTCTTATACTATATAAATACATATGACCATTTCAACATTTTCACCCATCATCAACACACAAATTAACTAAAACATAATATGTCGATGGAGAAGCTTAGCTGCTGTGAAAGCTTTCTCAGAAGCTCTAAACCCTATTTCGCCATGATATCTCTCCAGTTTGGCTACGCCGGCATGAACATAATTACTAAAATATCCCTCAACACCGGTATGAGCCATTACGTCCTTGTCGTCTACCGCCATGCAATCGCCACCGCCGTTATTGCCCCCTTCGCTTTCTTCTTCGAAAGGTATATTATACTCAACCATCTTCAGTACATTCCTTGAAAAAGAATTTGTCAACAATCAACCAATTACTGATGTTTTATTTTTATTTTCAGGAAAGCTCAGCCGAAAATAACATTCACTATTTTCATGCAACTATTCATTCTCGGCCTTCTCGGGTACTTAATTATTTGATAATTATGGTTCTTCGACGTTTTTCTTTGGAAAAGAAAAGAGAATAACATGTTTTTTTTCCTAAACAGGCCAGTGATCGATCAAAACTTCTACTACGTAGGGCTTAAATATACGTCTCCCACGTTCTCGTGCGCCATGAGTAATATGCTTCCGGCAATGACCTTTATCTTGGCCGTACTATTCCGGTACGTAAATAAACGAACAAGTATATAGATATTAGGTAACTTATGGTTTCGAATGCTGCATGTATTAGATTAATTAATTTTTGATTATATAGGATGGAGATGTTGGACGTGAAGAAACTGTGGTGCCAGGCGAAAATAGCCGGAACGGTGGTGACAGTGGCCGGAGCCATGTTGATGACAATTTACAAGGGACCCATCGTTGAGCTATTTTGGACCAAATATATGCATTTCCAACATGCCAACGACACGACGCCGTCTAACAATTCAAATGACAGTAAAGATTTTCTCAAAGGCTCCATCCTCCTCATCTTTGCAACACTCGCATGGGCCTCCCTCTTCGTTCTACAGGTACACATTGAGATTCTTCTTAATATCTTCTGTTTTCGATGTCTTCATTGTTTGTTGGTTTGACCATGGTTTGTGTGATTAGGCAAAAATACTAAAGACGTATGCGAAGCATCAGCTATCTCTAACAACACTGGTTTGCTTCATCGGAACGGTACAAGCAGCTGCTGTGACGTTTGTCATGGAACACAACCCCTCCGCTTGGAGAATTGGTTGGGACATGAACCTCCTTGCCGCCGCCTACTCTGTAATATTAACCTCTCTCATTTATTCAAACATAACAACAAACTTATACATACATAGATATACCATTTACGGATTATGATAAGGATTCAAAATATTAAAATAATAACAGGGGATTGTGGCATCAAGTATCTCATACTATGTGCAAGGGATAGTTATGAAGAAAAGAGGACCTGTGTTTGCTACTGCCTTTAGTCCTTTGATGATGGTTATTGTTGCTGTCATGGGTTCTTTTGTCTTGGCTGAAAAGATTTTCCTTGGAGGGTAAATTTCTATTTTTCCCCGTTTTTCTCATGCTCCATTATTCATTATTCATGGTACAATAACTCAAATATTAAGCTTATCAATTTGTGTTTCCAACAGGGTGATTGGAGCGGTACTGATTGTAATTGGACTGTATGCGGTTTTATGGGGGAAGCAAAAGGAGAATCAAGTAACTAGCTGTGAGATTTTAGTACCCACCAAGAATATTGACATGAGTAGTAAAGTAACTGAGGATGTGGAAGCCAATAATGGAATTCAGGTGAAAAAATCGGAAGGTGATAACACTAGGCTTTCGACGATTGTAATCAGTGTTCCAATATCGGAAACGCCTTTGAAGAAAACTATCCAAGACCAAGAGCCATGAAGATTGCATGAGCAGAAGAATAAAGGGAAAGGCTACTTTTGGTCAGATGTGTATTTTTGTCTTTTTCCACTTTAAATTTTTGACCTAGCTATATATATGTTTATGAAAAGACGTGTACTAGTAAGAACTCCAACTTGCGCTTTTTTCATCGTGCATCATAAATATATGTTATACTATGAACGTAAGATACCATACTGCTCATACACGATACCGAATCTCTCTCAAAGATCGAACCTAAACCACGTCATCGTGATCATCAAGAGTTACCTAGCACGTGAGAGATTGTAAAAGAGCAGTGTTTCGGCCAAAGCAAATAAATTAAAGATAGACAAATTAACCGATCGATACTTCATCAAGAAAAATAAACAAGAATAATCGATACCAAATTTGCAGTCGCAAACTCAAATGTGAAAGATAAATGGTCCCAAGTTTTAAATTTATATTATATACTATGAACGTAAGAATACCTACTGCTCATACATACACGATACCGAATCTCTCTCAAAGATCGAACCTACACCACGTCATCGTGATATCAAGAGTTACCTAGCACGTGAGAGATTGTAAAATAGCAGTGTTTCGGCCAAAGCAAATAAATTAAAGATAGACAAATTAACCGATCGCAAACTCAAATGCGAAAGATAAATGGTCCCAAGTTTTAAATTATTAATACTAAACTATTAGGAAAAATTACGATTTGTTTAGCTTTCAAGTTCAATCCTAGAAATATAGCAAATTTTAATCACACCAATGCTCACTAAATTCAATCTCGAAGCACAAGAGAGTAAAGATAGGTTGGTGAAATGTTATGTTTGAAAAGAAACTAGGCCCCCCAAAAAAAGGGTCTATAACCTTTTCACCTGATTTGAAAGGCGAGTGGGACGAAATCGGACAAGGGTGTGGCTATCCTAGACGGAGCCGGTGAGTTCCTACAAAGAGGACACGTTGCACTCGTCCGGAGCCACTCATCAACACAATCAGTGTGGAAACAGTGATTACATTCCGGTATACACCGAACCGGATCTCTAGCTTCGTAATCACACAAGCATATCGAACATGGGCCGTTGTTGGGCCTAGGCAATCTCAAGCTATCTCCGAGCACTATCCTTGGATATGATTCTATCACTGGCCGGTCCAGCCCGAGCTTTACCTCAGCCGCCGGCGACTCAGCAACTCCGTCACTCGTGGCTTCCTCTCTTCCAGCTGATTTTGACCTTATGCAGATGTATGAAGCTAGCATTATAGCGGAGATGAGAACCAGGATGCTTACGGCGATGGCGATGCCGTAACCGAGCCCAACTCCACTGTCGGGAGGACTTGTCGGAGCCATATATTTGTACTTTTGTAGAGAGAGAGAAACTAAAATGTGGAAGAAGAAGAAGAAGAAGAGATCGGTTGGTAAGAGAAGGGGACAAGTTTGGCGTAGTACGCGGGTAAACAATTTAATGTTGCTGCAGAACATTTTCCCACAAGTATATTTAAAACTGGGGTTATGTAAACTTATGTAATTGTCTTCATAGAATCTTTCATCTTCTTATATTGTCATGGATCGTTGACCCTGCATCTCATTATTTTAATGGTACCAGTATGTTAGCTCGGAAACCGACAAAAAAGTCCTTGAAGTTATGCAAAGTCTCAAATCTTGCGGTTCTTGAATATTGAGCAACTCTGTTTATAAGTTAACAAAAATCATTATATGTTCAACCCTTCAATCCATTTATTAATATTACACATGTGGATCTTTTTTCTTTCTTGGTCAAACATAGATCTATATTTATCTTTTAATGTGTTCAAGTGATCGGAGATTGATAATCTGTGCGTATTGTTCAGATTCTCCATTGAAAATGATTTTATTCAAGTGAACTACTGTATGTTGAAAACAAAAAACCGTATAAAATCCTTTGCAATCAAGACTATTGGGCCAAATGTGATTAGCCCAATCTTAACCCATATGATGAATGAATAAAGAGATGCCGTTTAAAATCAAAATTCATCAACCATGTTCATGTTCTGTGTTCTTTTTTGGGCAAACAAAATTGTGTTTAGTTTTGGAAAGGACTTGTACTGTTAATAATTTTATTTATATCAACTGCGAGACAAGTATATGCTTTCATTATTATACTACTCGGCCCATCAATAACAAATACCCCACAGAAGTAGTGGATATCACACGAAAGTAACTTTTGCACTACCGGAAGAGTGAAGAAAGAGATACATAAATACATAACTGGCCGACATCAATGATACCAAGAATAATAAATGGAATGCTAAAAAATAATTAAGCAAACAAGCACCAAATTTGGGTGTAACTGGGAGAATATTCTTTTCGAAAAGACGAAAAATATGTTGAAGAGGTGATTAAGAAAATTTTAAGCAGATAAATTTAGGAGTGCGAATCAAAACGAAATAGGTAGCTCAACAAACCGAAAAAATTGTTTGTAAACCATTTGCTTTAGTTATTTAACTTATTTTACATTTTTAGAAACCGAACTTCATTTCTTTAATTATACAAAATGGGAAGAAGCATAACTTCGGAAAATCAACTACAAAAGCGGCTTCTATAGTTATACTATAAGATATACCAAATATACAAAACAACATTGTGCGGTGTATTATGGAAAGAAGAAAAAAAAAATTCTTGTGAATTGTGATATGGGGAAAAACTAAGTTAACAAAGAATTCCATGTTGTATTAAGGATTAAAAGGAGCAGTTTTAACTGTTGAAATTCATTATTAACCGCCTTAGTTCAAACTCAAAACCTGATTAGCGGGAATAATCTTTGATTTGTGTCATATAGCTAATATAGTTTTATACATTTTGATTTCATGTACGTACTTGGTCATTTTGTAGCTCGGACCACTATATATACCCACACTCATGCCAACACCAATTAATATCCCATCCAACCCACAAAACACATAATACGATGACCACTCTTGTTTTATTCCTCCAATTTCTTTCCATCATCCCATTAGCATTTGGGTTAGGGCTAAACCACCCAAACTGTGACCTCACCACCACTCAAGACCAAGGCTCTACCTTAAGAATCTTCCACATCGACAGTCCTTGCTCCCCTTTCAAATCATCATCCCCACTCTCATGGGAAGCGCGTGTCCTGAAGACGCTGGCCGAAGACCAGGCCCGTCTCCAGTACTTGACCAGCCTCGTCGCCGGGAGATCTGTCGTCCCCATCGCCTCAGGTCGTCAAATGTTGCAGAGCACAACATACATTGTCAAGGCTAAGATCGGTACTCCGGCTCAGTCACTGCTTTTAGCCATGGACACCAGCAGTGACGTGGCTTGGTTGCCGTGCTCTGGCTGCGTTGGCTGTCCTTCAACCACCGCCTTTTCTCCGGTCAAGTCCACCACTTTCAAGAACGTCAGCTGCAGCGCTCCTCAGTGTAAACAGGTACAGTTTTGTATATACTTCAACACCGACAGATATAATAATGTCCCATGGAATGTTTTTTTGATTAATTAATATCCTTCTCATTTTTTATAACACTTTCATAGCTTCATTAATGAACCATAAAACATATTTGCCTCATACTGTATTGTAGTCGTATTTTAATATTAATAACCTGCGATTTGTTTTCATCTGAAAGATCTGAACATGAGAATATTGTTGCCTCAACAAAAAACCAAACATATTCAAAACTCAATAGTCTCCGTAGTATCAGATCTAGAATTTATTTAATTTAATTAGTATAGAAATGGAAACGAAAATACAAAATTATTTTGTTTGGAAAAAGTTTTTCAAAGAGAGAGAGGGTCCCACGTGGTTATTGTTGATAATTCCACCCATGTTCCAAAAAATGGATCACGGGATTACAGAACACTAAACAACTAGACCGACACACTGCATTAACTCACGTGAACACTTGCAGGTGCCCAACCCCACGTGCGGAGCAAGCGCGTGCGCTTTCAACCTCACATACGGAAGCTCCTCCATCGCCGCTAACCTCTCTCAGGATACCATCCGCCTTGCCGCCGATCCGATCACAGCCTTCACATTCGGCTGCGTCAACAAAGTAGCCGGCGGAGGAACCATCCCACCACCACAGGGTTTATTGGGCCTAGGACGAGGCCCATTGTCGCTCATGTCACAGGCTCAGTCCCTCTACAAGTCCACCTTCTCTTACTGTTTGCCAAGTTTCAAGTCTCTCGCCTTCTCGGGATCGTTGAGACTCGGACCCACCGCGCAGCCACTGCGCGTGAAGTACACGCCACTCCTGAGAAACCCGAGGAGGTCTTCTTTGTATTACGTCAATCTCGTTGCCATCCGCGTCGCTAAGAAAGTCGTCGATATACCGCCGGCAGCTATTGCTTTTAATCCCGCCACCGGCGCTGGAACCATCTTTGACTCCGGTAAGAGATTTTTAATGACACTGTATGCGCGTGAACATTGAACAATCCACTATAAAACTTTTAGCTGATATAAAATAATTAGTTAATTAATATTTTTATATACATTCAAATGAAATTCCGTTTATATGGTTGATTTGAAATCGGTTTGGTTAGGTTTAGTTTGTTTGGTTACATTTAGACCACATCTCATCTATAGTTTGGATCATGTTAACTAACTATTTAATCTGCAGGGACTGTGTACACGCGGCTGGCTACGCCGATTTACGAGGCGGTGAGGAACGAGTTCAGGAAGCGCGTGAAGCCACGTACCGCCGTGGTGAAGTCACTTGGGGGTTTCGACACTTGCTACTCAGAGCAAGTCACTGTCCCGACAATAACGTTCATGTTCAAGGGAGTGAACATGACGATGCCCGCGGATAACCTGATGTTACACAGCACCGCCGGGAGCACGTCGTGCCTCGCCATGGCCGCGGCGCCGGAAAACGTAAACTCTGTCGTGAATATAATCGCAAGCATGCAGCAGCAGAACCACCGTGTGGTGATCGACGTTCCCAATGGACGGATTGGTGTGGCACGTGAACGATGCTCTTAATTGATGAATGAGACAATAATTCAGAGCGTACTCTATAGTATTATGAGCAGAGACTTGTTTGTTTGTGTGCTTTTGTGTTTCCGAATTTTTTGTTCTTTTCCGTTTCGTTTTGCTTCACCACTCTTCATCTGTTTAATAGAGGGCGGTGGTGTTAAAGCATTTGTTCTATCGAGTCGTCATTTTTATGGTTTTAACTTTTGTCGAATTCGGGTCACAACTAATCGGTCGAATAAATTATTATGTACTAATGAGTAATGAAGCTATATATATGGTTGGTCCTTGTACGGTATGCAACTGCAATTTCAAAATCGAAATTTTAATTAGATACATTTATGTATGCAGTCGAATATAAACATTTATGCATGTTACTGCTGTTAGCGTATTGTTTGAAAATCGACTTATATTTAGGGTGTATTATATCACGATTGTTACTTTTAACACTCAAAACTTTTGAGTCAAAAGTAGTATTTATGAAAACTAACCTTGATATGCAAAAATTATGCAAATACTTTTGAATTAATCTGGTTTATTAGAGCTTTAATTTATTTTGACTGAAAATGTGTAGAATAATGATATATCCTAATTCATGTATGATGAATCCACAAAGACATCATTCAAAATCCGACTTATTTCTTATTTGGAATGATGTATTTGGATGATTCCATAGATATTTGAAAATACTTTATTAATAATCGATGTTCATCAATAGGTCCCTCGAACATGGTTAGTGGCTGTTTATGCTCATAGTTTTCAAAAGGATCCCACTTCAAAGCTTAGGGTTGTGTGGCATTTTAATATAGTACCAGTTAACAGAGAAAAGAGAGAAATTGATCTAGTATAAATTACAAGAAATCTATTTTATATAAGTTCAAACGAGAAAACCAGAAGAGAATGAGAAAGATTGGGATGTAATCATTAACAAACAAATTTTTTTCACAACACACAAAAACTTGGTTAGAAGCTCAATATTATGTACTTGTGTTATATGGATCGATCATGTCTAAACAAATATAGAATCTTGGTTAAGATATTCTTTAATTCCACAACGGGAAAGAGTGCTTTTTGCACATGCTTAAGATATAGGGCATAGCTAGTGGCTAAGCCACTAGGCCACAAGGTGTTAGCCATTGCGATGATTAAACTAATAGCACGCTGAAATAATTCGGTATAGGCTGATAGTCTCATAGAGGAAAAAAATGAAGTGAAGATTGAAAAAGAGAGAAGAGATTCGGTAAAAGCAAGAAAGTAATCAAAGGAGAAGACAAAAATACAATACCAGGCATGTCTATGAAAAGAAATTGCTGATTGCAACTTTTGAAAACGCTAATCAGTTGCCGACAAAAAAAAATAAAAAAAATCAGTTAATCAGTTTATGCTCATGCTGTAAGCCTGTAAAGTGTATTTAGCAATAGTATAATTTTTTTTTTTTTAAATTTTGTAATCAAAGTAGCAATTAGATTAGTAATTACTGATTAGCAAATAGGAATGAAATTGTGGCCTTGTGGGTTCTGTGATATTTGGGGTGGGCACTTACACGCGTAGCCTAATTGAAAAGCCCACCACACCACACAACACTCAACACACATCACACAACACACATCACACATCATCGTCTCTTTTATCTCTTTACCATGTATCGCCTCAAACGATAAGACAAACCCCAGAATCTCCTCGAATCTGATCAACCATGTCCTGCACTTGGAATGTCTTGCTATCCCCAAACGGCTGCTTGTTGGCATCACCTAAGCCTCTTGCCAGATTCCTCAGCGCCAAGCCCGTCGGACGGAAACTTTCCGTCTCCGTCGTCAGAGCTGCTTCCGATGACCCTGATTGCAATGCCGAAGAATGTGCTCCCGATAAAGAGGTACTGATTCTTACAGAACCGATTTTATTTATAAGATGCTGGGAAAGTAATGCAGATAGATCTTTAATCGTTTCGGTTTCTTCGCTCAAATTTTGCTTCCCCTTCTCGTTTTTAACTCTTTTGAGTTGTCAAATTATCATCTTTTATTTGTGAAAACAATCTTATGTATGCTCTGCTCATCCAAGGAATTTCAAATTTTTACTTGGTGGATTGAAGTGATTACAAGTTAGGAAATTTCAATTTCAAATTTCTCAATACCAGTAGAGTCTGGAATCGAAGTGATTACATCATAGAATTGAATTGGCTAAATACAGGTTGGGACGGTGAGTATGGAGTGGTTGGCCGGAGAGAAGACGAAAGTGGTGGGAACATTTCCTCCACGGAAGAAGGGTTGGACTGGCTATGTTGAGAAGGACACTGCTGGTCAGACCAATGTTTACTCTATTGAGGTCTGTATCCACTCCAATACATATTTCTATTAGTTTTACTCTCCTTAGCATGTAGCGAAGCAGTTCTTGTTGTTGTAAGTAACGACCAGAACCGAGAGAGAGAGCTTTGGATAGATAAGATATCAGTTTTCAGTTAGAGGGAAAACGCTAAGAGCTTTCAGTTGAGGAAACGGTAGTTATGTTTGTGATAGGCATTAGAATGTATTGGATGCATAGCAAGAAGTCTAATTAGGCTATAGCCGAGGAAGATGACAGTTGGTGTCTTTGGCCACTTCTTGTTTGGGAGCCTCTTAGCTTTGGGAGAATCTTATGCTTTTTGCTGAAGCACAGTTTTTTTTTTGGGGTTACTGTTTGCAGCCTGCAGTATATGTTGCAGAGAGCGCGATAAGCTCAGGTACTGCAGGATCTTCGTCTGATGGTGCTGAGAACACAGCAGCAATCGTAGCAGGCGTTGCCCTTATAGCAGTCGCTGCGGCTTCCTCTATTCTCCTCCAAGTCGGGAAAGACGCCCCGGCTCGACCAAAACCAGTTGATTACAGTGGACCGTCGCTTAGCTACTACATCAACAAGTTCAAGCCTGCAGAAACTGATCAAGCTTCTTCTTTCCCCGCTCTCACTGAAGCTCCACCGGTGGCTCAGCAAGAAACTTCACTGCCAGAAACTATGGCCAGTGAGGCTCAGCCAGAAACGTCACTACCGGAAACTATGGCCGTTGAGGCTCAGCCAGAAACCTCACTACCGGAAACTGCGGCCGTTGAGGCTCAGCCAGAGGCGTCTTCTGTTCCAACAAGTAGTACTACTTCTTAGGGGATTAACCTCTGATTCAATATATATGTTGTAAAGATGAAATGATGAAAGCATAGACACAACACAATGTTATGCATTTTGTTAATATTCGGATATTAAATATATTATCTTCTCTATGAGTTGGTGATTTAGTCAGAATTCTAAGTAACTATGTGTGTCTGCATTTACATATGAATTATACTGTCTCTTCATATGTTCGTTGAGCCAAGAGATCTGCATTCCTATTGATCTTATACTTTCGATTGCAATCAGAATACAATAGCAATTTCTTGAATTTTTTTGTAGATGTCGTCCTAACTTACGGACTCGCTTCTTTCTCTCACAACCGCACACGAAAACAGAACATACGTACTCTGTGCAAAAAGTAAGCTTCATCGTACAGACTCAGCTTGAGACTTGAGTAGTAGCGAAAGCAGAAAGTTGATTCCTGGTACGAGAGCTCACACAACCACTTAAATTATTCTAGTTCTTTTGTCCGGATTGATTATGGATCTAATTCTAAAAACATTAAAAAGAAAAGGAAAATAAAGAATCCAACTAAGAATATAAGTTTTGCTTTTGAAAATTGACCATGTATGTTTTACTCGATAAACACGAGGGAAAAAATCAGGTCACGCATCTGTGTAGGCACGACAACATTATGTCACGAATTAGGTTTAGAGTCGTAATCAAAAGATAAGTATAGAGCCTTTTTCCATTAAAGTGTAGGCCGCAAGAGCAAGTCAGTCAATTGCTTGTCTAAATTTGTCGACTTAGAGAATACAGCACAAAAAAAGAATGGGATAGAGAAAGCAACGTAGGCTCCACTTGCCTAGCTAGTGCCTCAACGTATCCAATACCCACCAGGTTGTGCGTTTAACGGCATGTCGATATATATAATATATATATATATATATATGTTCATAAAGTTTTTTAATCAACTTTTTGGTCTCATTTTGTTATTTAATTTCTGATTTTCAAATAGGAGTAGTTATTTATTTCCATACTATCTTGGCCTTGTCTTAAAGACTATCTAAATGTTGTCGCACACACGAAAGGTGTGGGGATAGTCACATAAGTCAGCTAGTTAAATAACTGGCTAGGACATAGGGGTATATTATTTTCAAGAAATATATAAATGTCGTTTGCGTATATAATTTTGTTTTCGTTTTCCTCTCCACGAGATGATGCGTGGAAGTGATCGTGGTACCACGTGGGTATGGAATGGTTATTTCATTAATATATGGGACTGGGAGTGTGTGCTTCAAGAGATTGATTTGTCTTTATGATTCTTCAACTATCAAAAAAAGGAGAAACAAAAAGAGAGAGCAGTGTTCGTATCCAAACAAACTTCTTCCCAATTGAAATCTATCTGAACTATAAAAGAATTATTTATTTAAGTCGCACTTATCATAATCTGGTAGTAGTTAATATACATCCAAAACTGACATAAACTTTACTCAAGTTAACAAAAAGAATTTATAACAAAATCATGCGTGAGGGAATTGTTTTACTTAAAAGATCGGTTATGCGGAATTTTCCAGATTAAAATTTACCAACTATCAGGTAATATTTTTGTACATCTGTCTCTAATTCTTTTATCTTCGCAAGCTCCTAATTTAAACCAGTTGAACTAAGAAAAAAATTTTACAAAAAGAGGAACTTTCTTCCCTCTTTTTTTGTGTGGAAAAGAACTTTCTTATGTCGATAACCCACAACATACAAATCTCAAGTTGAAAGGAAAAATACAAAATTAAATAAAGCGTTCATGGCGTTAAAAGCATATATTACATTCATCGTTACAGACATATATTGAAAATCATATAATTTAATATATACACTGTTAGTTAGTGTTTTCATTGGGTGATAAAAACAAAGACAGATATTTTATTTGTAGTGTAGCTATAGTTGTAGTCCGTCCGTTAATAGGTGTTTTTATCTCTGTCCAAGTTTGGAAAATTCAGTCGACATCTTACTCGTGATAACTCGAATAATAATACAAATTAGCTTCATCGTAGTAGGTCCCCGTCCCCAACTGGTTGACGTATTGTGGTTTTGTTTAACGACTTGTTTTTGTAACAAGGGTTAACAATTTATTCCCCCCCAAAAAAGAAATGATTCATCTATTTGATTTATACGTGATTTATTCTCAGAAAGATAGTTATTTAATTTATCCAGACGGCGCAATATACTAATTGTGTTATCTTTTTGTTTAGAGTACTGATTGTGTTATCTTTTACAGAAGAAAGTGATGAACTTTACTATGTAAACTAATTTACCCTAGAAAGTGATGAACTTAACTCCACTTTAAAATGATTACGATGATAGTTTTTTTTGGTAAAAATAATTCATTTTTTTTTTTACCAAAAGGCTACGTTGGTAATTGTTTGGCCGTTTTTTCCAGCAAAAGTTGCGTCTGCCGACAATTTTGGGACAGAAACAAACGAGAATAGTAAATGAGAAAGCAGCAAATCATACCTTACACTAACTCCAAGGAGAATACAGACACTGACACAGCACTATTATTAGAAACTGTAAAAATTTAATTTACAGAAAAAGGTGTAAAAATGGAGTGGGCCAAACAAATATTCGCACACGCCGTTTATTTAATTATATCCCACGTGCTTGATAGCAACCGAGGCTGCTCTCTTCTCTTCACAACGCATCTCATCTCAATATCTCATGCATTTTCGTCATTATATAAACAGCCAACTTCCTCACAAAACATATCAAACCAAACCAAACCACAAATTCTATAATCTTCTATAAATATATATATGACAAAGACAATGGCGACCTCAAGCATCAAGACCATGCCAATTATGGCAATACCGAATTTCGCCATTTGCCACAAGCTCGAGCTCCTCAAGGAAGACAAAAGCCACGACCTGAAGCGTCAAGAAGGAGTAGTAGTAGATGAAGAAGGGCTAAGCTACGAGTTCCGAGAGATGTTGGATTCTCTTCCAAAGGAGAGAGGTTGGAGAACTCGTTACCTTTACCTTTTCCAAGGGTTTTGGTGCCAATCCAAGGAGATTCATGCTATCATGTCCTTCCAGAAACATTTCCAGTGTCTCCAAGACGATGTCGTTCTGGCCACCATACCTAAATCCGGTACAACTTGGTTAAAAGCTTTGACTTTTACCCTCCTTAACCGACACCGGTTTGATCCGGTTTCCTCAACCACCGACCATCCTCTTCTCACGTCCAACCCTCATGACCTCGTACCTTTCTTCGAATACAAGCTTTACGCTAACGGAGATGTTCCCGATCTCTCCGGTCTAGCCTGTCCAAGATCATTCGCAACTCACGTCCCTTTCGGTTCCTTGAAGGATTCGATCGACAAACCCGGTGTGAAGGTCGTGTACTTGTGCCGGAACCCATTCGACACATTCATCTCGTCGTGGCATTTCATCAACAGCATAAAATCGGAGTCAGTGAGTCCAGTCTCGTTAGAAGAAGGGTTTGATATGTATTGCCGGGGAGTGATCGGGTTTGGTCCGTTCTGGGAACACATGTTGGGATACTGGAAAGAGAGCCTGAAGAGACCAGAGAAGGTCTTGTTCTTACGGTACGAAGATCTGAAAGAAGACATCGAGGCTAACTTGAAGAAGCTTGCAAGTTTCTTGGGCGTTCCTTTCACGGAAGAAGAGGAAGGAAAAGGCGTCGTTAAGGCGGTCGCCGATCTGTGTAGCTTCGAGAAGCTAAAGATGTTGGAGGTGAACAAGTCAAGCAAATCGATCAAGAATTTTGAGAATAGGCACTTGTTTAGGAAAGGAGAAGTGAGTGATTGGGTTAACTATTTGTCGCCATCACAAGCAGAGAGATTGTCAGCCTTAGTGGATGACAAGTTAGGTGGGTCTGGTCTCACTTTCAGGTACAGCTAAAAGTAGCCATGTGCTCACGTTTCTAAGTTTGTGTTTGAGAGCCTTTAAAGTTTAAGGCAGCTGTTCTGTTGTTTACAGATATACGAAAGGAAACATTCATGAAGCAACGGGCCACAATTCAGTTTGTCAATTTTAATCTTAATAATTACCATTGTGTTTGCCATATAAAGTTGTTTATATTTGTATTTAAGTATTATATATAGTTCATGGGTGTAACCGAATGTATGAATAAATATATCCATATATCTCATGTGAGTCTATGTATTCGATAGATATAAATAAGCAGTTTTTTATATTACTAAAAATTTCATATTTTGGAAACTAGATTGGACAAACAACTCTAACCATGTACCCAAAATTACATGAACATACTCGATTTTGAGTTCTCCAACCTTTCCCTCACAGCCACAGAAGATGTATGTAATATATATTCATGTTTTACATCACCAATTAATCATTTCGAGTAATTACCAAAATAAAAACCAAAAATAAAATGAAGAAGAGAAAAGCATATAATAAAAATAATGGTTTACGTGACGTACGTATGCGCACACGTGTTGTTTTCGATTCCCCTAAAGCGATGTCGTTTTTGGTTTATTAGACCCGAACGAAAAAGATACTGAGCTCAGGTCCACTGTTCCCGTCTGGATTCATCATGTAATACGTCTCCGAGTCTCTCGACCCAATCACTCTCTCGAAATGTGCTCTCATGTACGTCAAATCCCCTTCCTGTTGTTGCCCTCCTCCTCTTCCACTTTGCTCCGTCTCTCCTCCGCCGCCGCTGCTCACCGGTAACACCCCTGCCCCCATCGAAACCGCGTGAAGCATCTGCATCACCACCAGATCCTCTTCCGTCGGCTGCCTCTTCACCCCGTAACCCGATTTCTTCCCGTTACAGTACAAAGCCCAGATCGGCTCGTCTATGATTTTGGTTTTCTCGCTCGGTTTCTTCTCGCACTCCAGCGCGATTCTCACCAACCCAACCCCGAGATCCTGGAGGAGTTTCCCCGTCGGGATCGCTAGCTCCAGCAACAGAATCGGGAGAGAACGCGGATTCTCTTGAACCGCTAGATTCACCCGCGTTTTGCGGTACCCGAACAGCGTTCCCGTGACACGTGTCCCTCCGTGGACGTGGTTCTCGTGGAGCCTCGTCCCTCCCACGGGGAATTTACACATCGGAGACATGATCGGAAGCGATCGGAACACAGAGCGCACGCGGCGGAAGAGCTTCGTCGATTTGGAGCCGGCCGATTTGTTCTTACTAGACGGCTGCTCCAGCGTGATCTCCGGCCGTACCGCCGCCAGCGATTTCTTCGATTTTGGACTCCCGATTGGCGACATTGTCGTCGGCGTCAGCATCCTCGGCGTTAACGGTGGTGTTGCCATTTATTTAAGTTAGTTACAATCGAAAAGTTTCTCAAAATTGAAATGTTTGTGTGTCAGAGTAAGACCAAAGTTTTATACAATCTTTGCAAACTAATGGAATGCACGTTGAGTTATAATCTTTTCGTCATTGTTTAATTTGCAAACGTGAGTCTGCGACTTTCTCGTGTATACAAATATATATTTGAGTTCGCCGGTTCTAGTTTATGGTCGGGGGATATCGATTAATCTAGTATTGTTTTTTGGTAAAACCGTTGATGTGGTGGTTAAGACTCATTCTCTGCGCTGCTGTTTCGATTCGAAGGTTGTTTCCCACTTACATATGTCTCTGTGCCTCCTTATCATATTTAATAAAATCTCTATTTGACAAATTTTACCAACAGATTCTACATGGGGATTGTATTTCAGTAAATAGCATATTATGCATCAAGAAAATAAGATCCAGGAACAGAGTCAACGAAGGTGATGAGGGTGTATTGAAAACAGATCAAAACTGAAGCTTGGAACAAGTCAAAGCCAAAGCACGTACACATACACAAGCACATATACATACATATACACAAGGTATTTTCCACAGATGATGATACTGATGAGGTTTTTTGTTCTGCAACCTTTCTCTTTATCCTTGAAGAGAAGAAACTCTCTTAGGTGCAGGCAGATTTCTCATGTTTGATTCCATCTTGTTGAATGTGAGATTTGCGACGGCTCTGTCCATTGAGTTTGTTTCCAGTTCAGTCTTCTGATTTCTGTTCCTACTGAAAAACAAAAATGGTAATGACTAATGAGTCTTTATTCATAATGAGGGTGAGTCCATTTTGAAGCAAAGTATGATATAAATGAATGAAGAAAGCTTTCTCTCTACCTTGTTTGACCATCAAGGAACTCCTCTGATATGCTGTTTCCTGATTCGGACTTGTGTTGTGAGTTCTTTGCAAGGCGGTAAAAGGTATCGCGGAAGCATTTGCGGGCATCATCAGTCAACTACAGTTAAAGATTTTACTTCTGTTACAAGACTGACCAAGCAAATTAGAAAATCTCAAAAACCAAGAACATAGGCAAAGATCAGATCAGATCAACCACACTCACCTTTTCCGTTGCCCTTTGTAGATCCTGCAACACAACTTCTTCTGCAGATGCCTCCTCGATCTTCTCCTCACACAGATCCTCGATCTTCACTGGTTCCTCTTGCCCCTTAAACCAAAATAATGTTCCAAGATTAACATCTCTGCTATAACAATACCGAATTGATCTCTTATTATATAACCAACAAAACGATGACCACTAGACTCTACAATCAAAAGAGTAGTTTCTTACCATAAGAGGCATGTCTTGACAAGTCTCCCAGTTGTAATGAAACATTGGGACTTCTCTGCCATCGAGATAAGCAGCACTGGAGGAACCTGGGCTGTTGTTTTCATTCCCTGGAACATCCTCCAAAATTGAACTTCTTCAGTAAGAACCGGAAACAAAAAAAGAGAAGAAGAAAAGAGAGACAAAAGATGAACAACCGTTTCATCTAAAACTACTGTTTTTATGTGCTATATAAACAGTTTATCTGAGAGAGAGAGAGAGTGTGTAAGGCTATACAAGAATATGTCGTCCATCTGTTGGATTCCATCGAAATCATGAAGCGACGAATTCGGGCGGTAGAAACAATCACCAGCCGCCTTTAACCTCTTTGAATCTTCGTTATCTACTTCTCCACTAGTCCCCATCTCCATATCCATATCCATCTCCATCTGACTGTATAGCCCTCCGCTGAAACCATTGTTGATCACATCGAAATCGAAGCATTTGTCCGCAGCTTTCTGGGAGTTCATGTTCCACGCACCCCACATATCAGGAGATGGATATGAATCTGATGTCTCCTGATAGTTAGGCACAACAAGATCCTCTAAATCCCTTCTCGAATAACGATCCATGAATTAGCTTAACCTGTTGTACACAATAAAAAACCGAGATCAGAGACACTGTTATTTAGAATAAAGCATCTGATTATTAAGACAAGAAGATTTGAAAGCCTCACCTTTGATCAAGATCCAAAATCAAAATTCTCCTTTTTGTCGAGAGCAATATAGATTTATCACTTTTTTATGACTATTTTGCAGATTTGTGAGTGAAGGAGAGAAGAGAGAAGAGAAGACAACAACAAGTTGCAAGGAAGTGGGTTTTAAGTTTTTAACTAATTTTCGTGGCTCAGGATTTACAAGCGAGATTTGTGGCTCAGATTTTTCCTCCATCTAAAGCAACTCTTCCATTGGTCCACGTGTTGATCATATCTTTTTCTGTGTGATGTCGGCACTTGAAAAAAGAAAATTAAATCTCTCTGCTACTGGCCAACTTGCGACATTTCCTTTTGTAGATCCAATTGTTGTATGTTTACGGATATACCCTCCAGATTCGGGCAGAGGTTAGCTCGCAGTTTCGTTGACACGTGTCATGTTACTCGATTTGGTCTGCACACGTGGCCTGTGTGTATAGGAGGTGAGGACACGACAGACTGTCTAGCGGTGGCGTGGGACCGGCTGTTTATGGGGATGAAAGGGCATAAGTGGATAATATTCCTCGGTTGTCTTCCCATCAATGTTACTTTTCCAAAAGCAAACTTTGCTGATATCAAACATCGAAAGACTACAAAATTGAAGTCATTGAGATTTTCAGAATATCACGCATCATAAATACTGTTCAGAATTTATAGTGAATCCGAATTTCGGTTCGGTTATTTCAGTTATACGATGTATTCAATCCACAAAAACATATTGGCGAAACCATTCTCTGTTGCTTCTACGGAATGGCTAAGCTTCATACAAGTTTTCTAGTGTATGCTAGCTTTTACACTTACACTTTTCATGAATCGTTATGCAGATATCCGGACAGAGTGTAACTTTCAGGAAAATCATATATATATGTCATGTATGTACCTATAAGTGTAAGGTTGGATATATACCATTGTTATGTAGAGAGACTTAGAAACTGGGCTCAAATCATGTTGACTATACTGCCACATTTTACAATGGTTCATTCCTGCCAGTGCTTGGTCCTATGGAAAACAATGAGGTCGTGGAGGCCAACAACAAGCCTGAAAGTATTGAAGAAGACTAGATCTCCACTGTTTTTAAAAATAGTTATAATCGTCATGATATTTTTGTCTTCTCTTCGTTTGTAATTTGTTCAAGTTCTAGTTCTACATCCGTGACACCAGATGTAATAAACGAATCAATATTATAAAATAAAGTTTCGTCACCACAACATGTTCATCTACAGATCAAAGTTGCGATATGATCTACTTATAAAGTTTCTATGCTCACCATCAACATGATCATATTAATTTCGGCATATTGAGTTACATCAAATTCCAACTAAAACTGTAAAATTAGTGATTGAATACCACAAGAATTTAGTTGGATTTCTCTAAATCATTTAAAGTACTGAAACCGTATAAATCATTAGTAGAAAGAAAATACAGAAGAATACCTGTTTATTAGATTTTTCGTGTTCAGTAAAGTTAGAGAGACTTCAAATCTGACTAATTCAGTGTTTTCAATTCAAAGGAACCCAAAAATAAAAGATAAAGAAAAAAAAGTTGAGACAAATCAGCAAGATATAATTTAATTAGTTTATTTTTGGGTTTCTCTTTATTTTTCCTTCTAAAACTCGGAAGACTCATAGATAGATCTTTCGCCACCTCCGGCGCCTTCTCTAGATTTTCTCTGACTTTAACTTCTCCAAACACTTCATTCCTTTCACATTTCGATAATTCCATTCAAAACCACTTCTGCTATTGGATCGTTCTCCGCGAGACTGTATTTGATTCCCTTTTACTTGACTTATCTGCCATCTCACGAGGCTCGATCTCGCTGGTAACTTTTTTTCCGGGGTCGCGAGGAATCTGAAGAAATGATTGGTAAGTTTCAGTAATACTGGACTTGTAGGACTAGATTTTGCATTTAATGCAGTTTAATTTACAGGATCCTTCTCTTACTTGGTTCATTGAAGTTCTTTTCATAGGTTAGTTGAAATCTGAGAATCCGTGGACTATTGCAGCTGGATCGAGATGGAAGAGTATGTTCCTTTATCCTTTTTTGATGTGGCCATTGCACAATCGTTCATTTTCTTGTTCTATTTGCAATTTGATCGACGTTCTGCTATATTTTCCCCTCTGTGTAGAGAAAATGCAGTTGAGATTCTGCAGAGGTATCGCCGGGATAGGCGGAAACTATTGGATTTCATGTTGGCCGGTAGCCTCATTAAGAAAGTAATAATGCCTCCTGGGGCAGTCACTCTTGACGATGTTGATTTGGATCAAGTTAGTGTTGATTATGTCATTAACTGCGCTAAGAAAGGTAATTAATAACAGCTTTCTAGCGTCTTCCTTCTTCTGCTGTTTTTTCATGATCATTCTGTTTTTAGAGTATTTTGTATGTTTGTTGTAATGCAGGTGGAATGCTTGAGCTTGCTGAGGCAATTCGGGACTATCATGATCACATTGGATTGCCTTATATGGTGTGATTCTATTCATATATAGATTGCCTTGCTTTCTTTATCTATCCTTGTTACTGAGCTAAAGCCACCTTCACTTTCTCACTCCATTTTGTAACGGTCATTTTCTATTTATGCTTATTTCAGAATAGCGTGGGTACTGCTGATGAATTCTTTTTGGCGACAAATCCTGAATCTTCTGGCTCACCTCCGAAAAGGGCCCCACCACCTATTCCTATATTAACTTCTTCATTCTCTGCCGTTGCTTCAAATCCGGAGTGGTGTGAGTCACCAAGTGCGCCACCATTAATGCGATCGGAATCCATTGATTCTCCACAAGCTCAGGAACTTACTGTTGATGACATTGAAGATTTTGAGGACGACGATGATTCTGAGGAAGTTGGTAATTTCAGGATCTCAAGGCGGTCTGTAAATGATGCGGCTGGTCTTGTGCCAAAACTGCCTTCCTTTGCGACTGGTAAAAGATTCGAAAATGCATTTGTCTAAGAAGTGAACCTGAGAAAATTACTATTGTTATAATTATTACTCGCATTAAAAACCAATAACCCACTGATTTATTGAGAAATTTGCAATGTATTGATGTTTCAGGTATTACAGATGATGATCTACGTGAAACTGCATTTGAAATCTTGCTGGCTTGCGCTGGAGCCTCAGGGTATACAGGATATTGACTTGCTCACTTTATGATTTCCTTGTTTAGTTGAGGTCTCACTGATATCGTTTTTCTCTTTCCAATGTTTTCAACATGTATTCTGTAATCGTATAGGGGTCTCATAGTACCATCAAAAGAGAAAAAGAAGGAGAAAAGCAGATCTAGGCTGATTAAAAAGCTTGGTCTCAAAAGTGAGAGCGTTTCTCAGTCTCAGAGTTCATCAGGATTGGTTGCTCTTCTTGAAATGATGCGGGGCCAAATGGAGATTTCTGAGGCCATGGACATCAGAACAAGACAGGGGCTGCTTAATGCCCTAGCTGGAAAATCTGGTAAAAGAATGGACAGCCTCCTGGTGCCGTTAGAATTGTTATGTTGTGTGTCTCGTACCGAGTTCTCCGACAAGAAAGCGTTCTTACGCTGGCAGAAAAGGCAGGTAAAAACCACCTTTTAACTTGTGGTCGTAATGTCGTTCATTTACTATTTTGTTTTTATCATCTATTAACTTTTTGGTATCTCAGTTAAACATGTTAGCAGAGGGGCTCATTAACAATCCCGTCGTTGGATTTGGAGAATCAGGTCGTAAGGCAACTGATCTAAAGAGTCTCCTGCAAAGGATTGAAGAATCAGAGGTATTTTTTTCTACTGTATGTTCATGTGATTTATTACATGGTGTAGAGAGTAGACATCATATATCGGAACGGTTTCTCTTGAAGACTCTCTTTGGGAATCTTCCTATTTATTATGAAAGTTTAGGTGAACATGTTATAGCGTATTTTCTTTTCTGGCAGTTTTCCGTAATATAAGTTCTTTGGCTTTATCGGTTACACTGAAAACTGAATTGGCTTACGGTTTCATTATATGTATTTTTACCTCTCTTTTGCTTTGGTTTCTATCTATAGTCTCTTCCATCATCAGCCGGAGAAGTGCAAAGAGTAGAATGTTTAAAATCTCTTAGAGAAGTTGCTAGTTCACTTGCTGAGAGACCGGCTCGTGGTGATTTGACGGGTGAAGTGTGCCATTGGGCGGATGGCTATCATTTCAACGTCAGGCTATATGAGAAAATGCTTCTCTGTGTCTTTGACATATTGAATGAAGGGAAACTCACAGAGGTGTGTGAATTCTGTCAAAATATTGTTGAATACGTGTTCCAGAAACAAGATTCTTGGTCATTCAAAAATCATATTGTTTTGAACGGTTTATTTCTTCTGCTCACCTATCACTCTGCCTAGATTCCTCTTTTATTTGTTTCCTCATATCGAGATTCCCTTAAACATTAACAGGAAAAAAGTATTGACAAGTTGCCTATTATTGTTGCTTTTCCTAAGACATGTGACTGAAAACACCTTGGTCATGTTACTTTAGGAAGTTGAAGAAATTCTTGAGCTTTTAAAGTCAACATGGCGTGTTCTTGGAATTACAGAGACCATTCATTACACATGCTATGCCTGGGTATTGTTTCGGCAGGTAATGATGGAGAAGAAATTTCCTTTATAACAGTGATATTGATGCTTCATATTGGACTTTTTAAGGTAGCTGTATGAGTATGTTGTGTGGTTGCAGTATGTAATCACTAGTGAACGAGGACTTCTGCGACATGCTATTCAGCAGCTGAAAAAAATTCCTTTAAAAGAACAACGGGGACCTCAAGAGCGCATACACTTGAAAACCTTGCAGTGTAGGGTTGAAAATGAAGAGATATCCTTCCTGGAGTCCTTCTTGTCACCTATACGGAGTTGGGCCGATAAGCAGCTGGGCGACTACCATCTGCATTTTGCCGAGGTTTTACCTAAAACTATGCGTTTACACACACACACACACGTGTATATATTTGCATTAGATTTTATGTATCTTAGATCCATTTAAATCAGAGCATATCCACCTCGGTCAGTTTCTTTTCTCTATCTGTACCACTGAAGTTACTCATTTGTTCTTTTTCTCTACAACTTTTGCAGGGTTCACTTGTCATGGAGGATACAGTTACAGTCGCAATGATAACTTGGAGGCTTTTGTTGGAGGAATCTGATAGAGTATGTCACATGTTTTTAATTGGAGCAACGGTGACATAGTTTACCCAACATGATTTCTGTCCTTGTAACTGAGAATGATGGTTATTTTTCTCTACAGGCGATGCATTCTAACTCTTCAGATCGAGAGCAAATTGAGTCCTATATTTCATCTTCCATTAAGAATACGTTCACAAGGGTAAGTGTTATATTAAATTTCTAGATGCTCGATCAACGAGGGCACGATTATACCCATTCAAGAATGGAGCGAAGTCCGTTTCCAATGTGCCCAATTTAACGCATAATATTATGGAGGGTATAATTAGGCTGTTTTTTTATTTTATTTACAGATGTCACTTGCCATCGATAGATCAGACAGAAATAATGAGCACCCTTTGGCATTGCTTGCTGAGGAGACAAAGAAGCTTATGAAAAAGGAGTCTACCATCTTCACGCCAATATTATCTCAGAGGCACCCACAAGCAATTGCGTTTTCTGCATCCCTTGTTCACAAGCTATATGGGAACAAGTTGGTAAGCTTGATGCTGGCGTCCCATCAAATCAATTTGGTTACTGCATCTCATTCATAAATAACATCTTGACTTGTATTTTGTTGCAGAAACCTTTCCTTGATGGTACTGAACACTTGACTGAGGATGTTGTCTCTGTTTTCCCTACGGCTGATAACCTTGAGCAATATTTACTGGAGTTAATGACCTCTGTCTGCGGAGAGGATACAGATGGACCTTACTTCAGAAAATTAATTCCATATGAGGTTAGACTCGTAGATGTTTTACTTTGAACTCTAGGAAGAATGGCTTAAGCCACCTTATAAACAGGGCTAAATACTCATGCTGTTTCTAATATTTCTTAATTTTATATCTGCTAGCTTGAATCTCTCTCTGGCACACTGGTTTTGAGATGGATCAATTCACAGCTGGGAAGAATTTTAAGTTGGGTGGAGCGAGCTTTTAAACAAGAGGTTAGATTTGCTGAACTGTTGAAAAACGGCATTTCTTTGTAATTTGTACTAGTTTTTTCCGAACCATAACACATCTTAGCTTTTGTATATAGCACTGGGACCCAATTTCACCACAACAGCGGCATGGGAGCTCAATTGTCGAAGTTTTCAGGATCGTAGAAGAGGTAGGGTCCTATATTCCTCTTTCTTTGTATCTTTTTCATAGTGGCATATGTAAATTTTGTGGTTTAAAGCACATGCTTTACTAGTTTTACCGAGTCTCATCAGTTGATTAAGGCATATGTTTATTTTTGTGTTCCATTTGTTGTGGCTCTCTGCTTGTTGAAATCAGATGTCACTCTAGTTCCCAAATATTCTTCATGAGACAGATTATCAGGTTTAAATGTAGCTGTCTTATTAATGTGTTGGTTAATCTTTGATGCAGACTGTTGATCAGTTTTTTGAGCTGAATGTACCAATGAGAACCATTGAACTAAGCGCTTTATTTCGTGGCATTGACAATGCGTTTCAAGTATATGCTAACCATGTCATGGAGAAGCTAGGTATGCACAATACGATTCGTTGAAGCGGCTTCTGAGCTTTGAAGTTTAAAATACTTTCATTTATATTCTTATGAGCAACAATTGTTTAGTCTTATCTCCCTGGAATATTCTGGTGTCGGATTTTTTTGCTATTCCAGCCAGCAAGGATGATTTGGTTCCACCTGTGCCTGTTCTGACTCGTTACAAGAAGGAAGCAGCGATCAAGACTTTTGTTAAGAAGGAACTATTCGAGTCAAAGCTACCTGATGAGAGAAGGTCGATTAACATTGACGTTCCTGCAACCGCTAAGCTTTGCGTTCAGCTCAATACTTTACATGTAACTTCAAGACTCGCTTCTCTCAGTTCAAGCATAAGTTATTAGTTTTGCTGCTGTCTATAATGCTTTTGTATGCTTTTGACAGTACGCTGTTAGTCAACTGAGCAAGTTAGAAGACAGCATATGGGAGCGATGGATAGCAAAAAGACCTCGTGAAAAGATTGTCATCAGTATGAACTCTCTATTTGTTTATTCAATTTCGAAGTTCATTTTCCCTTGCAAAAATGATTATCCTTACTCGAGTCTATCTTCAGCGATATGAATGGATATACATTCTGGTTTTGGCAACTTCTTGTAGGAAAATCTATGGTTGAGAAAACCAAGAGTTTTAACCAGAAGGAATCTTTTGAGGGGAGTAGAAAAGATATCAATGCAGCTCTGGATCGTATTTGCGAGTTTACTGGTGAGATGACGTTTGTTTACATCCTCGATGTATTCACTGTCAAAAGGGTTACACTAATCATTTGATTCTTCCACACTGCAGGAACTAAGATAATCTTCTACGACTTAAGGGAGCCATTTATCGAGAATTTGTACAAGCCAAGTGTTTCTCAGTCCAGATTGGAAGCACTAATCGAACCCCTTGACACGGTAAGAAATCAAGATGCTTGTAACTTGATTAAGGGTTTCTAAAGAGTATGGTGCCTAGAAGCCACTCGAGCATAAAATTTGTCGATATTGCTAAAAAAGGTTTCCAACAACTTTGACCAGGAACTTGGACAGCTATGTAGTGTGATAATGGAGCCGTTGAGGGATCGGATAGTCACGAGCCTGCTTCAAGCATCACTTGTGTGTAGTTTAAATCTCAGTTGGTTATATTATAGCAAAGCTCTCTCAAGTGTTTTGCCTTTTTGATAGATAAATATGTTCATAAATCTTACCAGGACGGATTGCTTCGAGTACTATTAGATGGAGGCTCCTTACGTGTATTTCATCCAAGCGAGTCAAAGCTGTTAGAAGAAGATGTAGAGGTCCTAAAGGTAAGTCTTTTTCTTAACAGTAATATCTTATCTTTTATGGCCCGAGTCTCTAAAGCTTACCTGTTAATGGGTGTTTATAGGAATTCTTCATTTCTGGCGGGGACGGACTTCCAAGAGGAGTGGTTGAAAACCAAATAGCACGTGTTCGCCTCGTTGTAAAGTTACACGGATACGAGGTTAGTTAGTAATAGTATAACTAGTCTACTACTTATATATCCTTCATATCCTTATTTTGACTGGTACTATGCAACAGACACGGGAGCTGATCGATGACTTGAGGTCTAGAAGCAGTCTAGAGATGCAGCAAGGAGGAAAAGGCAAACTTGGAGCGGATACCCAAACATTGGTGCGAGTGCTCTGCCACAGAAACGATTCCGAGGCCTCTCAGTTTCTGAAAAAACAGTACAAAATCCCCAAATCCCACGGCTAATCGATTTTTTTTGGTTTTCTTCTTTCCGTTCTTTTGTTCAGTAACAACATCATTTGTCTAATTGATTCTCACAAGTACATGTTGTAATACAATCTTACCCTGAGCTTTCTAGGTGTTATTCTTTTGACTTGCGTAATATGTATCTTTTGCTTTCTATGCAATGTTACTTAGTACTACCTCTGTCCCATATTATAAACTGTTTTGGCATAATGAATCTGCAATTTTCCATCCAGATACATCCAGAAAATTGCAGATTCATTATGCCAAAACAGCTTATAATATGGGACAAGGGAGTAGAATTTAGACAGAAAGAATAATTTTAATGATGTATTGACCGTTGAATTCATATTTCTGTGTGATTTTTGACCATTCCGGTTGTACATTTGACTAGTTTATTTTATTTTCTGGCTTGATTATTATTACTGTTTCCGAGTAACTTCTCACAAGCTAACCAAGTTCCAACGACCAAGTTATTCAATAAAATGAATACACAAATGCTTTTTAAATATCGAATGTGGAATCGTGGATACACGGATTCTAAATCGTTATTAACTATTCAAACCCGATCAAAAACATAATACATCATATTCGTAGAACCATGAGTCTGAACTGAATGACCAAAGACCGTTCTTCCAAATGATAAATTTTAAAATATGAACGAAAAAAAAAAACCCACTAATAAATTGCTTTCCTTGTCTGGCTAAAACACGCTAACATCCTCTGTTCATCTCTATATATGTGTACACAGACAGACACAATCAAAGGGTTTGTAATAAAATCAAACTCATCACTTATCAATAACTAGTGAATCAATGGCAGGGAGTGATCCCTATGAGTATCAGAAACTGAGCTGTGGGTTTGCATACGGAGTGCCCGTGGCTGCGCAGAACACCAACGTTGTGGTCGTAAACGACGTATTCTCTTGTCCCTATCCGCTCGAGCTAACCGTAAAAAAGAAATGTAAAGGACTGAGCGGTGCGAAGCTAGAGATAGTGGACCTCAAGTCTAACGTCGTTCTTCTTGTGGACGGGCCTCGCGACAGCTTCAACAAGAAACGCGTTCTTCGTGATCCCGCTGGTTACCCTCTTCTCACCATGCGCGAGAAGGTAATTACTGATTACATTAACCCAATCCAAATATGTTTTAATTTTTAAAACCAAACCAGACCGAAACAAACCAAATTTTTGTTCTGATTTTCTCTGAATCCGAAACAAATTTGTCAAACCGAGCAGAAATAAATTTCTGTTCAAAAAAAGAAGCTCAAAACCAAACCGAACCAAGAAACTGAATGTCAACGTAACAGAACCGGTTATCGTTCCTAAGTCAATGGATTGTTTTGTTTGTTTAAACAGTTAACGTCGTTGAATCACCGATGGACGGTTCACCGAGGAGAAGGCTCTGATCCGACGGAGCTGATGTTCACAGTGCAACGTTCTCATCCTCTTCAATGGAGGGCTCGCCTCGATGTTATCTTTCAGTCTAATCATCACCTCCGCAACTTTAGCGTCGTTGGCACTTACCACGACGACTCTGCCAAGGTCTACCACGATGACGCTCTCATCGCCGAGGTGAAGGATAAGTCGGGATGTGGAGGATTTCTCAAAGGGAAACAAGACTTTGTGGTTAGAATAAACGCAGGCGTTGACTATGCTTTCATCGTCTCTCTCCTCGTCATCTTGAACGAGACCAACTCCATCTTTTAGCTCACATATATCCAACTACTACTACTATTGTTTCATTGTTATGTTTGACTTTGCATGTTTACATTTTACAATGCTATTATTCGGGTGACGCTTAGAAACTGATCTTGTGTTTACATGTTTGTGATTTGAATTTTACATAAGCTTGCTGCTCTGTTGATACCTTTTTAGACTTTTTTTTGTTGTACTTGTATAAACTATGATGATTTCAAGATATATTAGACTCGGGTATTACAAGACAACACAATATAATCATATTCTTGTATAAAAATCTAGATGTCTAAAGTCGTCAAATCATATGCTAGGAACCTTTCGGAAGCTCAATTTTCTGTGTAAAGAGTGGTATGGTTGGTTCACTCTCTTGGTCTGGCAAGCCACAGAGAGCTAAGAGCGCGTAGCCGCAAGGAATAATCGTGTATTGCAAGCAGAGCACGAGCCGATTGTCTCGTCGTTAATATTCTTAACATCTGTTGATATGTTTGTAGCCTCAAGTTATCCGCCTGCAAAAACATAGTGCTATCAAAACTTACTACAACAAATACATTCTCATTCAAATGTAAATGTAACACCACAAACAAACAAAAAATGTATATGTACCTGGCGGATAAATCCTTCTATGGTACCTAACTTCCCCATCGCCATGGCCATCTGACCCATGTAGCTCGCGACATTCCCGGAAGAACTTGAACCAAGAGTGCCGCTCGACAAAGTATCAGAGAGTGATTGCTGTAAGTTGTCCATCCCTTGAGACAAAGCATCTTCTGCTTGTTGAGAAGACTCTTGCAAGTTGCTTAAGTCTAGCGATTGTTGTTCTGTCAACAGCTCCAACTGATTCGCTATAAGCTGTATGGGGAAGTTTAAAAGTTTCAAAATTTTCCCTGGTGAAAACAAATTGAAACTTGACTGGTGTGTGTTTTTGGCTTTACCTTGAGAAGTTCTGATGAACGGAAGCCACCGAGCCACAAGAAACATCTCTCAGCTGGCGTTTTCCACATCCCTGATAGTAAATGGAAGACGTCGCTCTTAGCTGCGTTGCTCTTTATCCTGAAAAGCTCCTCGTAGTGAGATATTACTCTGTCTACGATTATCCGAAGCTCAGCATCACTCGCATGAGCGTCTAAAGCAGAACTCAGCTCCTTCATCTGTTTGTTTTTATCTTCCTGCCACCTTCTGTATTCCACATCGAATGCCATTGCCCCTGTAAACAGTCAAGCATATATAATAAGAGAGTGATAAGATGTAATAAGTTATATACACTAATTCATCAAAATAAACTCCTTGGATGGGATAGAGATTTAGCCAACTCACCATTTCCACCTGTAGAATGAGCTTGGTCACCTGAGCTTGAGATAAAGACACCCTAAGATTGAAGGAAACTTTTCAAGTATGGAGAATAGCAAAAAATATCCAAATATACAGAACGGAACAGAATTAAAAAACCTGCTGCCTTGCTCTTTGCAGCTCCTGCTCAAGTTGTGTTAGCTTCAATCGGCTGTTTTCTAGCTGCTGAACATATGCCTGAAAGTGCAGTAACCTATAATAAGGGGATGATTGTAGAAACCAAGAAAAGAATTGAGAGAAAAGTACTTAGCATACTTTCTTCCTCAATCTGCTTTTCCTTGCAGCCTCACGGTTTTGAGCGAGCCTACGAAGTGTCTGTTGGATACAATTAACAAGCAAAAAAAAAAACATAAGTGAAAGGCTCAAAACTGTATTATCAAGATAGAGATGTGTGTGTGCTTCACCTTCTGATCCAAATTACCCTTAGAACGGTCGCTAGAATCACCCAAATTCCCTCCATCGAACTGCAGAAAGACTGTTCCATTTCAAATCTTTGGCCATTTTAATAAGCAAGAAAGAAGCAACACCTAGTAACTTTTTACAAGCTAACCCATTACGTTATCATGATTTGTGTCGCCATCTGTTGAGACTGATGTTCTTGGACTAGTATCTCCCATTTCTTATTTTTTTCATCCAAATCTCTCTGTTACTAAATTTCTTTGTAGTAGAAACTTGTACAACTCTCTCCTCGTGCAAAGGCTGTCAAAGTAAGAGAAACGAAGAAAAACATTTCACCTAATGACATAAATAGACACTAAAAGGCACCTCTTTGGAGAAAATCAAAATGTTGTTGTCAAAAACAACACAATTCAAAGTGAGAACTGAGAACTGAGAACCAACGATTAACTTAGCATAACTTAAATAATCTAAAAATTAGACTGAAGCAGTAGAACTAATAGATTCAGTATAATTCGAGCCTGTAAACATCTAAGCGCAATCAATTTCACTTCTATAGTGTCGGAAAAAAAGATCCCTTCAAGGTCAAACTCAGTCAAAATCTTCCAGGACCAAACAAATCAGGAAAGCAGAGGACAGAATAAGAATACTGAAGATCGAAACCATAAGAGGATTGAAGGAGAAACTCACCAGGAGAATGGATTCTTCAGCTTAATCACAAACAAGAGTTGCTCGGAAAAGAGATTACAACAAGCAGTAGGGAGAAGATCCGAAACTTCCAACCTCCAAAGACGTTGTCTTGACTAAAACCCAGCAGAAATCAAGAACAAAGGTTGCTAATTTGTGTTTCGTTTTAGTCTGTACGATCTTGAAGAAAAAAGCAGGGAAGGGAAGTGATGGTGGACCTGGAGAGATGCTGCTGAGGGTTGAAAAGTCCATACTTAATTAAAATGCAATTAACACTCTTTTTATTACAAGAAAATATTCTTTGGTTTTTGACTATGACAACTCACTTTTTCAGACTACAATGATTATTTTCTTTCTTTTAAGTTTAACACTAAAATAAAATGTCATAACTTTTTACAAATCACCCATTTGGAACAATTCATCAATTTAACAAAATTCATCTATATAGTATTGTTTTCATATCAAAATTTCAGCAATTAGATGAAAATATTCTAAAATGAAACCATTCATTATTATTTGGACAGTACTATTATTATTACGATCTATTTTTTTGGTTAAGTAGCAATTACAGAGCAAAACGTAAGTTAAAACGTAAAACATTCTCATTTTTCCAGGAAAAGAAAAGGGTAATGTCAAGAATTTAGGTGAAAAGAACACATGGAAAGCTGACCTAAAAAGGAACAACAAAAGAGTTTTGTTTTACAAACTATGACACTAAAGTATACAGATTTGAACAGTAGCTTGGCTTACAAGATATGTAATAATTAATTTGATTTACCAACAGAATGAGACATCCACGTCCACCGGTTTTGCCGTTTTTGGAAACATGAAAAGCCCTAATAACCCTTCTTCTTCTCCTTGCTCTCTCATCGCCGGCGGCAGATTAAATTGTCATATCGTTTTTCAGACACTCTAGTCTCCATTAATTTCGGAATCTCTTTGAAGTCTACAGATCCCAGAACACAGAGAATGTAAGTATTGGTTTTCTAGAAACACTTGTTATTCTTAACTTAGAGGTTTTTTTTTTCCAGAAATCAATCAATGTAATTTATGACCTCGTTTAAATTCCAGGTCGAGGATAATCGTGAAAGATTTGCCAAACTATATGACAGAGGATCAACTTAGAGAGATCCTTTCACAAAAAGGAGAAATCACAGACGTGCAGTTGATTCGTTCAAGGCCTCTTAACCAAAAAAAGAAGATATCGATGCGTTCCAAGTAGAATACTAGTACTATTTTCACAACTAATTTTGTCTTTGCTTAGTTTGAATCACTGTCGATCGTTTAATGTTTTGCAGGGAAGGTAGAAGCAGACGGTTTGCTTTTATTGGATTTCGTACCGAGCAAGAAGCTCAAGAAGCTATTAAGTACTTCAACAAGTCTTTTCTTGATACCTCTCGGATCTCTGTTGAGGTTTGCACTTGGAAAGCTTGAGACTCTGTTTTCACTTGTGTGAATCTAATTTACATTCTCCTTCAACCTATAGATTGCTCATGAAGTCGGAGATGAGAATGCTCCCCGTCCGAAGAGTCGTCATTCACTCAAGAATGTTGGAAAAGTTAATCAAAACAGTGAAAAGTCTTATAATAGAAGCTTAAGAAAAATAGACAAAAAGATTAAGAAGAAACCAGAGGATGATGATCCTTTGTTCTCAGAGTTTCTTGAGGTTATGCAGAGAGGCACATCGAGATTCTGGTCCAATGACATGTCGATTGCTCCTACCGCTCAAGCAACCCCCAAAGAGAAAGTCTTGGCGAAGAATGATGATGCTGATCTTGCGGGGAATGATGATGTAGAAGCTGACGCAGACAGTCATGATGCTGACATTGATGATGTTCTTCAAACTGGTCGCCTTTTCGTCCGTAACTTGCCTTACACTGCAACGTACTGGATCGTTTTGTTCATCTTCTGTTTTTCCTGTTTTCTGTTTATCCTCTACTGTTACTGAAGCTTATACATCTCTGCTTGTTGTCAACGCAACAGAGAAGAAGAGCTAATGGAACATTTTAGCAAATTCGGTGAGATATCAGAGGCCCATCTTGTTCTTGACAAGGAGACAAAACGGTCCAAAGGATTTGCCTACATCCTTTTCCTCATTCCTGAATCGGCGGCTAGGTACTATCATTCATGCCAAGAAGTAGTCTCATGTTGATTTTGTTTTTCAAGAAGTAGCCTTAATGTTGATATTCTCTAGCGGTTAAAATCTTATGGATGGTGATGCAGGGCAATGGAGGATTTAGATAAATCAACTTTCCAGGGCCGGTTGTTGCATGTAATGCCAGCCAAGCACCGTGAAAAACAAGTGTCAGTGGCCAAATCTGTAATACATATGTGTTTGTGGACCAGAGTGTTCTATTAGTTGTTTTGACATGGGCTTAGTTTTCCCAACAGGAATGAGGCTTGTAATCTGCCAAAAACATTGAAGCAAAAGAGGGAGGAAGAAAAAAAGGCGTCTGAAGCTGGTGGAAATACAAAGGCTTGGAATAGTTTATTCATGTGTTCTAATACTATTGTAGAACACACTGCGAGAGTGTATGGTGTAAGAAAGAGTGACTTACTTGACCGTGAAACTGAAGATCCAGCTGTACTCGTTGCTTTGGCAGAAACAAAAGTGATTGCGGAGACCAAAGAAGCACTTGCTAAAGCTGGAGTCAATGTCACTTGTTTGGAAGAAATTGCTACAGGGAAAGGTGATAAGAAGAAAAGAAGCAAACATATTCTCTTAGTAAAGAATTTGCCATTTGGTTCCACTGAAAAGGAACTTGCTCAAGTGTTTGGAAGATTTGGAAGTCTTGACAAAATTATCTTTCCTCCGCCGAAGACGTTGGCCTTGGTAACTATTCTTTCATTTGTGTTTTTGACTTCAGAATAGTTGATTGTTCTCTAACCGTCATGAGCTTCCAGGTTGTTTTCCTTGAACCAGCTGAAGCAAAAGCAGCTATGGCGGGAATGGCATACAAACGTTACAAGTAAGCTTTGACATCAACACTACTTATGTTTGATTATCAACCTCCAAGACAAGACAAGACAGGAAGAAGGATTTAGTGATAATTTCTTCTGTATTAATTGTCTTAAGATCCTCACTCATCACACATTTCCCTATCATAACAGAGATTCTCCCCTGTTTCTGGAGTGGGCGCCTGCAGATATTCTTGAGCCAAAAACACTTGCTCCTGTTTACAATGAATTGAATAGTGACGTTAGAGAAACTGATGTGAGAAGAGCCAACGTGGTTGAAATCGATCCGGATACAACTGAGTTATGTTATTACTTTCTGTTTTATGATTTTCCAGTTTTGTAGACAAAAAAAGGATAGTATGAATTTAATAATGGATAATAATTATATTACAGACCAATGTTGTTTATGTTACGAATCTGAGCTTCAAGACAAGTGATGAGAGTTTGAAGAAGCATTTGACTCAAGTGGTGAAGCAAGGAAATATTCAGAGTGTCAAGGTAAGTTTTAGTGCACTTAATTAACCGTGAGTGAGTCTGTTATTGATATTCGTTTATTATTACAAACTAAGCAGATAATAAAGCATGTAAAGGATGGGAAGAAGGTTTCAAAGGGTTATGGATTTGTAGAATTCGACTCTATAGAGACTGCTACCAGTGCCTTCAGAGATGTACAGGGAACTGTTCTGGATGGGCATGCTTTGACCTTGAGGTTTTCTGAAGACGAGCCTGTTGTGAAAGGTTCAGACAAGGACAAGAAAACTTGTACTAAGTTAGTTGTGAGAAATCTACCTTTTAATGGGGTAGATAAGAAACAACTAAGAAAGCTTTTCAGCCCATTTGGACAGGTAAACATTAAACTTAATACAAGTTTTGTTGTCCTTGTCTCTTGTATTGGAACAAATGTAGGATTTTAACATGTTTCTTTGTTAATGATTTCAGATCAAGGGTGTTCGGCTTCCAACGCGTGATTCTACCGGACGGTTTGCAGGTTTTGGTTTTGTTGAATTCATGACAAAGCAAGAAGCTTCAAACGCTAAAAAGGCATTGTCAAGCACCCATCTCTACGGACGCCGTTTGGTAAGTCTTAATATGTTGCACTCTTTGTCTCTCTCTCTCAAGCCTCTTCATTTGAGACTCTATCTACCGTCTCCTTTGCAGGGGATCGAGTATTCCAACGATGACACTAGCTTGGAAGCTCTCCGGGATCGTTCTGCTGCTAAGTACTATAAGGATCAAGAAAAAGCTAATCCAAAGAGAAGGAGAATAGCTTATTAAGTCATCATTCGCCATGGTGTGATATGATAAGAGTGATCAAATAAATTAAGGAATTGTTTACTCACTCTCTAACTAATTGGAATCACAACATGGTGGAAAAAAGGTTAAACATTGAAATTTTTAGTTTTTTTATCTTCACTATCTGTACAAGTTTGCATCAGACGTCCCTTGAGAGCTGAGACAGTACCAATCAAACTACAAAAGCTCAAGATAAAATAAAAGTACCTTTTTTATTATTAAAAACTAAATGATGACGATACAATAACTAAAACAACTTTATCACAAAAAAAACAAAAATTCAATAAACCTTCTTCTTATAATCAAAGATATATAAACATAACTTCAAAAATGCTAAAAAAAGAAACAAACCTGATGGCTACATCTAAACAACATCAATTACCACAACCATTTAAGAAGAAACACCTACAGAGAAGAAGAGTCTTTGTGTTCCCATAAATTTGCTTATTCGTTGATGGGATTTGCTAAGAAGAATCTGACAAGTTAAATTTAATAGTCTCTCCTGCTTTGTGTTCCATATGGATCTTTGTACAGCTGCGTGACCAAAAATACAAAATCATTCTCTGGGTCGAGCAAGCCATAAGGAGCTAAGAGCTCGTAGCCGCGAGAAGTAATCATGAATTGCAAGTAGAGCACGCGCTGACTGTCGCGTTGTTAATACTCTTATCATCTGTTGCAATGTCTGCAGTCTCAAATTATCAGCCTGCCACCACCAAGAGAACACAGAAACATTCATTTACCATATGCTTAAGATATTATATTACATGTCAAAGTGTTAAGACTTTTGTTGTACCTGGCGTATAAATCCTTCAAGAGTACCTAACTTTCCCATTGCCATAGCCATCTGACCCATGTAGCTGGCGACATTCCCTGAAGAACTTGAACCAAGAGTCCCGCTCGATAAAGTATCGGCTAGTGACTGTTGTAAGCTCTCCATCCCTTGAGATAAAGCATCTTCAGCCTGCTGTGATGTCTGTTGCAAGCTTTCTATGCCTGACATTTGTCTCTCTGTCATTGGCTCCAACTGATTCGCCAGAAGCTGTTTCATTAATGACCATTTTTTTTATTCTGTCAAAAAAGTTTGTCCCTTTTGTAAACAAATGCAACCGATGGAATACCAATGGAACTTTGACCTGACCTTGAGAATTTCGGATGAGCGGAAGCCACCGAGCCATAAGAAACATCTCTCAGCTGGTGTTTTCCACATGCCGGACAGCAAGTGGAAGACATCATTCTTGGCTGCGTTGCTCTTTATCTTGTAAAGCTCCTCATAGTGAGCCATCACACCATCAACTATTATTCGAAGCTCAGCATCACCTGCATGCGCATTCAGAGCAGATCTCAGCTCGTTCATTTGCTTGCTCTTCTCTTCTTGCCACCGCGAATGCTCAGCGTCAAACGCCAAAGCACCTGCAAGAAAATAAGTTACACATGATCAAGAACAAACCCATTAGATGACATATGATGTAACTAATATATCAATCTATACAAATCACAAGCCAAAACAAAAAAAAAAATACGATGGAAAGTAATGGAGGAATAAGCAACCAACCATTTCCACCAGTAGAATGGGCTTGGTCTCCTGTACTTGAAATGAAGACGCCCTAAAAGAGAGAAACTTTTGTTTATCTATACAGAATCACACAAGAATAAGCAATTGGAGCAAAAGAAGCAAATTTGAAACCTGCTGTCTTGCTCTTTGCAGCTCCTGCTCAAGTTGTGTAAGCTTCAAGCGGCTGTTCTCCAGCTGCTGTACATACGCCTATATATGGAGGGACAAATGAAAAGCACTTAGTACTGTAGCAAATAGCTATGCTTCTAGGGATGCAGTGAGAGGTATTACCTTCTTCCTTAATCTGCTTTTCCTTGCTGCTTCACGGTTTTGAGCAAGCCTACGAAGAGTCTACCGATCAAAATAAAAGGAAATGAAAAGAGATTACACATTGGCTCAGTAAAAATAATAATCTTATCTAATATCTACAGAGGTGGACATATCACCTTTTGATCCGACTTGTCCTTGGATCGGTCACTAGAATCAGAAGCAGCGGTATTCACTAGTCCTCCCTCGGACTGCATGAAAATTAACACCATAAAGAAAATAAAATTACTGGTCCACTGAAATCACACACATTTGAAGAACACAAGTGAGAAAAATACAGTCAGATAATGAGCTAACCCCAAGATCTCTATGATCTGTGTCTCCATCTGATGAGCCATCAGTCATTGGACTGGTATCAGCCATATTACTTTCTCACCACCTTTCTGCACTAACACTTGATTGCAGAGACAATATCCACTTTGTGGCCTCCCTGTGTAGCAAATTGAAGATATTGATACACCGTCCTAGTCCTTCAAAAAAAAAAAAAAACAACCCTTTAAAGCAATTCAATGAGAAGAGAGTGATGAAATCATACCCAACTATCATTTTCTCCAATCAAACTAATAGCTTTGCACAGAGAAACTAAATAAGGTTGGCACAGTCATAAAATTAATACTTGGGGTTTGGAAATTAAGCTCAGTCACACGATTGATTTATAAAAAAACTAGCTCAATTTCAATCTTAGTGACAGTGAAGTAGCTAAATCTCTTGTTTTGCAACTCCAATTGGAACAAAAGCACTACTTACTTCAGTATTCAAGTCCGAGTTGACTCAATTTCTACTCAGTGTTCACATCGAGTTACTAAAGATTCAAAATCTAGCACTAGCGAAATGAAGCTGCAGCTATGAATTCGAACCAATAAATCACCATCGAAACAGAATTTAAGAAAAAGGTTAACACTATCCATATATCGGAATTGGATGATTTTGGTCGCTAAAAAAAAAAGAAACTCTTTAAGCTTCAGAAAGTCAACTAGGTTAAGTTCTAAAGCAAAACACAGAGCTAGAAAGTAGCTTCTAATGACAGGTAAGCTAAAGAAGAAACAAGGAGAAATACTCAGCCCCCAAACAATGGAAATGAAAAAGAAAACCCTAGAAAGAAACTTACTTTGTCGAAGAAACTGACCTGGTAAAACGAAATCTTTCAGCTAAAACGAACAAGTAAAAAAGGTTTGTCTCGAAATCGGATTGAAAACAAGAAGCAGAGACACGATCCGAAATTCCAATCTCCGAGACGTCGTTTTGTCTATAAATCTCCACCAGTTCCCAAAGAACCTCTCCGTCAATTTAACTTAACGGCAAATTTCAAACTAAACCCCGTATTTTCCTTGATTTTACCATAACCAAAATCTACTTTTATATAATTGCTAAAACAACCCTTATTAGTAGATATCTACGTCATTGCTTTCCTCCTTTACCACTTTCATATCGCTCGATTAGAAAAATACAACAGCCATCTCAGACCATATGTCCGATCTAGTTTTTCACCTAAATCTAATTTTATATGATCAAAAGAAATAACATTTGTACAAAGTGATGTTTATCAAAACAAATCTGAACGCGCTTTTTGAACTAGAAGGTTTGAGACATCCTGGCCTGTGGCTTTGACTTTAGAAGTGTTCGTTAATGATCACACGTGCCAAGAGTAGGGTATGGTTTGTTTGACACAAAAATTAATTAAATCAAAATGCATTTATTGATATGAAATCCTGTTATTTATTACATGGTACTTTTCAGTAAATGTACAATAATTCTCTCTCACTCTCTCACTCTCAATCATACTCAGTTACTCACTCTCACAGTCGCTCACTCAGCACCTCTTTCATTCTCTATCTCTTTAACTCCTCTTTAATGGCTACCAGATTCAACCACCAGTTTTCAGTCTCATTGGTGTTCACATTCTTCTGCTTCTTCTTCACAACAACATTCTCTTTCACAGAAAACGAGGAACTTGCTTCTCTTCTCAGATTCAAGGCTTCCATTGATGATCCAAAGGGCTCTCTTTCAGGTTGGTCCAACACTTCTTCTTCTTCTTCTTCTCCTCACCACTGTAACTGGACTGGCATCACGTGTACCAGAGCTCCTTCCCTCTACGTCTCTTCCATAAACCTCCAAAGTCTGAATCTTTCTGGTGAAATCTCTGACTCCGTCTGTAATCTCCCTTACCTCACCCACCTCGACCTCTCCCAAAACTTCTTCAATCAGCCAATCCCACTTCATTTGTCTACCTGTCTTACCTTAGAGACTCTGAATCTCAGCACCAATCTCATCTGGGGCACAATCCCTGATCAGATTTCCGAGTTCAGTGCCATAAAAGTTCTTGATCTCAGCAGTAACCATGTTGAGGGTAAGATTCCAGAAGATTTAGGGTTACTGTTCAATCTCCAAGTTCTCAACTTGGCAAGCAATCTTCTCTCTGGTCACCTCCCTCCTGCGATTGGGAAACTCAGTGAGCTTCTTGTTCTTGATTTGTCTGAAAACAGCTATCTGGTTAGCGAGATTCCTTCTTCTATTGGGAAGCTAGACAAGCTTGAGCAGCTTCTCCTGCATAGGTCAGGCTTCCATGGAGAGATTCCCACTTCGTTTGCTGGTTTGACAAGTTTGAAAATCTTGGATCTGTCTCTCAACAACCTCACCGGTGAAATCATTCGATCCATAGGGCCTTCTCTCAAGAACTTGGTGTCTCTTGATGTCTCGCAGAATAAGATATCTGGCTCTTTCCCTAGTGGTGTTTGCAGTGGCAAAAGGCTTATTAACCTTTCTCTACATTCCAATTTCTTTGAAGGGCCATTGCCTAACTCCATTGGTGAATGCCTTACTCTGGAGAGGTTTCAAGTGCAGAACAATGGATTCTCTGGCGAGTTTCCAGTTGGTTTATGGAGCTTACCTAAGATAAAGATTATTAGAGCGGATCATAACCGGTTAACAGGTCAAGTCCCTGATTCTGTGTCTTTGGCTTCTGCATTAGAGCAAGTTGAGATAGACAACAACTCCTTTACCGGTGAGATCCCACATGGTCTTGGACTGATCAAGAACTTGTATAAGTTCTCTGCTTCAGAGAACGAGTTTGGTGGAGAACTACCACCGAGTTTTTGCGACTCACCAGTCCTTAGTATTGTTAACATCTCTCACAATAGGCTCTTAGGGAAGATCCCAGAGCTGAAGAACTGCAAGAAGCTTGTCTCTTTGTCTCTGGCAGGGAACGGATTCACCGGAGAAATCCCGACATCACTTGCTGATTTACATGTTCTGACTTATCTTGACCTGTCTGATAACAAACTCACTGGTCTGATCCCTCAAGACTTACAGAACCTGACGCTTGCTCTCTTCAACGTGTCATTCAACCGTTTATCTGGTGAAGTACCTCACTCTCTGGTCTCTGGTTTACCAGCTTCGTTTCTGCAAGGCAATGCCGGGCTTTGTGGACCCGGTTTACCCAATTCTTGCCCCTCTGTCCGGTCTAGCTTCCATAAAACAGGTGTTAAAGCTTTGATGTTAGCTTTGATATGTTTAGTTCTTGCTCTTGCCACTTCTCTCGTCATGTCATATCGTTATTACCGAAAGAAAGTGCAAACCAAGAGTACCATGCAGTCGGAGTTTTATTATCCACTGAGGCTAACCGAGCATGAGTTGATGAAAGTGATGAATGAAAGTTGTCCTTCAGGGAGTGAAGTGTACGTTCTCAGTTTATCGAGTGGGGAGTTGATAGCTGTGAGGAAGCTTGTGAATTCTAGGAATGTAACGTCGAAAGCTCTGAAAGCTGAAGTGAGAACCATAGCAAAGATACGGCACAAGAACATAACTCGAGTTCTTGGTTTTTGCTTCACAGACGAATTCATATTCTTGATCTATGAGTTCACACAAAATGGTAGCTTACATGATATGCTATCGAGTCCTGGCGATCAACTGCAGTGGAGCGTTAGGTTGAAGATAGCAGCTGGTGTTGCACAAGCATTGGCATACATAAGCAAAGATTATGTGCCACACTTACTCCATAGGAACCTAAAGTCAGCAAACATTCTCTTGGACAAAGATTTCGAACCGAAGCTCTCTGATTTTGCCCTTGACCAAATTGTTGGAGAAGCTGCTTTTCAGTCTTTGATACACTCCAGCTCCAACTCCTGCTATACTGCACCAGGTACAGTGTCTAGTGATTGTGTCTGTAGACTACTACGAGTGAACTTTTCAGTATCATGATCTGAAATGCTTGTGCTTTTTTTTCTTGATTGTATCCAGAAAACAGCTACAGCAAGAAAGCAACAGAGGAAATGGATGTTTACAGTTTTGGTGTTGTACTACTAGAACTTGTAACGGGGCAACGAGCAGAGAATGCAGAAGAAGGCGCATCTGGAGAGTCTATTGACATAGTGAAGCAGGTGAGGAGGAAGATAAACCTGACAAATGGAGCCGCCCAAGTTCTTGACAAAAGAATCTTGTCCAATTCTTGCCAATCAGACATGCTAAAGACCTTAGACATTGCTCTCAATTGCATCGCCGTTGCTGCAGAGAAACGACCTTCACTGCTTCAAGTTGTCAAAGCGCTTGAGGGTATAAGCTCTTCTGTCTCAGCATCTACTGAGAAGCTTCCAGTTTCCGCGTAAACAAGAAAACCAAGAGAGGCCAGATCTTAGCTCTGGTTTCTACTAAAAAATGAAGAATTTTATTGAATGGTCCAAGTGCAAGATGTTATGTTTTTCGTTTTCTGGAGTGTGAGAGTTCTGTATGAATGTACATTGGTCAACGTTGTTAAAGGATAATAAGCATTGGGTTTTGACTTGAGTGTACATCTGATGAGCTTGGAGTCTTTTGGTCAAACAAGTCAAGGTTTAGGTTTCTCCAAGCAGTCTGTATCTTTCGTTGGTCGCAGAGAACATAAGGTTGCCTTTTTCTTCAACCCCTTTGATGATGCTGTAATATGGAGGAGATCTTGATGTTTCTTCTACCTCTTCATTGTTGTTGTAGACTTTCTTACGTGTCATAGAAACCTTAAGCTTGTCACTGAACTCTGCGACCATGTCTGTCAAGTGGGCACAAGTTGGAAGACAATACTGAACCGGATTGACTTGTCGGGGAAAGCTTCTAGTTGCATCTCCAGATGAGCTTCTACTCTCAAGTATGCTCTGGAAACAAAGAAACAAAATACTTTTTAGTCTTTTAGTAATTTGTATCTAGTGATTGAAGGACTGAGAAAAGTAGACCAACCTGAGCGTTGAGCTCCTCAAGAACAGTTCCTGGAACAGGGTATGGGCAGAATTCATCGGGAGTGAAATTGCAGACTATCCTTTTTATCAAACTTAGGCCAATTGATGGGCAGACCTGCGAAACAAATAAAGGAGCTAGATGAAGAAAAAGCACAGCTTCGCAGTGTTAAATCATGAAGCATACATTACCTCATCTCTGATGGAACTGTCCACAAGCATTTCTTTAGGAAGCATAAGGAGATCGCTCAGTTCATTGAGCAAGGGGAAAGGTTTAAATTCAGCATCTCCTCTTGGCATTTGTTGCTCCTTTTCCGGAGAATGATCAAGATTCATCTCAAAGATGTCTGTAAGCAATCTCGACCAGTAGCAAATCTGCATACATGACTCGTGTCACTAGAGACTCAAGCTAGTATACAAATTTCAGATGAAAACATTGGCAAGTAGTACCGTGTTTTTCAGTTTCACGCCAGATTCGAAGCTCAAAACCCCTGCTGGAATTGGCAGAACTCTTGGGTCACCAATGGGATCAGAGTCAGTATCAGTTGGCATCTGCTGAGACGACTCACGGAGAATAGCATTGAACATAGCCACGTCAAGTCTTACAATGCATTGCTCCATGATCTAGTTGCACAGAACATGTCAGTTCTGTCCACAAAAGAAAGCACCATTCCATTGGAAGAAGGGAAGGAAAAGGGTGTGTACCATTCTGGTAAGAAAATCCAAACAACCACATTTACTTCTTGTTGCTTGAAGAGGACACATCCGTTGCAGAGCCTCCTCAAAAGCTTTTTTCCATAGGTTGACAGAAAAGCTCTCTTGTAACCGGTCACATGTTGCTGGTTCTGAAAAATTCCCAATCGTTTCACCCATCGTCGAGTCCACTCCTTGAGGTCTCATATGAACCATCATTACCTAACAGGAGTGAGAATCTGAAGCCATTTAACATCTGCAGGTTTCTTTAAAGAAAAGATAGTCCATGGCTTTTTTTGGTTTTTTTTTACCTGTGACCAAATGGATCCAACTGCTTGGGTAAATAAACATGATTCAACTCTTCTTAATGCCGCTATCAGAGTTCTTGCATCTGTCCAATCTTCTTCAAGCGACTTTGATCCATTTAGATATGTGCCACCAAATCCATGTGAAATGATCTCTCGCAACATGACAGTGTTGGACAACCAGAAAGTTAACCTGATCCAAGGAATAAACCAAGCAACATAATAAGGTTTTACTAGATCCTCAGAAGAAGAGTAAACATCTGTTTTGATTACCTGGACGCATCGCTTCCACAGGATTTCAGCACCAAGAACAGACCAGACACAATGTTTTTAGTTACTGAGATCAACTTGTTTTCACTCTGGTTTTTTGTAGCAAGTGCATAGAGTCTTGAAAGGTCCCGTGCAGGTCTGTGAAGCTTATCTTCTGAGCTTCCGTGTTCTGGAAATACAGAGTACACTGACATCTCAAGAGCAGCCATTTCTCTCAGCTCTTCTTCAAGTACCTGGATTCGAGTCTCCAGGGTCCCAATCTTCTGAGTCAAGACTTTCTCCACTTCACTACTACTCCTTTTGCTTTCCTTGTACACAAGTGTTTCATTGTCACTCTCTGTGATATTAACGCTGTTCAAAGCATCTTCAAACTTGTCATCTTCTCTTGACTCCTCAGAAGGCGTGGAATCAACCTTTTGATTCTCAGAGATCCTATAAGATTTTGCCTGGCTTTTACTGGATCTTACAGTCTTTCTAGCCGTGCCGTGAAAGGTACTGGATCGAGATCTAACAGACTCGACATTGCTCCGTCCCTTTGATATGAAGGGTCTGTCCTGAGAGCTTTTGCTCTTAAGAACCGTCGATGGTCTCTTATCCTCAGGGGAAGAAGAAGACACAGAAGAATCATTGTTTGCTTGTTCAGTCTCTGAGTCATCACCGTTTCCTTCTTCTTGACAGTCCATGAGATTATCATCATTCCTTGATTTCTCGTTAGCATCGTCCACGTAATGCACCTTGACATTCTCATAGACTTCAGAGGACTCGGATCCAGTCGTTGAGCCATTCACATTGAGTGAAGAAGGCTCAGAGGACGTCGCATCCAAAACTCTGGAAACCAGCTGAGCCGCATTCAGCGGTTTCACGCTACTACTAGTACGCGGTTTGTGATCTTTCTTTGCAGAATTGGTAGATGTTCTTGCCTGCGAGTGAGTCGAAGTTCTTGGTCTGTCGAATCTTTTCATCGCATTCTAATCTGAAAACTCCACAATAGGAAAATTCTCTGCAGAGTGTACTAAAAAAGGTTCAATTTCACATTCTGCAGCAGAAATCAAGAATTTTTTTTGTGTCTAAGCGATTTAATCCTCAATTAAGGAAAAAAACAAAAATGATGGATTAGATGATTAAAAGCTGAGATATGCAAATGCAATGATTATAAGCTTTAGAAGGAAGCAAGAGAACATGAGCACCGACTCAAATGTCGAACACCTTGCGGACATTATTATTATAGTCTCGTGACAGCAACCAATGTTTCCTCATAGACAAACAAACATTTCATTCATCCATGAGGATCACACAATTTCATATTACTTGAATAATACTAAATTAATCATCTTGCAGAAAATAATATCTCCCGCTTAGCACGACACGAGAAGGCATATTAACATATGAGCACGTCTTGATTTTATTTATTAGTTAATTAAAGATAAATCTAGTCTCTCTCTCTTTCTCTAACAATGACGTTATAACGTCGGAAACATATACGCCGTTGATCGGATTCTTAAGTGAGATGAGATCAATGAAGCTAATTGATGCAAATGAAATTAGAAACTGTCTAAACGATGCATAATGTATTGAATTGTGTGCATACAAACCTGAAACAGAGCTCTCTCGCGAGATCCAAGATGGTGATCTGAAATCAGGATCCAGAGGTGAGATAAGAGAAGAGGAAATGGGAGTGCTTTTTTGGTTTCGGAGCGTTTTTGCAGGGAAGAACAGTTACAATTGTGAGTTTGACTCGGGTTTAAAAGAGGATTAAAGTGGAGCAAATTCTCTCTCTCTCTCTCTGGGTCGGTGATTAGTTTAATCAAATGGAGAGGATCAGTTACACCAAAAGACAGACGCTACGTCGTGATCTTTCCCAAGCCCACTTTACCAGACTTTAGCTCCGCGTTTTATTCAAATTTTATAATATTGTTTTTATTTTTCCAAATCCACAAGACATAACCAAAAATATATGGATAATTAATGGTAATTATTGTATTCTTTTAAATCTAAAAATAGAAATAAACTCTATGTAATAGTAATACTGGAAATTCACTGTGTTTAGAAAAAAATGACAAAACTAAAACTTTTCTTTTACTACACAATATAATACTATAATTTTTTTACAAAGAATGTGATAGAAAATCACATGGCTCATGTGTTTATGGCCGAGGGATCTCTAGAGTGTGTGAAATCCCATGAATTACAAAGTTGGAAGAAGAGAACATATCTGGAGCTACAATCTCAACTCCAGATATCATGAAATCTCCAGACGAATTAGCAGCAACAGCATCTCTTCTCCTCGTGATTGTGAGATCTTGGTACGGATCCAGTGTCTTGACTGAGGCTTTATCAGGCATTGAAGCTAAATCTTCGTAGGTAAGCCTCTGAGCAAGAATGTGACGTCTCACAGTTTCATAGAGCAACGGAGAAGCAGATGACAGTGAGACCAGATTCGGTGTGGCTAGAATCGTTACGCCGGTCAAGTTCTTGTGTTGCTCTGCGACGATCCTATTGAGAACAGAGTGCAATCCAATTGCATATGGCACAAACCCATTTGAACTTAGCAGCTGAACGATCCGAATCCAATCTATCTTAACCGGAACTTCTTCTTCTTCGCTGGTTTTGTTTGTATCAGATTGACATAGCGATGATTGGAGGATGTAGTGAGGTTGCAGAGGAGAGAAAGGTCCAAGAACTCCGTGAATAACCAAAGAATCTCCAAGAAACATGTCGGGATGTGAAATCAGGACATGATTCACTTCTGCTGTTCTTGATTCTTCATCGACGGTGGAGATTTCGACGCTCTTGTGACGGAGAAGCGTGGGGAGACAGGTTCCTTGAGGCTTCTCGAGAAGGTCCTTCATCGGAAGCCTTAGAGGGATTGTGTGATACTGAAGAATCTGTTTGAGAAACAGAGGAGGAAGCGATGACGTGTTGTACAAGGCAGCGTCGTCGATGGCAAAGAGGGTTGTGTTGGGAGAAGAAGAGAGGAAGATCTCGGGGGAGATGTGAAGGAGAGTTGCGATCGCTTTGAAGTTGGATCTACTTAGAGCGTTTGAGGCGTTTAAGGAGAGATGATGAGTAATGGGTCTGCTTGGTGTTGTGATGTCGGAATCTGGAGGTGAACGTAGAGTGGTGGAGACGGCCATGAAAGCTAGAGCAACGGAGAGGACGAAGTAGACAAAGCAATCAGATGAACAACAAGCCATCGCTTGCGAAGAAAAATCCAAAGTTGAATCGAAATTCGCAGAGACCGAGACGAAGAAGAGAGAGTTCGTCAAAGAAATGTGTTCTTGGAGGGATTTTGGGTTTAACAAAAGTGTTTTTCGATTTTACCGCTTAGGTTTAGTCTTCTCGTTGTATCTTATAACCAATCTTAATAACTAAAATATCGTTTAATGTTTATCATAAATTCAATTTTTTTATGGAGATGGTCAAAATAAACAAAATGATTCCTCTGTTTTGGAAAGTCAGAGTCATATTCGTTCATATGAAATCAAATAAGCTATTGAGTCTGTCCTGAAGACATTTGTTTCCGGTGAAGAACACTGATGCAATGTCAAAACACAATTATGAATCTTGAACATTCTTCTCCAATCACAAAACACAATACTAGAGAAGACGACTCTGTTTATAATAAACTTACTTTCCTTTGGACTTCTTAGATGGTCTCCGGTTTTCAATCCTTCTCTTGGCAGCTTCGAATTCTTCTTCACTGGGCTCTGCTTCCGCATTACCACCATACCTAGAGATGAGTGATGAAAACATTGAATCCACTTTACCTTTCCTCTCATCTCTCCGCTGCAAAATCAACGTGGCAAGATCTGTCTCTGACTCTTTTGCTGACCTACAAGTTATACGCAAATTCAAGGTGGTCACAACAAGGTCAAGTTCATTGGTAGATGAACTACTTTATAAAAGAGGCAGAGAGTTTACTTCTGCTTCTTCTTCCTGGATGGAGGCGGCTTCGATTCTGAAATTTTCTTTGCCCACTTCTCATATGCCTTGCTTGATTTCACTTCTCCTGAAAAAGGGAAATCAGTTGTATCACACAAGAAGCTAATAATCAGCAAATCTCCCAAGTTCACAGAGATTTCAAATCAGGTTCTTAACTAGACTAGAACAGAACTAGAACCAGAGAATAAAGAAGCAGATATATAGACTACCTGCTGCAATGGCCTCATCAAGGATGGCTTTGAAACGGTGTGAATCAAGCTTGGGGTCAGCGCAAAGCATTGAGCAGAACAGCCTGAGAAGGAAATATATATACATATAACCACCAATCTCACAGCCTCAACAAAACCCAAAAATGAAGGATGATGAATTTACCTGTTCATTTTACCCTTAAACTTGTTGAACAGCTCAATTAAGTCTTTCTTCTCTGACTCAGATCCCCTGTAGTTTGCCTCAAACTCTTCAATATCTGCTTCGGTGACCTAAAATCAGCAGGGACATAACATCGAGTTAGTGTGAGCAGCAGAGCCAGATGTGTACAAAGTCACAGAAAGGTATCAACTGAATAAGTTGCTGCTACCTTCTTGTACATTGCCTGGAAGAAATCCCTCCAGTTCTCAAATGCATCGCCAGAAAGATCCTACCAAGCACGGAGAATAACCAATTTTGAGACTCTCAGTATACTATTAAACAAGTTAAAAGCTTTATTGTGACAGTAAAACTGAACAAGCAAAGGAAGTAGTAAAAGAGACTGCTTTAATGTGTATTGAGAATTCCCAGAGTAGTAAAAGGTTAGTTTCTGAAACGAAAAGAAGCAGAGAGACTCACAGCATCATCAACTGAGCCGGTTTGATCATAGACTGCTCTTTTCTCTTCATCCCCTAAAATCGACATGACTTTCTGCAGCTGCTGGAATTTCTCTTTAGCTTCCTGTAACAAAACACAAAGAGTAACATGTCCATGTTAAACGGATCCCAAACAAACCTATACAAAGGTACAGACGAAGAAAAGAAAGAGCTTTTAAACCTCATCATCCGGATTTTTATCTGGGTGAAGCCGCAATGCCAATTTATGATATGCTCTCCTTATCTCCTGTGAAGTAGCTCTTCTCTCAACTCCAATAACCTTCAATAAGTAAAGATTGATTTGTTAGTCTAGTCCATTTCTGTGTTTTCCGGGAAAATATAAGGGAAGCACTCTTTTGGATTATCAAATCAATTCTGATCCCAAATCATCCTACTCATCAAATAAGCAAAGAATAATCCGATCTACTTCAAATCCATGACGTACATAAAATGAAATTCGAACTATACTTTCTTAGAATCACGATAAGAGACTAAGAGTAACCAAACCGATTAGATGGTGAGTAGGATCAGGTCAAGTAGCAACAGAAAAAACAAAAATTTGAAATCCGTGATAAGCCCTAAATTACGCGAGAGAAAGAGCGCAGAGATTCAGGAAGAGAAATTTGAAAAACCTCGTAAAGGCTTGTTTCACAGGATGGCCCATCAGTATCCATCCCAATGTCATCTTCCTCTGTTGTCGAAGATTTCTTTTTCCTACCCATCTGAACCCTGATAGATCGATACAGCCGTTGGCGTCGGAGAAAAAAAGAGGAATAACTCCGGCAAAGAGTCGACTGGATTCGGCGTGTCAAATGCTTCACAGAAGATTATCTATGCGCCAATTTCTGTGTTCCCCGCCATTTTAGGTGAAGATATTTCCTTCCTTCTGCGATTTGGGTCTGCTGTGGAAAAGAGTAATGTACATTTGTGTGGCACGTGGCAGAGAATTAAGCAAGTTGTTTTTTCTTTTGCCAAAGGCTAAAAATATGTGTAACACAAAATATATTTTGAAAAACCGGATCGGGTTAGTTCATCTGGCCGATCCAACTGAAAATCGTTTATGAAACCAAATCCAAGTTAACCAACAAAGCTGATTTGAGTTAAACCATTACAATCAAGGCTTGAATTGCAAGGAATCAAGAAAAGGCTAAAAATGCTGAGAAAACATATGGTATGAGATTCACACCGACTATGCAAAATGATTCACACGACTACTAGAAGAAGAAAATATCCTTCAATAACCACAATGCAAAATTTTAAATCAGTAAATCTAAGTTATTTAACCACACCTGAAAAATGCATGTCACATATGATGAGATGAAAGCTTAACAACTGACTGTCAAAGTACACATTCTCACAAAGACAGTGTTTAGGATTTCTCCTCAGTCTGAATTTGTGATGGTGGTCGGTCCATCATCCTTTTAGGATATCCAAGTTTCGACAACAAATCAAATTCAAGCAGATCAATCAGAGCCACCTCCACACCTTTCTTCTCCTTGTCCAACGCCTCCTGATACTCCATAACTCCCTTCTTCTGGCTTTCCATCTCCTCCAGTTCCTCGCGACTATCCCTCTCAAGACGACGGAAAAAACCTTCAAGATCAGCATCCGTACACTCAGTAAGATCACTCCCATCCTTTTCGGAATACGCAGCAGCGAGACGGTTGAAATAATCGAACCTGGAATCAGTTTGGTTCATAAACTCAAACCGATCGTCCTCCATACCCCTCTTCTTGATCATCAAACTGCTTTGAAAACTCGTTCCGTACCGCGCAAGAAACTGCGCTGTGAGCTTAATAGTGTAAAGCTCCTTGCGAGTGATCCCTTGACTACCGTCAACTGTAACTAAATACGGTACTTGAGGCTCACCGTATGTGATCCATTCATGCATTCTAGGATCCTTGTGGCATGACTCTGGAAGCTTCATAGTCTCTAACGTTTGCTCTCTCTCTTTCACGGTTGCCTCTTTCTCTCTTCTTCTTCTATATCTCTCTCGGTTCTCTATTCTCGGATGATCCTTTTTTTGTGTTTGGGAGCGTCTTCTTTTATAGCCAAAGCCTCGTTGATCAGTTTCCTGTTCGAATTTGAGTTTTCCTTTTTGTAAACGAAAAGCAAAAAGGAAAAACCTGATGGGAGTTTAATTCATTCGCTAGCACAGTCAGCAGTTTACCACTTTAATTACTAATCTAAATCATCTAATTAACCCTCTTAAGCATATGCCATATTTATAATTTGTCAACAGATAATGAAAGCTTAACAAACGGTCAAGTAAAACTCTTATTTTAATGCAAAACAGGATCAAAAACAGAGCTTATACCCTCATATAAGAGACAAAAACAGAACAAAGACAACAATAGAAAAGAAATAATCTTGAGGTTGGGTTTAGGAGCCATGACTTTGCACACATATCCTATAAAACCATCTTTAATATCGCTCTCATACATACACACACACACGATGATACAAATGGTGGATTTACGATACTTGTTTGTCATCATCCTTCTATGCCTTGGAATCAAAGTCTTGATAAAAGCTATCGCCAACAGATTCCGCAACAAACTACCACTTCCACCAAGCCCAACAGCTTTACCGATCATCGGTCACATTCACCTTCTTAGTCCCATAGCTCACCAAGCACTTCACAAGCTCTCGACCCGCTACGGACCTTTGATCTATCTCTTCATCGGCTCCATTCCTAATCTTATCGTCTCATCGGCCGAGATGGCGAACGAGATTCTCAAATCCAACGAGCTCAACTTCCTGAACCGTCCCTCAATGGTAAACGTTGACTACCTTACTTATGGCTCAGCCGATTTCTTCTCAGCGCCTTACGGGCCTCGCTGGAAGTTCATGAAGAGGATTTGCATGACGGAGCTCTTCAGCAGCAGAGCATTAGATAGCTTCGTTTACGTGAGAAGCGAGGAGTTGAGGAATCTTCTGACACGTGTTCTGAAGAAAGCAGAAGCAGAAGAGAGTGTTGATCTCGGTGAAGAGCTAAAGGAACTGACATCCAACGTTATAACGAGAATGATGTTCAGAGAAAGGCAATCATCGGGTAGTGACGTGTGCGGCAAGAGAGAGGAGGAGGAAGTTATCAAAATGGTGGTGGAGTTGAATGAATTAGCAGGGTTTTTCAACGTTTCTGAAACGTTTTGGTTCTTGAGAAGGCTTGACTTGCAAGGAATCAAGAAGAGACTCAAGAATGCTCGAGACAGATATGATGTGATCATAGAGAGAATAATGGAAGAGCATGAGTCTAAGAGAAAGAACGTTGCAGGAGCAAGGAACATGCTAGACATTTTGCTAGACATATATCAAGACAAAAATGCAGAGATGAAGCTGACAAGAGAAAACATTAAGGCCTTCATCATGGTAAACTTTCTCCTTAAGTTTTGACATTAAAGTTAGTTTGGGACCATTAATTTCTTGTTATGCAGAACATTTACGGAGGTGGAACAGATACATCTGCAACAACAGTAGAGTGGGCTCTAGCAGAGCTGATAAACCATCCAGAGATCATGAAGAAAGCAGAACAAGAGATTGAACAAGTGGTGGGGAACAAGAGACTAGTTGAAGAAACTGATTTGTGCAATCTCAGTTACATTCAAGCAGTGGTGAAGGAGACGTTGAGGTTACACCCTGGAGGTCCAATATTCGTGAGAGAATCGGATAAAGAATGCGCGGTGGCTGGTTTCAGAATCCCAGCGAAAACGAGAGTGATAGTCAACGTTTGGGCGATTGGAAGAGATCCAAACCAATGGGAAAATCCACTGGAGTTTAGACCTGAAAGGTTTCAAGGCACGGAGTGGAAGGTCATGAGTGAGAAGATGTTGTCTTTTGGAACAGGGAGAAGAAGTTGTCCTGGAGAAAAAATGGTATTTAGATTCGTTCCATTAGTTTTAGCTGCGGTTATACAGTGTTTTGAGTTCAAAGTGGAGGGAAGAGTGGAGATGAATGAAGGGATTGGATCCTCTCTGCCTAGAGCCACACCTTTGGTGTGTGTTCCTGTTCCTAAGGAGGCTAATACAATCAACTTGTAGCTAATGATTACTTCTGTAAAAAACATTTTACTGCACTTTTTAAAAAACTTGCTCGCCACTAAAATTGGTTGTAACATACAAAACATGTGAATCGTCAAACTGCATCATTTTTATGGATCATCCACTCACTTTGACTAATCCACTTGACGGAATCGAAATGATTTCCAAAAAAAAAGAGAAACTTTAAAGGCAAGTTGAGATTTAATCAGTGATCAACAGTGAGAATGAAGCTTTTTTACCTCTCTCTTTTCTTCTTCTTCATCATTTCTTTTCCACGCTCTGAAAGCTGCAGCTCAATTGACAAAACTACCCTCCTGAAGATCAAGAAATCCCTAAACAACCCTCAAATCCTCAATTCTTGGGACCCCGAAACCGACTGCTGCACGGACTGGATCGGCGTCGCGTGCACACACCGCCGCGTCACCGGACTCACCATTTCCTCCGGAGACGTCGATGGTCAGATAGCGGAGGAGATCGGAGACCTCATTGACCTCGTTATCCTAGATTGGAGCAGTCTCTCTCGTCTCAGAGGAACCATTCCACGCTCTATCACCAAGCTCAAGAATCTAGTTTACCTTCGGTTTAGAATAACCGAACTCTCTGGTCCGATCCCGGAATACATCAGCGAGCTTCAGAACGTAACCTTCTTGGACCTCTCATTTAACCGGTTCAACGGTTCAATACCCGGTTCGATTTCCCAGATGCCGAATCTTAAGGCGATACAGCTCAATCATAACAAATTAACCGGTTCTGTACCGGAATCTTTCGGTTCCTTTGTAGGAAAGGTTCCAGATCTCTACTTGGGTAATAATCACCTCTCAGGTAAATTATTTTGCCTGATCTTGTTTTGACATAATAATGATATGCATAATTCGATTGTTGTAATCTAATTGCAATGCAGGTGAAATACCAAAATCGTTATCCAAATCCGACTTCAACATTGTGAGTTTGTTAGGAAACAATTTCAGTGGAGATGCTTCCATGTTCTTTGGACATAACAAGACAACCGTGAGATTAGACTTGTCTAGGAACAGCTTCCACTTCGATCTCTCAAAGGTGAAACTCGCCGAGAGCTTGGTATCACTGGACCTGAGCCATAACCGTGTATATGGAGAACTTCCCTTGGGACTAACCAAGCTCCGTCTTGACCATTTCAACATAAGTTTCAACCGTCTCTGTGGTTCCATCCCACAAGGCGGTCTGGTCCAGAATTTTGAGGTCTATGAATTCTCTAATAACCTCTGTCTATGCGGTGCACCGCTTCAGCATTGCTAGTTGATCGATCAAACAACATTTTGAAAATGTAGTATGACTTTTTCATCAAAAACAAGTTGGTTCATGTTTTTATTAATAATTCTGAATTGGAAAATACAGTTGTCAATAGACTTAATTGATTCTTGTAATAAATTTTAGAGATAAGGCTTGGTTGCTTGAATCTTCACTACAGCGCTGAAGAGGAGCACCACACAAACACTTGTTGTGAAGATATTCATAAGAATCAAATCTCTGAAGATCCCCTCCCTTTGGGATGGGTCCACAGAGTCTGTTATAGCTAACATTGAAAAACTGAAGACTAAGTTCGGTCCACTGAACCGGGATACTCCCTGTGATGCCATTGTGATTCAAGTCTAATCGATTAACTGTCTTAGAGATGTTGACCTTGGAGGTATCGAACTGGAACATGTTTCTCGATAAATCAATGCAAAATGTCGTTTTTTTGGCTCCAAACAACAGCGAAGCATCACCTTGGAGCTTGTTACGGGAGAAATCGATCCGGTTAAAGTCGAGATTGCCTAGTGATTTTGGTATCGAACCGGAGAGCTGGTTGTGTGATAGGAAAAGGTCAGGGACTTTTCCTTTAAACGACCCAAATGACTCTGGTATCGGACCTAATCAAAAGTTTCAAAATTCAAATTATAGTTTGGTAATAACATTAATCGATGAGTAATAGAGACAAAGAGAGAGAGAGTGACTCATCACCTGTAAGCTTGTTCCTGCTGAGTTCAAGAAACTCGAGTTTAGGTAACAAAGAGAGAGAAGCGGGTATGGAACCGGAAAGTTTATTGAAGGAAAGGTTTATGTAGTCGAGACTCTTGAGCTGACTCAGAAACTCTGGAACCGGCCCGGTCAGACTGTTCCAGCTGAGCCAGAGAAAACGGAGATACTTGAGCTTGGCGATGGTGGGTTGGATTTCGCCGGTGAGGTTAGGGAGTTTTCGGAAGATGAGGGTTTGCAGATAAGGTAAGTCGCCGACTTCAGGCGGGATCTGACCGGACGCCGGATCGTCTGATATGTCTAGGGAGGTGACGCGGCGGTTAACGGTGGCGTCGCCGCACTCAACGGAGACCCAAGAGCAGCAGTCCTCTTTGGGATCCCATGAGATGATGGTGTAAGGGTTGTTAAGGGATTTCTGGATCTTGAGGAGAGTTTTTTTGTCGTCTTTGTGACAGAGGTCTTTAGATAAAGAGGTTGTGAGGAAGAGCGTGAAAAAGAACAAGAAGCAGAGCAGTGTCGTGGTCTTATCCATAGTGTTTGTGTTTGTGTTTTGAGTTTGAGTTTAATGGAAACTATATGATGATATATAGTATGAATGGGTACTGTTTTTGTCAATTATTGTTGCTGACTAGACCCACGTGTTAAACAAGCTCCGTTGCGGATCTTTAGAATGTTCCCACTTTTTGAAATTTAAAATCTATAAGTTGTTAAGAAGAATAATTATCCACAGCATTCTACCATGTTCTCACCGTCTTACGATTACCGCCTTAGTCATTATTTTATTAATTTCCTTCTACTATATATAAGTGTGCTCCGTGATCTATTGTAACATAAGTTGAATAGAAAGAAAATATTGAATACTCTCTCCACCTCCATAAACAAAACCTAATCTCTCTCACCTTATCTCCCTCTCACAAAGAAACTCAACTTTATACTCTCTCTTTCCTTCACGTACGAAACCTATCTCATCTCCTTCTCTCATATACAGTTTTAGTTTATAGTTTATTTATAACAAAAGTTATCTTGTTTGTTTTCTCCCCGTAAAACAGTTCCGGACGGTGCTTGTGAACTTATGGTTCAATTTCCGGTCTGGTTCAATCGACTGGGTTTCTAAACCGGTACATATATTTGAGTTGAGAAAGTGACTGGGCCTTCATTAGTGAAGCCCAAAATGAGAGGTATAGAAAACGAGGCCTGAAATGTTGAGAGATCAAGCTTGGAGTTAGTTAGTTGCCGTTATAAACGAAAAAACAGAGGATAAGTCTCTGTCCTTCTTCTTCATCTCCTCTGTTCGTCCTCCATTTGTTGTGCCCTCTAGAGAGAAAGTCAAGATCACATCATATAAGATTGAATTACGAGTGCAGTATCTTCGCAAGGTTGAATCGAGACTGGTAATACATTTTTATTAATTAATCCGGATAATAATACATTTTGTCTATAATAGACTTAACCGGACTTTTCTTGGGAAACCTAGAGACAAACTCTTGGTTTACTTGCAACTATCAAGAGGTGCACCGCACAAACACTTGTTGTGAGCATAGACATAAGAATCAAACTTCTGAAGACTCCCTCCACTGGGGATTTGTCCACAGAGTCTGTTGTAGCTAACATCGAAGGACTGAAGAGGAGTTTCGGTCCACTGAACCGGAATATTCCCTGTGATTCCATTGTGATTCAAGTTCAAGGTACCAAGTGTCTTAGGGATCTCCACTTTGGAGAGATCGAACTGGAACATGTTTCTCGATAAATCAACGGACCATATCGTTTTGTTGGCTCCAAACAACATCGACGCATCACCTTGGAGCTTGTTCCGGGAGAAATCGATCCGGTTAAAATCGAGATTGCCTAGTGATTTGGGTATTGAACCGGAGAGCTGGTTGTGTGAAAGGTAAAGGTCAGGGACTCTTCCTATAAACGACCCAAATGACTCTGGTATTGGACCTAATTCAATTTAACAGTTTCTTGATCAGATTAAGAAAACGTGGAAGATAAGTAAAGAAAATGATGATTAAAAGAGAGTTTTTTTTTAACCTGTAAGTTTGTTTCTGCTGAGATCAAGAGAATAGAGATTAGGTAACAAAGAGAGAGAAGCTGGTATGGAGCCAGAGAGATCATTGAAGGAAAGGTCTAAGAACTGGAGATTCTTAAGCTGGCTGAGAAAATCAGGAACTGGACCGGTAAGATTCGTCCAGCTGAGCCTGAGGATCCGGAGTTTCTTGAGATTAGCGATGGTGGGTTGGATTTGACCGGTGAGATTAGTGAGTTTGCGGAAGATAAGTGTCTCCAGATACGGCAAGTCGCCGACTTCAGGCGGGATCTGACCGGATATCCCGCCGGAGAATATGGTTAGGGCGGGGACACGGTGGTTAACGGTGGCGTCGCCGCACTCGAGGCAGTACCATGAGCAACAGTCTGTTTCAGGTTGCCACGAGGCGAGGTGGTAGGGGTTGTTTAGGGATTTCTTGATTTTGAGGAGGGTATTTTTGTCATCTTTGTTACAGAGTGTTCCTTGAGATAATATGGTTGTGAGGAATGTGAACAAGAGCAGCGAGAAAAGCAATGTCCTTGTCTTATCCATGGTGTTTTGGTTGTTTGGTATCGATTTTGAGTTTTTATGGTGGATAGTGTGATTCATAATATACACTCATAGTCTTTGGAGAGATTTGTTTTGACTTGATCTCTCATCTGTCAATACATTGTACAGGGACCTTTGATAGTCAACACTCCAACATATGGTCAATATACTCGTCCCATACAAATCACAAACTAGATTTGATAATCAACAACATTTCTCAGACTTCTAAACCTTTTTTTAAAAAAGCTTCTTCTAAGGTTAACTTGATCAAATCGTGTTCCATTAGGTTTTGGCATCGTTATGCATTATTACAAGTATTCCAAATTGATGAACTGGATGGTGGGGATAAAATTTTCTACATAAATTAAGACATGATAATAATGTCATCATTACTAAGCATCTTTGGGAGTTGGGACTGCAAAAGTGTATACCACTAAAGTTTGATCCTTTACAACTTGATGAGTCGGTTCGTAGAGATTAGACTAGCCTTCATAATAGAAAAAGCAACTCCATTTTTATATAGTTCACACACCATGTAATTGCTAGAACCAACTGATGACTTTTTTGATAAAGAACCAATATAAGAACTTATTCCACCACCTTTTTTACTTTCTTTCTCTTCCTTTTGGGAGGTGTTGAATTCTATGCAGCCTAAATTTATCTTCAACAAGGTTCTTTGGAAATTGTGTAGACCTCATCTACAGTTTTATGTAAGAGTACATCAATTAGAAGAAAATTGACAACATTCTCATTTGCGATCTACGGATTACCTAAGATTAGTGGTTAATATTATCTTATCATTGCAATAAATACTTTGTTGTAATGATAACTTCTTTTCACCAATTAGGGGTTTTATATGATCTAGTGCGGATAATGAGGCAATGATGTTACTCAATCAAATAATAATCACTCCGTGGCCTGCCCTTTTGCTTTTCTTATTAAAAAGTTGCAGACTCAAAAAAGGTATTTTTTAGATGCTTATTCTAGCTATTCCGATCAGAGAGAATGAAACACTAAAGATAAATTATGCTCACAGTGAAAGTTGGAATTGCTGTGAATTCTAAAAAATTTACATTTACTTGTGTTAGAAGAACTCTAAGAAGCAGTAAAGATTTATTATGCTTGTACATTGTATGCATATACATTTGATTGCGCGAATAAGAACATGCAGGATTTTGCAAATACTTCAACGATACAATAAACTTCAAAAGTTATCTACCTGACGCTTTCATGATATCAATAACTTAACCTGATTTGTTGCGTTTCATCATTTTTTATGAGTGAAGACAAACATTTATTGCATTTCTCTCTAAATGTATGTTATGTTTTCTGCAAGACTAATTCAACATAAATGTTGATTTGAGCGTCTGAAAAGTGTGAGAGAATCTACTATTTTACCTTTTTCACTGCTGCGAGATTTCTTAATGTACATAAAGATATAAAGACCAACAAAGCATCTGCTTCCCTACTAAAGGAAAAAGAATCAGCTTCCCTCTAAAAGAAGGAGAAAAACTGAGAGGATAAGAGTAATTTTTCCTTCTTTCTTTCGGTTTTGCTTTTTCCTGTGTAATAAAATTGTTTCATCTTCGTTCTCTCTCTTTGTTGCGTTATCCTTCTTTGTATCAAACCAAAATTTGATTATTGCAAGACTCCTAACTTCTTAATCTTTATCTATTTCTCTGTTACAGACAAACAGAGAGTTCTATGGCAACATATTTGTTAAGGTACTACTTTGTAAACTCATCCTTCTTCACATATGTACTGTAAACACATCTGCAACATGCATCTTTGTATGTGCTTCATTAATATTTCATATGTTTTATTTTTTCTTATTTTACTGTTGGTTCATACAAAAATAGCTCTGTTATTCTCTTACCGTATAGATGATCTCTTAATTTGATTTTGTTTGCTATCATCTTTTGAAAGTTTATATATGTTTGTCTCCACTTTCAACTCCTTATTATTTCGTTTTGGTACTAATTAACTCTTCACTTACTTTTACTTTTCATGTACAAAAGGTGATCGAAGTTATTCTGTATTTTCTTCATGAAAACAGAACAAAGAGACAGAGGTACTTAGATTTGCGTCGACCACTTCAAGTAAGAATCTTATCAATTCTTTTGTTTGAGACTAAAATAGTTTTAATTAAGACTAGTTGAGAAGGTTTTCAACCAGTCCTAAAGAGATACAATAGTTTCTTTACATCCAAGAAACCTGGTTTTGTCTAATTATTATTTTTCCTGCAACTCTGCAATATTCTTAGATTCTGCTCATTCCTGCAATTTTCTGTTTTTTTTTTTTGCGTGTCAGGTGCTGAATTCAAGAATTTTTGAAAGCAAAGGATAATACTTTAGTTCAAGTAACCTAAAACCATGGCAGCCAAAGATGGAGCTAAGAGCCAAGAAGATTATAACCTTAAAGACATGAAACCAGACCTTGGAGAGAAATGGCCACATGGAGGACAACGTGGAGGAAGTGGATGGATCAGCAGCGAAAGAGTTGCAAGCACATACGACCTTGTTGAGCAAATGTTTTATCTCTATGTCCGTGTCGTCAAAGCCAAGGATCTTCCTCCAAACCCGGTCACTAGCAACTGCGACCCTTACGTGGAAGTGAAAATAGGAAACTACAAAGGGAAGACTAAGCATTTCGAAAAAAGAACAAACCCGGAGTGGAATCAAGTTTTCGCCTTCTCGAAAGACAAGATCCAGTCCTCTACAGTGGAAGTCTTTGTGCGCGATAAGGAGATGGTCACGAGAGATGAGTATATAGGGAAGGTTGTGTTTGATATGCATGAGATTCCTACAAGAGTTCCTCCTGATAGTCCACTTGCACCTCAATGGTACAGATTAGAAGCTCGACGTGGCGAAGCTAAGAAGAGAGGAGAGGTTATGGTAGCGGTTTGGCTTGGGACGCAAGCCGATGAAGCGTTTCCTGATGCTTGGCACTCAGATGCTTCCTCGGTACAAGGAGAAGGTGTTCAAAGCGTGAGGTCTAAAGTCTATGTATCTCCCAAACTATGGTATTTGCGGGTTAATGTGATCGAGGCGCAAGATGTTGAGTCTAGCGATAGGAGTCAACCTCCTCAAGCTTTCGTTAAGGTTCAAGTTGGGAATCAGATTCTGAAAACAAAGTTGTGCCCTAACAAGACAACAAGCCCGATGTGGAACGAAGATCTTGTTTTCGTAGCTGCGGAGCCATTTGAAGAACAGTTCTTCTTGACAGTCGAAAACAAGGTGTCAGCAGCTAAAGATGAAGTCTTGGGGAGGCTGATCTCACCTTTGACTGTGTTTGAGAAAAGATTGGATCACAGAGCTGTTCATTCCAAATGGTACAACCTAGAGAAATTTGGGTTTGGGGCATTGGAAGGAGACAAGAGACACGAGCTCAAGTTCTCGAGCCGCATTCACTTGAGAGTTTGCCTTGAAGGAGGCTACCATGTAATGGACGAATCAACTCTTTACATAAGTGACGTGAAGCCTACGGCAAGGCAGCTCTGGAAGCAACCTATTGGAATTCTTGAAGTAGGAATCTTGAGTGCTCAAGGACTTTCACCGATGAAAACAAAAGACGGTAAAGCGACAACAGATGCGTATTGTGTTGCCAAGTACGGACAAAAATGGGTGAGAACAAGAACCATCATCGAGAGCTCTAGCCCTAAATGGAATGAGCAATACACATGGGAAGTGTATGATCCTTGTACGGTCATTACACTTGGAGTTTTCGATAACTGTCACCTTGGTGGGAGCGAGAAATCAAACAATGGATCCAAAGTTGATGCAAGAATCGGGAAAGTAAGGATCCGGTTATCGACTCTAGAGGCTGATAGAATCTACACTCACTCTTACCCTCTTCTTGTTCTGCAAACAAAAGGGTTAAAGAAAATGGGAGAAGTACAATTAGCTGTGAGATTCACTTGTCTATCTCTGGCTCACATGATCTATCTTTATGGCCATCCTCTGCTTCCAAAGATGCATTATCTTCATCCATTTACTGTGAACCAACTAGACAGTCTTAGATACCAAGCGATGAGCATTGTCGCGGCGAGGTTATCCAGAGCAGAGCCTCCTTTGAGGAAAGAGATTGTAGAGTACATGCTTGATGTTGACTCGCACATGTGGAGCATGAGGAGGAGCAAGGCTAACTTCTTCAGGATAGTCTCTGTGTTTTCAGGCTTGATTGCTATGAGCAAATGGCTCGGAGACGTCTGCTACTGGAAGAATCCATTGACAACGATCCTGTTCCACATTCTCTTCTTCATACTGATTTGTTACCCGGAGCTGATACTCCCAACAGCGTTCCTCTACATGTTCTTGATAGGGCTCTGGAATTTCAGGTTCAGGCCGCGTCATCCTCCTCACATGGACACAAAGATCTCTTGGGCTGAAGCGGCTAGCCCCGACGAGCTAGATGAGGAGTTCGACACTTTCCCTACGTCAAAAGGACAAGATGTTGTGAAGATGAGGTATGATAGGTTGAGAAGCGTTGCCGGTCGGATCCAGATGGTTGTTGGAGACATTGCAACGCAAGGGGAGAGGTTTCAAGCACTGTTGAGTTGGAGAGATCCGCGTGCGACTTGCTTGTTTGTGATTCTTTGTCTTGCTGCAGCGATGATACTGTACGTGACGCCTTTCAAGATCGTAGCTCTTGTGGGTGGGATGTTCTGGATGAGGCATCCAAAGTTCAGAAGCAAGATGCCTTCTGCTCCAAGTAACTTCTTTAGGAAGTTGCCTTCGAAAGCAGATATCATGCTTTGATTAAACACCTTCTTCTCTGTTTGTAACTTGTAATTTTTTTTTTTTTTTTTTTTGTGGTGTGTTTATCTACTCTGTTTTTACTCCTTAATCACTATGACATTTTGGATTTTCGCACGTGTGAGTCTTATAATTATTTTGTATTATTATCCCTTTCTCATCTTTCTTTGTAATATATCCCTTTAATTGTTTTCTTGTTGGGCTTAGTTAGAATGGGCTGATTGTAAAATTTTCCTTTTTTAACTCACATAAATAAATGAAAAACCGACACGTGGCATAAAACCTCTCTACGTCAAAGCACTGAATGAAACGGTCAGACACACAGACCTGTGACCTGTCCTTCCCGTCAAGAATTTGTTTCACATGGCCCCGCAGCTCAATGCGCCTTGCTATATTACATACTTCTCATATAGCTCGAGTCCAATATTGTTTTTTTTGTGTTAAAAAATCCATATCATCGAATCGATCTCGTTTTCTGTGTTGTAATATATACGTTTTGTTTTGGGTTTGACCATAGTGTATAAAGTTCAAACTTGAGAAAATAAGAAAAAAAAAAGAAAAAAAAGGAAAAGTGGTGACAGCGAAGAATGAAAAAGGAAAGATGAGAAAGAGGCGTTGAACCCAAAGCACAATCGGTACAGATCCCAAATCCCTGACGCTCTTCTACAAAACTCACCATTTGTCACCTTCCTAACTGGTCAATGCTTTCTTTTGACCTAAAACCACCTCTTTATCTCTCCTCTCTTCTTGCATGCAATTGCAATTGTTGCCAGACTTCTCTTCTGTTCCCTTTCATTCTCTTTCACATTTTTAGAAAAAAACGAATAATGAAGATCATCAAGTCTAATTTTCCACATGCACAAGAGAAAGAATTGAAGGTATTGAATACTTGTCTACCATTTGCATCTTAAAACATAATTTTTAAGAATCATATTACAAAATAAGCCAAACAATATTCCCTAATTGTGGAGAGACGATATATAAAGATCGGTCAAGCTGGCTAACTAATCAAACTATTCTCTTGGGTTTTTTTTTTTCCACCAATCATCAGTGGTTTTGGTACTATCATCCGTCTTGGCGCGGACGAGCTAGCCAGAGAGAACTTAGAGCCTGAAGACGGTGAAAGTACTCCGCAACCGCTAGAAGACACCGTGCTTCTTGACGGGTCGTCAACAATTGGTTCAACCTATGGATCGTTTGATGCCTCAAATTATCCGCCTGCATGTAAGTATTGGAATGTTCGGTATGTCATTTCAAGAACTAAATTAGAGTGAAAATGGAGAAATAGTAATAGCAAACAAGAAAATATGGACAAAATTGCATTCTTGTTATTGACTAAGATTAACGAAAGTTTATCGAATATGGTCGACCATCACTAATCGTAGTATGAATTAATTAAAGACTAATTCGTTTTTCTTTTTTTGATTGGCGACTAATGCTGATTGTTCAACTTCAACATGTTGATCGAACAAAAAATCAAAGCTTGTTACTACAATAATAAGAACACGACACCAAATTGTCAAAAAGGTGAAACCGTGAATTCCATATCTCGGTCCCACGCCATGCTTCATGATAATTTTGATCACTAATTAGAATCCTACATAATCAACCTCTACTACAATTTTTATTAACAAATGACATAAAAAGAGTACCCGAAATTAAGTGCAGACAAAAAAAATTAAGTAAAGGAATTGTTCTCAAGAAAGTGTTTTGGGAGGATGGGATATTCGGGCAGTTACGTCCATGACATCATGGAACGATATGGGCTCCAAGGAATCCATGTGTTCCCTTTGATGTGATATATATGCACACACACACATATGTATAGTATATACATAATACATACATCCATGGTGGCAATAGTCACGTGTTTTTAGAAGTTTGAATCCACTATCCTTTTTTAGTAAACTAACCCCATATTTACCACCTCTGTCAAAGTTGGACCTTTCTCTGTTTGTTCTGTTTTTTCTTAAAGAAAACAACTAATTTTCTAATTGTGTATTTGGTGATGAAAGGTTGAAAGAGTGTAGTTGATATTAAGAAATTATTAAAATGCATGAATTTAAAACAATATTAGGCTATATCCCCATTTGCTTATAGAATATAGGCTAGTACATAAATACACAATCATATATAATTTGTTTCATAAACCTGCCTGTTCTAAACTAGCAAACGATTAAGAAATTATTATTAAATTTATAAACTTAGTCTTCTATGAAAAGCAACCCGACCAAGTTGATATAAGACAAGGGAAGCGTTTGTTAGATACCTACTTGCAAAATGTCGGATTCAAGAGGCTAAATACTCTTGATTCACTATACAGTATATTAATGCAATTAATAATTTTGCAAATTAGTTTTAACATTCTTTTATAGTTTTATACAAAACCCAACAACTATACATATTTTTATTACTATACTTATATCAAGAATGTCCTCTAACTAATTATATATGGCCGACGGTATATGCCTATATGTGAGTTGTACACAAACATACACATACATACAAACATCTATATAAATTTAGATAGCGTGTTATAACAACCAATATATATGATATATATTAGTGTTTTATAAGGAGTGGTTCAAAGAATCAAATATGTAGTCTTAGTCCGATTAGGACCACATCCCCTCGGGGTCTACTTAAATAGTCATATAATTTCACATAAAGTTTGAACTGAAAATTATAAAAAAAATAGATGGTACCTGAAGCACGAAACCCTCGAGAGCAGAGAGCTTGTTGAGAGCTAGGGACATGTGTGACATGAAATTTGATAGATGAGGAGGAAGTTGTGCTGAGGCTGGCGAGAGAGAGTCAGATACAATACTATCGGAAAGCGATTGGTTCAGTGCCTCAAGGCCCTGCGAGAGAGCCTCTTCGGCCTCTTGTGTGGACTGTTGCAGTCCACAAATCCCAACTATCTGTTGCTCAGTCAATGGTTCTATCTGGTTCACAATTACCTGCATGCATTTCAAATAGACCAATAAACAAAATTACAACTTGAGATAGAGAGGATTATAACAATGGTCTTAACGATTCATAAAGAACTTTGAATGCATTTATTGTTTAGTGTACTATGCACGGGTTACTAGCTACACCCAAAATCTCTTCTTTCCTTTTTGTTTTCACCAAAAAGGACATAAGATTGAGACATTGCCACAAGTCTTGTCATATATGCACACCATCTATAAAGAAATTTATAATATTAATCTTCAATCCTATTTACACGTAACATTTAGAATAAATTTTGAAAAGGGCATTACGGATTTATTTTAGAAAAAGTGGAATATGATAATCATCCAACTATATATTGTGCATCATATCCTAAGAAATTTAGATAATAACATGTATATGGGTCCGAAGCACAAATGTTTCTGTGCTGCTTTTATTTATTTTATTTTGTTTTGTTTATTATGTTAACTTCCATGGTGGTTTCTGTTTCTCTCTCTCTTCTATGGACCATAAATCGAAAAAACAGACAGGCACTTTCTTTTACATTATGCCAAAACCTAGCCTTTCTAGAAATACTTCACTATCACACAACTGCATGCATTATTTATTTGATTTTATATTAATTTTTATGTGTACCTTTAATACTCTCTTGATAAAAAGACATATGCATATGCACGTATATAGTTTGGTTTTATACACAGTTTAAAACATGCATTGTTATGTATGTATATACCTCGTCCAACTATATCACTATACTCTATGTCTTGTCTGTCTGATCTATTATTAACCATACCGTACCCTCTCCGAAGAGAATCAAAGACCAAACATTTTGAAAATAAATCAGGGAAAATCAAATTTTATTAATTGTATAAAGTTGGAAGTACTATATTATATTCCATGCACATGTACGATAAAATATAAGAAAATGTCACGATTTTAGTCAGTGTAATATGTCTTGCAAGTATAGCAATATAATAAAGTAAAAATCTATCAATAAAACATACTCACATACGTTAAAGAAAAGAAGAGATATGTACCTTAATGATCTCAGACGGACGGAAACCACCCATCCACAAAAAGCAACGCTCGGCTGGAGTTTTCCAAGCGCCAGAAATGAGGTGGAACACATCGGTCTTAGCCACCATGGCCTTGAGGTTAATCAAATGGTCATAGTGAGTTAGACAAGCGTCCACAAACATCCGAAGCTCGTTCTCGGCCAAATGCTCTTGCGTCGCCACCCTCAGTTCGGTTAACAGCCTCTGCTGCTCCTCCAGCCATCTCGAGTATTCCATATCGAACACCGCTGCTTCTGCTCCACATATTGCATTTACTCAAAATCTCATTTTTTCCGGTTTTCAATGGTTTTTGAACAACGACATCACATGTATATATTAGTATGAAACTGTAACGTACCAGAGCTGGTTTGGCCGGGACCAATGGGTAGTCCGCCTTGCTGTTGATCTCCTCCTGTAAAAGACCCTCCGAAGAATACGCCCTATAACCAAATTGGGTAATTTTTTGACTTTAGGTTAAATACATAAATAAATTTATATAAATATGTGAAAAGACAGATGAAAATGTTTACTTGGGATCTGGCCCGTTGAATCTCCTGTTCTAGTTGTGTCAGCTTAATCCTACATGACTCAAGTTGCTGAACATATGCCTGTCGTAGTTTACCAAAGTAAATGACGTTATAAATCTCATTCTTTAGATATTAATCTTTCTTTGCAATATACACATTATTAATACTTATAAAGTGTATATATATGCTGACCTTTTTTCGTAACCTGCTTTTTCGTGCCGCTTCTCTGTTCTGTGCTAGTCTTCTCAATGTCTGTTGAGAAAATTAATTATAAAACACGAGAAGAAAATATCAAACAAAAAGCTATTTTTTCTTATTTTAATTTCATTCATGCAAAGTCATCTCTATATGAAAATATTCACCTTGGGGTCAGATGTTTTTGGTATGTCATGGTCCGATGAGGCAGGACCCTTGCGGTTCCCTTCTTTCTGCCATAGCATTTCAAAATGACCCATTAACTTATAACACAAACTAAGTCAAGTCTGAAATTATATTTCATTTGATATATTAACAACGCCAACTAGATTATTTTAGAAGATAATAAATAGATAGAGACCTTGATGGATTTAGAAGGTTGAGGAAGTTGAAACTGAGAGTGATTGGTCAAGTCCATGGACGGCTCAGAAGATGGTCGAGTTGAACCACTAGGTGCAGCAGCCGAAACCAATCTTGTATTATCAATCTTACCAAACACATTTGAAACCAAAAAAATATAATCAAATCAGTATACTCTCATTAGAAAAATGAGAAACGTATAATAATTGGTCTGACTTGATATTATATGAAATAGCTAGTAGTTGCGCTGACATTATATTAAATTAGAAACAGAAACCAACTAAAATTGGCATATATAGAAGAAATATATAGTAATGATTACATTGGGTGTAGAAGAAGAAGAAGGTGGCTCTATGTGCATCGGCTGAGATGGGAAGATGTTGAGCGTCGATGTTGGAGGTCTCATCGCCAAATTCTCTGCCATAAGATTCATAGATGATGAGTCATGTGATGTGTGGAACTGGTCTGGTTATATATGTATATAAATAATCTGAGTGGACTAGTTCTAGTTTGAAAAAAAAAATGGAGAGAGAGAGAGAAGGGTTTTAAAGAAAAGTTTGAAGTTAAAAGAAATGGATTGAAAAATTTGATGTCTGAAAAGAGAGGATCTGGTCAAAGCTGAAAGTAGAGTACTGATGGCAGAAGAAAGATTGAAATCTGTTTGGCATGCTTTTGCTGTGACTCTCTCTCTCTCTCCTCAAGGGAATCTTCCTTATCTGCTAAAACAGAAACCAAACCCCAATTCCCAAAAAAGAAAGGAGAGAGAGAGGGAGAGAGAGAGAAAGAGAGCATACGGGTTGTGTGATGATGAGGTAAAGGAGAAGGAGCAGTTGTTGGAGGATCATGATGTCCTTGTCCATCAAGATAGAGGAAGAGTGATGGGTCTATCTCTCCAAGATCATACCCATCTTTGTTCCTGCAGAACATACACACACAAAAAAGCTCTTTACCTTTTTAGGGATCATCATAAATTTGAAAAGTTTTATGACTTCGTGGGTCTAAAGAAGTCTTAAATTACATGAAGTTTCCATGAGAAGACGTGGCGGAGGCTGATGATAACTGTTGATGATGATTCTGGTGATGACCTTGCATTAGATGATGATGATGGTTGAAGTCTATGGATGATGTTAGAGCGTGAGTGATAGCAACAGCAGAAATATGACGATGATGATCAAAGAGAGATTGATCTCTTATGTTGGTCTTCTCCTGAGGCAGCAGCGGATGATGATGACGGTGCTTTGATCACTAGATGATATCTTGTTAATTCTTCTCCTATATAACTATTATTTTTCTTTCTCTATATTCTTGGAAAGAGATAGAGATTATGTAACGGAGCATTTAAAGCTACTTTTGGTGTTTTCAGAGAGAGAGAGAGAGAAATAGAGAGAGAGGTCGGTTATGTTGAAGTGGAGAGGGTTCGAAACTTAAGAAAGATATTGGAGAAATGGAAGAAGATTAGAGAGGAGAAGCTAAAGACAAACTCCTTTTCCCACCTATTTTTCTGATTATTATTGTTTTGTTTTTGTATTTATAATTTGTAATGTTTCTTCTACCTTAAAATATTGGAAGACGACTTTGTTTTTTGTATAAACCCAAGAAAAATATTCTGAATAAGCGGTCAATAACATGTCCTTTTCCATCCCTCTCTCTTCTCTCTCTCTCTCTAGAAAAATGGCTGATAACAAACTAGTATAAATATTTTTTGTTTGTTTTCTTAAACTATTATTATATTCTGCTATTGTTCAACTGTATTCTTCAAAATAATAAAATTTTAATTTTCTTGTAAATTATAGGATATAGTTTTCAATTCCAGCAGATATCATATGATAAGAAACTTAATTTGAAGTTAAATGATCCTTCTTGTCTTACATTCGATAGATAAACCATGGCCAGTAAAAACCGGAGTAAATTGATCCGGTTTATGAGAAACCGGATTCGGTTTTCTGATTTGATTAACTGTGGATTTATTATGCGTTTCTCTTCGTGCTTGACGAGCAACTCAATCCAAACTCCTGAAGGAGCAAAACCTTGAAACTGAAAAGAATTTGGAGATATTTTCACCAGAAAGCGTGAAAGGAGGTTCCTGGCAAAAGAATGCAGACACAAGACGATGTTCGGAATCTTCCCATCGACATCACCTTCTCTCGTCTAGGAGGTAATGCAGAATGTCGATTACGAGTACATGGAAATCTATATACTTTTGGTTTTTGAGTGTTCTAACATTTGGGTATGAGTCTGCTTTCGAGATCCTAGTCTTAATTTGATTTCAATTTTGTTGGATTCGAAGAATGGTTGGTGGATCGGAAGAGAATTCCGGCGGATTGGAGGAAGAAGGTGGCGGCGATCAGAGTCAAAATCTTAAAAGAGTTCTCTTCTCTGCCTAAAGACATCGATCCTTACTTTCAAACGCTAGATCCTGAAGGTAAATTTTCTCTGAATACCCAAATTTGCCAAACTCATTTCTTATCAGTTGGCGATTTTTCAATACCCAAACTGAATTCAGCTTTGTTAACACTTTTTTAAGCTTAAATCGCTAGTCTTTGCTATTGAAAATGCCATTTGCATCTCTGTCAACACCTTAAGCTTGTGTGACCGTTATTTTGCTTCCAGTGATTGGTTACTTGGAGGTCAAAAAGATATATGAGATTCTCCTGAAGGCCACTCCGGAGAGCCGGAACATCTTCGGCCGTCTTTCGGGTGCTTCTGTAAGTAAACCTTTCTCTGTCTCGCACTTTTCTTGTGTTCGTTGCCCCATTGTACATTTTGTGATCTGTTGTTTTCATTTTGAAGGGCAACTGGGAAGCAATTGTTCGTGCGTTTGAGAAAGACCACATTTATCTCGGAGAGGCAGCTCAGATAATAATTCAGAATGTCAATTACGAAATGTAAGTTGGTTTCTTGCATGGCTCTACTTGATTCAGCAGAAAGATTTTACATTTAGCATTTTCCAATGATTTTCTTCTTCTTGCAAAACATGAAGCCCGTATCTGAAAAAGCAAGTGCAAAAGGTTCAGCAACAAATGTCGGAACTTGATCGTAAAGAAGCTGATATCAAAAGAAGCGTTACACTCTCAGCAACCAAATATGAGGAGGCTTGCCGAGAGCTTGGATTGCAGGTTTAGTTGTAAACTTGACTTGGTTTGATCCATTGGTTTTAGAAGCATCCACATAAAGTTTAAAAATTTCTTAAATATCAGGGAAACAATGTGAGGCGTGAACTTTTGGAGACTGCGAATTCGCTTCCTAGTACCTTTGCCAAGATTCTTGAAGTTATCAACAGTGACTCTGTATCAGGGGCAATGGAGTACTACTCCGCCTATGTTAAAGATGTTCATACTGAGAAAGATGTAAGACCTCTCTTAACTTTCTAATCCCTTGAAAATTTGTAGTTCGTTTGTCCTGGACATTGCGTTGACCTGCGTTTGATCTGTCTGCAGAAGCCTTCGAGGGTTGTCCTGCAAAACTTAAAAGACATTCGTGAAAATCCTCCGTCATTAAGTGTTTTGGGGGTCTCTGACGCTCTTGATGCTGATAATATTCAGTCATCTGAGAATGCAAATGGTACAGATGCGGCTGCAGACAGCATTGACTGGGACATTACACTTGACACTGCTGAGATAGATTGGGATGTTAGCATGGTAGAAGAAGTTGATAATGGAAACGACCTAGGTTCATATGAAATTGTGAATGCCAGTGATATTCCCGAGAATTCTGCATTTAAAGTGGAAGAAAGCCAAGGCCCTGAGGTCGATGTTTCTGAGATTTCTTGGGATGTAAGTGTTGAAACACCTCAGGTAGAAGAAATTGCTGAACCAGGGTTGGAGAATCAGACACAGTTGACAGATTGCACAACTCAAGTCGTAGGGAGTGGAGAAGAGAGGAGTCAGCTGTTGGAGACAGAGTATAGGAACAAGATCCTTGATGATTTGTATGAGGTACTCTTATCCCTGACAATTTAATGATCAGATTAATCATTGGGATACTTGTTGACCGCTAATAGACACGTGATATGGTTTCCTATAATGTGTCAGGTCAAGGCGTTTTTGAACCAGCGTTTGATAGAACTGAGAAACGAAGATACTCTGTCCTTGCAACACCATGTGCAAGCAGTTGCCCCCATGGTTCTTCAGCAGTATTCTCCTGAAACCATTGAGCCAATGGTGGTTGATATCTCCATGGCCATCTCATTGCTAACAAACAAGAAAACTCGGGATTTGATCATGATTCTCAACTCCAAAAGGTGCTTTAAGATAAGAATTTTTTTTTTGCCAGGGTATCACAGTGAGTATCATATCTTCTGATATATGTATTTTTGCCATACAGGTTCCTAGAGAGGCTTGTTTCAGAGTTGGAAGAGAAAAAGCACCGTGAAGTGAAGTTAAGAGAGGGCGTGAAAGATGTGGGAAGAAAACGCATGGAGCTTCAGAATTCACTCTCATCTATATGGCCAAAACAGGTAAGCAAGGTTTTACTTGTCTTTTGGTGGAAATGTGGATTTAATTTTTTTTCAGAAAATTGGAATCGGAAGGACGTAGCTAACAAATTCTGTTTATTTTTATCGCAGGAAGCTGCCCTTGCGAAAACAAGAACACTGAAGGATCTATGTGAGACAAGTCTCTCTTCCATATTTGACGGCAGACCTGTGAATATAAGAGGAGAGATCAATACATTGTTGAACGCTGGGGTTTCTTCTGCTTAGTTTGATCTCTAAGATTGGCTAGAAAACTTAGTTTCAGAACACCAACTGGCCCTTTTTCTTACAATAGGCTTTTGTCTTGTTTCACACTTTTTTTATTTCTATGATATTACGATAAAGAAACTTCCTTTTACAAAAGGCTAATTTTCATGATCATCATCATATGCTAAAAACTATTCTTTTGACAGTAAAGAATGTGTGTATGAAGAAGAGGTACAGAAAATGTTCAAGTGGAGGGGTGGCTCAAGGTGGGTGAGGAGATGAAGCGTGTGCGTGTTGAGCAGAAAGATTTACTGAAAGGGTCAACGTCGGTCTTGTCTGCTACAGTGCTGGCTTCATCGTTCTGCTTCTGTATCAGTGCAGTGAGTGCGTCCACTATTTCCGAAACAGCTGGTCTAAACTCCTTCTCTGCCTGCTTATGCATGAATTGATCAGTTGATGTATTTGTAATGATCCTGAGTGAAGAAGCTAAGCTATTGACAAGCAAAATACCTGAGTGCATAGAGAGATAATGTCTGCGTAGTGGGAGGCGACTCTTGAGGAGAATGTGCCGGCTATGCCTTGATCAATCATCTGTTCTAAGCTTCGCCTGTCATGAAGTCTGGTTGATGCCCATTTCACCAGCAGCTGGTCTCCTTGGGGTCGTGAGCTGCAACAGTAGTAGTATCCCCACAAAAATGAGTCAAAACGCTTTAGCTAATCTATTGCACCCACCAACAAGTATGTGAATTCCTGCTTGTGTACCTGTCAAATGCTTTCCTCCCTGTTAACAGTTCCAAGAGTAGCACGCCCAGTGCATAAGTGTCGCTCTTTGTGCCACTGCTTCCTGGTTGTCCATGTTCTGGTGCAATGTAGCCAGTGTTTTGGATTGCTATCTCTGAAGCCTGCTTGCAAGTCTCAACTCATTAGGTATCAATCAAAGAACTAAGCGATACAGCACATACTGTCTTTTACTTACCCGGAGTTTGACACTGTTGCTTGTAAGTGGCCTTAAACTAGCAAGCCCACAGTCAGCAATACGAGGTGTGAGTTCGTCGTCTAGCAAGATGTTTGTTGCTTTCAGATCGCTATGGGCGATAGGAGGGCAAAACGACGTGTGCAAATAGCTGAAAATTTTGATTCAGCAGATTAGGCAGAGCCAAAATGAATCCACAAGGATTGGGAATAAGCTGCTGTAGTAAGTTTGACAAGTTAGTATACTTACTCCAGAGCTCGGGCAACTCCGATAGCAATGCGGAGACGCAATCCCCAAGAAAGTGGCTTGTAGACCTCATCGTGCATGGCATTGTACAATGACAAATGCCCAACATACTCATAGACGAGAAGATGCTGCCCATTATCAATGCAGAAACCGAGAAGTGTCACAATGTTTGGGTGCTTTAGTTTGGAGGCTGTCTGAAGCACTTCAGTAAATTGTTCCTCTTCATTTAAAGACAGCGAAGACATTGGAATGTTTCTCACGGCGGCAAACTGTTCAAACAAGAAAAAGTAACATCAATGAATGAGAAACGAATGATGAAAAAAATTCTCATTTCGAAGTTTGAAAGAGAGAGAGAAGAGATATATACTTGACCATCAGGCAACTTTGCTCTGTAAACAGAACCAAGAGGACCCTCCCCAAGTAGGTTTTCCTCACTGAAACTGTTAGTTGCCAGTTGAAGCTCTGCAGCTGTGAAAAGCTTAGCGTACGCTGGATATTGGCATGTAACGGAGAAACTCTTTTTTCTTCTTGCTGATTTATCGATTCTGACAGGTGGAGGAGGTATATGTCTCAGAAGGGTAACTGGCGGTGGCTGGACCCTTTTCATTCGTTGGCCGTCTTCAGTTCCGACTAGAAATTCTGATACATTTGAAGGTAAGAAAATCAGTACTGAGAAATCAGAATGGCCATTGGTGACAATAAGTGGCGAGAAAAGCAGAGATCACCTTGGCCTGTACTGACTGGAAGAGAGTAGGCTGTGCTATTGTTGCTTCTCTGACTAGTAGAAAGGTTTTGTGTGCGTCGGTGACTCATTCGAACTGTGTAAAGTGCAAAGAAAGTTCCCAGCAGAGCCAATCCGCCAACCAGTAAAACGATACTCCCTGCTCCTATGCCTTTCTTCTTCTTTTTGACCACCTTTTGAGGTCTTGGAAAGTTCATAATGGCACTGGACTGAGTAGTTGGATAACCAGTAGCGTTTTGCATCATCGGTATGACGTCCAAAGGAAACTTCCACGGTTTATAGTTGGGCTCTACGTGGAACTTGTTTCCCCAAATCCTGCTCAGCAGAACACCATTGATTAGTATGAGTTTTAGGTGTCTGAGCTAATTTTTGAGTACAGGGAGTGTAACTCACCACAGATGAGGAATGGACTGAAAATGATTTGGGATAATACCACTAAACTGGTTATCTTCGATATTCCTGAAGACATGTGCAACAACCAAGTGTTTTGAGCTAAAAAAATGAAGGAATTTCAGTGAAATGCAAAATCAAAGTTCAAAGAGAGTTATTTACAGGTCAGTTAAAGGAAGATCCGTAAGATAGATGATTGAGCCTGTAAATTTGTTGTTCTGCAGGTACCTGCAGTTTTGTTATCACAGCAGAAAAACCATTATTAGGTTACACCCACGCTCACAAAGCAGATTGCAGATAAAATTCCGAGATACGTACAGTGAAGTCAGATTCAGTAGAGATCCAAAAGAGCTTGGTAAATCTCCCGTCAGGTTATTGAATGACAAATCCCTAACAAAGTCAAGATTATTTGAATATGAATGGATTGTCTTTTCATCAACATATCACGATGAAAGGCTAACAGAATCGAACTGAAGACTCACATTTCTTTAATCTGTAACCCAGAAAACACATTTCCAAGAGGTCCAGATAATGAGTTATGGCTCAGATTCCTAGAAAACAGAGGAAGTCATTACCTAACAAATCAGTAGAAAATGAAGGCAGTGTAGTGAATATACATTTGGAATACTTACAGGGAGAGGAGAGATGTCATAAGAGGCAAGGAAAAAGGGAGACCCTGGCTCAGATTGTTATAAGCCATGTTTCTGCCATCGACAAACAACGAACACACTCAGTGAATATGCACTGCCGAGTAAGCTTAAATGACGAATGCAGGTCTTAAGGTTAAACGCTTACAGATGGGTAACGTTTGGAGGCAAGCCAAATGGAATTTCACCTTGGAGGTTATTGAAGCTAACATCCCTGACACAAAGGAAGAATAGAGGCAATGATTCGGTCTCATGATGAAGTTAACAATCAAGAAGAGAAAAGTTTGCTTACATGTTCTTCAAATTGTGGAGATGTTGAAGCTGGTTTCCAAGGCTGCCCAGAAGCTTTAACCCTCTCAGTTGTCTGAGATAGAATGAATCAGATTTTAGTTCGAAACGCAACAAAAAAATTTGGATCAAAAACTGAGGAAAAGGGTTAACTTGGAAATTACAGGTCTACTATAGACGAGCCAGAGCAAGAAACTCCCATCCAAACTTCGCCGCATGGATCTCCTCCCTCCGATCTCCATCCTCTCAGCTGCTGTGGATTGTTCAGGGTTCTGTAGAGATCTTGAAGAGCCAAAACTAACACAGAAACACGAATAAAAATCAATTACATACGATCGAATACTAATCAGTCATTTTGTCGAACAGTAGGAGATCTAAATTCGCGATCAAACCGCAAGAAATTCCCAGCTAAGAATGTCACTGTTCCCAGAATACTAAACATATGATCGATCGGAAGTAAGCTCGTATTCACTACTCATGCTCCATTACATTCCCAGCTAATCAGTAACCCTTTCTAAAGAAGAGAAGAACGACGATCAAAAATCATCATTCCCAAACTGAAACAGTAGATGAGAATCTGGAAATTACCTTCGACGGGATCAGTATCAGTCTCAGCCAGCACAAACAGCATCACCGTGAGCACGATTGCAGCGAGGTATCGCAATTGCTGCGTCGTTGTCATCTCTAAGAGGGAGAAAGAAGAGAGATTGAGAGTCTGTGTGTGTACGGGATGGTGCTTAATTGCAGAAAACGAATACTTTTAAGCTCCGTCGAACGAAGAAAAGAAGATGAGAAAGAGAGAAGAAGAGTTTTGGAAATTTTCTCGCACTTTCTCTCGTTTCTGGGAAACGAAACAGAAAGAAAATCCGGAGGAGAGAAAGATCAACGAAGAGCTTTAGAGTGATGAGCAGAACGATAAATGGAACTCGACGCGCGAATATTCCACGTCAGCAAAAGCAGTTACGGACGTTGGAGTCAACTTTAGTCACACCGTAGTTACATTCGCGCCTCGCTTTGCCACGTGGCCGTATTTTTCACCTTCTTGCGAGTTGCGGAGTCGATTTTCAAAATTAACCTCTTATCCCATGATTAAATGTTCATCTTTATATGATTTATTATCAGTTGATTATGATAACATTTAAATACCTGGATAACCTTATTTTCTCTCTTCATCCAGTTAAATTTTTAATCTCACTAATTTTCCATGATGCTAAACTTCATATTCTTGCCTAGTTGAATGTTGCTCAATTTCTATTATTCTCGATTCTACCACAATTTTTATGAAAACCCTTCAGTAAATGTGTTCAGGCTTGGCGTAAAGTAACATTTTTCTCTCCAAAATTGCTATTGAACTAGCGAAAACGTACGTAACAAATCAGCTCATGAGGAAAACACAGTGGGGAGATTTAAAGTTACTGCTCCACAAACTTGTTTTCATCAAAGAGAACCAACTTGTATTACATAATCGAATCGCTTGCCAAATTCTATCTATTTGATGCATTCTTGTTCTACTCACAAAGAAGCTGTTTCTTCAACTCCTCAAAATGCTTAGGCCCATCCGGGTGACGATTTACAAACCTAGTCGCAAACGACTTCTCCGAGTACACAAGTATACTACTAATAGCAAGCTTTGGACCTGCCTTTCCTCGTGCTTGAAGCCAAGCAAACATTCCAAACCTGAGCTTCATCTTCTCAAGAGTGTATTTAAGACACGAAGGAAAAGCCACCAAAGCAGAAAGCGGATAGCCTAATTCCTCAACAAGGTACTTAACCTTCGTTTCAAGCACATCACTTGCCTGCGTGAGGACATCAGGAGATGCTCTCACCATATCTTTCACAACTTCCTCATCCAAACCCAAACTCACAAAGAAGCTAAACCTCTTACTCAGCTCAGATCCTCTGCCTCGGAAACTCTTGAGAGCTCTCTCCATCTCCTTTGAGTTTTCCTTGTATCCCAAATCCAACAAAAACTGTATCTTCATCGCTTTCGACTCTCTGAAGTCTACTCCCGAACCTGGCAGCGGCTGGACTTTTAACCCTATACTCCATTTCTTCATCTCCTCTGGGTTCTCTTGAATGACTTGACAAAGCCTCCTTTTCCCACATTTCAATATGTTAAGATACGTACTCGTTTGCTTCAAACGAGACGCACAAAGCCACCATGAGTGAACACGCAACACCTTGCCTATCTCAGCAGCCTCCATCTCAATCTCTTTCAAGAACAAGAAGCAATGCCTAAGATTCGATACACACTTCCCTAAACCAGGAACCTCCGGGAGTTTCTGAAACAACGAAGAGAGCTCACTTCTGGATGATGACCCTAGTTTTGTCTCAAATCCAGCTAGCATCAGTGTCCATTCCCCTGAACTCTCGAAAACCAGCCTCGGCTGCTTCTTCATTAACTCACGTAGCTCACTCTCATCCAAAAACACATCTCTAAGAAACCTTAAACACCTATGCATAGAGCTCCAGTCATAAGTTGCTTCCTCTGATAAGTTCTCTGCTACCCAATCAAAACCAAAACCTATAGTTCTCAACATCCCTATGACTTTAGCCATTTCAACATTCATATCCCCAATCAGGATACTAGGGCTACAAACGATAACTTTCGATAGAAACACTTTGCTAAACCCCAAATCCTCATAAGCCTGAATCTTTGCAGCTAAAACCCCAGTTTCGTACCCGAAAACCTCCCTAGCTTCTTTGAAGATCTTCCCCATCTTCTTCCTGTCGATTCCATAGTTCCAAAAGACATGGTAATTCTCAAGCAAAAAAGCATCTTCATTCAAAAACATCTTATCACAGGGAATCAGATGACTATACTCTGAAGGCTTCAATCCTAAACTCTCGAGGAACGGCTCGAATTCATTCACAGGGTTAAACAATAGAAACCTGGTGATGGATCTGACTAAATCATCACCAGCATCAGCATCAGCATCAGCATCAAAATCACCGTTTAGCTTCTTCAATAGATTATCATTAAAAAAGGGCGCATTTTTGCTCATACTCTCGGCGACCAGAAACTGCAATCCCCTGTTGTGATGGAAGTAATCAAACATCGCAACCTGGGCAACTTTCCGAATCTCATTTCGCGGTCTACCGCTCCGTTTCTCGCCGGAAACTTCTGCGTCGAGTGTTCTCCGAGTGGCGAAAGATCTAGAGTGTCCCGGAAGTTGGGGTTTAGAGAGGGTTTCTGCGGAAATTTGAGATACCCAATTGAAAAGAGATGTGAATCTAGGGTTTCGCAGAAGAGACATCATTATCTCTCCATCTTTTTCACCATTGGAACATTTGAGATCCTTATCAGCTGCGCCCTTGAACAAGGAGATGTTTATTTCGTGAGTGTTCTAATTTCTCAACACAGCAAAATATTGCGTCGATTTTTCAAATAAACTTTTAAAAATCTGAGCAATTCAAATATTACTAGATTAAGACCCGCGTATACGCGGGTTTATTTTAAGATTTTGTAATAAAATCATGGAAAAGTATTAAACCAAATTTGATCATTTTAAAGTAAACAGAATAATATTAAAAACCCGATAAAAATATTTAAATAAAATAAGATCGGTAACCTTTTTACGTTTTTATTGTAATTGATATTTTTTTGAATTCATGATATAAAAAATGAATTAATTTGTTTTATTTTTATTTTTATCCAATATAGAAAGACTTATATATGTCTAAATATGATCAACTGATTAATTAATTCAACAAAACTTTATTATTCCATTCAAGAGATTTCAATTGATGAAATCTTTATTTAATAATTTTTTACCTAACAATATTGAAAATATATTAAACTATTTAAAATTAGAATATCGGTTCATTATATTTTCTTAATATTAGTTAGTTGCTTGATAATTAATTTGTTAGTTTTCTATTTATATTGTTTCTTTCTCAATTTTGTTTTTGACTCAGACCATTATAAATTTTCATTTTCATTATTAGTTAGTTTTTTATTATCATTATTTTATTACACATATCGCAATTTTGTGAGTTATAAAAATCATACGTATTGCTATCATGTTGTTTGCTTTGATGAGTTTGTGAATGAGAAAAAAAAGACTACTTTAACTCTCTTTTTATAGGGGTTCATGTAACTTATTCCATGCAGTTATAGGAAATTTAGTTTACCTAACCTATTTCATGTACTAATAGGATTTTATTTATTTCATTAATTTGAATCTTATATGTGTTTGGATAATATAAATTTGATGAATGAGAAACCTTTTTCTATTAGGATATGACAAATATAATTTTTTTTTCTTTTAACTATAAAAGATTAACTAAACCTAACCTATTTCATGTACTAATAGGATTTTATTTATTTCATTAATTTGAATCTTATATGTGTTTGGATAATATAAATTTGATGAATGAGAAACCTTTTTCTATTAGGATATGACAAATATTTTTTTTTTCTTTTAACTATAAAAGATTAAAATTTCGTTTTTTTTTCCTTTATCTAATTTTTTTTAATTATTATTTTTTTTTTTTTCTAAGACACATGTCACGATCTTAACGGACATAACATTAAAAGTGACACATGTCGCAATCCTAAATTTTATAAAAATCCTACGTGTCGCAACCACGTGTGCGCATCCAGCTTTATATAATAAAATGTTCCAAAAATACCACACAAAACAAATATTTTCAAAAATACCACAAAAGTAATAGTTCCAAAATTACCACCAAAACTAATATTTCCAAAATACCACAAAATCTGTGCTGTCTATTGACTCTGCAATATTATCAAACGGGAGATCCAATTTATGTCCTAGAGTTATCAATCAATCAATGTTTAAACATGATAAAGAAACTCCTGATAGTAGATTATTAACGTACATTTACCTGCAATTCATGTTCTTGTCTCAAACAGAGAAAAAGTAAAAGTAAACATTCATTTCAGTACGAATAAAATATATCTTTACCTAAAGAAAAAATCAACATACAAGATGCTACAAAAACAGAGAGGCAAAATTAGTCTTGCTCATCACAAAGAAGCTGTTTCTTCAAACCCTCAAAATGCTTAGGCCCATCAGGATGGCGATTTACATAACATCTCTCAAAATCTTTGTGAGAGAGTGCGAGCAGAGTACTAACCGCAAGGTTGGGATCAACTTTCCCTCTAGCTTGAAGCCAAGCAAACATGCCAAACCTAATCTTCATCCTCACAAGAGTGAACTTCAAACACGAAGGAAAAGCCACCAAACTCGAAAGCGGATAACCTAATTCCTCAACAAGGTACTTAACCTTTGCTTCAAGCACATCACTCGCCTGTGTGAGTACATCAGGAGCTGCTTTCACCATCTCTTTCACATCTTCCTCACTCAATCCCAAACTCACAAGAACATCAAATCTCTCTCTCAGCTCGGATCCTCTGCCACGGAAACTCTTCACCGCTCTCTCCATTTCCTCTGTTTCCTCCTCGTATCCAAGTTCCAACAAAAACTGAGTCTTCATCTTCGAATCCACGTCTGCTACTGACGGTAACGGCTCGATTCTCGACCCTAACGTCCACTTCTTCATCTCTTCCGGGTTCTCTTTAACCACCTGACAAATCCGGTTTCCATGAGCCTTCAGATTCACAAACAAGCTACCGGTTTTCTTCAACTTACAAGAACCAAGCCACCATGAGTGACAACGGAAGATCTTACGTATCTCATCGTCTTCCATCTCTATCTCTTTCAGGAACAAGAAGCAACGCCTTAGATTCGTCACGCATTTCTCCACTTCAATCTGAGGGAAGTTGCGAAACAAGGAACAGAGCTCGCTTCTTGACGATCCAAGCTTCGTTTCGAATCCAGCAAGAATCATTGTCCATCTCCCTGACTCCTCAAAAACAAGTCTTGGATACTTCCTGATTAACCCACACAGCTCATCCTCATCGAGACAGATCTCTCTGAGAAAGCTTAAGACATTACTCACAGAGCTCCAATCATAAGAAGCCTCCTCTGACAAGTTCTCCATCACCCAATCAAGCTCAAACCCTAAAGACTTCAGCAACTCCAAGACCTTACCAAGCTCCACACTCGTATCCCCGATTAAGATACTCGGGCTACAAACGATTAGTTTCGATATCAACACTCTGTTAAACCCTAAATCCTCATAAGCTTTAATCTTCGAAGCTAAAACCCCTGTTCCATACCTAAAAACCTCCCTAGCTTCCTTGAAGATCTTCCCAATCTTCTTTGGGTCAATCCCACTGTAACACAGAACATGGTGGTTCTCAAGCAAGAAAGCGTCCTCTTTCAAGAAGAGCTTATCACAGGGAACAAGATCGTTGTACTCGGTGGGGTTTAGACCTGAGCTCTCGAGGAAAGGCTCGAATTCATTGACGGGTTGAAACCGTAGATGTCTGGTGATGGACTGGTTGATGTCGGAAACAGCAACGCAGTCCACTTTCTTCAGGAGATTATCGATGAAATTTGGACTGTTCTTGCTCATACTCTCCGCAACCATGTACTGCAAACCCCTAGTGGAATAGAAGTACTCCAACATCGCCTCCTCTGCCATTTTTCGGATCGTGGGAGTGATTCGGATCCCGTTTCGGGTCCTCCTCACACTCGATTCCTTCCTGGAAACTTGGGCGGTTGTGGCGAAATATCTAGGGTTTTGAATTCCGGGAATTAGGGGTTTAAAGGGGGTTTCTAGAGGAAGTTGTGATACCCATTTGAGAAGAGATGTGAATCTAGAGTTTCGCGTGAGCTTCATTGTCTGGTGCGCGATGTTAATGGACACATGTATAGCTGAGGAAAATTCAAAAGCTTTTACCTTTTGAATCTTTTACGAGTTTCGTCTGATTCGATTATGAAGCTCACGGAGCTGCTCAAGTCGCTGCAGTTGTTTTGCAATCGCCAGTGCCGGAGAAGAAGACAGGGGTTTTGCGTTCGTACTTCTCTGTTCTCTCATTCAGTTCTGTCTAATTACGGTTCGGTTTTCCTTTTGGTTTGGTTTTGAATCGGGTATGTTGGTTTCGTTGGGTTGACCCAAAACCCGGTCCAAATTTAAATTGACTGTGATTCTGAATAATTAGATGAGTTGGTTTACCTACACGTAGAATGTAGAGGCTCTTGCAACATGTGAGCTTAAATTGTTTTTTAGTCCACAGCTTAAACTGTTGAAATTTAACAATTATTGGAAAATAAAATTTCTCTCTTTTTATCCAATAATGTTTTATGATGTGTCTAACGATTTCTAGATCGATGTCGTGGTATACTTTGTACGTAGATAAATATAAAGCCATTATTAAAAAAAACTCATGATAGCTAGGAGAAACAAATATTATTGTTCTCAAATATAAAAAGTAATTGAATATTCAAAGTGAAAAATGAAAAAAGGCAAAAAAGAATAAAACGTGGGTTCCTCCTCATGCACAATGTTAAAAGTAGATTACTAATTTAAGAAGCTATATATCTCATTGTGTGAGTTTTTTTATGTAACAAATAATTAACTAAGAATAATCTCACACATCTATTAGTCTATGACCAAGACCCCATCACACACCACTTGCACACAATTAGTACCAGATTCTCTTCCCAAGTGTTAGTGTGTGTAGCACTTTGGACATTCTCTTGTCGCGACTCTCTCATAACTTTATACCACTTTGAATAGAGTAGCAACATGCTTTAGGCCTTTTCTACGTGGCCAATCTCTCAGTTATTCAACTTATCTTTGATTGGAATTGAGTGTCTCCATAACTTGTTAGCATCAGGGCTTCTGCGTCTTCTATCGAGAAAGGCGGGGGAGAGTGATCAGAGTCGGAGAGAGGCGATGATGCTTCAGCGTTTGGTTTCTTCAGAAGACTCTCTTTTGTTTTTTCTTGTTGTTCTATCATCATTTTCAATTGCTTCCCTTGTTCTTCGATTCTCAGTTGTAGATTTCGTTGAATCTGAAAAGTTAAAGGTAGATGAATTATATTCAGATAAGTGGCAAAAATGTTTGAAAGTAACAGTATGCATTTACCAGATAGGTAAATATTTACATTTTGTAACTTACCTCGAGTTGTTCATGAAGATGCCTCTGAACATCTAGTTGAAGCTGGAGTGCCTCTTTAATTTGCACTCCACTGCATCCACAAGGACCACAACATATTAATAAAAAAAAATCATTAACAGGTCATTATTTATAATTTTTTGAATAATGGTAATCGCATCTTGTTGTTATTGCTACGCTAAGCCATTGGGTCATTAACTTTGGATTTATGTTGGGGAAAATATATTAGTTTTGGCACAAAACAAAATAAGAAGGACAAACACGTACGTTCTTGTGTCAAGCTGAGACAGCTCTTTGGCACAAGCTCTCCTCTCAAACTTGCCTGCAACACAAAAATCTTTCGATTTCCATTATTCACAAACTCTCAATGTAATTTATCCACAAAAAGAAATAGTGACGAGATTTACTAGTGTACCTTCTTGAGAGTCAGGGATGTATTTCGCAATCCTATACTTCTGAAATTTAATTCAAAAATAGTATTGAATATATTCTTCTTTTTGAAAAAAATAAATAAATGGAAAGAGATAAGAATTCACTAAACCTGTAAGTGGCTTTTTACATGAAATATTGTGAGTCCTTCAGAATCCATCAGCTTCAGTATTGCCTTCGGCGTTGCCTCTGCAAAGTTTTCAACCACTGACACTTTTTAGTGACCCATGCACCAAATAAACAAGGACACTTTTTATCATTAAAACAAATATCAAATTACTTTTTCAAAGATATATACTTATATATCCAAAACTCCAAATAATGCACTATGCAGCATCTTTTCTTCGAAAGGAGAAACTTTTTAATCAACATATAGTATTGTAAGAGAGCGTTATAACTTCATATAAGATGACTTTTGACCTCATGTAATCATATTTTCTCAATCCTATGGTTATTCATGACCGTCCACGATTCATGCATATGTAATAGAACTTTTTTGGATAACCGAGAACTATATATGAACTATATGATCCAATCTCGTAATGGTTCTGACTTACTATCAGCACCACCAAGGCGATTTACGCACTCCACAAACTTCTCATGAAGATCTTGAGTCCATCTTATCCGGGTCTTGTTCCCGGTTACCGTCCCACAGTTGGGAGCCATGGACCCTCCATGGGTTGAGAATGAAGGAGGAGACGAAAATCTTGAATGAGTTTGTCTAGGTTGGTGATGCGATGATGAGAAATTCAGATGTGTTACATTAGAATTACTATATGTCCTCCTGCACAGTTCCTGTAAACCGTTGAGAAGATTTTTAAACCACCAAGTAGAATCATCATTGTTTTTTAATAAAAAAAAAAAGTAGAATCTTCATTGCTAACCAAAAAGAAAAAGAAAAATGAAGACAAAGAAAAAATCGACATACTTGTGGATCTTGACTTGCTTCAAAAGAAAGCGAGTATGAGGCTGATGAAGCAGCGAAATCGTTAGCGCATGATCTTTGATATAATGGCTTCATATATTGATCCGGAAGAGGTTGGATAGGAACCATTGATAGGGATTGGTCTGATGATGATGGATGATCCAAAGATTGATGATGGTACGGATGGAACGAGGAAGGGTAGGGCTTTGATGATGATGAACATTGTCCGGAGAAGGATTGACTGGTTGTGCAGTCGTATGGAGTAAAACCCGATAACGTTTCGGTACTCCATGGAGATGATTGATTGTAATGGATCATATTCACGTCTTGTAAATTAAACGGCTGGGGCGGTTGCGGCTGCGACTGTAGCTGGCTTCCCTGTGAAGCGTTTGAGAATTCAAAGTTGATGTTATCCATCAAAGAACAGACAAGAAAGACCCGAAATGCCCCTTTTGCATCAGAAACATATGATCTTGTTGAACGTTCAATGATATATTGAACGGAAGGGAAATAAATGTTTGAAGTTGAAAAAAAAAAATTCGATTAAACAAAAAATTGGAGGAATGACAATCGAAACGAAATCTAAAGAGTTTTGTTTTTTGGGATTTATGGAAATTCTTTACATTCCTTCAAAGTCTTCAGGTGCAAGAGGGATGAGTATTGATATAAGGCATTGCCTTATATCTTTTGATAATTCTCAAAATGGATAGGAGTGCGCATTTTTTAATTATCCAATGGCCATAATTGCAAAAGTCCAAAGTTCTTGTTTCAATAACTAGCTAATATTATAAGAAGTGATATAATTAAAATCCCACTTGTGTAGACCTTGTCTTCGTTCTTCTTCATTTGTCGAAACATTAAAAAAGAGTTTGTTCACAAAAATAGTAAGATCACACGGAAATTGATTATAGTATCCTTATTCGTTTTGAAACCCTAACTGATCCTGTTAAACCATGCATATAGATAATCAGTTAATGTTTATATATATGTATGTATGTTTGTCGGCAGTTAATATTGATGACATGAGATTATAAAAAGGTTTATACACATGTAAACATAACGGTGAAAGATAAGTTTTATTCTTTATTAAGAAAATGTTTTAGACACCTAGTTTGGATGTTTTTTTCTTGAATTGTCTTGAGAATAAGTTTAAAATATGGATAGAAAAGTTAAAGTTTTATTTGAAAGTCAAAATATACAATTTCATTTTTTTATTTTAATGTTTCGTATGAGGTTTTTGCTAGATATACGATGGACAAATTCTTTGAGAGATATCGTCATACCGATCGAGGTTTGAAACTTGAGATTAGAAACTGAGACAACCACATTTTTAGTTACAGCACACTAGACTTACTAATCTACGAATCTTATTATAAACTCAATGCCCAATCAGCGTTTGTCAAAATTATAAGGTTGATTGGGTTTCGTTTAAACTGACTGGACCACCGCAGATAAAATTAATACTAATAACTAAAAATTTATTTTGTTCTACCCAAGATATGGGGGAATATATTTACATGAGCATCTTTTCTTAATAATGTAATTATAATGACGATTCTCGCATAAATTTCATTCACTTTCTTTTTTGACGCGCACGAACTTGGTAGTCTAAAAAGACATATCGAATTATTCTGGATAGGATGAATAAAAATGACTCTCCATCTTCCAAAAGTTTTGTTTGGCCCAATGCAACTTCGTTATCCACCTTTCAGTTTTCTTTTTATTAATAACTGATTTGATGCGCCAATTACATTTCTATTGTAAAAGAAATTCATTGCAGAGATTCAAATTCCACTTCCAAAAGTTTGCTTAGAGGCAAACCACATTCCGCACCCAAAAGCAAATATATTAACAAAAACAATTTATAGGTAAGACCACACAAGGATAGAGGAGTATCGAATTCTATACTCTAGTTTAGTTTAAATATTTTCGAAATTATTTTTATTTGAATTGTATACATTCACTATTAGTTCACGCACTAGTTTGTCAACTAATGATCTAGTCAACATTAGTTGTTTCTTTCTTCCTGTGAACGCATTAATAAGGTGAAAGCGTTGTTTTTAGCCAAGGCAATCTGTGAATATATCTACAAGACAACATAATTTTGTCATGAACAATTTTGTATACGTAAATATTTACACTAGTGTGCACATACGTGACGTCGCAAATTTAAATGGCGACGTTTATTTTCCGTTTGTTCTTTTAACACAAAAATTTATTCTTAAAATAACTAATCCAACTTTTTAGATTTCAGTATGTGTTAATAATACGTCTCTCGTATGCTAAATTGGCTTAAGATTTCTAAGAAAGATGAAGTCGTTACCCAAAACCAGAAACAAAGAGAAGTTTGGTATTTGAAAAAAACAGAAGGTGGACCTCTAATTAATGGTTCAATTAAAAATAGAAAGCAACAGTGGAACAACTGTAAGATTCCCCCTACGTGTTAAAATAATGCCCAATGCTATTCTTACAAGTTGCACCCCCCACTTTTTTTTGTTAATTACATTTCTTCAGACAGGTCTTCGATTATTTTTACTTAATTTCGTTTTATAAGTATGGACTTTAGATTCGTCTTCTCCAGTCACATATGGCCCCCTGACGCGTGTCCACGTAACAAATATATGATATTTTTTAATTCGATATTTTTTGGTTTTAAATGTTCGACATCGAGGTGAATTTATTTATTTATTCCCGCTAGATAAACACTACTATTGTTAATTTGTCCTCTCGCCATAGACAAAATTCGGAGACTTTGTTAAAGGCAATATTCGAAGAAAATTGACCTAATTTGAAGTTCTCAAAATAAATTAAAGCTCTCCAGAAACTTTTAAATAAAAAAAGAATCGCGGGACCGATCTGCAGTCGGAACTAATAATAAAATAAACAGTACCCTAATAACCATATACAAAGTATTTGGTATACGTTCCGAATCTCCACGTATGAACAAATCACTCTCAAATCTAAAAAAGTCAAAATCTTCTCTTAAATACTAAAAAAAAAAATTTTCATCGATAGGGTTCATACATAATTTATATGTGGTTTTTGTAGCACACAGCTATGTATTTGTACACAGCTAGTTTTTTATGTTTTGTTTTATATATAAATTACTTAATTTGTGTTATTGGGATAATTCTTATTTCATATTTTTGTCTGACCATGTTTTCTTAAATTGTAGTAGACATATTCTAGTGAAATATTTTATAAACAAATCGGGCAGAACACTTGTGCTGCCTTGCAGGCTTTGCCTTAAGTGTGAATTGGTTGTTGTTACCGTTAGAGATTGATCCTTTATTTTGATGGCCTCAAAGACATTAAGCCCATATCACAAAAGTTTGCGTCTTCACCGTTGGTTCGTCACAAAAACTCGCTGGATTTTTATTCCTTTTTAGTTCTCTCTTCTCTGAGTATCAAAAAGTCGCGTCACCATAAAACTAACAAACATATCCTAACCTTTTCTATAAAACGCAGTTCGAGTCCTTAATTACTATCTTACTCAGATGCTACTCGGCTTTGTGCTACTCAGATAAAACTAGCATCACCAATACAAATTAAAGTTGGAGTCATCGTCTCTGAGGTGCATATACTATAGTCCTGGTTACTTAATTTGGTACCTATTTTATTTCGGTCAACACTACGTAACATTTGGTACCTTTTGGGTGTTTAGTTTATCCATGTTAAAAACTGTTATATATATATAAATATAAATTGTATGATACCGACAAAAGCTTCTTGTAGAAATTAGATTGAGAAAGATAGATATAAAACAAACAAGAGAATCCAAAATTTTTGAACTATAAGAAGCGGGGTTGTAGATTTTTTTTTTTTCAGGCAGTGTTGTTGATATTGGGATCCTAGGGATTTGTTTTTGGGCTTTAAAGCGGTCTACAGATTTCATGTGGTCTAAGATTCGCCCATCCACCTTTATCATACCTGTTTGAATCTATAGTGATTAAAGGTTTTGTTACTCGACATTAATTTGGTTATTCTTAATCAGTTTTCGTGAGAAATTAGCAAAGATGTGAAAATTGTAGTTGAAACATAGACAGTACAAAAGCAAATTGGATCAGTGTCAGAAGAGTAACATCAGTTACTTGAATCTAAAGTCACTTCTTCTGCTCCCTTTCAAATCTGAGATTTTCCTAGTATTCGGCAAACATGTCAGAATCAGTAGGGTCACACCATCCCGACCACAAATTAAAATCTCCAAAGTAGTGTGGCAATCCCTTTAAATACTCGAAAAGATAAAGACTATTTCAGTAATTCTACACCCTTCACAACCTTTAACTAGTATTAAAGCCCTTCCTAACCAAAGATTTCCTAACGTGAGAGAGAGAAAATGGCAGTGCCACTCAAATCAACATCTTCTTCTCAGTGTTCATCTTCATCTTCACCAACATCATGCTCCATGAAACTCAAAGCGTTAGTCCAAAACCTCATCTTCTCTCAAGTTTGTAGACTAATCCGCGAGATTTCTAGGGCTTCGTCCATTATTATTAGAGTCGTGAGGAAGAAGCAATACAATCTCTTGTCTTTATCTTCTTCATTCAATCCAAAGAGAGCCTCCAAGAAACAAAAGAATAATATATTCTTCGGCTCCTTCAGACTTCACTACAACTTTTGCTCCTCTCACGTAGTGCCTGTCTCTGCGCCAGTACGTCTCCCCGAGGAGCTCTACTTGGCCCATCTCCAATACGACTTTGCTTGGGAGTCAATGTCTTCGACTGAATCGGTGGATGTTCTCGATGAATTTCAAGAGCCGCCTCAGCTCTCTAGCTACCTAAGAGAGCTGGAGGAGAAAGTTAGAGACGAGAAAGAGGAAGGGAAAGAGACGGTGATGATGAATGAGATTGATAAACTGGCAGATCTGTTTATTGCAAATTGTCATGAGAAGTTCATGCTGGAGAAGGTTGATTCGTATAGGAGATTCCAAGAAATGCTGAAGACATGCAAGTGATGATGATGATTGGGTCCTTTGTATCTTTCATTTCTTTTTATGTTATCTCACTTTTCCCTTTTTTTTTTTTTTTTTTTTTTTGAATTCCTCATCAAGCTATTCGAATTATTTGGACATGTATTGAAGAACATATTTGTGTGGTGTTTGTTGTGTTACAAAATGTAATGATGATGGTGGTGTTTTTTTTATAAATTACAAGTAGCTGGAATAGACAGTCCAAAAACGAAAACCGAGAATGGTTGGTTTGATTGGTTTTCGTAATTTTGGCTTATTTGGTTTGTGTTCTTTTGCTACTACAATCTTGTGATGTTTGTTGTTTGCTTCTGATGTACTACTACCTAGGGGGGACCAAAATATTTTGGATTTGTATTGGTCTATGTTCCTATTTGATCTCTCTTGAAAATATTTGTTTTGTAAATTACATATCCAACGTCCTAAATTGTTGACAAAGACCCATTTTATCCATATCCGACTTTCTTTACGCCGGTATCAGTCTCCACCTGACCACGGTACCCGGTTATCTGATTATTTGGTTCCCTTAGCAGTCTTGGGCCTAACGGGCTAATAGGCCCAAACATTAATTAAACTAGAACGAGTCGGCTTTGTCTCTATATAATGAACTTGCTTTTCCGACCAAACTATTGTAGTTTTTTTTATTCTCTCTCTCTCCTGAAAACCCCCAACTTGAACTTCCAGTCCTTCGATCTTCTCTCTCTTTATCGGACGCTGTGCCCAGCCCAACACACACTTCACTTCCGATCTCTGTAGGAGCAAAAGAGAAAAATAAATAAAAACTTTTCCGTTTTGTCAAATCCTTTCAGTTTGTCGATAGGATTCCTACGAATCACCCTTCCATCGCTCGCACGTCGGAGATCCCATTGGCCCTTTCCTGCTTCTACGCTGGGTGTCAATTTTTGTTCTATTCGATTATCTTTGAGCATTGCTGTTGTGGCGACAGATTTCTCAATTTGGCGGTATGTTAATTTCTTCACCCCTTTAGTTTAGAACCAATCATAATTTCTACGTGTGCAGTGTAATTGCTTCTTTTGTTCATTGAGATATCTTTGAATTAATTGAGAATAGAAAGTGTTATGAATTGGTTCTCTTTGTTAGGGTTTAAGCCATCCTCTGCTTTGCACCAGGTTTCGTCTATAGATTGTTTGGTGATGTCTGTTTTTCTCTCAGTTTTGGAATATTCTCAATTTGGCTATTAAGTCTGTCAATTTGATAATTGCAAATGATTTGGTGAATATCTGCATTTAGCAGTCTGTCAAGTTAGTGATGATGATGTAAGCGTTTACCTACATGACAGTAAAAAGACTTGAAAAGGAGCAGTTTCATTTGGATGGCAATTGTGTTCTAAATTTCACCGTGCTATCAAGACGACACAGTGATATGGAAGCGCAGATTCATCTACTTGAGCAGGAAGCCTACTGTGCTGTCTTAAGGGCTTTTAAAGCGCAGTCTGATGCAATCTCTTGGGTAATTCTATTCTCTCCTTTGCCTTGAAAAGGTTATATTTTAACTCTACTGTCAAACATCATGAAAGGATTTGGGCTTGTATGATTGCTTTTTTGTAGGATAAAGAAACCATGATAACAGACCTACGTAGAGAACTGAGGGTATCTGATGATGAACACCGAGAACTGTTGAGCAGTGTCCATAACGACGACATCATCAAAAGGATAAGGTAACAAAGTCTTATTTCGCAACGACAACAAACTAACATTTTACAGTAGATTCCGCTGTATCGTTTTGTAATGATATTCTCTGTGAATGGAATTGGACCAACAGGGATTGGAGACAAGGAGGCGTAAACCAAGTTGCTAGGCATGGGAATAATCAGCCCCACGATGTTCTTCCTAGTCCTGCTTTATCAGCGTCTCGGAAGAAACAGAAGACGTTCCAATCCGTAAGACTTAACAGATGGTAATCTGTATGTTTATAGAGTTTTTTGGTTATTTCCTGATCAAATTGTTTGTGATATATGCATGCAGCATCCATCGATTGGTTCTACTAGAAACCGACATGTAGTGTCCGGTGCCGTATCAGCTAATGAACCTGCTGAAACTGTCATTGGGAGAAAAGTGTGGACAAAATGGCCTGAAGACAACAGCTTTTATGAAGCAGTAGTTACTCAATACAATGCAGCTGATGTAACTTCCACTAAGCTTGGTCAAAACTTAACCGGTTTTGTTCAGAGTATATGATTTATGCTATCTACTCACTCATTGCTTTCTCACCAGGGTCGCCATGCGTTGGTATATGATATAAACACAGCGAATGAAACATGGGAATGGGTGGATCTTAAAGAGGTAATCTTCAAGTGTATGATCCACTTACTATGTAATATTGAGTCCAACACTGCAGAGTCTTAAGGATGTTGTTATTTTATATGATTGTAGATTCAACCGGAAGATATAAGATGGGATGGAGAGGAGAATGGGGTGACTTTAAATGTAGGATATGGCGGTAGAGGGAGAGGTCCAATAACTCAATCAAGAAGGGAACATTTAGCTGCACAAAACGGTGGTGGGAGGAAGTTTCTTGATGAGATTGAGTTGTTCAACACAGAGTCACTTGTGAAGGAGGTAATGTATCTCTATCTCTGCATTCTGTGGAATTGATTTTTGTAACTTTTTTTTTTAGTTGATGCTTGATTTTCCCCATTAGGTGGAGAGAGTTTTTGATTCTAACCTTCCTGACCCGCATGAGCTTGAGAAGGCCAAGAAGCTACTCAAGGTTAGAGACACATAATAGTAACGCTTTGATTAGATATGGAATGATCAGAGAGAAATGGTTTAAGTGAAACTTTGGTGGTTTTATTGGATGATGCAGGAACATGAACAGGCGCTTATCTCTGCCATTGCAAGGCTTGCGGATGCTTCTGATTTCCAAAGCGGTACGATCCATTGTCTCTGATCTTATGCTATGCTTCAATCGCAAAGACCAGTTGTGTTATGTTTTGATCTTGGTTTTTGTTATGTGTTGCTGTTGAATCAGATGGAGAAGAAGCGTATTTGCATGAGCTTCCAATGCATGAAGGATGATAACAGTGGATAAAGAAACAGATTCACCATCAGCCTAAGCACACTCTTCTTATTAACTAAACAAACTGAAGAGATGAAAACATTTTTTTAGCTGGTTTTTAAAATGTATGAAAATAATCGTTTAGGAATTTCTTTTGTAAAACTCATTTTATTAGTTTACAAATATTCTTCATATTTTTCCAAACAAAATATAATTATTGACCGGATGTAAACGAAATAAATTTAAAAGGATATGAAACGAAAAGCGCAGAATAGAATAAAAAAAAAAGGAAAAAATAGTGAGATCTCATCTTTTCCTCGAACAACTACAACCTTGATTTCTAATTTTCTCTCCTCTCGTCTCTCACCAATACCCGATTTCGATTTCCCTTCTCCGATTCGCTCCGTTTAACCGATCTCAAGGGTTCGACATCGTTTGCTCCGTTCGCTTCTGTACTGAGACATGGATGCTCGGAAGAGAGGACGCCCTGAAGCTGCCTCATACAGCTCTAATGGCGGATTCAAGAGGTCTAAGCAAGGTTAGCTCTTTCGTTACCCACACAGCTTAGCCTTCTTCCTATTGTCTTTAATTGGGTTTTCCGAATTCTAAATCTTCACAACTGGAGAGAAATTTTGGGTATTAGTTAGCTTAGCTCAGGGTATAGTTTCAATTTTGTGCTCTGTCTTGTAGTTTATTAGTTCTACTTTTCACTGAAAACAGATAAAAGAGAAGGCTTTTCTCTGGTAAAGTGGTTTACTTTGGTTGTTCCTTTCTCATTTATGGTGTGCAAGGTTTCTTCCTTTGGTTCATTAGAGAGATTACTAGAAAACCAACCTTTTACCTTCTTTAGTCTAAAGTTTCCTTAATTGTTCAGTAGAATTGGTTCTACTGCTGTAGCTCTCAACTCTGGAGCCAATGAATGTGAAAACTTGTCTCTTTACTCTCCTTTTGGTTCTGCTATTTCTTGCCCTTCTCATGTTCACTGAGTTCGTATCCATTAGAATGTAAGCCACTTGCCTTTGTTACCAGTCAACATACTGGATCTGCTTGATTGATATTGATCTATGTCAAGTGTCAACTCAAGGAGGCGTTGAGTCCAGTTTAAACCCTGAAAAGCTTCGGCATTTCGGTCCCAACTTTCATATAGATCAAATGCATTAAAAGCAGATCTTCCTAGATGAGATTTGTTGAAATTTTTAACCAAGTAAAGAAGCACTTAATGTTTGCAACAGAGATGGAATCAAATTCAACTGGTTTAGGAAGCAAATCGAAGCCATGCACGAAATTTTTCAGGTTATAAATCATTTTAAATCTAAACTATTTAAGCTGATTCTGGAATTAACGAGTATAACTGTGCTAATCAAGTGGATAGTTGTTATTATACAGGTACGTAGCACCCTTCATCCTTAAAACCAGTTAAAAGAGTCAATTTTTCAAAAATGTGATTCCTCCTAACAAAGGATAAGCGTAAATGGAGTATAACTTTGGAACTGAACGCAATTGGTGAATATATTTTGTAAAAAATCCAACCAAAACTGTTGAAAAAAGTGTTTTTACTCTTTCTTCTTCCACTTGATGGTAAGGAATCTGTAGTTTTTACTATTCTGGGCCTGGGGTAAGATTCTTGCATTATCCTTATCCATGACTCAATCGTTTCTGAGCAATACGTTGGAATAGTCTCTGTTTTATTTTCTTTCATCATTTTTGTATTAAAGGTTATTACTTTAGAAGGTGGCAATAGTGCTATAAGTTTCATTATTTGTTCATGTGGTTAACTTGCTGATTCATTATTATGCTTTGTATTTTGCAGCACTTCTGGATGTCCGTTTGGTGATAACTGTCACTTCTTGCACTATGTACCTGGTGGCTACAATGCTGTAGCGCAGACGACAAATCTCGGACCACAGATTGCTCTAGCTTCCAGAAATATGCAAAACTCTGGTTCTGCTAGCAGATTCTCAGGGAGAGGAGATCCAAGATCAGGAGGCCCTGTTTCAAGCTTTGGTGCTTCCGCTTCTGCCAAGATCAGTGTGGATGCTTCATTAGCTGGTGCCGTGATTGGAAAAGGTGGAGTCAATTCCAAACAGATATGCCGTCAAACAGGGGTGAAGCTATCGATTCTAGATCACGAAAGAGACCCTAACTTGAAGAACATCGAGCTGGAAGGAACGTTTGAACAGATCAATGAAGCGAGTGGGATGGTGAGAGAGCTTATAGGGAGGCTTGGATCAGCTGCAGCTGCTGCTGCTGGGAGGAGGCCTCAAGGTGTTGGTGGCTTTGAAGGGAAACCATATCCAGGGAGCAACTACAAGACGAAGCTCTGTGGTAAATTTGCTGAAGGGAGCTGTTCATATGGAGATAGATGCCATTTTGCGCATGGTGAAGCCGAGCTTCGTAGGTCAGGAGGAATCGCTTAGTACCGTTCGTTGGTGGTCGTTAGACTCTGAGAAAAAGAAAATGACGTTTGTGCTTCGGTTCTGATCAAAGGCAATGTTAGTGTTCTGTTTTTTATTTCATCGATTTGTTTCATGATGTGAATTGGTTTGAAGGAGTGATGATGATAGTGAAACTTTAGATCAATCAATAGGCCTAATTTACCATCAAAGCCTAACACTTTGCACTCCTAAATTTAAAAACTTTAAACTTAAACTAAACTCTTTGCACACCCCAAAGCCTAACACGCGTCGACATTGAAACTTCTCTACGACTCTACTGCTCCGTACACGTGTTAGAACAGGAGCTGCAACACAAAGCCTACCACCTCTTGTTTTGTGACACGTCTCGCCGACGTGTTGCCAAGAACGTAATTAAATAATAGTCGCAGTTACCAATATAGTACCACGTGGCGAACGCGAAGCCTATTTTATGGGGACATATGCTCACCGAGCAAAGCATTGAAACAAAAATACGAAGAATCAAAATCATAACTCATAAGCTATCTTGTTTGTAACAACATCTTTGAATTTCAGCAGATTTGGACAAAATGCAGTCGATGAAGGAAACAGCTTCCAACATTGCAGCTTCTGCAAAGTCTGGCATGGACAAGACCAAAGCTACCTTGGAGGAAAAGGTAATATACTTATTAATTTATCAAATCATATAAATTGTTATTGTGATCTTGACTGATAAATGATGGTTTTGTTGGGTTTGTTTTTTCAAAAGGCGGAGCAGATGAGGACACGAGACCCTGTTCAGAAACAGATGGCCACACAGAAGAAAGAAGGGAGGATCAATCAAGCTGAGATGGAGAAGAGGGAAACGCGTGAGCACAACGCTGCCATGAAAGAAGCCAGTGGAGCTGGAACCGGAATCGGAACCGGGTTGGGATTGGGGTCGGCCACTCACTCGACCACTGGACACCTCGGACACGGCACTGGGACACACCAGATGTCGGCTTTGCCTGGTCACGGAACCGGACACCCAACAGGCCACGTTGTGGAGGGTACGACCCTGACCGAACCAATCGGAACGAACACTGGAACTGGACGTACCACCGCTCATAACAGCCGTGTCGGTGGTGGTGGTACCACTGGATATGGAACCGGTGGTGGATACACTGGATAAGGCGTGTTTCTTATTTGCTTGTCAGTTCGAAGTTTCTTTGCTTTCGTGTGTTTGTGTGTGTTGTTTTTTCAAGTCCTTCCTTTGTTCTGCTTCTAAATAACCGTAGGACTTTGATTTCGTCTGTTTTCTTTTAAACTGATGACAGTTCTTGTTTCTGAGTGCTTTGTGTTATCTCTATATATTAAAAACTGAAACTTTTGACTGAAAGGAAGCTGGATTTGCCTCTATGTTCGACAAAATCAAAAATTTATGTGTTTTGAATTGTTAAAAAAGAAAAAGAAAAATACATATAATGCTGAATACCGTTGTAAGTGTTTTTAAACTTTAATTCTCGAGTGGTTAACAAAAAAGTAATTAATATAGAAGTGTATTTAGCAGGAGAAACGCGTTTTCAAACTTTTACTTCTAAAGTAACAAATGGACAAGAAAAATATGACGGGAGATACTTGGAATACGTACAAAATTACGTCAATAGTTTTTGATTCCCCCATTCATTACGTGAAAGATGAAAATGAAAAGCTAACGAAAAAACAAATTTTATTCAATTTATGTACTCAACTTTAATTAAAACAAATCATATTTTTCACACTTTGCTTCAACTACTCTCTCACTCTCTTTCTAGAGACCAAAGAAAGTCTTTCCTTTTTTTCTCCAAAATCTCTCAGTTCTAAAAGGAAAAGAAAAAGAAAAGAAATAAACTTTAGCTTGCTTTTCGCAATCTCCGATTTTGCCTTTTGTTCAAGCTTCTTCCCGATTCGTTGCTCGTTTTCCTCTCACCTGTTTCTGCTTCGATCCACCACATAATTTTTGCATCTTCTGATTCTCCACCACCAACAAATCAGGAAAACCCCTCTTCTCTCTCTCCGGCGGGTCTCCGGCGACCTAAAAGAGGTGTTCTCCGGGAGAGGGGGCAAATGAGGGATGTTCTCCTGGCTGACGAGAATGGCGCTTTTCTGTTTGCGACCGATGCGGCGGTACGGGCGTATGAACAGGGATGATGATGGCAACAACGACGATCATGACGACACCGACGGCGGTGATACCTCCGCTGACTCTCTCCTCTGGTCTAGGGAACTCGAGAGGCATTCCTTCGGCGATTTCTCCATGTCCGTCGTGCAAGCTAACGAGGTCCTCGAGGATCACAGCCAAGTAGAGACCGGTAACGGCGCCGTCTTCGTCGGTGTTTACGATGGCCATGGCGGTCCCGAAGCTTCTAGATACATCTCCGATCATCTCTTTTCCCATTTGATGAGTTAGTCTCTTCTCTCCTTTCTTAATCCTCTGCTTGCTTCAAGTCAACACAGTCCTCTGTGAAATCGATTGACTCGCTTCTCTTTGGAACTCAATCTGTGTGTTTACTTTCCTGATTTGCTCACGATTGATCGGAAATTTGGTCAGGAATTGCAATTGATGGCTGTAGAATCAGTATTGACTCTGATGAACAGTGGACTGAATCTTGACTTTTGTCAACTTGAGCTTACTAATTTGTATATGAAGATTGATAATCATCCTTGACTTGGTCTCTCTATTTGGTCGTTTCTGGTTCATTGGCTGCTTCTTGATTAAAAGTTTCCGTTTTTTAGGAGTGTCGAGAGAGAAGGGAGTCATTTCAGAGGAGACTCTGAGAGCTGCATTTGCTGCAACTGAGGAAGCGTTTCTCACGCTTGTGCGGAGGACTTGTGATCTAAAACCGTTGATTGCTGCCGTTGGATCTTGCTGCTTGGTGGGAGTTATCTGGAAAGGGACCTTGCTTATCGCCAACGTTGGAGATTCTCGTGCTGTGCTCGGCTCCATGGGTAGTAATGATAACAACAGGTCAAACAAGATTGTAGCTGAGCAGTTGACAAGTGATCACAATGCTGCTTTGGAAGAAGTTAGAGAAGAGGTTAGGTCGTTGCATCCGGACGATTCACAGATCGTTGTCCTCAAACATGGTGTGTGGCGCATCAAAGGCATCATTCAGGTTTGCTTTACATCCTTCAGCAGAGATCCATAGTGTCTTCTTTGGCTTATCAAAACATGAAACGATGATGTTATGTTTTCATTTTGTGAAGGTATCTAGATCGATCGGGGATGCGTACTTGAAGCGTCCAGAGTTCTCTCTTGACCCTTCGTTTCCTCGGTTCCATATCCCTGAGCGGCTGCAGAGACCGGTTCTATCAGCAGAGCCATGTGTCTACACAAGAGTCTTGCAAACAAGCGACAAGTTTGTGATATTCGCATCAGATGGACTCTGGGAACAAATGAGCAACCAGCAAGCTGTAGAGATAGTGAACAAACATCCTCGTCCTGTACGTGCCTTTAAAGAGATTCGTAATCATAATCATAAATGTTTGAAAATTTGGTTGTCACTGATTGTAAATTGTTGGAAAAAACAACAGGGGATAGCGAGAAGGCTGGTGAGAAGAGCGATGAGCATAGCAGCGAAAAAGAGAGAGATGAGGTATGATGATTTGAAGAAAGTGGAGAGAGGAGTGAGGAGATTCTTTCACGATGATATAACGGTGGTTGTGGTGTTCATAGACAATGAGCTTCTTATGGTGGAGAAAGCCACTGTTCCTGAATTGTCCATTAAAGGTTTTTCTCATACAGTTGGTCCTTCCAAGTTCAGTATCTTCTTCTCTTAAAGAAAGTTTTTTACATTTTATTATTTTACTACTCTTAGAAGAGAGATATATTTGATAATCAAAGACAGAACACGGATGATGTTGCGGAATTGAAAACTTTATATAGGATCGGTTTTGTATCAATAGTTACAAAAATTGCAGGTATATCCTTTCAACTGTCCACTTTGTATGAGAATAATTTTCAAATATCTTCCATTTGCAATTCTTATTCTTATTAGAAGCTCTCATTCGTAATCCCATGTAAATTGTAACCATGGAAGATGAAAAAAAAACCGAACAAACGGTTTGAAATATATTATACTGTAATAATGTATATAAACAAGCTTCGTAGTGGTTATAAGTCAAACTTTATACATTGAAACCAAGAGGGAACACAATTAGAACCTTCTGAAGAACACACATAAACATAAGATTAATATTATCGGCCAATAAGCTCGGTGACGGTGAGCGCATTGATCTGACTCCCGGTAAGAGAAGAGTCAACGTCGCTAAACGATAGAGGCATAGCAGGCCACACGAAAGCAGGTCTCTCTGTAGGCACATCGGGTGGGCTGGTCTCACCTGTCAAGACACTCAAGACAGTTTTCATGGACGGTCTTTGGTTCGGATTCGGATGGCAACAAGCTAGCCCTAGGAGCAAAACGGTTTTCATCTCTTTTTCATCAAACAAACTTGCCATTCCTGGATCCGCTGCCTCCATGATGGTTTCATTTCTGTGTAGCTCCCATAGCCAATTCACAATGCTGTTGCTGTAACTGCTCTCGTCCTCCTTGACCAAGACATAACTAGGTTTCTTCCCCGAGACTACTTCAAGCATTAGGACACCAAACGCGTACACGTCCGTTTCAACCGTAGCTCGACCGTTGAGAAAAGTCTCTGGAGCCATATACCCTGGTGTTCCAGCGATCGCCTTTGTCGAATGGTGTGTCATTTCGCTTTGCTGAATCATCCTCGCAAGCCCAAAGTCGCCTAGTTTCGCGTTGAAGTCCGAGTCCAGCATCACGTTGCTCGCTTTGATGTCTCTGTGAAGTATCCTCTTGTCGCATCCGTTGTGAAGATACTCCACAGCTTGAGATAGCCCTTTGATAATGTTCTTCCTTGTCTCCCACGTTAGGTTTGATCTTGACATATCTTGCAAAGAAAGATATCTGTCTAGGCTTCCTTTAGGCATATAATCGTAAACCAAGAGATACTCCTTTCTCTCGTAGCACCATCCCAATAACTTCACCAGGTTCCTGTGATTCAGATTACCGATCGTTGTGATCTCTGATATGAACTCTTGCTTCCCTTGACGCGATTTCTCGGAAACTCGTTTCACGGCTATGTCTCTACCTTCCCATTTACCCTTAAACACTGTCCCAAACCCGCCTTGTCCGAGTTTGTTCTCTGGACTGAAGTTTCCTGTTGCTCTCTTCAGCTCTCTCAGCTTGAACTTCTGTGGGTTTGCTGCGCAATTATCTAGCTCCGCTTCTATATCAGGGTTTGTTTCCCCAGCCTTTGACTTAGATCTCACGTACAATGCCCCCAAGAAAGCTCCTATTACAACACACACAACAGGGATAGTGATCCAGAGCCATAACATGTTTCCATCTCCATCTCCATCTCCATCTCTATCTCCATCTCCATCGACGACCTCGACCGCGACCTCTAAACCTTCAAACCTCCATGATTTGACACAGTTCAGCTCCGTGAATTCGCCTGTCGAAGCCGTGAATCCAACATAAACCGTCTCTGGAAGATAGGCTGAGAGATCTATAGCCCTAGAAAATACGAAGTTCCTCTGTTCGTAAACGTCCTCCAAGTTTCTTGAGACATAAACCGATAGATTTGTACCATCGTACCGCACTTGTGCAGTCAAGTCAACTCCGGAACTGATCGTGATCCCTCGACTAGTCAAGGATTCTTGAACAACGGAATCGATGCTGTTCACATTCAGACCTACATGGTTAGAATCAAGATCACCAGGATGGCTCATTCTTGTGTCGAACTCAACAGCAACAATTTTGGACTCGAGAGTCCTGTTTGTCTCTGCGTTGACAATTCCGAGCCACATACCCGAGCTGTTCTGAGGAGCGGCCGTATCGTTTGTGAGAACAAAGGCTAGGCCTTCGCCTCCAGGATCGGTTTGGTTCAAGATGTTGATAACGAAAGTGGTGTTGAAAGTAGATTTATTGTGTTTGCTCCATAGCTTGAAAGGCTTGTCGTACAGCGCTCGGCCCGCTATGTTCTTGATAGATTTTCCTACAACATCAGGAGTCACTTGAATCGCTCCAAAAACAATATAAGATCTGTCTCGGATCAAGTCCGAATCATTGCTCTCCGTAAAGTTAGGGAAATTGAACTCTAAGCACTTCACTTGTGTTTGGATATTACAAGCTATAGTTAGAATCAAGAACAGGAGCTTGCACCACGCTAGAGAAATTTTCATTTTTGTGTTGGTCTTTAAAGTTATAGAGCAGCTCCTAGAGATGACAAGAAATAATATTTTAGATGATCGATTTTGTGTGGGTTTGGACTTTGGAATATCAAAAAGGGATTCATCCTCAAGCACCTCTACTTTCCTCGAAAATTCGAGTCATAGATTTGGTTTTAACTTTTCAACAATAGGATAAAAGGGAAAACGTATTTGAGCACAATATTGCTTAGTCGCCTTTTGGCAATATGGAGTACGGCAAGAAAGAGTTGACCTGTCACTGTCTTTAATGGGTTATTGGTTTATTTAGTTTTTCAACTTTTATTTATCGTTGAACTAGTAAATAATGTGCAATTGGATTAGTATTAAGTTGGAATCTATCAGAGATTTTGACTAATTTTCAAGGACTTTTCTAAATCTTAGACGTGACCTTTACTAATTTGGAAAATCTTATCGAGATCTTGAGATATATAAAATGACTTTCCAGATATTTTCCCCCAAAAAATCTTATCTAAATGAAAAGCTGGAACAAAAAAACAAGATTTAGGTAAAAAAGGAAGCAATTGACCAAATAAGTTTCCACAAGATATTTATCTAATCTTTCCTGATAACCAAGAAAAGCTGAATAATACTCATAGACCAAAATGTATAATGATTGCAAAAAGGGATAAATGAAGTACTACAGGCAACGAGCGAGACAGATTGTATAATAAAGTACAAGAAAAGACAAGACATGACATGAGCCTTGGACTCGTAAGCAAACACCTCAAAGGTTACAATCTTTGCTGCATATTCCTTCACAAGAATGATCGTCTTAACTCCAACGAGTCCAACCACAAGTTACAGTTCCAAAGCTTTACCATTCTGATCGGCTATAACTGCAGCCTGAATGTCTGCCATATATACGACGAAACAAGAAATGAAACATTTAGCTTTAGAACATCTCAAGAAAAGAAGCGAGCCGGTACGTACAACTTACTTGTCCTCGGCTCGGAATCTCTTGTTTGGCTCCTTGTTCTCGTTCTCTCGGATCCTTTTGGAAGAGATAGTATCATAAGCCAGATTTTGTGCTGCTGGTGGCACAGTCCATCTTGGAACACTGATTTGCTGAGAACCTGTTTGCGCTGCTGCTCGAAAGTTGATTCCAGGTTGTTGTGGTCCTGAGAATGGTGGGGAAGTTCTTGGCAGATGTGCACAAGAACACCTTGGAAAGCCCACTGCTTCGGAAGGGTGACCAGCACCACCTTGATTATCAAACAAGACTCCAGGATCACCATGATTTTCATTACACTTAGACTTGATCACTTTAGAGATGAGTGCACCATGTGTAGGATCATCTATAACAAAATGGAAAGATATTCACTAGTCAAATAAAAGTGAATATATACAAAGAAAAAATAAAAGAAAAAGAAAAATGAACACGTCCTTTATTCTTGTTCATTTGTGCAAGTGGTTACCTAAGAAGGAGAGGATAGCTATACGTGCAGCTCGTTTCTCAGCTTCCTTCTTGCTCTTACTTGCAGAACCTTTATAGTGAAAACCATTTACTACCAAAGAGGAAGCAAATAGAGGAGGGCCAGGAGGCATTCCATCAACTTGAACCGTCTCGTACACGTATTTTATCTTTAACTTGCCAAGAAAATCGTCCATTATCATCTTGCAGTGTGTTTTGTCCTGAATGATGAGCTGCAGAAGAAGATCAAATTAAAAACCAACAGGTGAAAGAATAAATATTCTCTCAGCTAATCATTCCATATTGTAAAGTATTACGTCACGTAACCTAGAATTCATTATTTTTTAAGAATAAGAAAACTATTATGCATTCATTAAAGATGTCCACCATATGTAAACAGCCTCAGAGATGAATCAAACATATCTTAACAGCGATTAAACATCAAGTATTTCTGAGTATATATATATATATATATGTCTTAAATGTCTTAAATGCTATCATATAATTCCCATTTACTCCTACTCACAAATAGATGCACAAATGTACAAAAAGGAGATTACAAACCTGGCGGAGATGCACGCGTAGATTTGTAGCATTAGCTTCATCCTCCTTTAGTAGACATTCTAATGCAATCTTAGCAACATCTTGCTCTGCAGGTTTCCGGTTCGAAAATGTGTTTTGGGAAGTAAAGATACTTTTACCAACACAAACAGAGGCTTTGAATCTCGGAGCGTGAGCATAACCTTGAACTTCAGTCTGATACGCTGGGAGTGGCATGCCTAACCTCTGACAGTAAGTTTGTAAGTCATTCTTATGCATCAAGGTCTCCACAACCCCTGAAAACAACGAAGAAGCATTAGGGCAAAGTAAAGTAAAGCCTGATGAAACAGTGATGAACAAGGCAAATTAAATCAAGAAGAAACGTATTGTTTAATAGTCGATACAACTATATTAACACTTGGCCTGATGAGAAACCCTAATTTCTTAATTATCCATTAGATCTAGCTCTCAGGGATCAAGATTCTCCTAACGAAATTAATTCCACTACGTAATCATTACCGATAATGTGACATTGAGATATGTCCACAGAGGAATAATAAAGTCCTATTGAGAGGATAATGGCAATACACTATACCGGTAGGAGGAGCGGACGTCGATGACTGTGAATTGAGATATTCATCGCCCGACCGTGAGGGAGATTGCGACGGAGTTAGAGTTGCGTTTACCATTGCTCTACAAGTGCTTCTGGCTGAGGTTGAAAAGGTTTCTGTCTGCACATGAATATAAATACCTGAACAGGTCAACAGCTTAATTACATTTCCAAACAAAAAAGACAAAGATGCATTGCACTTCGGTCAAAACGGAAGAATAAAATTTGAACGTCATAAATGTGTATCTCTCACTACAAAATGAAAAAGGAAACAACATGAATTTGTTTCCTTAGGGGAAATGTATCCGAAGAAAACTAGCGGGGGGGAATATTGTAGCCAACTAACCTTATTATATTTGGTCAAACAACAAAAAAACTAACCTTATTATACACCTTAATCGATCACAATACCACAATTCTTTTTTTCTCTTCTCTTCTAATTTCTTCTTTGTAACGTGGTTTGTCTCCTCCCTCTCATCAATTGTTTTCATTTGTAATTCTATAGAAACGCATTATTCAAATCAGTTATCCTTATTACAGAAATTTGTATCCATTTTAAAATGTTGGCATATATTATAGTTTGGAGTTTAAAGCTTATTATTTTTGAGCTATAGTCTATTTACTAAACACTGCAGGTTTGAATCTTTTGATCACTAAGGTTATTCCGTTAAAATATTGTGATATCTTTGTGACGTTTCCTTTTCATCTTTTTAGTTTGTCTTTTACACGTTTTGGCTTATTCTAGAAACCTACAATTTTAATAAGTAGACATGCTTATTTAACGTGAATATTCGGCGCGTGGTCCAGTGGGTTTATTCAAAGGTAGAAGACTCGTCCTATGGTTCCACGACAAGTCTTCTATAATCACTGTTTCAGATTGAAACTTTAGACAAACGAATGGTATTTTGCTTCTCATTTGGCCACCGTCAACACATTAAATGGCAAAAAAAGTCTTATTATTTTCATATTTTGGAATCAGTTTTAGTCTCTGTCTAATATCTATTCCGAATGTGAAAAAGAAATATCATACCTTCCATCAAAAGTTCAAAACATAGCTGTAAAGCCCTAACAACTAACAACTCTGTCACAGATTATTTACTTTTCGAGGCACCTGAGTACGTGATGGCTAAGAAATTAACTCTTTAAAAAGTTTTTGACGAATAAGCAAAAACGCACAAACTTAAATCTAGAAGGCCAACTTTTCTCTCTTTTTTTTTTTGACTTGGTAAAACAAACACGTACTTTGACTTGATTATTGACTCAAATTAAAACCTGTCACCTTCATGATCAGGCAAGGTTTAATTAGTTTTTCTTCTCTATATAATGTTCGACAAATCATAAGCTCAGAATCAATCAGCAAACGAAAAACGAATCAAAACTCTTAATTAATTATCATTATTTGCAAAAACTGCTTAATGGCCGTAACAAGTTTGTCTACTACTTGTGATGGTTTGTTCATCATCAGCCTTCTTGTCATCGTTTCTTCATTGTTTGTGCCATCATCTGCGCAGTTAAACGCAACGTTTTACTCCGGAACTTGCCCCAACGCATCTGCCATCGTTCGCACCACTATTCAACAAGCTCTTCAGTCGGACCCGAGAATCGGAGCCAGCCTAATCCGCCTTCACTTTCACGACTGCTTTGTTAACGTATATAATGCTCATCTTGATTTTCTTTAATTAATTTGTCGTAATTAAGGCTTTCTGTTTTTGTCACACTAAACCGCTACTTTGCTTCTTTACTTTTGTAAAGGGTTGCGACGGGTCGCTCTTGCTCGACGACAGTGGAAGCATCCAGAGCGAGAAGAACGCTGTCCCAAACGTAAACTCAACCAGAGGTTTCAATGTTGTAGATAATATCAAAATTGCCCTTGAGAATGCTTGTCCCGGCATTGTCTCTTGCTCTGACGTTCTAGCTCTTGCCTCGGAGGCCTCCGTGTCTTTGGTAATAAAACTAACTGACTAACACACATATCTTTGATTGGTTAGAAAACGTGTAAATAAACATGTTTGATCGATGATCTTCAGGCAGGAGGGCCTACATGGACGGTGTTATTAGGAAGAAGAGATGGTCTCACCGCGAACCTGGCCGGGGCCAATTCGTCTCTTCCCTCTCCTTTCGAAGGACTCAACAATATTACATCTAAATTTTCAGCTGTCGGGCTTAATACAACTGATGTAGTAGCCTTGTCTGGTAAATAATCTGACATGTTTAGTTACTTGCGGCTCAATTCAAACAAAACCCTAACTAATTAACTAACTAATTAATGCCAAATTTTTGTGGTTTAATGTGTGCATATATATAGGAGCACATACGTTTGGGCGTGGTCAATGCGTAACTTTCAACAATAGACTATTCAACTTCAACGGGACAGGAAACCCCGACCCGACTTTGAACTCAACGCTTCTCAGCAGTCTTCAACAGCTTTGTCCTCAAAACGGGAGTAATTCAGGGATTACCAATCTCGATCTGAGCACCCCTGATGCGTTTGATAACAATTACTTCACGAACCTTCAGAGAAACAATGGTCTTCTTCAGTCGGACCAAGAACTGTTCTCTGACACCGGCTCAGCCACCATCCCGATTGTAACTTCCTTTGCAAGTAACCAAACTCTGTTTTTCGAGGCGTTTGTTCAGTCGATGATCAAAATGGGGAATATTAGTCCGTTAACTGGGAATAGTGGAGAGATTAGACTAGATTGTAAAGTGGTTAATGGACAGTCATCCACGGCTGAAGCAGAGGACATTCAGTTGCAATCTGGCTCCGTTGAAGGAGGAGCGAGTTTAGCAGATATGTGAACAATGATGGGAGCAGTTTCACCACTTGTTTACCATATATGATAATATGAATAATTAAGCTGAATCGTTTTCGTAATAAATGGAATAGTAGGCTGATAGAATTGTGTTTGAAAATATTAATATTTCAAAACCCTTTATCTCGTCTACATGCATGGATCTATATGATACCTAATCTTATTGTTTTTTTGTTAACAACTTGCCAGTTTTACTGGATTTAAATATGAACGATGAAATAGCCAGAAAGTAACGTATAGAATTTTTAGTGTCAGTCAATGGAGAAAAATATTAAGTCAGAAGAAATTAATATAAGTACGACGAGAAGTAGTTGGGATTTTGACTCAGATTTGGAAGCAACTATTCTAAAGTGATTTAAAACAATAATTCAAATTATTTTCAAATAAAATCTGAGTAGAAACGGAGCCGAAGCAGAACCGTCGTCGGTGACAAACGCTATCACCGTAACTCAAAGACTCCGAAGCTAGTCATGCATCTTTTTAAATGTTTAGTTTACAGGGTTATTGTCAAAAGGAACATCTCTAAAAGTCTCGTAAGACTGACTTTTGGAGATTCTTTATCAAAATCAGTGAAGTAACAACTCATATAATACAGTTGATCGTGAATCTACTTTTTTTTTTTTCTCTCTAAATACAGCTGTAAAGCTTTAACAACTATTGAAGGCAGTTCTTTCAAAGAATGTGACACATAAACTAATTTTTTTGCAGACTCAAATTTTTCAAAAGTTTCTCTATAAATTTGCGTATTAACTGTGAGAATTGAGATGGCCGTTCACATTCTTATAGTTTTGTCCATGTTTATATGAATTCTCATGATTACAAATGGGAATCTGAATGCATTAAATATGTTTGCTAAAAGAATAAAACATAAAAATAAAACTATGTTTGCTATCTTTTGAAACTGGAATATTGGCTGTATCATGTTTTTGGTGTAAAAAAATCCGATCACCTTAACGACCGATTTCGTGTTAAAAAAGCAACTTACGTAACTTTTTAGAAATTCTTTTACTAACCGCGTGGGAAGATTACAATAATGCAAGTGATGATGGAGATGGTGTAACCTAAAGACAAATAGAGTAACTTTTAACTAGAGAAAATTTAGAATCGCCAGCTTTTCGTCTCATCTTTTGTACTAAGTACACAAACACACACGTTAATCTAGTTATTGGCTTAATTAAAACCTTTCACTTTCATGACCAGTCAATATATATGAACGCGTTCAAACAAATTTTTGCTTCCCTATATATACAACATAGTCATAAGCTCCGCACCAATCAGGGAAAAAACCACTAATAAGAAAAACTACTTACTTCCACAACCTAATTAATGGCTGTAACAAATCCGCCTACTACTTACAATGGTTTTTCCATCATAATTCTCACCAGTCTCGTAATCTCTTCTTCATTGTTTGGGACATCATCTGCGCAGTTAAACGCAACGTTTTACTCCGGGACGTGCCCTAACGCCTCTGCCATCGTACGCAGCACTATTCAGCAAGCTCTTCAGTCCGACTCGAGAATCGGAGCCAGCCTCATCCGCCTTCATTTTCACGACTGTTTTGTTAATGTATAATAGTCCTTCTCAATACAACTCTTTAACGTAAAATCCCCATGATCTTTTTCGCCTAAACCGTTACATTTCTTCATGTTTATGAAAGGGCTGCGACGCGTCGATCTTGCTTGACGATAGTGGAAGCATCCAGAGCGAGAAGAATGCTGGCCCGAACACAAACTCGGCTAGAGGATTCGACGTTGTCGATAATATCAAGACTGCCCTTGAGAACGCTTGCCCCAGCGTTGTCTCTTGCTCTGACGTTTTAGCTCTTGCCTCAGAGGCCTCTGTTTCTTTGGTAATAACACTTTCTCAGTAAGACATACCAAACAATATATACATATCTTCACAGTTCACAATCATCTATATTGATCATCATTAGGCAGGAGGGCCTTCGTGGACTGTATTATTAGGCAGAAGAGATAGTCTCACAGCAAACCAAGCCGGCGCAAATTCGTCAATTCCTTCTCCCTTCGAAAGCCTTAGCAACATCACATCTAAATTTTCATCCGTCGGTTTAAATACGAACGATCTAGTAGCCTTATCTGGTAATTAAAATCATCTACATGTTTAGTTAGTTAACTTGCGGCTCAAATAAAACAAAACCCTAACGCCATCTCCTGTGGTTTTCCATCTACGTAACGTAGGTGCACATACGTTCGGGCGTGCTCGATGTGGAGTGTTCAGTAACAGAGTATTCAACTTCAGCGGGTCAGGAAATCCAGACCCGACTCTAAACACGACGCTTCTCAGCAGTCTTCAAAAGATTTGCCCTCAAAACGGCAGCGGATCGGGGATCACAAATCTTGATCTGAGCACACCTGATGCGTTTGATAACAATTACTTCACCAACCTTCAGAGCAACAATGGGCTTCTTCAGTCAGACCAAGAACTGTTCTCTACCACCGGTGCAGCCACTATTGCGATTGTTGCTTCCTTCTCAAGTAACCAGACTCTGTTTTTTCAGGCCTTTGCTCAGTCCATGATCAACATGGGGAATATTAGTCCCTTGACAGGGAGTAGTGGAGAGATTAGATTAGACTGTAAGAAAGTTAATGGAAGTTGATTTCCTTATTGCTGTTCTTTTTTTTTTCTGTTTAATATTGGTAAGCTCTGATCAAGTAAACTTTTTTTTTCATACTTTAGTCATTACGGCGATGGTTCTAGAAAAACTTGATAAGTATGTCTTGTTCGCCCTTTCTATTCGGTTAATTTGCTAGATCATCCTTTCTCATGAAACATTCCCTTCTGTCTTGTTATCTGTTCCAACTTCTATTTCAGAAATGCTAAATTATTTTTTAATCATGTCTGCGCTTAGAAGATTGCTTCTCATCTGTGACATTGATGGCCGATGTGTCGTGTGGATATATGGTTTATGTGGGAAGAAGAGATCGGAAATGGATTTGATCTGAAAGCGATATGAATTTTTTGATTTCATTTGTGTAACGGTAAAAGAAAGCCAAAGATGAGGATAGCTGTGTAAATTCACATGTACAAACAAGGTCCGTGTAAATTTCCCTTCGTCTGGAAAATGAATCGACAGGTTAAAGTTACTGTTTTATTTTATTTTCTTAGTTAAAATTATAATTATCTCCGACAAAAAAATAATAATTTCCTCCCCCTTTTTTCGTCAAACACACATTTCACTGATATTATTAGTAGTAGAGTTTACAAAAACGGATAATTTCCTATATTATCTTATAATTTTAACTAAGAAAATAAAATAAAACAGTAACTTTAACCTGTCGATTAATATTTCCTTTGTTTTTCCTTCCGAGAGCTATATTAGTGAGTTTCTTGAAATGGCGGATCCAAATTCTCTAACATGGCGGAGGTAACGGAGAAGAAGGAGCAATCTGTGGATCCAGATCCAGCTGTGGAGCACATGCTGTTCGAGATCCTCTTGAGTCTACCTGCGAAAGACGTAGGCAGGTTCCTCTGCGTATCCAAGTATTGGGCAACAACCATCGCCGGCCGGGATTTCGTCAGATCATACTCGCTCCGGTTCTCCCCGGAGAAGCAGCCGCCTCGCCTTCTCTTAGCTTTCAACACACAAGTAAAGGGTTATCAAGAAGGTTGGTACTTTTTCTCCACACCCCAATGTCTCCCTGAGCCAGATCCGGTCTTGAGGACCACCCCAAGGCCGGAACCACGAGCTGATTTTGTATCAAGCTGGGAATTTCAGTTCAAGAAACAGTGCTACAAGAATCCTTGTTACGCTCATGGGTTGATGAGCTTCTTGTACGGCGATGAACAGGTGATTAGTAATCCCACCACAGGCAAGTCCATTACTTTACCACCAGCCACTGTCAGATCCCAGGAAATGGTCGTCAGATCCTTTCTAGGATATGATCCAATCGATGCTCAATACAAAGTCCTCTGCTTGACCAATGTTACTCGGTTCTGCGAACATCAAGTCCTCACATTGGGATCAGCGGATTCTTCTTCGTGGAGAGTGATCCAGAACTGCAGCATTGTTCCTCACTTTCCTGGAACCGACTCTGTGTGCATAGGCGGCGTTTTATACTACACTGCTTCTCCTTCTTCTCTTACCATGACGGAGCCATTCCTGGTGGGATTTGATTTGAGGTCTGAAGCTTTGGAGGTCGCTTCCGTGTTTCCCGAGGGCCTTGCGTCGTGTAAAGCCACGAATTTGATCAACTACCATGGGAAAGTAGCTCTTGTCACCCAGACTAATGGAGGCCACGTGTACGATTTGGATTTGTGGGTTTTGCAGGACGCCAAGAGACGAGAGTGGTCCAAACAAGGCCTGACTCTCCGTGTAGGTGACACTGGGAGTTTCCATGGCCGTGTAGAAATCTTGGGGACTTGTGATTCGGGAGAGGTCGTCTTTGCGCCAATCAATTTTAGAGGGTTGGTGGTTGTTTACTATCTGGATCCAAAGACTAACCGGGTTAGAACAGCTTTGCTGAAAGGAAACGCCAACCATAAGTTTAGAGATTTTCGTCAAGTGTTTACTTTCTTGCATCACGTTGATTCTCTTATGCTTATTTAGATTCAGAGATGTGATATTTTCTATGTTGCTTCTGTGTTTTTTTTGGAATAATACAAAGAAAGACTTGTTGCATTCGATTGATTTGTCGCTCTGATTCAACAAACAGCTGATCGTTTGGTTACAATGGACATAAGATTGAACCTAAAAATGGTCTTGGTCTCCACATGAAGGATGGACTTAAAGTCACTATTATCAAGAAATGTTCAAGACTGGAGTGAAATGCTCAAGTTGTTTCTACTTTATCTTTTCAATTCGTATGAAATGCTCTTGTGGTTTTCATCTACGTAACGTAGGTGCACATACTTTCGGACGTGCTCCATGTGGAGTGTTCATGAGTAGTAACAGAGTATTCAAAACACGACGCTTCTCAGCAGTCTTCAACAGATTTGTCCTAAAAACGGCAGCGGATCGGGGATCACCAATCTTGATCTGAGCACACCTGATGCGTTCGATAACAATTACTTCACCAACCTTCAGAGCAACAATGGGCTTCTTCAGTCAGACCAAGACCTGTTCTCTACCACCGGTGCAGCCACGATTGCGATTGTTGCTTCCTTTGCAAGTAACCAGACTCTGTTTTTCCAGGCCTTTGATCAGTCCATGATCAACATGGGGAATATTAGTCCCTTGACGGGGAGTAGTGGAGAGATTAGATTAGACTGTAAGAAAGTTATTGGAAGTTGATTTCCTTATAGCTGTTCTTTTTTTTTTCTGTTTAATATTGGCAAGCTCTGATTAAATAAACTTTTTTGTTTTTTGTACGCTATCATACAGAATATATATGGATTGAGATTCAACCACTCAAGATATGTTTCTTTAAATCTTTCCTTTTTCCTTTTCTTTTGCAGAACATCTATAAACGTTTTACTGCAAACAGGTGTAAGGGTTTTAAGTATGATTCGAATGTTACGAATAACGGCTACAAATATAAACATGTGATAAGCACCACGGCTATAATTTAATTTCTCTACTACGTTCCACTCTTTCTCTTTCCATATACTCTTTTTTTTTTTTTAGTTTAGTTCAAGAGAAAGAGATCACAAGAACGAACGATTATAGATAACATGGACCTAATGGGCGAGATTTTTCTTAAGTCAACAACTAAATGTATGAGCACATTTCGAGTCTACACGAAAGCTCTTGACGCTATGCTTAGTGATATAAATTTTGTGATAAGACTTTATGGATGAACAGCAAAAAAAAATCTCATTCGATTCTTGTACCTAATTGGACAAGTGTCAACGATGGAAGTCACAAATGTGTTTTGTTGGTGCAAATGTGAAGAAGGTGAAAATGTGTTTTCAAGACATGGTCTTTCTGTGCTCTGTTTTAAGTTGGAAAGAGTGCTTTCCCGATTCGAGGGCTATGAGCCATCTTCTTCTTCTAGCCTAATCAAAGCCTTAAAACTGACAACCGGATTGGGACGGAAAACTAGAGAACCACACATGGAACAACATGTCATCAACTTAGGAGAAAGCTTATGGAAGCCCATCAATTGTGGATTTCCATCACGAAGCTGTGAAAGACAAGACCCTGTGCATCAATGGAAAAGTTTTTTATAACTTCCATGGCTTATACAAGGGAAAACCCTTCAAAGAAAAACGATTTCACGTTGTGGGTGCTTGAGAATGGGAATTGGATTGATGAGGTTCATGTGGACACACGGAGATTCAAGCAAGGGTTAGCAGAAGAAGGGTTGCTCACGCCTACAACTGTGCTTTTTAAAGGTTCGACCATGATAGAGACTTTTTTGGTTTCTTTTAACAGATGATTACCAACCAAAAGGAAGGCACGATTTGGAACCACGTTGAGAATGTGTTGTAGGAGACGACAAAGTCTTTTTCGTCAAAAGCTAAGTAGGACAGAAAGATCCAGATAATTCCTAATATTTTCCAGATTTTGTTGCCAAAGAAACAATGTGTCGATAACCTATCAGATTTAGGGAAAATCCAACCTATCAGATTTAATCAATTTGTCTTTCAATTAGTTCTTCTTAAATCTTATCTAGTTAAACTTTTATATCATAATGGAGTGTTCAAAAATAAAAAAACAGAGTGTTAAATAGGAAAAAAACTAATGTACATATATTATAATAATAATAATAATAATAATAATAATAATAATAATAATAATAATAATAATGGCAATAATAAGAGTATGCATGACTTTCAATTATTGCAAGGAGCCTAAAAGCATGACATTCCAATTAATCGATATCATCCGCGTCACACGCGTGTGGGTCCTTTCACTTTCTAATCACGGAGTTTAGATCCTTAAGAAACCCTAACGTTTGTTTTAAAATATTTGTAGCCTAACCTTGATTTCAGCAAAGAAGCTGCTTTTCCTTTTTGTTTCTTAACGTCATGGAAACGACAAAATATGTCATTCTGTAACTTAAAACAGAACGCTTGGTTGGTGATAGAAAGACTCGATATAAATGTCAAAGTACTAATTTGAAACCATTATCCATCGCATGTTACCGTTCATACACATAATAATGAGGCTATCTAATGTCTATAACTTTTCTTGAAAGTAACTTGCAATAAGTTGTATCAAAAAAAAAGTGAATGGAAATTGTATTCATGATGTTGGGTAAGACCACATTAATCAAGTTTTTCTAGGACCATCGTTGTAATGACTAAAGTTTCGAGCCCATAACAATTCTGGTCAAACTAAATTGAAATTTAATCTGATTGAGTGTTTTCATGATTTTAATGGGTCATCATATTCACATTTTGATTTTTCTCATCATTAAGTATCGTCGTTAATCATTATGTCTTGTTCTCCCTTTTTGTTCGGTTTGCTATATCATCCTTTTTCATGAAACATTCCCTTCTGTCTTGTTATCTGTTCCAACTTCTATTTCAGAAATGCTAAATTATTTTTTAATCATGAGTCCCTGCTTATACTCCATTTTTCAGAATTGCTAAACTAATTTTAAGCTATGATTCTATAACAGAAAACAAAGAAAATTGATCTCATCTAAATACATAACGGTAACTACGATGTCAACTGTCACTATGTCCCATTTTTTTAACTTCCCAATTATATTTTTCCTTTTTTCTCAACAACTTCCGCTTTTCTTTTAAATCTCTTAAAACTTAAGAAATTCAAAGTCATTATTAACGTGTGACCAAGAATTACGCTGGCCGGTCAAACTAATTATGGTCTTCAATAATTTTCAACAAACAGTCTAATATCTTCAAGAACATTACGAATTAATGGTTTACTACTTTATAAGTTCAATGGAATACCTACCGGCTACGATCAGGTAAAACATACATGAAACTGCTTCAAAATTTCCGATTATTCTTCACGCCTGGACTGTTATGAGCTAATTATGTAAATATCATAGGCGATCATGTTAAACAAATTATTTGATGTCAAAACAAAATACGATATACCTTTCACTAACATTCTGATCAAAAATTTGAAATGGAAGTATTGCATACCAATTTGCGAATTTGGCGGAAAAAAAAATCTTATTTTCGAGGAGAATAAACAAAAACAAAAACACACGGCGCCAGTCTCGTGTACGAATGCCGAATGGGGTATGTATTTATATGCATTCACGTGTATGTGAATAGGCAGTTGTCGGTCAATCGCCTTTACTCTATCTTAACCTTAAGATACATTTCTCGCCTTATCGGTATACGTTATTCAACTATAAACAAAAATGAAACACAAATTTACTATGGTACAGGTTCTCTTTGATTTATTTGAGTAGCTTACTGTTTTAACCGGTTTGAGACATGGTGATGGTTAATCATCACTATTACTTATTAAATGTGATGATTTATATTCACAATTTATTAATTTTTGGTGAGGAGTAGTTTATAAAATTTAATTGATAAACATAAAAAATGTGAAAGTATTTAAAGCAAAAAAAACAACTATAGAGTGACACGATTTGTGAAAGGTAAACATCTTATTTTATTATCGTTAAATCAGAATATGTAAGAACAAGACCCAAGACTATATCATTAATAAATAAGATTGAATTCGGAAATAAATAAGTGGGGTTTCACTTCATTAGGCCAACACAGATCTTCTCTCTATCTCTCTATCTCTCTTTCTCTCTCTCAAACTCTTACTTTCTTCGTAGGAAATGGAACTAGCGTTGTGCCTAGGCGACAATACTAACAAACAGTTCTCTTTTCTGGAGAAGCCCTCGAAGATTAACAATAATTCCTCTGCCTCATTAACCTCGACTTCCGACAAGGATCTTGAGTGCTGCATGGGTTTAGATGGTGCTTTTAGTGGTCACAGATCGTTGTCATCCTCTTCTTCTCCGTCGGTAGAAGATGAGAAGAAGAAAAAGAAGAAACCGGCGCCCAGAGCAATGGATTCCGATGAATTTAGGGTTTCCTCTTCGGTAGATCCGTCATTACAGCTTCAGCTTCACTTCCCTTGGCTCCCTGAGAACAGTAAGGGTTTTAGTTTGTAAACAAACCAAAAAAGGCATTAAAATCTATTTTTTTTTCGTAATCAAATGGTGTAGTTATACGAATCCACAAAAGAAAAGATATCGTTTTTTCTCTCAAAAAAACATTTGAATTTTGTTGAAATCCCTAATTTGGCTTACATGTGAAATCTTTTCTTATATTAGAAGAATATTATTTAACAATATATATATGCTTATTATAATGTGTCGATGGGATGTTGAAATCATTTTCCAATAATGTTTTGACTGATTTGTGACAAGAAAGAAGAACTAGGTTCTATAGAAACTTGCTAATGTTTCATTACAAATCTTATCCGTTTTTTCAGATGATTGAGTTTTGATTCCGGTTTAAAATTCTCTATTTATTAATACTGTTTTAAATGACAAAGAAATAACCAAAATTACAGGTCGGCAGGGAGGAAGAATGCTCTCTGAAGCAGCTACCGTGGCGGAGGACGAAGATGAAGAAGAGGATGAGGCCGTGCCTAGCATGTCAGTGTCACCGCCAAATAGCGTAACGTCGTCATTTCGGTTGGACTTTGGGATTAAGAGTTATGGTTATGAAAGAAGAAGCAATAAGCGAGATATTGATGATGAAGTTGAGAGATCTGCTTCGAGAGCCAGCAACGAAGACAACGATGACGAAAACGGATCCACCAGGAAGAAACTTAGACTCTCTAAAGACCAATCTGCTTTTCTTGAAGATAGCTTCAAAGAACACAGCACCCTTAATCCTGTTCGTTTCCCATAATTCTTTACACTCCTATGATTTGCTCTTTCGTGAATTTATTTGAATATCGTTTGTTTTCAAAGAAAAAACAAATCTTAGCCTTTTTTGTAATATACAATAAACATTGCAGAAGCAGAAGATTGCGTTGGCGAAGCAGTTGAATCTTCGTCCTCGCCAGGTTGAAGTTTGGTTTCAAAATAGACGAGCCAGGTTAGTTATATTGGAGTATTAATTAATAGTTTTATTTTCTTTTTATGAGACGGTTTTATTTTGTTCTTGGAAAAATATTTTCTGTGATGATTAATTTCTGACAAGGAATGAGGACGAAATGTATCACGAGTAATAATAACACATTGTCGCATGTCTGTTCTTGTCACTTATTCGCACAAAAGTACCATATCACTTCTGCTCATCATTTCCATGTATAATTGCTTATACTGACTAATTTCTAAAAAGAAACAAATGATCATAACCAAAATATCTTAGCTACTCTTTTAACCCGTTGAATTGGTGAACTTTTTTCTTTTGATCTTGTACATATATTGTGATATCAGACGAATAAATTCGAATAAAATAAGGAAAAAAATCAAAGTCGAGGCAAATATCATTTGTTTGAAGTTATTTTTCAGAAGAATACGTAACAAAACGGTTTATTTCATCTTTTTTGTTTACAAAAGTTTTTCTCTTCATTTTGGTTTATAAATGACTTTGTGTGGATGATTATTTATCCGATGGTTATGTAAATTGATAAATGAGAATAGGACAAAGCTGAAGCAAACGGAAGTGGACTGTGAATACCTAAAGAGATGCTGTGAGTCACTAACCGAAGAAAACAGGAGGCTACAGAAAGAGGTCAAAGAATTGAGAACCCTGAAGACTTCTTCTCCTTTCTACATGCAACTTCCGGCCACGACTCTCACGATGTGCCCTTCTTGCGAACGCGTTGCCACCTCAGCATCTCATCCCTCCACGTCAGTTGCTCATAACATTGGTTTGTCCACATCATCATTTCATAGTCCTTTGATTCCGGTTAAGCCTCAGCCAGCCAAACAAGTTTCATGAAAGCACGTGCGAAACATATGGTTGATATGGATCACCCCAATATATACAGTTTGAGCAAATGGTTTTGAGTGGTTTTAAAATTTGGCCTTCTTGTGTATATCTAAGATTTATTTTCCTTCCATTTTGGGACCGTCTCCTATTTTTAAAGATGACTAGATCGATTATCCGGTTAGTGTTTTGTTTTGGATAGGACCGGATTATAAAAAACAGATGGAGAAAAAGGGTTGACATGTTTTATACGGGTGAGTCTCGTGCTTGAGTACTTAAGACATTTCAAGTTTTGTTTGATTTAAGCATCCTTAATCTTACTTTCTACACAAACATAAACATATCTGCTTTTCCCAATCTCCACGTGGCGAACAACTGCACCAGGTTGGATCCAATCGCACTGAACTCACAATAAGCATTTGACCTAACGGACTTTTTTAAAGACCTTCGTCGTCAAAAAGTCCAAACATCCCATGTGAGACATCGTGACCAAACCCGTTATCTTCAGATCCTGTTATGGACTACAAGATTATTTATATAATTTAATTTGTCGGTGATCCACAAATTCCACGCTTAAGGGTCTGACTGGTTTAACCGCTGCGGTTGCGGTTGCGGGAGTTTGCGGCTGCGGGAGTTTGCGGAAGCGGGAGTTTGCGATTAAAAGCTGTTTGTACGACTGGTATAGCAATTCATAGCGGTTGCGTTTGCGGGATATTTTTGACTGGTTAGCCAGCGGGTGCAAGAGCGGTTTAACCAAAAGTTACTAAAATAAAAATAATATATAATTATTCAAAACATTTATAACCATATTAATAATTTTTTTTTTGAAATATATTTTTTGATGAATTTTTAATTTGAAAACTACCCTTTTTTTTTGGTTTTGAAAAATACACTTTTTATATGTAAAATGATTATTCCTAATTTAATAAAAACGAAATTCAAATAAGAAATATAAAATATTAATATTTGATAATAATTTTGTATCATTTTAACATCCTAATTACCTGTTTAGTTTTTTTTAAACAATTTAATAAAAATATAAGATTGTTTATATAAAGTTTAAATGGGGTGAGATTAAAGTTGTTTATGCAAAGTTTCAAAAATATTTAAATTTTTCAAAAGATAAACATTAAAAATGAAAGATATATTTCTCCACTTTTAAATTTTTAATAATTTATAAACTTTAAATATATGTAAAGTTTTAATTTATTTAAAGTTTCATTTGGTTTGAATGTGTATGAGGTTAAGTTGTTTATATAAAGATCCAAAATATTAAAATTTGTTTCAGTTTAACATATACTATATTTATTTGAAAAAAAACTTATTAGTTTATTATTTTTTTAAATTTTCGTTTATAATTTGTAATTATTTATTATTTTTTTGTTTAAATCACGTCAAAACATACTTTTTACATTTTAAAAGTGTATTTTTCAAAACAGAAAAAATTTAGGGTATTTTCGAAATTTTTAAACATAATTATGGTATTTTTCAAAAAAATATACCCTTATTCCAAATTTGGAGATATTATGTTTTTTTTTTTTTTTTTTCAAACCGCAACCGCCCGCAACCGCAAACGCTTGCGGAAAGGAGCTTTTGATTTTCAGCGATATAGAGCGGTACAGAGTGGTATAGAGCGGTTGAAAGCGGTTGTCGTGATTGTTATAAAACGCTAAGAACCGCTACGAACCGCAAACGCTGCGTTTGCGGGTGGTAGCGGGAGAACCAATCATCATCTAACTCACACATCACATCCGTGGTTCCCAAACTTCCAATTGCAAATTCTTGCGTTCACATTTCTCAAAAGTCACAAACCCAATAAAAACACTGTTATACTTCATAGGCAAATAAAAACATAAAGCAAGACCATGCTCTGTTTTAGATTATCAAACATAGTAACAACGACTGTTGGAATCAAAATTCCATTATATAAACAGGTAACCTCTCTTTGGATAAAAACTATAGTAATCGTAGTGACAATCATTTACAACAAATAGCATCAAAGACATCATAGGTAATCATTTTTTTTTGTTTCACTTCTTTTAACTCTACACATTCTATATGATCAACTAAAAACAACAAAACAGAGAACAAAGTATTAAGATCAAACAAGTATAAAGAGATATAGAAAAACCTTTTCAGGGTTTCCGTCGTGTTTGTCCGAGCTGATTGAGTTTAACGAGCAACTCGGCGTAGAGGATCTCATTCCAAGAGTCTGGAACTCCGGGAAGACACCAATGGCTGCAGTCTTGGTACAGCAACGGCGTTCTTTTCTCTTTCTCCGGTATGCTATGTTTCCGGTACACCGACGGGTGTCCATCTTTCCTGTAGTCCGTTAATCTGGTGATGTTCAGATACGTGACTGGCGTTTTCATACCCCTCAACACTTTCTCAAGCACCTTCATTTTAGACGGGTACGGGGTCAAGTACGTCTCGTTCTTGATTGGTTCTGTTTCACTATCGCATGCTCCTCCCGAGTTCCACTGCCCACCACTACAAAACAAAAACAAGTCCCAAAAGTGTCAAGATTTAGATTCTCTGTTTAAAGATTACATTCAAAGAATGTCTTCTTCCATTTACCTGAAATGAGAGGCAGAGTAGCCACGGAAGAAAACAAGGGTCTTCTCTGGATTCACATTCTTCTCAACCCATCGACCCCATGTTGTCAAAGCTTTACGGAAAGCTTCAAGGACAGCGAGCTCATGGTAAACATTGCTTCCTTCTTGATAATAGTCCTCCCTTTGAAACACAACAAGAAAATCATAAGTTGTCTACATTACAATACAAAGACAGAGCAATTTTTCCAGTGAAATGAGATAAAAAAAGTTTACCCTTTGGAGGTTTTCTCGTGAGTCCACCAATGTCCGGTGTTGAAGATAATAATATCAGCTCCTTTGTACTGCTCAGATGACTTCCCGACCAAATCCAGCCTTAGAGTCTCCTTCTTCGTTCCCTTCTTGTCAACAATCTCCGTTTCTTGGACCAAGAACGGTGACACAAAGAACTCCACCGTGCAGTTGTAATCCTATACCAAATCCAAAAAAACACAAAATAATCAAAAACTATGAACCAACTAGTATCAAAGAACAAGTAGTGTAAAAGAAATGAAGAAGGCTTTTACATGGAAGACGAAGGAGTACTCAGCCTCCCCACGGAAATGATGTCGTCCACTAGCTTCATAGACTTTGCTCTTATCTTTCACTGATCCTTTAAGCATGCAAACCAGAGACTCCCACATGTTCCTATTCAGAGAATCGCCCACAAACACTAGCCTTCTTCCTCTAAGCATCTCCAGCAATATAGGTGCATTTAACCTTCAATTTTTTTTTTTTTTTTTATTAGCAATCTAAAATTCAAAGATCCATAACAATTGTAAGGTAAGCAAATAAAAAATAAACGTACCTTGGTAAACTACACTTCTTAGGTTTCCACTTCAACTTCTGGAAGTCTTTGTCGGGTCTTCCGTTTGAAATACAGTTGAACTGTTCGTCGATCAGCTTACACGAGCCTGGTTTGTAAAGCGGATACGAATCGTCTCTAATCCATTCACCGTCGAAGAACTCGCAGTTCTTCAGCGATTCGCTCCATTTCTCGATCTCTTGTTTCACTGACGAAACCAAACCGCCGGTTCCGGTTTCGGTTTGTTTCCCCTGTTGCGTAGAAACAGTTGATGAATTGGATTTGGAATTGGCCGTCAGATCCACCGACACGGGTGCTTTTGACGGCGCTGGAGCTGCGGAGTACGGAGTTTGAACAGCATCGGTGGTCCGTGACTGGTTATTCGATCCCGTCGACGGTTTATCTGAAAGCAGAGGATGAGAAGTGTTGTTTTTTTCAACCGGGTTGGTTCGGTTTACGATCGGAGATTGAAAGGTCGAGTTTTTAGCAATCGGAGTGAGGTTTTCCGGCGGCGGTGCTTGCAAAGTAGTGTTTTTGGGGACATCGGAGACGGGATTTGAGTTTGGAGACGGAGAAGTGGCGTTTGCAGAGACAGGCTCTGTGGAGTTGGAAGCGGCGTCGCTGGATCTATTGGAGGGTTTGGTTGAAGTGACATTGGGGAGAATATAGGAGAAGATTGAAGAGAATTGAGATCCGGAAGTGTTGTCTGATGAAGGAGAGGTTGAGGAGGAAGAGAATATGTTAGAGAACCAAGGAGAAGATGAGTTTGGAGAAGGACTAAAGGCGAAGAACAGAGTGAAAGAGACGAAGGTGATTACAAAGGCGTAAGCGAAAGTTGAGGTTTTTTTGGGTTTCAAGGCGGAGAAGAAGCTCTTGATGTCGGCGGTTGCTGTTGTTCCGCCGTGAATTGGCATATACTTGACGGCGTCCGACGCCGCCATGGACGGAGAGAGGTGAAGAGACAAAGTGGGGAATGTGGAGGTCGTGGCGCGTGAGGAGTGTTTACTGGGGGAGTTGGAGGGAGAAAGTTGTGTAATGAAGAAAGGAGATGACTTCTTTTAGAAAGGGTTTTGATAAGAAGAGGACAATTTGTCTAGACGACATCGTTAAAGCCGGGATGACTTAAAGTGGAGAGTTTTCGATTAAGTGCCCCTCGGTTTCGGAGTTAATTACTGAAGTACCACTATGAAAATGCGTGTCGGTCGGTGGTTGGAAGATTCGAACTTTGATGTTTTCACTTTTTCCCATCTCTTTTGGTCTTCCTAATGAAGAGGTTGATAAATGTTTTTTATGTTACGAATGGTTGCTAGCTTACAAAGTTACAATTAATTTGGCAAAAATTTTAAAGAGTTATAACAAAAACCTTATTACTGGCATACTTGGATAAAGAAATAAAACGATAAACTGATTTCTTACAGGATAATGTGTGAACCCAAAAAATATTCGTGGCTCTTGTCTTTGTGAAAATGTCGGCACTGTCTAGATCTATTGCAGATTGAATTAAATATCTCATGTCTCCATACACTTTCCTCTTAATTATCAAAACCTGCCAGCTAACTTAACTACGAGATTAAGATTTACTTATTCACTAGCAGAAAATAAGTAGACTCGAGTCACCGAGGCTCGTTGGGCTCTCAGTCTCACTATTGGTCGGTAGATTTCGTTACGAGAATTAATAGTCAAATACTACATGGACATGTCAATGCCCTTGGAACATCACGTACTGTATATTAAAAAAAAGAAGTCTTTAGCGTGTGGGACTCGAATTACAGTACAATTTAACGATTAGTGTTTGTGTACCATATATTTTTTGTTCTTGAAGAAAAATAATAATCCGGTCTTCCACTTGCTTATCTCTCTGACTATGATATATTCACATGACTAGAAAGATAAAAATAATAATGTTACATTCACACTATCAACTTTCAATAAAATCATAATTGGCATATCATTCAGAAACCGCATACTTAATTTTAATGAGTAGGTATCATGTCGGTGGCTATAATAAGGAAATTTGTGACCGACTAGTGTCTGATTTGAAGGCATCGAATCCAGATTAGTGGACTGTTACAGGGTTGGCTGTATTTGTTTTAACTTTTACTTGGGGATTTTATTTGTTCTTGATTAGAAAGCTAAACTTACTTTTTATTAAATTAAGCGAAAAAACAGTAAATAAAAACAATAGGGGAAGATAGGCCCCACCAGCAGCTAATCGCTGGCATATTCCAACTCATCATCTGGATAAGCTCTCTATCCATCTCCTCACATCTCTTCCAAAAACTCTCAAAACAAGAAATATCTTAAATTATAGAATATGAAAACTTTAAAATATCTCATCATACATCTTCTTTGAAAAGAAAATGGCAGCTTTGGTATCCAACCCTCAAATGCTAACGAAACAAAGTCACAGTAACTACAAGAAGGAACAATTCTGGAGGAAAGAGAGTTTGAATTTGGAGAGGAAGTTTGGGTTGTGTGTGAAGCTTTACAATCACGAAAAGCTTTGGAGGTCACAAGTAGAGAAAGAGTGGAGATTAAAAGCCTTTTGGGCAAACGTATCACAGCCCGAGACTGTTGAGATGGAACATATTAACGACGTTGATGAGCTCGAAGCTGTTCTCTCTCGCGCACGAACGCTTTCTCAGCCTATCATCATCGAATGGTAAACACACCTTGCATCATATAATTATCCATAATCTATATTAGAGGTGAGTCAGGTCCAGAGCATATGTAGTTTTTATTTTCTGTGGTTAGATAACATTTTTTTTTTGCTTAATCATTATGTCAATCTCTACAGTCTCATTTTCCACAACTCAGTTGAATAACTGTGGAAGCCTCTATAATATGTTTGGTTACGAAATATGGTGAGAATATTTGGACAGGATGGCTTCTTGGTGTCGGAAATGTATTTACTTGAAGCCTAAGTTGGAGAAACTGGCGGCGGAATACAATAACAGGTAAGCTACTTAGTCACAAGATTAACAATTTACAAGAGTGTTATAGTTATAGATTGCAAAAGTCTGATTATATTGTGAGCTGAAAACAGAACAAAGTTTTACTACGTGGATGTGAACAAGGTCCCTCAGACATTGGTGAAGCGCGGCAACATTTCGGTAAGATGCTTAAACAAACCACACATAGTTCTGTTTCTTTGGTAATCTTGCCAAACCTGAACCGGTTTCTGCAATTTTCATGTTTATATGCAGAAAATGCCGACCATTCAGGTATGCTTTCTTGTTTACAGATTGTTTTTGAATTTCAGTAGATGCATCATCATTTGACAATTGACACTAAGAAAGTTGTTAAAACAGTAAAATGAAAACAAGAATGTAAAGTAAGGAAGAGAGAATTGAATGATGTGTTGAATGCAGTTATGGAAGGAAGGAGAGATGAAAGAGGAAGTGATAGGAGGTCATAAAGGATGGCTTGTTATTGAAGAAGTCCGAGAATTGATCAACAAACATGTCTGATCCTCTTTTTGTTTATCTGTACAGTTGCTTTTATATTCCCTTTTTCTTATCAACTATTAGACATTGAGGAATGGGGAAAGAGAACTAAAAGTTTATAAGCTTTGTTTTTCTAGTTTTTACAGACTACAGACTACCTTTTAACCTCTGGTAAGAAACTCAGGAACATATAAAACCTAATTAATTTCAATATCGTCGATATAACACAACAGTCGCTTTGGCCGAGTGGTTAAGGCGTGTGCCTGCTAAGTACATGGGGTTTCCCCGCGAGAGTTCGAATCTCTCAGGCGACGTGTTTTTTTTTCATTAGCTTACTTTTTGTTGTCTGATTGTATCTCTCTGACTTGCAAGTAAACCGTGACATATGTTTTTTTTACACGATTGACTTTAGATTTCAAGACTTATTTGCATACCTAGCGCAGCAACATTGAAGTACTTGGGAATACTGCCAAGAATGAGACAAAACAGACCCGGTCGCAGCTACTAACTAAGGTCTTTACTTCAGTAACTCTTGCCTAATCCAAAAGCAAATTCGAGAGAGCTTGGAGCCATTCACAGTAAGGAAATACACATATTATCAAACAACCAATTCCTTCTTATAGCAACCAAGTCTAGAACAAATCATACAAATCACCGAAAGCTTGGATAGAGCTTACAAAAACCACATGGAAAAAAAACCCAAAAGAAAACTAAAACTGCAGATTATCAGATTGTTGGCACAAATTCAAAAAACAAACCTTCCCCACTCTACCAACACAAGAATCTGTTTCCTAATCCCAAGACTTTGAGACAAAGCCATCGAAAAACAATCTGTGCAAGAGACAGAACATCTATGAAGGCAGTCTCATAAATAAGGGCATAAACAAGAAACAGATTCTTCCAAGCACCTAGACTAGATTCAAGCAAAGATCCTCTGCAATCCTGGTTCAAGAACCCATGCTGCAGTCAGCTGTTAGTCTAAGTAGACCATGTCTTCTTCCTCTTGCTACTGTGGAATTGTGCTTTTCAACTAAAAACCAATTACTCTTTCAACTTCCTTATCCTTTGGAATGCAACCGGCTGTAGAACTCGGTGAAGTCAAGCCGGAAGAAGAGGAATTTGAGATCTACAGATTGTTGGAGAGGCAAAAGCGATAGGAATCCATCGAGTGAGGATGTGTATTCCTTTGCAATATTGTCCATATCTTGACTCATTTTTGGAAGAAATTCTCCAGCACGCTGTGTAATGCCCTTCCTACCCTCACTGATCCATGAACTTGACTCTTGCGTTTTGTTTCTTTCTCGTCCTGATTCCTTAGTTCTGCAAGCAATCAAAGATATTAAAGATCAAATTGCGACCCTTGATACAAAGGAATATGTTCAAGCAAAGGTTTAAAGTCTACTTTTATTTGAGATAAAAATCACCTTATTTGCAACCCGTAAATTTCTTCATACAAACGGTCTGCAAGACTCCTGAACCGTAATATAAGCTCAAAGAGGACGAAAAGTGATTTGCGGATGGTCTGCGACTGCTCACCCAGAAGAGATTTTCCAACGATGGCGTTGAGGTACTTCTCATGTGCTGCCAAAAGATCATCAAGGTCTTTAGCGGCTTCCATTTCTTTTGAGAAGTTAGACCATGACACCTCCAACACCTCAAACATGATGTAATACTGAAAGTTGGTGACAAAATGGTTCATTTCATTCCACAGAACCTGGCACCGCCTCAGGGCTGAGAGCAGTTGCAACTTCACCGAAGTTTGGAGCCTGGCGAATGAATTAGAAGTGATGCAATTTGGTTTCATGGTCTTCCAAACTCCGCTAAGAGCATGCTCTACTGTTTTCAACTTCCAGAGAAAATTAAACACTCTCAAGTATTTGGACAGAACAGACTCAGTAAACACAGTATCTAATGGAGCCCTAGCCTCATATTCCAGTGAGAATACATCCCAGCCTATGTCTCCACTCCCATGAGGCATCATTTTCACCCTCAGTCTGTCTAGCATGTCACGGTCATCATACTGCGCATTAGATGCCCGTATTGCAGCTTCAAGAAACCCAGCTAGCTCAAACGAACTAATATTATTGGCTGGCTTTGATAGCTCAGGTTCTACCTTATCCATCAAGTATTGGACAAAATCACCTTGACCAAGTAGTAGATAACGCTTAATCGCAAGACAGTGCTCCTTGAATTTATATCTCTTATATAGAACATCCAACAGATGCTTGTCGATTCTCTTTGCCGCCTCGGTAACAAGATGTTCAAGTGCATCTGTCTCACCATACCCAAGACCTCCTCGCCTAGTCGTCGTCCCAGAGGCAGTTGCTGCTTCTGAAGCTGCATCAGCCCACCCGTGATCATCACAACAAACTCGCAGGAAATTTATAGATTTCCCAGTTCTCAGAATTCTCTGAGCTAGACTCGGTGAAATAAAAGACGGGAGCATCCCTGGGTGGAGCTTATAACCTTCTCTCCAAAGCAAATCGACTTTAACT